TCTCATTTAACCAAGCACCACCTCTTCGAGCGGAACTAGCATACCAATCCGCTTAACTTACCGTCTTATATACCGAAAATAACCCTCTAGTAACTTTGCGAGCAGATGGGGATACGCTGTCCGGATATTCCTCCTGGGCAGCGACGTCATGCCCGCCCGCGTCAGCGCCGCGGGTTCTGTCTGGACTTCACTGACTGTTTATCACATGAAACCTGCAAGAGTCCTCCAACGCGATATCCTTTGGTCTTTTTGACAAGCAGCTCGCCAGGTATGTTCCGCCATAAGGCCAATGGTTTGCCGATTGCTTAGTTTGCTACCTTTTGTTGATACCACCGCATTGACTCTTCCCGATTAGGCTGGGCTTGGCTCGCTTGGCAGTGGTGTATCACCACCGCTCACCGCATTCGCTAATCGGAATCCTTTCGTATTCTTGACTTTGATTACTTGCATTTATTTCAAGACCCCAAAAGCTGGAGTGAGTGCTGTCCATCATCATGGGCAAACCATTGATCGTTCCGTAGAGGCGCGCACGTAAACTTCGCAACGTTATCTACTAAGGCATGTCGCTTAAGAGGAATGCAGTGCGGACCATGTCACAGACAGTATCAAGAAAAAAGAATATAAGGAGCGTTTCTGAATGTGTATATCTCACATTGTTCGGTATCATCTTTTTGGATCTGATGTGGTATCTAGTGCCATCTCCATAGGCTTTCCCGCCCCCCTCCCTCCCCCCCCTCCCAGAGTTGTGTGTTGGTATCTTGTAACAAAGAGCGTGTCTCATAATGCCATCGTTATGATCGTCGTCATGGTATAATAAAAGAAAAATCCCAACCCCCCGCGCAACCAGTCAAACTCCCTTAAAAGCAAACGCGCACCCAATCTACGATAATCCGATGAAGGAATATATATGGACAGGATAAAAAAAATAATCGGAAAAACAAAAAAGGCAACGAACCGCTTTTTAGTTCGACGCCCTCGCCCTCATCTCATACGGCAGGGCCATCCACAGACCGGCGGCAACGACCCAGCAGCCGCTGCCAACCCAGACGGGCGCGCTGCTGCTGCTGTCGCACAGCGCGACGACGAGGGCGCCGACCAGGCCGGAAGCGCGCGCCGCGGCGCCGACAACACCCATACCGGTGCCGCGGATGGGCGCAGCGAAGGTCTCAGAGACGTACTGGAACATCAGGCTGACGACGGCGTTCTGGGCGAAGGCCAGGACGCACTGCCAGGCGATGACGTCGCCCTGGGTGCGGGCGGTGGCGTAGAGGAAGGACAGCACGCCGGCGAGGAGCGTGGCGATGGCGCCCGTGCGCTTGCGGCCGAGGCGCTCCGTCTCGACGAGGAAGCCGGCGACGATGGGGCCGGGGATGGCGCAGAGGGCCGTGTAGACGTACGTCTGGAAGGTGAGCGACGTGCTGAAGGCGTCGGTGGCAGGGTAGCGCGAGGCGAGCCAGCGCGCGACGAAGGTGCCGTGCAGCGGGAAGGCGATGCCGATCAGCGACCAGATGACGATGAGCACGGTGGTGCTGGTGCGCAGGTTGCGGGTGCAGAAGATGTTGCGCAGCCACGAGGGGCGGAAGGGCTGCAGGCACAGGCGCGCCTTGGAGCTGTTGGCGGCCGTGGCGCGCAGCGTGGGCGGGCCGTGGATCTTCTCGATGTGCTGGAAGGCCTCGAGCGAGAGCCACGTTTGGCGCCCGTTGTAGTGCGCGATGGCCGACACGGTGGCGACCACGTCGGCGTCGCGGTTCTGGCCTAGCAGGAACTTGGGCGTCTCGTGCAGCGTGAAGAAGTAGCGGATGATGCAGAAGAAGACGGTGATGGCGCCGAGCGTCCACCACGCGTAGCGCCAGCCCATGTTGTTGGCGTAGTTGCACGTCTCAGTCGTCGCATCGGCGGCGCACGAGTACTTGGCCATCAGAGGCCTGCGGGTGGGTTAGCCGGTGGCTGAAGGATGGGGCAGGATGGTTAAGCTTACCAAGAGACGAGGGCGGCGACCAGCTTGCCAAGACCGGAGTAGGCACCCTGCATGGTCAAGAGGTACTGGTGCGAGGCAGGGATGATCTCCAGGAAGATGGAGCTGTCGACGGCCTGGTTGCCGCCGGCGGCGACGCTCATGAAGGTAGCGACAACGCAGAGGCCGGTGAAGGTGGGCATGCCGGCGCCGATGAGGCCAGTGATGCACATGAGGGCAAGCGAGAAGTTGAAGACGGTCTTGCGGCCAATGAAGTCGGACAGCATGGGCAGAACCGAGGCGCCGACAGTAAGGCCGACATATTGGCACACAGTTAGGAAGGCGGCATTGCTGGTGTAGAACTTGGCCTCGTTGGTGATGGCGGGCTGGATGAAGACGAACGAGAACATCCAAAACTGAGTGGAGATGTCAGCGGAGGACTAACCCGAAGGGGAAGGAGTGGACATACACTATCCAGGAACCAGCCGAGACCGGTCACGACCGTGAGGAGCCACTGATATTTGCCCATACCCATGTCCAAGAGGGCCTCGTTCAGCAGCTTGACCTTGGCATCGTATACGTCGTCTCCACCCGGTTGCATGTAGGTCGTGTCGATGATAGCGCCGAAGCTGTTCCGGTACCGGTCGACATCTCTCTCGTTGGCCTGGTGGTACTCGATGACGGGCGGCACGTGGGTGCTGCCGCTGGAGGTTGTCGACGTGCTCCGCACGCTGCGCGCGTCGTAGCTCTGGAAATCCTTAAAGTCCTTCTCGTCCATGGTGCGTGGTCCTCTCTCCGTGGCTAGGCGGGCCGAGGTGTGGTGTGTTGAGTAGTTTGTTCCGCAACGGTGCGAGGGGAACTGGCTAGACTTTCTACCCTGTGGCGGCAACAGCTGTTCTACTTAAGCTGAGCACGTTCCCCACCCGTCAGTCGAGCATTGAGAATTTTCGGGCTCATGGCAGTGGAGTCGAGGGATAGCCCGAGCGCGGCGCGACGCAAAGGCCCGAGGATCTCCGCAACTAGGACCACCTCCGCCTTGAGAGCCGCCTACAGCCAACAGTTGTCCAATACCGCCTTTTTGTCTCCATCGCCCTAACCCGAAGCGACCAGCTATTGGAACGTGTGGGCTCCGCGTCACCACCTGAGTTGTCACGTCCGCCCTGGCTAACCCAGAAGCCCAGACGCACCGCAAGCGACGCCTGTCTGCCTATCAATCCAGTCCATATGACCTGCATGTCCGTCACCCGTCGTCGCGCGAGGCTCCCGTTCGTGCCGGTCACGCTGGGGAAGGCGCGGGAGCAGCCGCCGAACACCTGCTCGCAGGCGCGCTCTCGCCACCACCACAACCTCACCCCACCACCGCCAAAGCTCAACAACAGCGCCTCGCCCGCCCAGCTGAAACCACGCGCATTGCTTTTTGGCCCCAAAATCGATAATCGTCACGTCGATTCAACCTTGAGGCGTTGCCGCGCGCTATCGCTGATCGCCCCTCTGGCACGGTGGTTCTTTCGGCCTTTGCTCGTGAGCACGTTCACCGCTACTCGGCTTCGCACGCGGGCTGTGGACGCACGCACCGCGAACTTCGCCACCCGCGTTGGTCCTTTACGACGCGTGTATTTTTAGTCTTCAGCTGCGCCATCCTTCTGCCTCTTTCTCTTAAAAGCGTGCGCAGCTGCTGTCCATTGCGTTGTCTGGTTACGACGGCTGCCGCCGCATGTGCTGGCCAGGCTCCAGCCGACCAGCCTCTCCACTGCCTTCCGGCCGCAGCCTTCCGGGGCCCGTGCGACGCGAGGCGGCTCTGTCCGGGGCCGGACACAGCAGACTTTGCAGCATCCTGCCTATCCGGACCGGTCAGGCCGTTCATCTGCGGATGCGTTTGCGCATTCGGCCGTCGGGACGCGAACATCTCTGTTTCCGCAGCAGCGTTCGGTTGTACCGGATTCCGTGTCATCGTATGACGTATGATGACTTTTCTCCGCAGTAAGCATCACGGTAGAGCGGCCATCTGGCGGTCCCAGCGCACAAATCCAACCTGCTGAGCAAGTGATGATGATGACAGTTTGTCACTCACGCGCCGGATGGGCTGTTCATCTTGTTTGCCGCGCGAAGGACTCGTACCATGCTGTTCGCTCCATCGATCTGCGCAAGATAGTCGCGACTTTTACTGCTCAGAGTCACGCTGCGACACAAGCAGCATGATCGACCTGCCGCAATCAGAACTGCGCTTTCTGACTCAGCCAGCCGTGGTCCGGAGCGCTTAGAAATCGAAACAGTCTGTCTTTCGCGCTAGACACGACTGTGGAAGTTGTTATGCAGCATGGTGGATATGTGATATTGTAAGATGCAGAAAACTGGCATAAGGTGGAGTTTAGATGTCGAGCCGAATCTGGGTTGGCTCTCGGCTCAGGCCGTCCAGCCAACACCAGGGACCCAGGCAACCAATGGACCACGCGACAGACGCCCCACCAACACCATCGCACTGTGTATGCCTAAAGAAGCCCGACCCTTCTCGCCCCCAAGCCCCAACGCCCAGCCCAATCCTACGATGCTGCGTTGTCGCTGGCCATTCCTTTCAGTGAGAGCAGCCTAATTCGTGAGGCATCCAGCGCGGTGGAAATCTCAACCCAAAAGCAGCCATGGTGCTTATCGTACGTTTCGATAGGCTTTAGCGGTGCGTTGCCCAAACAACGGTGCTTACAGCCTACGCCTAGTCTACCCGGCAACGTACGTCCGTATGGTTGGGCTAATCTCTATCAGTATTAGATGTAGTAGTAAGCACTACTTTGGCACTAAGCGATAACTAAGTCTCGCTGCCTCGCCTGGCGTCATCAATGCGTAAATGTACCACATAGAAACCCTTTGATGTCAACCTCGTCTCTTTGCAGAAGGACTACTCTCGCAAACAAGCTTGGTTTGATACGGCCACACGTGTGCAATCGCACTTGGGGCAGTCGAAGCGTCGACGAGAACGTAGATGAATGACAGCACTGAGAATCGGATGTCAAAAAGAGCTTCTGCATCGTTGTAACACTAAGCGGAGCGAGTGTTTGAATTCTGGATTATCAGCACGCAATTGTACATAGACTTGGGGTCTCCAGATTCGTTCCTACCTAATCGCGCAGAAGCGAAACAGGATTCAAGCTGAGACACCCACGCTAGGCATCAGTTTTTCGACTTGCGACGCAACACGCAACTTTAGAGCCATCACTGCATCTCGACTGCGCCCGACGACACCACCCCAACGCCCACCATGGCCTCGAAACAGCACCGGCGACTGCTGGTGCCCTGGATCTACGACATAGGAGTATTTGTCTTCACGCTATGCCTGGATATATTCTTCCGCGAAGTGTACCCGCGCAACGCGTGGCGTGTGCCTGCAAAGGGGCCGGTCGTCATCATTGCGGCGCCGCACGCCAACCAATTCGTCGACTCGGCACTGCTGATGCGCATCCTCTCTCACCATGCGAACCGGCGCGTGTCGTTCCTCATCGCCGAAAAGTCGATGCGGGAGCCGTACATCGGCGCGCTGGCTAGTCGTATGGGCGCGCTGCCTGTTGTGCGCGCAATGGACAACATCAAGCCGGGTGCCGGGAAGATCTACTTGCCCGATCCGGAAGGCGACCCGACCCTGGTGCGTGGCAAGGATGGCGTCGACTTCACCTCCTCCGCCTACATGGTCGGCGGCAACCTTATCCTGCCCAAGGTTGGCGACGAGAGCCCCGATCAGCAGCCCATCGCCGAGATCCTGTCTCAAGACTCGCTGCGCCTGCGGACTCCGTTTAAGACTTTCGAGCCCGACCATCCATTGCACAAGGCGCTCCGCGAGGGCGCCGCCTTCAAGGTATCGCCGCACATAGACCAGCACAAGATGTTCGACGCCGTCTACAACGAGCTCTGCGCCGGTGGATGCATCGGTATTTTCCCAGAAGGCGGCTCTCATGACCGCCCGTCTCTCCTCCCTCTGAAGGCTGGCGCCGCCATCATCGCACTCGGCACTCTCGCCCGTGAGCGTGACTGCGGCCTCACCATCCTCCCCTGCGGCATGAACTACTTCCACCCCAACAAGTTCCGCTCGCGCGCCGTCGTCGAGTTCGGCAGCCCCATCCGCGTTGCACCCGCCCAGGTCGACGCCTTCCAAGCCGGCGGCGACGAGAAGCGGCACGCCGTCAGCTCGTTGCTAGCGACGATCGAGGAAGCGCTGGCCGCCGTGACGCAGCAGGCGCCGGACCACGAGACGCTGATGCTGGTGCAGGCGACGCGGCGGCTGTACAAGCCGCTGCGGGCCAAGCTGCCGCTCGCGACGACGGTCGAGCTCAACCGGCGCTTGCTCGAGGGCTACGCGCGCTTCCGGCACGCGCCGCAGGTCGAGGCGCTGACGCGCTCCGTGCTGGCCTACAACCGCCAGCTGCGCGCGCTGGGCGTCAAGGACCACCAGGTCGAGTGGGGCGACGTCGGCCGCCGGCCCTGGCTCTTCGTGCTCGCCACGCTGCTGTACCGCGTCTTCTTCCTCGCCGCCCTCGTCGCCGGCACCCTGCCGTCGCTCGCCCTGTTCTGGCCCGTCTTCGTCACGTCCAAGGCCATCTCGGTCAAGAAACAGCGCAAGGCCCTCGCCAACTCGTCGGTCAAGCTCGAGGCCCGCGACGTGGTTGGCACGTGGAAGATGCTCGTCGCCCTCGGCCTCGCGCCCGCCCTGTACGTGTGGTACACGAGCGTCGTCTCCGTCTGGCTCGTCTTCTGCCGCGGCGGCGGCAAGCTGTGCGTCGACGCCGCCCCTTGGTGGGCCAGGGCCACGACGTGGGTGCCCGCCTGGCTGCCGCTGAAGCTGTTCGTGCCCGCCTTCTTCGCGCTGATGGTCGCCGTCACGTTTGCCGGGCTGAGGATCGGAGAGGTGGGCATGGACGTCGTGAAGAGCTTGCCGCCGCTGCTGGTCGCGTTGAATCCGTTCAGCAAGGGTGCGTTGGTGCGGCTGAGGGAGAGGAGGAGGCAGGTGGCGAAGGAGGTGGTCGAGGTCATTGAGAGGTTTGGGCCTGAGGTGTTCCCTGATTTCGAGGAACAGAGGTTGTTGTTCGCGAAGAAGGGAGAGGATGAGGACGTGAGTAGTGATGATGAGGGGCCGAGATACGACGATGGGGTGGTGGAGTCGGAAATGAAAAAGGACGTGTGATGATGGGGTTGTAAAGTATGGACGTTCACTGAAAAGCTTAGATACTCTGGGATTTCGTAGGCAGGAATACTCTAATAATGCTTATCACTCTACTTTGGGGTACTACTCCGGAGAAGATTCTTGTAAAGCTTCAGGAAAAAAAAAAAACCTTCGTCTGCCTCTATGAAGGGACACGGTTAAAGAAAGGCTTCTCACAGGAATAACCTCCAATTTCACATCCCAGCGCGCCGACCGCCTTATCGCCTTCACCGCCGTTCGAACCACTCTTGTGGCACTTATCTTGCTCTCCGTTCACCTTTAAGGAAAACCACGAGCTGACTGACCAGAAAAAAAAAAGGCAAAAAACCTGCGCCTGCCCATCTGAGCCGTAGCTCGGCGGACGGAGGGCTCTATGGCCCTCTTGGCAGGGAAAAACCCCCAAGCTTGCCCAAGGCTTCATTGGGATTTTTATTGTGGATAGGCAGCTGCTCTTTGTTTTTGTCCTTTTCTTTTTTCGACCTATCACAAGTGAGGTTAGCATGTTCTTTCATTTAAGTGGTAACTAGAGTAGTTACCATTCTGCCACGAAACCGTGGCAGTGCCCTGTGGGCGAAAGGGAAGGCTGACCTGTCGATTTATATACCTCACCTGGCTTCCAGATCTTCCGCCGAACAACTTCCACACCACCAGAACCAGAACCGCATATCCTTCCTGATCACACTCGTCGAATGAACCCTCAACGACCACGTGCGCCTGAAAAATATCTTTGTCGGAACTCACTCAAACCGTAATTTTCATTGGACGTTATTTTCGCATCTCAACCAGTCAGACCTACGCCTACTTGCTCTTCAAAGTCCTCTGCTTCTCCGCATCCCTCACAATCTTCTCCTTGATGAACAGACCCTTCCTCCTCCGCACACTCTCCATGTACCTCTTAGCCACATTCTCCTTGTCCGCCAACTCACCCAAATCCTCAATCTCCTCTTCCGTCCACGGCACCCAAAACGGATCCTCATCCAACATCTCGTAACCCACAAACACCAACTGCGGCTGTGCGGCACCGCTCGTCCTCTTGCGCATCTCCTCGCTGAAGCCGAAGCTCTCAGCGACGGGCAGCAGTGCGGTGATGCTGAAGAAGGGGGTGCCCTCCTTCATGGCCTCGCTGACGATGCGGCCGCGGCGGCGGGTGACGACGCCGTAGACGCGGCCGAGGACCTCGGTGCTGCACTGGATCTCGCAGCTGTACATGGCGAGCAGCATGCGCGGCGACCAGTCCTGGAAGCCGGCGTGCACGCCGCCGCGCACCGCCTTGATGACCTCGCCCGTCAGCCGCCCCAGCGCCGACCGGTCGCCCGCCGCGCCCGCGTCGATCTCGACGGCTTCGACCTGCACCGCGATGCCCTGCACCGGCTCGTTGCAGAGCGGGCCCTGGTACGTCGCCAGCTGGAAGGCGTAGGTGATCTTGTCGGTGAAGTCGTGCGGCGTGAGGACGTCGGTCGTCGAGGCGGGCGCGAGCGCCGAGTGGTGCTCGGGGTCGGTGGAGAGGCTGTGATGGTGTCTTGTTAGCGTTTCGATGTCCGCGGTCTCGCGCATGCTCCCACATGTCTTGGATAATGAAGACAGGGGATACTTACAGATGTGGCAGCACCCTCTGCCCGGTCTCATCAATCAGCAAATTCGGCCCTATCCGCCTGGGTCCAAAGGCCGCAATCTTCTCCGCGACGCCGGCCCAAACTTCGCTCTCGCCCTTGGCCTCGGCGAAGGCATCGAGAAGTTGTTTCCGGAAATCCTTGATGGTAAGGACGTTGCCGCCCTCGGTGACGTCAATGTCTGCCTCAAGTTCTTCCTTGCCCTCTTCTTCTTGTTCTCCTTCTCCCTCGGGGGCATCCACCACACCCTTCTTTTCTTCTTCTTCAGCGCGACGCTGGGCGTACAGCCGCTTGATCGCACCCGCGTTTTTCGCCAAGAACTCCGTGACAGGCGCGGGCAGCGGACGCACCCTCAGCCTAATCGTAACGTGCTTGCTCGTGGTGACGGCGACGACCGTACCGCGCGGTAGATCCTTGTTCTGCGGAGGGTTCATCTCGGCAGCAGCCACGATGCTCTCCCTGTACGGCACAATCGGAGCGCCAGCCTGGATCTCGCAGTGCGCGAAGCGCTCCCGCAGGTCCTTCAAGCAGCGCTCCAGATGCAGCTCGCCGGCCGTCAGGATGACGTGCTCGCCGCTCTCCAGCACCTCGTACTGCACGCACGGGTCGCTCTGGACCAGCAGCTTCAGGCCGGCCACCATCTTGCCCAGGTCTCCCGGGTTCTCTGGCTCCAGCGCGACGCGCACGATGGGGTGCGAGCCGAGGTTGACTCCCGCAAGGTTGACGCCGCCGTCGAGCTGGCTGCAGATGGTGCCGCTCTTCAGCACGTGCCCGGCCAGCCCGCCGATGCCGAAGACGCAGCCCGCCGGCACCGTCGTCAGCGGCTCCAGCCCGCGGCCCATGAGCAGGTACAGCGCCGTGATCGTCACCTTCTGCGGCTCCGGGCTGGCGTGCGCCGCCGCCGGCGTGAACTTGGGCGGCAGCACGTAGATCTCGTCGCCGACGCTGAGCGTGCCCGAGTAGATGCGCGCGAAGCCGATGAGGTGTTCGGGATCGACCTTTTGCTGCTCTGATTCACCCCCTTCTGCGTCCTGTGGCCCATCTTCGCTGATGACGGCTGTGGCACCGAAGGTCTGGGTCATGCTGGACACTTCGTCGTCGTCGGCGCCGTTCTGGAGAGCTTGTGCGCGTGCGAACTCGGCGCGCTTTTTGCGTGCGAGTTCCCGTGCTTCTTCTGCGCTCAGGCTGCCACCTCCGCGCCGTTTGTTCTCTGGCAGCTCGCTTTCTGGTACGGAGACCATCTTACTGACATAGGCAACAACGGGCGCTCCCTTCTCCTTCTTGAAGTTGACCATCGCGTCCTGAATCTTAGGATCAACGTGGTCTGCGCCAGGTGATTGCTCGACAAGCTCCTTCATCCGCGCTGCTTGGGCGGCTGGGGGCGATGGGAGAGACTCGATAACAGAGACCAGGACAGCGGTCGAAAGCGGTAACCAGGCCGCGAAGATGGCCATGAGGAGAGTTCGGGGATCTCGCGAACGCAGGATATGAGGCGGAAGGGTGAGGTTAAGACCTTTGGTGATCTTCTCGACCAGGGTAGAATCTCTGCATGAGACGAAAGAATAAGCTTCTGATTTCGCTATAGGAACCTATACAACGAACACAGGTGAGAAAGGAGAAAAGGAAATCCACGCACCCCTTCCCTTTGCTGCCGCCTGTTGTGGCTTCATAGACGGCCCAAACTTGCTCCAGAACCAGTTGCACGAAGATGGGCTTGAGCGCTCTCCCCTTCAAGTGTTTTGAGCCTAGGACTTTCTTTGTCTTGGGATCGAGATAGAAATCTCCCCACAGGACTTTCTCTAGCACCGAGCGCTTGATGCCGAGCTTCCGCTCGTACAGCGCAGCGAACTGCTTTACGGTGAACGCCCAGCCGTCAATGGCACTGCTGAAGATAACGTTGTTCTTCTCCGGTGCAAAGTAGATGTCCTCGTCATCCTTTTCCTCGTAGTCCGCGGTAGCTTCGCTAGGTACTTCGCTGCCATCGACCGTGTCGGCGCGCTCTTTTGCCTTGGCGCTGATGCGCTCGTCCATTCTTTCTCTCCATTTCAAGTCGTCTTCCATACGCTCACCTTGGAAAAAGCTGCCCATGACAGCGTTTACCTGTTCTAGCAACTTACTCAGATGGGTGTACGCTTCACCAGGGCTCATTTTCAGCTCCGTGATCAGACGATCCATCTTGTTGATGACAAGGAGAGGCTTCAGCTTCTCTACCCATGTCTGGCGCAGGACCGTTACGGTCTGACTGCACACTCCTTCGACCGCGTCTACCAGCACGACTGCGCCATCGCAGAGTCTCGAGGCTGTCGACACCTCGCTGCTAAAGTCGATGTGGCCCGGCGAGTCTATGAGGTTGATAAGGTTTTCCTGGCGCACCGGCTCGGCGTCGGGGGCGGAGCGGCGCATCAGCGAAAAATAGAGGGAAATGGCGGACGACTCCATGGTGATACCGCGCAGCTGCTCGTCCGGGCGCGAATCCAGGTAGCGGATCTTGCCGGCAAGCTTTGGTGATATAATGCCATTGGTTGCGATCAGGGCATCCGTGAGCGACGTCTTGCCGTGGTCCTTTCATGTCTCAGATGTGTCAGTGTGCTGGTCGGAAACGTCGTGGGTATCGCGAGGGAGGCACGGCTCAACGTACAACGTGGGCGAGGATGCAGATCTGGAGGAGACAGTCAGCAAAAGCGTTGAAAGAGGTGGATGCAAGGGCGCACGTTGCGGATCCCATCGTGGGCTTGTTGCAGCTCCACGAGCTTCTCTGCGCCGACGACGGGCATGGTGCTGCGGGCGCTAGGTCTGCGCAGTAGGTTAGGCGGGTGTGCGTGCGCTGGAAGTAATGCAGCGGAGAGCGCGCGCAAAAGCGGAGTTTTGTAGTAGGCAGCGGAGAGAAATGTTGCGCCCCGCTGTTGGTGTGGCGTGCGGCATTACAACGAATGGCTCATGATGTGTCAATGCGCCATGTACTATGCCGTCACGTCCCCGTATCGTGCAGCCTCGCTAGCTCACTTTCTCTCAAGCCCCTAAACAAGCAATATGCAGCACACGACTCTGTGACCGCGGCCCCGCCCAACGCCGTTGCCAAAACTCTACGCCTGCCCGCTGCCCGCGCCCTGCGCTGCGACTCCAGGCCAGATCACGCAGCGCCCTGTGAAAGTGCACCGCTCATGCCTTCCGTCGCACCCCTGGCACCATCTCCGCATTCGACAAGCTTCAAACATACTCGCACTCCGTGACAACGCAGCACGCCCATGCCCCCGTAGCCGCCTGCGATCCTACCGATACATCATACCCGCGCCTCCGCTATCTAGTCCGCACACCTTCTTCTACGCACACAATGGCCGACGTAGCCCCCGCTACTGCGCCGCAGAACATCCCTTCGCACCCTGCTGCTCCCATGCGCATCAGGACCGGCACGCCGCCGCCGCCCGATGAGGCCACGCGGAAGGGAGACTTGGGCCTGGGTGTCTTCTCGCCCGTCAATCAGAACGGCAGCTTCGAGTTTGACCGTGTGCTCAAGTCAGGCGAGTTGTTGAAGCGCACGAGGAAGACCAAGGTTCGCAATCACACCTCCCGCGAGAAAACCCGCAACAAAAATGCTAACGAATGCGCTTTCAGACCTGGAAGACCGTCTACCTTGTGCTGCGCCCGCATACCCTCTCCATCTACAAGGACCGCGACGAGACGCGCCTGCGCCACCAAATAGCCCTGAACGAAATCACCGCCGTCGCCCGCCAGCGCGACAATTCCAAGAAAGCCAAGCACGTCTTCGGACTTTTCTCGCCCTCGCGCAACTACCATCTTGCTGCGCTTTCTGATCAAGATGCGCAAGATTGGGTCGAGTTCATCCGCCGCGAGTCGCGCATCGACGAGGAGGAACAGGAGATGATCCTGGCGAGCCCGAGCGGAGGAGGCAAGACCGTGAACAACCGGAATCGCAGCGCAGAGCGCAAGGCACGGGAACAGCTCCTGTCCAGCTCGTCGGAGGGCGAAGGCCTCACCCGGCCGCCGAGTTCGATGCGCCCAGAAGATCTTCACAGCGCAAGGCGGCCCTCGCACACCTTCCCTTACTCGGGCAACGAGCAGGCCTCCTTTTCCGACTACTCCGATACGCCAGTCCCCACCGGATTCCGCGAGTCGACGCTCTCCTTTTCGCAGCCAAATGAAGGCAATGCTGGCGCTGGCTACGAGAGCTCCGTCAGCGGACGTCCGAGCCTGGGCCGAAACGTGAGCCAGATGAGCAGCGCTGGCGCCAACGCTGAAGCTGGTGGTGCTGGCAAGAAGTCAGACGATGAACGTGTGGTATGCCAAGGCTGGCTGTATATCCTCAAGTCGAAAGGCGGTGTTAGACAGTGGAAGAAGCTTTGGGTGGTACTCCGCCCCAAGTCACTTGGTCTCTACAAGAACGAAGATGTAAGTACCCTTTCACCCTCGATACCCAGATTAGACCGCATGATTCTAAATCAGTCCAGGAGTACTCTGCCAACCTCATCATCCCTTTCAACAACATCCTCAACGCTGTCGAAATCGACCCCATGTCCAAGACGAAACGTTTCTGCATGCAACTCATCACCGATCAGCGCAACTACCGCTTCTGCGCGCCTGACGAAGAGAACATGACAAAATGGCTCGGCGCATTTAAGAGCCTTCTCGCCAGACGCAAGGAGGCGGAGATGGCTCGCCGCGTCGCCGATGGTCAACCACAAGCGCCGGCGCCAGCGCCAGGTGCCCCGGTCCCCGGATCGAGAGTCGTGTCCGGCTCCAGCACAGCCAGCGGCCAGCGCGCTGCTGCACTACCAGTGCGGTAATCTAGCGCTTATAGTGAAGAGAACAAAACAAAAGAAGAAAAAAGCAAAAACAAACGTAAGCATGTGTTCATGAAGGATGCACGCCTGTACTACCACCGAACCTCCACAATACAGTGATCAAGGGCGCATTTGAAATGGCAGCCGGTCGCTTAACAAACTTTACGGATGAAGCAAATCACCCCGGTGACCTTTCTAAAGCGTCTTCTTGCTTTGACGGGGAAAATATGTTATCTGCTCTGTAATGCTGCTGCTTCTTTTTCTTCTTTAACTCGGACTTCTTTCTTCTTCGGAAGCAGCAAAGCACAAATATGATTTTACGATGGACCGATTGATTGATTAATTGATTGATTGAACGGGATCTGCAATTGATTTGAATTGCCGAAGTGCGCTTTTTTTTTACGGCGGAATATGCCTTGGACCAAAGCGCGCTTTGCCCTCTCCTTTACTTTTCTTACTGTCCCTTACGATAACAAAAGATTTCGACCTATATATAAATTGTAATATCACTTGTCAAGAAGAGGGCGGTGTTGGGACATTCCCATCATCCAGCCTTTTTCTTGTTTTTCTCGTTGAGCGAGGGGATTCGTTTGGCGCTTTATATTTAGCTTTTGTAATCAAACTGTAATATAATAATTCGAATTCACAATTTCCTTGGCGAAACATCCTGCGGTGCTTGTATTGCTTGTCGCATGATCGATCGGTTTGGAAGAGATGCGGATGAGAAATAAGCGCGCGGCAAAAGCAGCCATCGCTTGCTGAAATGGACATGAAACAAACCGTCTACTGGAAAATGAAGAAGGGGGCGTGCAGTGTTTTGGATATGAGTGTATTTCCATCTTCTATTCGTCCTGGGCTCAACATTTGGAGAAGAGGGCGAGAATGCAGATGGTCACCCTGCATCTGTTGGCGCATACACAATGCACCACCAGCGCGCTAGGGATCGGACGTCAGATTAGCGTTGGATCTCGGTCTAGGGGCGGGTCGACTCCAGTGAGCTGGGAATGGTGTCCCAGACTTTGAGTTGAGCTTACGTCGAAGATCAACAATCATCACTTCGGCAACAGGAGCGTTGGGCGTTTGCCGAGAGAAAACAAAACACGTCACGCGTTTGCGGCGCATTATTCGTATGGGAATTAGAGAATTATCATTTCCCTTATTTTTCGCATTCATCAAAAGAGTATCTGGCCTTACAGCAGGGGTGCATGGGGGTAATCAATCTTTAAGTGGGGAAAAAAGTCCGTATCAATGCCAGTCCTCAGAGTGGCATCATAAGTCGCAACCGAAAAAAAGAAATGACTTCCGGCCCAGGCCGCAAGAAAGAATGCCTATCGCCCATAAAACTATCCCATGTCCAGCTTAGTACCTGGGAGGGTAACCACCCTGACCCGGCGGCGGGCCGGGCGGGGGACGGCCGTAACCGCCCTGACCAGGCGGAGGACCACCGTACTGGCCGGGAGGCGGACCACCATAACCGCCCTGCGGAGGATAGCCCTGAGGAGGCTGGCCGTACTGGCCCTATCGTACTTGTTAGCAGATACCAAGTAGGTGATTCTCAGTTTAGCTTACCGGAGGCGGGCCACCGTAACCCTGAGGAGGGCCGCCATACTGGCCGGGAGGAGGACCACCGTAGCCGCCGGGCGGAGGAGCGCCACCGGCCTTCTCATCCTTGCGGTCGTAAGAGTGATCAATGGCACCAAGGAGGAGCTTCACAAGCCAGAGCTCAGGCGTCAGGTCAACAGGGGGGTTGGACCTGGCCATCTCGGCTGACTCGTTCTCGTAGTTGGACGTGCAGTCCACCAACGAGCCCACCTGAGGGTCCTGATCGAGTTTCGACAAGAACTCGCGAGCCTTCTCGTCGTTGCCAACCTGAGCGAACTGGAATTGAATGGCACCCGGTCCATATTGCGGCATACGGCCGAGCTCGGAGGTGGTGTTCCTGATAGCTTCGAAAACGGCATTCTGAGGCTCACCAGCGGGCTGGCCATCAGTAATGGTGATGACGAGCACAGGCTTGCGGAGCTGGCCAGCGCGAGCTTGGCGGAGAATCTCATCCAGAACGCGCTCCTTCAAATGCGTGCCCATGGGAGTGAGACCCTTGAACTGAATCTGGGACATGAGCTGCTCAATCTGCTGCTCAGTCTTGATATGCTCGGTCACCTGCGGCGGAGGAAGGGAGTTCATGAAGCGGACGGAAATGCCATCATCGTCGAACAGGGTAGCAGCGTAGGAAACGCGCTCCAGGATGAGCCTAAGGTCCTTGATGCGCTCGCCGTTCTCTTCAAATTGCATGGAGCCAGAGTCATCGATGTAGAGGAAGATGTCAAACAAGCCGAGCTTGACAACGTCATTGCCAATCTCCTGGGGCAAGCGCCAGCGCTGGCACAGCTGGGCGATCTGGTGCGAGGCGCGCTGGGCGAGCTGGTCAAGAGCAGGCGAGTTGGGCGGGTAGAAGTTCTGAAGGTTGTTCTCCTGCACAGCGGCCATGAGGGTCTGCTTGTAGGCTTGCACCTGGGCGGGGTTGGGCGGGCCTGACGGGGGCGCGCCGCCCGGAGCGCCGCCGGGGGGAGGGCCGCCATACTGAGGTTGGCCGGGAGGACCACCCTAAAACAATAAAGCGTTAGCCAATGTACTTCAATTGAGCAAATCGTGTATGCGCCCGACGAACATATCCACCATAGCCCGGGCCCTGGTTGTATTGTGGTTGTCCGTATGGTTGTTGCTGTCCGAACGGCGACTGAGGTTGTCCGTACGGCTGCGGGGGCTGGCCATATGGTTGCGGCGGTTGACCGTAGGGTTGCGGGGGCTGTCCGTAGGGTTGCGGCTGCTGTCCATAGGATTGCGGCTGTTGTCCATAGGGTTGCGGCTGTTGTCCATAGCCTGGCTGGGGAGTAGGCGCACTTCCTGCAGCCGCAAGCCCGGGTCTGCTGGACGGCGGTGGAGGAGGTGGCGGCCTGCTGTAGCCGCCCTGCTGTTGACCAAACGGCGTTGATGGTTGTTGGCCAAAGGGAGACTGGGGCGGCGCTTGAGTGTAGGGCGAGGCGGGTGGAGGAGAACCGTAGCCTTGATAGGGTTGGGCGGGAGACTGTGGCGTGTAGGCGTTAGGATTGTATCCAGGCTGCGGCGGTTGCTGTGGGTACGGCGGTTGCTGGGGCGCGCCGTAGCCTCCTGGGTAGGCCTGGTAGGACATGGCGCGACGTTTGCAAATGGTGCGCCGTCAAATGTCGAGCCAGAGAGGGGGGTAGGACGTGGAGGTGTGTCCGACAGTGGTGGTGGTGAGGTGTGCGGAATGTTTTGGCGTCTGAGTCGCAACCAGGGCTCCGGGCCGAGCGATGACGAAGGCAGGCTTGGAGGGGCAACGAAAAAAAAGCTCACGGGACGCTTACAGGAGGAGCAGCACCGCCGGGAGCGCCGGGGGTGTAGGGTTGGTACGAAGGCGCACCGGGCTTGCGACTGGGTTAGCGTGCGTGTCGCACAAGGCGCAGCATTCGGGCAGGAACGCAGTGGCAACTCACGTATCCGCCAGGTTGCTGGCCGCCGGGGGGAGGATAGCTGCCGCCGGGCGGGCCTCCAGGCGGAGGGCCGGCAGCAGCGAGCTTGGATGCGAGCTGGAAGGCGGATTTTCGTGTCAGCCTGATGGTATGACCTCACAGCGGGGTAAGGAGGGGCAGCTATCGCAAGCTTCGCGCGCGCTGGGCTGGGTTGCACTTACACCCATCGTCGACGAGAAGAGGCTGAGGCGGGTGTGCGGAAGGTGAATCAATTGAGGAGGATACCGGGTTCTAGAAGGCGTGTGCAGGTGGAGGTACGCAATATATGTTGCGTGGAGAAATGGAGCTCAACCAGGCAGATGCTGACGCCCGAGCTGAGCCCCGAGCCCCTGCCAGCTTCCTCACGCGGGCCCCGCCATGCCCAGAGCGGCAAGGGCGTCAGCGCCGCCTTCCTCTGCGCCACACCCATTGTGATTGCGTGACATCGTCGCTGCAACTTCACCTTGCATCGCCGAGGCACAGCCCGCGGGCGCCTGCTTGTTGCCCTTCCCAATCCTATCGCTCCCGGCTCCCTCCTACCGGCATACGCGGTGCTTCCCCACACTGTGGATCGTCTAAGCCATTGCAGCGGCTATCCGGCAAGCTCGGCCACCACCAGCCCTAAGGCATACCTGGCCTAAACATTCTTCGACACGTCTGCTGCTTCGTTGTTCCAAAATCATCATGTCAAACAGAAATTCTGTCGATAGACAAAAGTTGTGCAATAATTTCTCTATCCCAACGGGGCTGTGTCATGGCGATGAAATTCGCATTTCCTCTAAAGACTCCTCCAGAATGAGGCGCAGTATCAGGTAGAGCTGTTGTTCATCCTGTCTTGCTAATGGAGGAGAATGCATCAACTAGCAACATCTCCATTTGTGACCAAGGAGCCCTTCTACGGCAGTTCTGATATCCTTGCCAGTCAACATTCCGTTACGGCGTTTTTGCGCTAATGGCTTGACCATGACCTCTCTGATATATTCGTCGATCTCTTCGTGTAGATTCATCTGTGCGTGGCCATCTCGACTGATCGAATTAAGCTGCACACGTCAGCTCTAAACCGCTCCCAGCAACAGCAGGGAATGACTCACATCAAGCCTTCTCCAAACAACAGGCCTGTACCCCGGGAACATGGCCTGATAGTGGATGCGACCCTCTCGCTCAAAAGCAACAATTCCTGCAGCCCCGGGCCACAAGCCATGCTCGTCTCTTTCGTCGGCTTCCACGTTCCGTGCTCCATTCCGTTCCCTGTCCGCAACAAGGCTGATATAGACCTCCCACCTGTACATCTTTAGCTGACATATGAGCTTAAAGCGTGCAAGGTACGCGGCATCGTCTCCGAGAGCGGCGAGCCAGACTTTGAGAAGGCCCAGTTGCGCCTTTCCGTACGGAGCTTTCCTAACATCGAATTCCCAGCGCACCTGGGCGAGATGGCGCGCCAAGGCCTCGCTGCGCATCTGCTTGTTGATGAAGCAAGTGACAGGTAGAGGAATCGGGCTATGCTTGGCATGTTGTGTGTGGCCACGTTCAGTTGTGAAGTCATAGACCTTATCGCGGAGCTCTCGCGGCAGAGACATCAGGTCGCGCTTATCGTGCCGCTCAATGCTCAGCATTGGTAAAGTGTGGACGGGGTCATTTGGAAGTGAATCCATCTCAAAAAACACGATTGTTTTCGAAATCACATATTATACAAGAATAGGTTTGTGTTTTGGTCAGTTGCTCGAGAGACGAGTGGGCCCCGGACATGGGAAAGAGCTGATGTTGATAAGGCACACTGGCTCAATTCCACAAGTCATGGCCTCGGACAAGCGGCGCCGAAAGTCGTTGCCGATACCAACAACTCATCTCCTCACGCATATTCTATTTTTTCGCTTGTGACACTGCAATACAAATGGAACAACCCTAGAGACGGCCAGTACAGCTTTTGTTGTAGGAATGTATACTAGTAAAGGTGCAGATACCACACAACAAGTCCCGACGTTGACACTCCGCTTGAACCAACGTTCTCTTTCCCCGACTGCCAGCCCTTCACGCATGAATTCGACCGGTATATTTACTTGGACTCGTAAGGCTTCGCGGCTCCCTTGCCTGACAGGCCAAAGTCTGACATGTGTTGTTGAATGCAGAAAGGAGCTCAATCAAGCGCTTTCCGTCAAGGAAGCCGATCTGCTTGAGGTGCTCCATATCGCGATAGAGCTACCAAATGTGAGCTTCAAGGACGCTTGCATCTCCAAAGCGGTAGGAAAATGAGAAATCGACTTCAGCACCACGTTCTTCATCGGGCTTTCGAACCTTGTCCGTCAGAGTGATGTTTACCTCGACCAATGCGGAGAATGAATCATCTACGAAGATATTGAAGATTCTCAAGTATCGCGCAGCCTTTCCGATAACCTTTAACCTTCGTTACGAAACAATTTGTTTCCATGTGCGGCATAGTGGCACGGTAAGAAGGTATTGACGTCACTGACGTAAGTGTGGCTTAATAATAACGCGAACACCACCATGAGGCAAATACAGGCATGTTCGGGGGAAAAAGACGCGTGAAGTACTCCATCAGTCTCAAGAAAAGCTAGCTTCTCTACCAGCTGATATGTTTCGGTCTGTACCTACAATGATCAAGGAAGCCGCTCAGCGGCTACCTTCGATTGATGAAAATGCCTTCGGCGCTATGTTTGATTCCTTTGGACAATCCCGCGTTGTCCTGATTGGCGACGGAAGGTATCCATTGCACTTTGTCCAAAGCAGTACAGAAATGACCGCACCAACAGCCACGGCACCTCCGAGTTCTACCGCGCGAGAGCTGCCATAACACAACGCCTGATCACCCACCATGGCTTCAACATCGTCGCCATCGAAGCCGACTGGCCAGACGCCAAAGTAGTGGACCGCTACGTACGGCACACACCTTCCAAGTCCACCAACCAGTCGCCCAGAGACATGGGCGTCTTCGACCACTTCCCGCGCTGGATGTGGCGCAACACCGAAGTGCAGTCATTCGTGCACTGGCTCCGGCGGCACAACGCTGCGCTTCCGGCCGAGCAGCGCACCCAGATCGCCGGTCTGGATCTGTACTCGATGGGCACGTCGATCCGGCATGTACAGGACTATCTCAGCCACCACGACCCGGACCTAGCCGCGCTCGCCAAGATGCGGTACTCGTGTCTGGAGCCGTGGGTGGACGACCCGGTCGTTTATGGAAGGACTTTCGCTAAGGGCGTGGCGCCGTGCGAGAAGGGCGTCGTCAACATGCTGCGTGACCTGTTGGAGCGGCGGCTCGACATTGATGGGCAGGATGACGGCGATGGCTTCTTCGATGCGGAGATGAATGCGCGCCTGGTGCGTGATGCCGAGAAGTACTACCGGGCCATGTTCTACGGTAGTGACGCCAGCTGGAATCTGCGCGATTCGCACTTCTTCAATACTCTGAACCGTCTGCTGCAAAATCGTAAGAGTAGAAATGGGGGTTCTCCAGCCAAGGCCGTTGTGTGGGCGCACAACTCACATGTCGGCGATGCGCGCTTCACGGACATGGGTGAGAGCAGGAAAGAGCTCAACATGGGCCAACTGTGCAAGGAGCAGTGGGGTGCCAGCTGCACCATCATCGGCTGCGGGACGCACACAGGCACCGTTGCTGCCGCGCACGAGTGGGATGATCCTATGGAGGTCATGAACGTCAAACCTTCACGCGCGGATAGCTACGAGCGGCTGATGCATGACACTGGGATGCCTTCATTCATGTTGGATCTGCGCAAGGGTGTGCTGAACGACGGACTGAGGAAGGAACTGATGAAGAAACGCTTGGAGAGATTCATTGGCGTGATTTACCGTCCATACACTGAGCGCTGGAGCCACTACTCCACCGCTGTCTTACCCCGTCAGCTAGATTGCTTTGTCTGGTTTGACGAGACGGAGGCGGTGCACGCGTTTGAGACGGCACAGCCTGACGAACAACCATCCGCAGGGGAGACGTATCCATTTGGCTTTTGAGACATTTTAGAAAATATTTCCAGAGAATTGTACATTCCTTGTCATAGCAGTGCTGCCACTATCCTTAATTTTGTGAAGTATCAAGCTGGGACGGAATGACATAGCTCTCCCAAGCCGTGATGGAATCTGAATACAGAACGGACGCCGTCCACGTCGCTCTTATCTCATGGCCACCGTGTGAGGTCCCCATTAGCCATGCTTCTTCAGCCAGCTGTGTGTTGCCAAATGCAAGAGCCTGTGCATGCTATGGAACTCAATTTGTTGTGGCTGCTCCGAGTAGCGTCTTGTAGCAAATGCATGTACAGTCAGTGTACCTGAGTATATTAACTGACTACGCTGTATTAAACCTTGACAATCGGGTTCATTCCAGTACTTTTTTGCCCCTTAGGAGGCCTACGTCATCGGCGTGACGTACTGGGTACGGCCAAGCTTTACCTATTCGGCGTCGCTGGACGACTGTTCCTTAACTGTTTAAGCTTCTAAACCATTATCTAAGATAAAATGGTCTGGCTGCGGACGACAAACCCGTAGGAGGAGGCTCTGTGAGAGGTTTGCGAGAGAGTGTGTGTGCACGTGCACTGGAGCTAATCGCGTCCTACACTAGAAACTTTCTACCAAGGACATCTAAAGACGGGCCGAGGAGGAATACTACTTCATCGGAGCGGCGCCCGCATCCGTTGCTGGCTCGTTATTGTTGCGGCTTATTATTCCGTAAACCCACTGGGCGGCTATCGCGCGTTTCCGTCGGGCCCCCGCTGGAGACACGGTTCAGAAGCGCGTATGCAGCCACCCAGCGCGAGCAACCATGGACGACCAGGACCACACTGGATTGTCGGAAAATTTTACCGTAAGGGATGAGTAGAGAGCCCGCAGGTCGTCTCTTCATCGGCAAATCCGATCGCTTTTCCCTGCTCTATTGCTTTCGTGCGGAGAGATTGCCAGGTTGGGCATGTCATGCCTTCCCCCCCACTCTTTTTTTTCGTTTAGAGAATGAGAATCACGAGAATAGTGACTGTCGCTTAGCCAGTCTCTGTGGAGTAGGAGAGGATAGGCTCCTATGAGAGCTTAACGAGGCGCCACTCGACGCAAATGATGTCAGCGCTGATTTAGACCAAGCAGTGCACGACGGCCCGGTTTTTCTTGCCACAGACATTGCTTTTTCGTGGCCGTGAGGGATGAATCGCTGGATATGTTACATGGCACGAAAACCATAAGGTCACAAATTCTCGGCGACGTCGTCACTGTGGTGCAATACTGTGTGGCTGACGTGGAAATTCGATCATCGTGAAAACTGCGCATCAAAGCCACTATGGTCGGGGTGTGACGTCCGCGTAGGCAGACGATCCACCTCACTCGTGGAAAGTGGTGGGGAGGTGGACAGCGCTCCGCGAGCTGCGCGCTTTGATGTCACCGGTAAGCAGAGGTGACCAGACAGGGTATAGAGAGAGAGATCCTCTCCTGGCAGGCTCAGATACCCAATGTCCGTTTAGCCGAGATGGAAATCCGATATCGAGATCCAAAGATTACGCAAATATGTTGTCGCTTCGGAGATAGACCCCGTCTCCCCGTCGGCATGGAGTACCGGCTCCGGTACCCGGTTTATATATGGGCATCCTCTCCCATTTCGTTGACAGCAAGCCGTACAAGTCAGCATTGATCACCAATCCGCATGGAAATATCTATATCATTGCACTTGCCCGTGTAATGTACGCTACGGTGCGTCGGATATGTTCTGTTTGTTCAAGAATTTGTGGACCGCAGCATTTAGAAAGAGACGAGTTAACTGCACTACAGCTTGGACGCCTACCCAACGTCTTTACTGGATGGAATTTTATGACGACCGCACGGTTTGGGCCTCCTATCGTCGCAGTGGTGTTACCTGAGGCTTACATCCCACATTCCAACGCTCGGCGAGGCTGAGCTCGATTAGAGAGACGCGCCACCCGCTTTCGACTGCTGCATCCGCAGTAGCTGAGGCATGCGCAAGCTCTGCGGCATCTTGGAATCCATCAGCGATGAGTTGGCGCACAGACTCGCTGATGACTTAGGTCAATAGTCATGCGAGCAATGAAGCCTTCGACCTGCCCGGGCTGTCATAAACCGGTATAATAACTGGCCGACACCACATTGAACATCAGCAATTGGGTTTATTCCAGTTATCTCGCCCTCGTGGAAGCCCGCGGTACCGGCGTGGCGTCGTGGATGAGGTCGAGCCTTGCATTGATAGAGTTGTAATGCGGCTCTCCAGGGCAGATATGCGCTGGGGGCCACCATCGGCACCGGATATGCAATCCACACCAGGAACTGCACACAGACAGGGCGTTGCCGTCGCACTGCGGATGCAAGCCTAGGAGAGGACTTGGACCGATGACTGGAGCTTACTGGCGTTGGTAAGTGACAGCAACGACAACTCCATGCTTGGCCTGGCTGGATTTGCGGTAGCGGCTCAAGTCAGACTCGATCGGCGGTGGGTGTACAAGGCTCTGTATGGGCTGAAGAGAAGACGACATTTACATTTCAGAGTGGAGCGTGCGACGCTGGTCCACGGGCTAGAAGCCTGTTGCCTCAGTAGGGTGGATCGGAATAGACAACCTGCCTTATATGCCACTGATGGACGTGGACCACTTCGCAGGAGGACGGAAAGAGCTAGGGAGCTAAACCAGGGTCGCCTGTCAGTCTCAAATATGCAGTGGAAGTTGGGGAGCACTGGCATAGGACGAGGAAATTGCCACCGGACGGAGTATACTCCGTAGCGCCGACCTGGACTTCTTCCTCTCGCACGACACGCTTCACCGTGCCACATCGTACTGGAGTAATTGGCTCGCTGGATCTCCGTCTAAAACCCGCATCTCGCGTCTGTGGGAGTTATCTCCTGTCCAGAGAGGGCAGCCTGAGCCTGTTGACGCTCTCTTGATGAAGAGCAAGGCAGCGGAAACGATTCCGAACAGACACCATCCCGCATTCAGCACCTCGTGCGCGTGCATTTATGTCCCGGACAAATGACTGCATTCTTGGTGGGTTGGCTTTAAAACCTGTTTTGGCACGAGAGTTCCCATCTGGATGGCCTCCATTTGGACTTTCTACGCTCATTGGCTCATGGCAGCGCGATGACGTCTAGTACTCCGGCCGGCAGTGCTGTGCCGAGCCTACCAGGAACCACGTCTTATAATCTGGGTGACTTCCGTCTATCTCGCGGCCTCGGATACCACTCCGCCGCCGCCGCCAGATGAAGCTGATGACTATGCTCCCACAAACCAGCCGGAACGGATTATATAATTCAGCTGGAATGTCTCGTCCTCATCTACGTATGCTGCATAACAAAGATTAAGCGGATCACTCACGCCTTGGACTCGTTACTGTTGCGCTCCGTAGCTTCCGATGAAGCACGCAGAAAGTGAGTTCCTAACATCTGAGCATTATGGATATCTAAATAAAGAGAAACAAAGTCCTCAACTTCAACAACGAAACTAAGTCATGTTATGCCCATGCGAATCCACACATTCCATCGACGTCAATGTTAGGACCGCATCATAGGAGAAATGACTTATGTTTAAACTGGCCCCAGAATAGGGGAACGAACGGAGAAGGCTACAACATGGGAGACGCTAACACGGGCGGCGGTAAGTTGTCGCGCACTCTGGTATGTACCTGTTCCGCCTCACGTCTCACGTAGTCGTCGATGGGACGCGATCCACAATCTGCATGGCCGAGGACCAGCTCTTTCAGCGTGTAGACGGTATCATATAGCTCAGCCAGCTCTTCACGGAGAAACTTGTTGCGCGCCGAAAGCTGGCGGTGCTTATCCTCCAGTCTGTCGATCCACTCTCGTTTCTTCTTCCGGCACCTGTTCGCAGCCAATCGGTTCTTCTCCAGGTTCACCTCTCGCTTGGCTCGTGTCTTGGCTGTCTCGCCCCGATTTTGCCTTGTGGCCCTGCTACGGCCTTTACGCTTGCCCGCTGCTTTAGGAGGCTCACATAAGGCGGATGTCGTCTGCGGGCTGCTGGCGTCCTCGCATGGAAGAAGACTGTCCCGACGTGCCGAGTCGCTGCCCGCATCAGCGAGAATATCGGTACCCAATGTCACTTGTTGGATATGCGCCGCAAAATCGTTCCCGGAAGGGGCTTGAGAAGGATTGGATGGCTGGGACAAGGCGGTATCGAAGAAGCTGGTCAGGGCGTCGGAGAGCAGCGTTGGGTCTTCGAAGTTGCGCTCCGTATCGAAGTTAGGCCCAAAGGCTAGGGACCGGTCCACGATGGACGTCATCAGTACCTCAATGTGCTGGGACGACGGAGGTGGTTTTGAAATGAGACCGGCGTGGCGAGATTCGTGTGCTGGTGAGAGCTACTACTAAGGAGACACAGCGTGAGATAAACCGTTTGTGGGAATGCTGGGTGGCGAGACGTCTTCAGCTAGGAGAGTAGGGGCAAGGATAAGTTGCGTGGAGGTGACGCCAGCAGGTGGCAGTCTGCAAGCGGGAATGATGCAAGGCGATAGCAGCCCCGGGGTAGGCGGGGCTCCCTGCGTCGAGAATTCTGCACATCGCCTGCTCTGGACTAACAGCCGAGAAACTGGGGTATTCGCGTGGGACAATGGCTGCTGGCAGTAAGCACGCGTCCTCCCGAGCGCTGCGGTGACAGGTTTTCTCGTCGCGAGAAGCGCTGCTGAGAGGTGGAAACAATAACCGGGATAAGGCGCGTGCGTCGGAAACCACTCCGAACCGTAAATGTCCACCAGGTAGGTCACCCGTCCAGCAAGTCATCCCGTCCGTCACTCTCGCCTCCCATTCACGCGTTATGAGACGCACTGGGCTGAGATGGACTGATGAGAGGCATGAGAAGAGACACCTTTTGCTGGCTACCAAGGATCCCGTAGCAGCCGCCCCATAATCCCGTGCGGCTCATCACCTGGCGAGATACAACACATTACCGGCCTCACAGACAGCACCGATCGTTCCTTGACACGTCTCCAATCGGAACATGTACCGCAGCGCACCCTGCCCTACACCAACCGTTGCGCCCCATGAACCCACTCCATGCGGCTCTTTGTTTAGGCCCGAGACGCATAGTTGCGTAACTATGAGCCTGATGTAGCCTCAATCGCAATGCAAGGCCGGCTCTCAGGCATCGTTCCAAGATCGATGACTACTTGCATTTCGTTGATCGCTAGCTGCCCCCGTCGGCTCACAAGCTGTACCTTCCAGCTTCTTGCTTTGATTGGTCCGGATATAAATCCCATTGGACTGGGTGGGGCATGCCACCTTCACCATTTCGCTAACAGATCCCTCCCAGGAGTGATAGACGGTCGGCAGTCTCTGCTTGGCTCCGCCTACATGGCCGAGCCGCCTGAACGCATGGGCTGTCTTAAGTATCTGTTTCCCCCGATCGTCTCACCCTCCATCTGCCGTACGCCATTGGCCTTGGACGGCCAAGAACGGCATACATGCTGGTCATTACCAGGTCACTTCTCGAAGAACATGGCCCATCCTTCTTGGTAGTGAGGATCTGGACCCTTGTTCCTTACGTCACTGACTCAATTTGCCGCACGTCCGCCTGCCCCACCATTTTCCTTGGTGATGTACACTGTCTGGTGAGCCGGATCCTACAAGGGGGCGGCGCGAAGCCTCGCTCTCATCTCCGCAATCGTCTCCTTCTCCACTACTTTTCCATTCGCGATGGCCAGTTGGGAATTTTGCTAAGACGAGTGGCCGTGCCCTCCATGGTCGTTGGGGAGCCGTCACCTTGCCCGGGAGCCAACATCATAAGAAAACCTCTCCAACATCCGGGGAAATCTATTGCTATGGTCAAACCGTGTCAAAAAGCCATCGAGTCCGTCGTCGTGAGAGCCAACACAACTCCCTCTCAAGGCATGCTCCTTATCGGTGATCATTCGGAGCTTGCTACCACTCCGACTCGATGACGCCGGATAAGCGGCATAGGTGAGGGGGGTAATGTTCACCAGCAGCCCACAATCCTAAACCTTAGTAGGCGAGATGTTCGCCTTCCATCGGTCATCTCGATCCATGTACAATTTTGCGGCCCAGAGATTTCACCTCGGGGCTATACCTTATGAGGGACGGTCATGGCGACAGAGTTTTGCCGACTCAAGATGGCTCAATGGGTATTCTCTCCAGTCAGAGAAAAGGTATGGGCTCAGTCCCTCCATCCTCTCATTACGTTTGTTCAGATGGAGAGATTATCTGAGCCTAGAAAAGCGTTCGTCGCAAACTAGTATTCTCTCTTACAGTGTTCACGTTATGGATCGGTGTGAATTAGTATTCTAACACGCTCTACCTACAAAATAAGGCTGTTAAAGAGAGAAGAAAGTAAAGTAAAAACACAATTGAATAATAACACGGCGAAACAATATTCCTTGCAATGAGTCACGTGCGTATGAATTCGACGAAAATAGTTTACGGCTTCCCTTACGAACGCGTACTCTCCAGTTTCAATTTAGCTTGAGTATTAGAACATGTTACATTCATCAACAGGTGCCGGTTCCCATACGTGCCATTGGCAATGGATGGGACCTGGATGCATGGTGGGTTATGGAGCTGGTCCATAGACTCGCATTTCGGCTGCCGAAGTCTTCAAACGGACGCATTCAAAACAGCCAATATGCTTTTACGAATGAGGACTCTCTGCTGGAAGCTCTTCGTAAAGGTTCACATTCACGTAGAAAGCTGAGCATCTGCGATGCGACATCCCTCAGGATCAATTACACTTCGACCTTGAACTGGAGTCTTTGTAAAATAGAGAGTACCAAAAGCGGATGTTGTGCGCATTGTTGAGGGCGAGATCGGGTGGGTAGTCCATCTTTGTGGCACGGACTGTATCGGAGGAGAGGTGGGTTAAAGTGGGGTTATTCCGATGAGTATAAGAATGTGAGTGCGTCCCGTGAACTTTCTATGAGGATGGTCAAGTTGATACTGGACATAAATTTCATCTGAACGATGCGGGGAGGCTTAGCCACATAGGCTTTGATGACTTTGAAAAGTGAAAGACCCGTGATGAGAGGAATTGCCCGGTCTGGAGTGCTGTGTGTTGAATATTGACTCAAAGAGGCAAGGATATTGTGTAGGAGACTAGAAGAAAGGGAAGAGAATTAACTATTAGACTATAGAATAACGACTGGATATTTATGTACAACAAAGTGAAGCCTGAACACGTGACTAGCATGTGACTTGCTACTTCAACACTGTGCACTGTGCTGGCCAGCCTGGAAAATGCCATGCTGTTGGAAAAGGTCACAGCGTAAGCGCTCATTGCACCAAAGTGGACAAGCACGTCCATTTACTATTCCATCGAAATTCCAATGCGAGCTCCCAAAGTAGGCTAAATACAGCTCTGCATTTGGATGGCCGCTTGGATAAATTCGAATTCCTGAAATGGCCAGAATACTGTAAAATGACCACGGATAAAGCAGCAGAACCATGTCGGACTCATATCCCTTCTTCAACAATGTAATCACTCATTCATTATACTCCGAGCTCCGGATGCAGCCCATCTGGCTTCCGCTGACGAAAGAAAATTCTCAATTAGTCAGCCTTGCCCGAGATCGAGCGCCAGATGGCATCCATGGCGGTGACGACCTTCTCTGGCAATGGTCCCTTCGCCACGGCTTCCACATTGGAGACAAGCTGCGCCGGCTTGCTCGCACCAAGGATGACACCGTCCTGTGCACCGAGTGCAGAGTGGAAACAGATCCAGCGCAGGCTCGCTTCGATTTTGGAGATGCCGAGGGATTCGATGATGTCGTTGAGGCTGGCTATGGCATTGTGCATCTCTTCCTTGTCGTACTGCGCTTTGTAGGCCTGTCCCATTACGTTTCCATCTGCGAAGCGGGTGCCCTCTGTTTCGTTGGCCGTCAGCCGGCCGGTGAGGAACCCTCCGGCGAGAGGACTGCGGGCGGCAGAGTCAGCTGGGAAGGTCTGAGGTGCTACGAATACTCACCTGAATGCGTTGAAAACAATGCCATGCTTCCGGAGTGTGGGAAATAACGCATCTTCGCTACCCCGGCAGACGAGGTTGTATTGGCCTTGGTAGACACTCGGCTTGATGTAGCCTTTGCGATCGCAGATCTCGATGAATTCTGAGAGCACTTCGGGCGAGAAATTGGATACTCCAAGCTACCGTAAACTATGAGTATTTGACTCTAGACATGTGGTATAAGGTGCATACCTGCTTGAAGAGGCCTTTCTCATACTGAGCCTGGAGTGCAGCAGCCTGTTCTTCTAGTGGCGTCTGGTTGTCCGGTCTGTGGCAGTACAACACATTCACGCGAGCCTATTGTATCGGCATCAGTAGCAATATGTGGGGCTAGGCACATTTCTGACGGACATTCTCTAGCTTTAGCCGCTCATAACTTCCTTGGAGCGACTGCTCAATCGCCGCCGGCGCCAAATTACCGGAGCCATCTCCGGAAGCCAGGATTTTGGTGTCGATTGTGAAGCCCTGGTGAGCGGCTCCAGCGTCACCGAGAAGTAATTCCGAGGTTCCAGGGCTTGTTGGAGGATAGCGGGCGGCCGTGTCGATCTTGCGGATTCCAAGTGACTGCAGAGTCGAAAGCAGCTCTTTGACAGCTTCAGGAGTTGTGTAGGTGCTTCCAATAGAAGCTCCACCAAAGATAAGGACGGGCCGGTTTGACATGGTGTTGAAGATGTTACTTATTGTGTGACTTGTGGCGTGGAGGGAGAACAGTAAGTTCGGCGTGGAAAAAGAAAAAAAAAACGGAATTGCATGTAAGCAAGTAGTTACGGCTGTTGCTTACATTTTAAGCGTCAGCCCAGTCCCACCCCCACGTCTTGTTCGCTTGGTAATCATCCTCTTGCTTGCAACCCAATAGCACAACACCATGGATTTAGCGCGCCCCGGCGGATGTTGTAGGATTCCGTTCCGAAACATAATTACTACTCACACGTCTCTAGGTTTTAACATCACCTTCTGCATAACTCTGCTTCTCGCGGAAAATTTTCTCCATTTTTCCTATACTAACTGTCGAATTACTTACTATTTTAGAATCGATCGGAGATGGAAATTACGTATATATTGTATAAAGCTATTTGCAAAGAATTAAAAAATCTTCTGATAAGTAGTCCTCCGGGAATGTTTTCCCACGAGGCCAGCATCTTGCCGATTGATTGCTCTATTTACTTGGTTTGCTCCTTTGTTGCTACCAAGCCAGTGTTTCTTCCCGATTGGGTTTAGCTTAGTCCGTTCGGCAGTGGTTCATCACCACCACTCGCCGCATTCACTGATTGGCATCTTTTCACACTACTCAGATTACTGCAGCTTACTACGGTGACAAAATCAAATTGCCTATAGCAATCTCTTTTCATTTGCCGAGTTAGAAACAGCCATCTGTTTTTAACTTGGCCCGGTATTTCCTCCAAGCACACTTTATCCGGGCGCTCAAACTTCCTGATGGGGCTAACTATGAAATTGTATCAGCAAGGTACTCGCACAGCCAATCAAACAATAGCTTCAAGTTTTCAAATTATACAATATCCATTGAATGGGCACTACTAGTCCCCAACCTACGCTTGCTACAGACATGCGCATTTTGTTATTGGTCATTCTTGTGAACAAATTAAGTTGACTCTACGTCCACGGCTAGCTATTCTAGAGCCGAGGGAGTGGTCACGAAATATCGGAGGAGAAGTGGGTTCAAGTGGGTTTTATTCCGATGAGTATAAGGACACGAGCGGGCCCCGTGGACTTCTTTCGCCAACCCTCATGTTGCTCTTTGAGAAGTGCTTCTGCGCTACCAGAAGCCCCCTTTCGCTCTATTTCTGTAGTACTTAAACAATGGCTGCTTTCTGTGCACGCCAACTGCGTAGCAGTAAGTGTCTACATCTTTCATGACGTCTGATTTAGTACTTCGCTGACGGCAATAGCGCTTATGGCATCTGGCCGCTGGAGCGCTAGCTTTCCTCGAGACTTGCTTTTTGTCAGACCTTTCAGCCAAACATGCGTGCAACATCAAACACTACGGCCTAAAGATGGCCCAGCGCCGAACACGTCTACAGCATTGAGTCCTGAACGCAAGAAGATGAACGTGGCGGAACATGTTTTGTATGCATACAAACCCAAGCGCCAGTCTCTGGCGAGACTAACATACTCAGGACTACACTAGACCAGATCACGAACTGGGCACGTCAAGGCTCTTTCTGGCCTCTGAGTTTCGGTCTCGCCTGTTGCGCAATCGAGATGATGCACGTATCCATGCCCCGCTACGACCAAGATCGCCTCGGTATCATCTTCCGGGCCTCGCCTCGCCAGGCGGACGTCATGATAGTGGCGGGGACAGTCACCAATAAGATGGGTCCAGCACTGCGCCAATGTTATGATCAAATGCCTGACCCGAAATGGGTGATTAGCATGGGCAGTTGCGCGAACGGTGGAGGTTATTATCACTACAGTTATAGCGTTGTAAGAGGCGTGGATAGGATTGTACCGGTGGATATCTACGTTCCAGGATGTCCACCGACACCGGAGGCACTGCTGTATGGGGTGTTCCAGCTGCAAAAGAAGATGAGGAACACAAAAATTACGCGCATGTGGTATAGGAAATAAGGCGCTGGACGATGCAGTTGTTTCGAAAAGTTTGCTTTTTTTTTTTTTACAAGACTTTTGGCTTGGAATCGAAGATATTGGACAGCTCAGAATACTGTATCTAAATTGGGTCCGAAATGAATTTCCATGAACGCCGCCGCTTTGATGTAGATTGTTTATTCTTGCGCCTTTGCCCTTGAACCTCCTTCCTCCCCCTCCCTCCCGGCGAAAAAAGACAGAAAAAGACCTATGTTTCTTTATATCTTCGTACAAAGTCATTGATATCTTTGAGTGAATACGTGCATACATTCTGCATGAATCCAGAGGAATCATCTCCCAATTTTGTAGCACGTATGATGGTCCTAACCAACCAAAGAGTCTCCGGTGCATGTTTGGCGAATCCTAGTCTCCGGGATTCATCTAATCTATCACGTTCGAAGACAAGATCCCACAGGGCTTTCCACCGGTCTGTCGCGCGGGTAATAGTATCGAAAACTGAGTCTCTTAAACAACTGTTTCTCGAGGTTACGGTCATCGAAAGCAGCGCTGGATATTTGTTAGCGTAGTATCAAAAGCATTCATGGCAAACTCACCCAGGGAAACTGCTAGTAGATGAGATGCTGTGACCCCGCTGTACATATCATCTCCAGGTCCAGACCAAGTGTCTTGGAGGAGCAATGAGACAAATTTTGACAGCGATGGGGGCTCGACGCGTCGAGGCAACGAGGTCATTAACTGCCAGAAGTCTTCGGCTGTCTCCGCATCAAAAAGGTCCTCGTGGCAAGGAAGATGACCATTCAACTCGGATATGGCCACCAACGGCGGGTTGTTGAAAATGCCTGTGAGGAAGTTGTCATTCATAATCGTCCAGAAACCGATTCTGTAATTTTTGTTAAACTGTAAACCCGAAAATGTAAAGGAGAGCGATGGCGCACCTTATAAGTGTCTCCGATCTGATAAAAGCCTTCCAGTCAACTACGTGTTCTTCTCTCTTCATTCGAAACAGCCCAGTTGATCTTGCTATAGCAATTAGCCGCGGGTGTCGTTCAACGCGAATGCGCCGTCGCGTTATTTTGCTATTGATGCTGTCCTGGACGGCCTCCATGGTTACCGCTGCTTGAAGTATCTCGATCTCTTCATCAGAGAGACCCTCCGGAGAGAATTTATCAAATAGCCGCCGGAATGTGGAGTGTTGAAAGATGTATTCTTCGGCAAGGTCGAAAAACTGACGTGCGGACATGGCAGGGCCAGATTGCGGCAAATACATGGAACCAAAGAGAACTACAGAGAGTAAAAGAGGAGTAGACGCAATCTCGCAGTCAAAAGTTGGCCAGTGGATGACTGGATTGTGCTGATGGATGGTGTTGAAGCAGGCCCAGATGAAGTCCCGAGCGTTCCCAGCGGTAAAGACAGACTCGGCAAGAGCATAATTGAAGGGGTCCTGGTACCTTGAACCCTGATGGCTCATTGCTTCATGGGTACGGCTAAGCTCTGCAACGACATGCTGCATGCGCGTTTCCAGTTTGGAAACTCCCCCAGGAAACTCGGACGGGCATGTCACGGGGACTTCGAGGAGTTCCGGCTGAAACTCAGACATACCAATTAACCAAGATCCAGGATCGAAGAACAGGTTGAATGCAGCCAATTCGGCATCCAGGCTCGGGTAGATAATGTCATCGGTAGGCTCGGGAGTGGGCTTGTCGGTGAATTTTTCAGTGGTTGTCGCGGCACCAGGATCAGTAAAGTCCAGGAGGAACTTGACCGGAATGCGCCATGGAGGATGTGCATCACTTCTGCCGTCAACCTTTGGGACGGCCGCCGTGGAAATGTTGTTGTTCACCTGACTCTGTGGAGGTTCCGGGGTGCCTACGAGTAGGTAAGTGCACGGCACCCTCCGAGCGCGGCAACGGCTACACGGGCTCCCCGAATCGCAGGAAAGCTTGCTTTTTGAGCATCCGTCACAGGCCCGCCGCTTTTTACCTCTTTTTGCCGTTGGAAGGGCCACGTTACGTCCATCCGGGTTACAGGTTCGGACATGGCGGCGAGCCACGTCGCTGACAAATCATCAGAATGTGTATAACTAGCTGCAAATGGTTCAAAAACTGACACTCTTGTGAAGGCCCGATTGCAAAAAGGGCAAGTTGATGCGGTGCGAGCAGTATCTGTGATTCTGTTCAGCCGGCCGTGTTTCATTGCGAGGTCACCTGACTCACGTGTGGCCTCATGACGACGCAAGTGGCTGCTTGTTGAGTACGTCTTGCTGCAGATTTGGCAGCGAAACGAAGTCTTTGGCATTTTCCACAGTACGTCTGCAGTGGTCGGCTGGGAAAATGTGGAACGGGGAAGGTGGCTGAAGAGAGTGGGTTCTGTACCGTAGATGTGGGTTTTTTGCCGAGCTGAGTTTCGGGGACTTTTACCATGACACTATACTAAACATAGCGACGCATGTAACAAGACGAACATCGTACCCTTGTTCTGACCAATAGAAAAAGCAGATTCTCGCCGAATTCAGCTGTCAGCTTACAATCATGTCATCATCACTGCAACGCTCAGCAACCTCTACCATTTATGAAGTATTGTTGCCGTTTCTTCTTCTTGTTCTTTTAAAAAATGCAAATGAGAAACACGATGTGGTTAACTGGTGTCCTTCAAAGCATTAATTAAAGTTATGTTTACCGATTACAAGGATCGAATACTACATAATACGTAAAATATTTCTCATGGCCCTCGTAAAGAAGGATTGATGACTGCAGCAGGCCGCTTACATCTGGAAGCCTGTGCGACGAAGACATTCGTTAAGTACGAAGAGCCGCACATAGTATTTACAGAAAAGAAAGCCTATTTGGGCTTAGTCTCACCTCTGAGTGTACGTAGTCTCTGCCAGTCGTGTGCCCCTTAGAGGGCCAATCCATTGTGGTTTCAACAACAATTCCTTGTGCTAACTGGACGGTCTCAACTGCTCAAACAAACACATGCACGTTTCCGATGCACGTGCAAGCTTTTGAGAGCACATGTAAATGATCCCTTCATGACGTGGAACGCTTCGCAGAGTTTCGCATTATCTCTGGCATGTGAAACATTTGCATCACCTTCTTCGACTATCTTCACTCGGAGTTGCAAACTATTGGTCTGTGCCTGGCCTGCTGTTGACGACTTATCGTAGGGTAAGCTTGTTCTACCTTCCCGACAAGGAACGGGCTATTCTTTCAAGAAAGTGGTACAAGTCTGTGGCGGAACAGCGGGACGTTGACGGACTGTTCGGGAAGCTTGACTGGTGCGGTTCATGGTGGGTGGCCATACTGGGAGCGGAGAGCTATCTTTCGTTTGCGCCTTCATCCGAAGGTGGAGCAAACGCGGTTTCGTGCATGGGGAAAGAGCCAACAGGATGTTGTTGATTACAGAAGCCGTGCTTTTCGATGACAATACTGATGGACCCACCAAAGTGCTTCTCCGATGCAACATTGTGGGGTGGCGGATATGCCTTCCCCACAGCTTTTCCGCTCACCGGCCGGGGGGCGCCACGAAAGCCGGGGTACGATGCGGGGAAGCTTGACTAAACCAAGGCCAGGTCTTATTTATTTCACCAAGCCTTGGCTCCCGCTACCTCATCAGAACTCACGACCAGCCGTCTTTCTATCTTCCGACTCCTTTCTTCTGTACGATATTTTTAAACGGCAAGATGGATATCGCAAAGGTCGACGCCACTCACGTCGAAGATGCCGAGACATTGTCGAACGCAGGAAAGCAGCCGCGGGTCCAGTTGCCGCCCTTGTTAGCCGACTTGCCGGCCGAGGAGCGGGAGAAGCTCAACGTCCATGTCAAGAGGAAAATCGACCTGCGGCTTCTACCCATGATGCTGTTGATGTACATCATGAATTATCTTGATCGCAACAACATTGCAGCAGCAAAAATCGCAGGCATGAGCGATGACTTGAATCTGAAGGGGAATCAGTACCAGACAGCTTTAAGTATCCTTTTCGTCGGGTACTTGCTCATGCAGGGTAAGTCTCTTACTCGTCAATAACTCTACGCATATTGACTCTTTTCAGTGCCGTCCAACCTGATGCTCAACAAATTTGGAAAGCCTGCTCTGTACCTCCCGACATGCATGGTGATCTGGGGCGTCATCTCTACCTGCACTGGAGCTGTTCAATCGTTTGGCGGACTGGTCGCTTGCCGTTTTGTCCTCGGTTTCGTCGAGGCTGCATACTTCGTGAGTATCATGTGTCTGACTATTGTTACTGTAGCTGACGTACAGTAGCCCGGCTGTCTCTACTACCTGTCGGCATGGTACACTCGGAAGGAGCTTGTCCTCCGAACTGCGATTCTTTACTCAGGATCTCTAATTTCAGGGGCGTTCTCTGGACTGATTGCAGCTGGTATTACCGACAACATGGCTGGTGCGCGGGGCCTTGGTGCGTGGAGATGGCTATTCATCATCGGTATGCCTTCCCTCTCGCATAATGTTCGACTACCTGCTAACTCCTTTTTCCAGAGGGTGCTATCACCGTATGTCTACTTCCACCACGACTCTTGCTCGTGTACTAATTCTCGCCAGATTGTCCTCGCGCTGATTGCATTCTTCATCTTGCCCAACTTCCCTCGCACAACAAGCTGGCTTTCGGAGCCGGAAAAACAAATGGCTGTTTGGAGACTCCAAGAGGATATTGGTGAGGACGATTGGGTCAATGCGGAAGAGCAGACCTTCTTCCATGGCGCCAAGCTTGCTGTCAAGGACCCGAAAGCCTGGCTCCTTCTGGCAACCATCTATGGCTTCACTTCCTCCGGAACCGTCACCACCTTGTTCCCCAGTGTCGTCGAGGGGCTCGGCTATGGAAAAGTGCAAACGCTGCTTCTCACTGTTCCACCATACGTAAGTGATATACCACGGGTGTCACGGTATGAAAACTCATGAGTTGAGCAGGTCATTGGCGTGATTGCGATCCTCATCAACGCGTGGCATGCCGACCGCACGAGCGAGAGGTACCTTCACATCGCTCTCCCACCGCTCTTGGCTGTCGCAGCTTTCATCATCGCCGCCGCTACTACCGAGTTTGGCCCGCGTTACTTCGCAATGTGTCTCATGATCGGAGCGAACTACTCCGGATACGTCGTCGCTCTGGCTTGGATCTCCAACACGTTGCCACGTCCCCCGGCGAAGCGTGCGGCAGCCTTGGCTGGAATCAACGCCCTCTCGAACGTTTGCCAGATTTATTCGCCGTACATGTACCAAGGTATGACCTATGCTCCCGGTGAAGCCTTGCTTTCTGATGAAACTGATGAATTAATTGCAGATGCGTACGCTCCCCGTTACGTTGTACCCATGATCGTCAATGCCATCACGTCTTTGTGGGCTGCCGTATTCGCCACCGTTCTGCGTATGTTGCTTGTTCGCCTCAACAAGAAGATTGATGCAGGAATCTTGCTTCTAGAGCAGACGAGCGAAGAGGACCGGAAGCGGGTGATCGAGGAACATGGGCTTCCTGGAGAGGCAGTCGATAAGGGATTCAGATTCTTGGTCTAGACAGAGTTGCGAGGGGCTCATATTCTTGACTTCTGAGAGGCCAATCCGCTGAGCGGCGTCTTTCCATTGAACTAGATCATTTGCAGCGCTGAGAAATGAAGCGTCACTTTCGTCTAGAACAATCTTTTCGGCCTATGTAACTTAGAGACATTATAGACGACGGAATGAAGAACTTTCAGGAAATCTATTTTTGATTGTTGCCAGAACTTGGATGCAAGTACATTGAATAACTCTAATTTTGGGCAACGAAAGCCTCTGCTGAAACTATATCATAGGGGGGGTTCCATAAAGGAAATCAACTTCGCAAATCTGGACAGTACCTCTCTGAGGACCTCCGGGCATCTTCTTAGGCTAGTCAATCTTCGCGCTCTCGTTAGTCAAAGGCTATACCACCAATAGAGTGGGTGCGGCTCGTTGAGGCTGCTATCACTGGCATCTGGGCGCGAACTGTTCCGGGGTTGCCGAGAGAAGCCGCTTCCTACCAGGGCACGCAGCATACATCCCTTCGGAAAAGCAGGACGGCGAAGCTAGGTATTCCGACGTGCAGATCGTATCATACTAGAGAGAGCTTTGACACAGGGTATCTTTCATTGGCTGCTAGGTCCGATGTCCCTCGGCCGAGGAGCAAGCTTTGCCAAGGGACCGAAGACCTGGTTGGCGTACTGGGGCGGGAGCTTGTCCGATCTTGTTAATCAAGCCGTTCGTGATGACGACGTCGATATTGTGGTGCGTCAGTGGTTCGGATAAGTTTCCGCGGCGCCAACGCGAGCGGAAAAGGGAACGTAGCATCGTTCACGCGAACGAGAATCATCTCAATATTCTGTCATACTGTATCTAAAAAGTGGAATAGACTTTGATACGAGCTGCCACCCTTCGTTGATGGTCGCCGCCTAGGTATCAGCAAGCCGAACCACGTCGGAAGGGGAGTGTTGATAGTATTGATACCTGAAACACAAGAAGGAAAACTCGTGAATTTCAGCCATAGATGGCGTGAATGATTGCTAGGTGATTCGACGGAGACTATTCTGCAAGTGTTCTTCAGCACGCGGTGGATCTGATTGGCCCGGCTGATTGCTAACTTCAAATTAACATTCTCATATGAACCAAATAGCGGAATTGAGGATCTTAGATTGGTACTTTTCAAACAAAAGGCTCATTTGCTCACTCATCTTACAACTTCGCACCGGCCCGAGAGAGCAGGCTCAAGACCTCAGCAGCGCCTCTCTCGCCACTCCTCACAGCACCCTCCATGTAGCCCTTCCACTCCCCCGCCGTCTCGGTGCCCACAAAGTGGATATCGCCCACCGGCTCCCTCAACGCATGACCGACAGCGTCCAGCGCGCCCGGCGGCAGCGCGGTGCAGGGGCAGCCCCACCCCGACCACTGCTCCTGCATCCACTCGTGCGACACAGCCTCCACGAAGTGCTTCCGCGGCGCATCCGCATCGCCGAACAGCTCTCCGACCTGCTCCAGCAGCGCGTCGACCTGGCGGCCTCCCGGCAGCTTCGCCCACTCCTTTCCAGGTTCGCCGGCGAGGAAGCAGGTCAGGATCCACTTCCCGTCGACGGGCACGCTGGTGTCGCGGACGACCGACGCCGGGCCGCGGAAAGACTGCGTGAGGCCGCAGAAACCTTTCTCCACCCAGAACGGCTGGGCGAAGACGAGCATGACCTTGGTGTAGTAGCCGTACGACGCCGAGTCGGCCAGGACCGTCTTCTCGAACGGCAACGGCGGGTCGAAGGCGAGGGCGCGCAGCAGCACCGGCGACGGCACCGACACGACCACCTTCCTCGCATGGAAAGTCCCGACATCCGACTCGACCATCACACCACCGCCGGGAACCTGCTTCAGGGCGCGCACCGGCGTGGACAGCTTCACGGTGCCCGGCGGCAGGCGCTTTGCCATCTCGGTGGCGAACAGCTGCATGCCCTGGCGGCAGCGCAGATGCTGGCCGCCGCCCTTGCGGTCCGACCGCATCTGCAGCAGCCCGCCGCCCGACTTGCAGTAGTTGAGGAAGTACAGCGCCGACACGTCGCCCGGCTCCTGGCCCAGCATGGCGCGCGTCCACACTGTCGCTGTTGCTACGGCCGCGTCGCTGGCGCCGTTGCGCCGCAGGTACGCGTCGAAGGTGAGCGAGTCCAGGTCCGTGTCCTTGGGGTTGAAGACGTCGACGGCCTGGCAGTGCGCCTCGACCATGTCGCGGATCTGCGCGATGTGCGTTTGGGTCGCGGCGTCAAACTGTGGGGGATGTAAAATCAGCTCTTGTTTTTCTTCCTTTTCACCATGTTGGTAGGTAATTGCTCACCGCCGGCAGCCCCCCGTACGGAAACGACGAGCAATTGCCGTCAAAGTCCTGAAAGGCGCAGTTGCCTGTCGTGTTCTGCTCGATCAGCTCGGCGCCGTACTGGCGCGCGAGATCGATCATGCGGCTCTGGTTCGTGTCGTTTATCCACGCCGCCCCGAGATCCACCACGCCCTTGCCGCCCTCGAGCGCCTGGCTGAACGTCTTGCCGCCGACGCGGTCCCTCGCCTCCAGCACCAGGCACCGCAGCCCGCCGCGCGTCACGTCGCGCGCCGCCGCCAGCCCGCTGAGCCCCGCGCCGACCACGATGACGTCGAGCCAGTCCTTGGCGTCATCGCCGGCGCTCTTCCTCGTCGAGAGTGGGGGCTTGACGTCGGGAGGGCCGACGCAGGCCGTCGCCTCGACTTCGAACAGCCATGCCGGGTTGGCGAGCTGCGAGACGGGCACGAGCGTGATGGCCGGCCGGTGGGTGCCGAGGAACTTTTGGATGTGCCGCGTGTGCAGGCGGCGTTGCGGGTCGTAGTTGACGATGTAGAGGGTGAGCTTCGTGATGTCCGTCACCCGTGCGCCGGCGGCTGTGAGGACTCGGCGTAGGTTCAGCAGCGCGAGGTGGATTTGGGATTCGTACGACGCGGGCACGTGACCGTCCGTCGTGGCGCCGTACTGGCCTGAGATCTGGATCGTGTTGCCCGTGGCCGATACCGTGCCTTGGGCGTGGTACGCCTTTGGTGTGCCGGCGGGGTCGATGGCTTGGACTTTGGGAGACATTGCGCGTGATGAGCAGGGCACAGAGAGTCGATGGCCGGTTGGTTGCGAGGAGCTTGACAGTTGGATATAAGGAACGGTGCTTACATATCGATGCCTATCGCAGTCCCAGGCGGGGCTGATCTGGAAAGTAAAATCATAGGCGCATCTGTGATGGGGTCAACTTCTGAAGTGAGCACGGCAAGAATGCAACCTATCCGATAGGCCGAAAGATAAGCCGCCGCGCCGGGGACACTTTCCTTACCACTTCTCTTTTGGGACGTACTTCGGAACACATTCATCATTGATTGGTGTACATTTCAGAATTTGCTCAAAATCACTCTGGAACTCAAGCCCTAGGAGACAGGCGTCTGAATGAGGCTCCAGAGTTGTCGAAGAATTGGAGGCGGAGAAGCCGTCGGGTGGGTGCGGCGTGCGGAGGTTCTAATTGGCTAAGCACATTGTATACCAAAAACATGCCACGGCAAGCTAATCATTTGATGGAATGAGATGAGAGCAAAGGAAAAAAAAAAATGCAATCTTACTAAAGAATTGGAATAAGTTCTACCTGAGATCCATCATGTCCACCGCCCTTCACAGTCGTGCCATGCCAAAACCTTCTTGTTTTGCAACAGCAAGCATCCTCCTGTCCGCCTCCTTCAAATTTACGATACCGGCTAGAGCCATAGCACGACTAAGCTCTCTTTCCAATATGTGACCGATCGTCTCGACTCCGCGCTGGCCGTCAAATGCAAGGCCCCACAACACTGCACGCCCCACAAGCACAAAATCTGCCCCTAGAGCCACAGCTTTGAGTACGTCAGTGCCACGCGTAATTCCCCCATCCAGGATCACAGGTATCTGCCCATCAACTGCCTTTGAAATATCAGGGAGGACTTCGATCGTCGAGGGTGCACAGTCTAGCTGCCTTCCGCCGTGGTTTGATACTATGATAGCATCAGCACCGTGCTTAACCGCCAGAGCTGCGTCTTCTGGTGTCATGATGCCCTTCAGAATGACCTTCATGCTCGTTGTTTTGCGGAGGAAATTGATTGTCGATGTCCATTCCAACGACGCACTATGCATGGATCCACCAGCGGACGAGATGATATCTTGGGCTTGCTGGGCTGTGCGGGCATCCATTAGCAATCGATTGAAAGTTGGCTTTCGCAGTTTCGGCGCGTTTGCTGGTGATTCGATGTTGGCCAAGCGGAGATTCTCAGGCAGAACCAATGGAGTCTTTCGTTCGTTGATCCTGTTTCCGAGGACAGGCGTATCGACCGTCACGACCAGTGCTTCGTACCCGGCAGCTGAAGAATGATTAACCTGAAGCTCAGCAGTTGTGAATCGAGTGGCTTACCTTCAGCACGCTTTATCAGAGGAATGCTCTTTTCAAGATCTTGAGTCATATAGATTTGCATCCAAAAAGGCGGGTGGTTGTCCATGCAATTCCTTTCCTGCATGACCTCCTCTAGACTGGTCGTCGATTGAGAAGAAAGAGTCAAGTTCATGCCCAACGAAGCTGCAGCGCGTGCCATGTCGACTTCTCCATTACCGCCAACCAACTTTTGCATTGCACTCGGAGCAATGCCAATTGGAAGAGGGTATTTAGTACCGAACAGCGTGGTACTTGTATCGACGCTCGTGACATTTCGCATTACACGGGGTAGAATGAAGAGACTAATTTCCATTAGTGTATGCTGAATGTTTTCAGTTCTCAAACCCTACCGATCGAATGCCTCGGAGTTGCGCTTTACCGCGTTCCCATCATCGGACCCGCATACGTAGAATTCCCAGATATTCTTCGGCAACCTTGTCTTTGCAATCTGCATAGCCTCGTCGACTGTAATCGGGTCATCCCTCTTCATATTGTCTGACTGCATCGTCACTGGTCTTGGTGTAAGTTTGGATCATTGATTACTTTGGAGAGACGCGTGCTCTTATATTCAAATAACGGCTGGGACAAGTCTCCGACTTTCGCAGTGAGTAGCGAGGGGTACGCGCGCATAATGTAAGAAGGATTTCTTTGTGGCCAATTACATGCATACTGGTCGGGAAACTTCCAGTAAAACCGAACCAAAAGCGGCTAGCAACCCCAACCTCGGTTATTGCTTCCAATGACATCGTGCATCTATTCGGGGGTTGTAGGAGAAATGCCAACATTGTAGATTCCAGCACAGCTTAGAGGTGATATTACAAAGCATTGCATGGCGTTCATCCATCTTAGGGTCTGGAGGCATCGTTGCTGTCACAGATTTGGCTCAGCAATCGATGTGTTTTGACGCCAAAATGCCAGGATGAGTTATGGTAGTATAATAGACATAATAAGTTAGATACAGCGTAAAGGCCCGCAATAGGAACTCGTGGCAAGCGCACTGTTCGAGGGCACATCCCACTTTGGTGGATTGGGTTGGGTGTGCTACCATTTACGGTTAGCGCCGCTTCGTACTCAAGCGAGCGATAAGCTATCGGGGATGACCTTCCTGCTCCCCACCCAACCGTCTCGCTCGACTTTCGTCATTCATCATCTTTCCCCCACCTGCTCCTAAAATGCCCAAGCCGCCGCGGACTCGATCACTCGATGGTTGCGCCACCTGTCGTACGCGGAGGGTGAAATGCGACGAAACTAGGCCCATCTGCACCAGCTGCCAGCGTCTGGGCCTGACATGCCGGGGCTACGAGTCTCGCCTCACCTTTGTGCAGGTTGGCCGGCCATGGGCGGCTGATGACGTCGAAGATGGCCGCTATCGTCGGCCCTTGTTTACGGGTACGTCTGGCCTTTGAACATGGTATTGAGCGAAGGCTGAGAACCGGGCAGAAAAGGAGCGCTTGGCCATGAGTGATGAGCTTCGCACGAGCATGCGTAGAAGACGAGCCGACCGTGTAATAGCGAATCTGGATGACCAATCCCAACAGCTCGAATTGTCAGAGGGAAACGATGGCCTTGCGCACGGCCCGTTTGCCGTCTTCAAGTGCGCCCGCCCCGCATCTCCTGTCGTGCCTCCGACGGCCAATGAGGAGGATCAAGCTTTCTCAGGCCTTCTGCCGGACCTTGACCTTATTCCAGACGTAGTCGACTTTAACGATGAGCAATTCGTCGCCGCTCTCTCAGCTATCGATCAGGTATTTGACGCTCAAGAACAGCCCTACGCGGATGAAGCCCAGCAATGTGACCAGGGTCTCCCTTTGTCTGGGAACCCAACGGACCTTTTCCTAACTCCGTACCTGAACCCATATCCAGACTCGATGGCTCATCGAGATGCAAGTCTGCTCCTGAACAACTACAAAGACCACGTTATCCGCCTCTTCTCTCCCTTGAAGTATCACCGAAAGACGCCATGGAATATTCTTCAGTTGCCGTGCGCCATGACAACTCTTGCAGAAATCACCATGGGCTACAAAGCAAGCTATGCACGAGCCTCCGTATTTAACGGCGTCATGGCCATCAGTGCTTTCAACCTGAGCGCCTCGTCGACTAGCACGGCAAAGACTTATTGGAACGGTGTTGCCAATAGTTACAGGCTACAGGCGCACGAAAGCCTGAAAGCCTCGTTGGAGCATGAGATGTCAGTGCAAAAGAAGGCAAAGTATAAAGAAATGCTCATGGCCATCCTCTGCATGGTTACTATCTCCGTATGTCCTCTGCTCATGACACTGCTACTGCTGCTAACAGCCACAGGCCTTCAGCGGTGCTACCGAAAACACAAGAGCCTACCTCCTCGATGCAGAGCGCCTAATCCGCCTACGCGGCCTCACCAAGCCCCGGATATCGCGCAAAGCTCGACTCCTGCACCACCACTACGCCTACATCAGGCTCATGCACGAGACGACCTCACCAAGCTGCAAGAACGCCGCACCCTTCCGCATCACCGACTGGGCGTCGGACGAAACCAACGACGACGACGGCGACCTCGAGCACCCCTGGAAGCGCGAAAAGAGCTTCGACATCGGCGTCCACGACCTGCACCTCGAGATCGCCGGCGACTTCACCAAGCACACGCTCTACCCGGACGTCTACGGCATCCCGGAGTCACTGATGCTGCTAATCTCGCAGACGACCCGCCTAGGCAACGAGCGCGAGGCCATGATGTCTGCACCCAATTCCCCCACCTCTCCCTCCCCAGCCCAATTCTTCCGCCGCGCCAGAGCCCTCGAGCGCGCCATCTGCCAATGGGATGATGACGAGCCGTCGTCGCCCTTGCACTCCTCCAATTCCTCCTCCTCCTCCTCCTCCTCTTCTTCCTCCTCCTCGTCTTCCGACTCCTACTACCCCCCGGGCACCGACACCGATGCCCACCCCGCCGCCGTCGCCGCCAACCGCCGCGCGCTCGCGCACCTCGTCCGCGCCATGCGCGCTGCGCTAGTCGTGTATTTCTACCGGCGCGTGCACGACGTCGCCAGCACCGCCATCCTGCAGCCCAGCGTGGCCCGCACCATTGAGCACCTCGAGCGCATCCAGGACGAAGACGACGCCATGGCGGCAACTGCACCCGCCGAGTACGACGGCTACACGACCGGTATCGTTTGGCCCGGCTTCGTCGCGGCGTGCGAGGCTGAGGGCGAGGGGTTGAGGGGCAGGTTTGAGAGGTGGTTTGAGGTGCAGGAGAGGAAGAGTGGGGTGCCGTTGTTTGGGAAGGCGGCGGGGGTGGTGAGGATGGTGTGGGGGAGGAGGGATGGGGTTGGGAAGAAGAATGGGGGTGTAGGATGTGTAAGTTGGGTTGATGTTGTGAGGGAGGAGGGGGTGACGTTGTTGTGCACGTAAATTGGGATTGTACTTTTCGTTGTTTCTTTCCCTTTCGTCTTCTCGAGGTAACTTGCCCAGCGCTTCCCCAAAAAAATGTTTTGATGTCATGAATTCTTTGGAGTTGGGGTGGGCGGCTATTTGCGGGGTACGGTCGGTATGGGCTTCCTTTTTCGAACCCCGGTCGTTCCCCCGGACCACGCACCCGAGCTGTGCAGCTTTTCGGCGACGAGAACCGTCCCTGCAGGACATGTATTAGCGATGATGCCAATACAATCACGATCCTTCGGCCTTTGCTTTTCTCCTCCGTGATATTTCCAAAATGCAAGCTCCCACGCTCAGAGACCCGAGTCTTTTGGTCCAGAAGACGTACATCGACGGCGAATGGGTGGATTCCGTCTCAGGGAAGACATTCGCGGTCCATGGTAAGCTCTTGGTCTCCATCTCGTCAAAGATGTGTGCACTTTCTGAAAAGATTCATCAGACCCCGCGAGCGGCCAGCTCATCGGAAAGTGCCCGGAATGCGTTCCTGCAGACGCCCAGCTCGCCATCGAAGCGGCGGCCAAAGCATTTCCAAAATGGCGAGTACGGACAGGGCGGGAGCGCTCGAGGCTGATCCGCAAGTGGCACGACTTGATCCTGGAGAACAAACAGGACATCACCACTCTAATCACTTGGGAGAATGGCAAAGCGAAGCCTGATGCTTCGGGTGAAGTCTTATTTGCTGCAAGCTACATCGAGTGGTTTTCCGAAGAGGCGGCCAGGATTTACGGCGACGTCGTTCCGCACAGCGTGGCTGGCACTCGCGCGTCCGTGATTAGGGAGCCGGTGGGCGTTTGCGGGATGATAACACCGTAGGTCATCTCATTTGCCATGTGCTGGGAGTAATGCTGAGGATTTATCCAAGGTGGAACTTTCCGGCAGGGATGCTGGCCAGGAAGGCCGCCGCTGCGTTCGCTGCCGGATGCACCTGCGTCGTCAAAACTGCCGGCGAGACGCCTTTCACCGCGAATGCTCTGGCGGTGCTCGCAGAGCGCGCAGGCATTCCAAAGGGCGTTCTGAATATTGTCACCGCGCTTGACAATACCCCCGAAATCGGCCTTGCGCTATGCGAATCCCCGGAAGTCCAGAAGATCTCATTCACTGGCTCCACCAGGGTTGGGAAACTGCTGATGAGGCAGTGCAGCTCGAGCTTGAAGAAGCTCAGCCTTGAGCTCGGTGGAAATGCACCATTCATTGTGTTCAACGACGCTGATCTGGACACAGCCGTGTCCGGTCTGATTGCGAGCAAATTCAAGTGCACTGGCCAGACCTGCGTGTGTGCGAACAGAATATTCGTCCAATCTGGGATCCACGATGCCTTTGTTGACAGGCTTCGGGAGGTCGTAGGGAGGTTCCGTGTTGGATCTGGATTCGACGACATCGTCACTCACGGACCGCTCATTCACGCGAATGCCATCTCCAAGGTGGTTGAACACGTCGAAGATGCCAAGGCGAAAGGCGCTAAGATCGAACTGGGTGGAAACCGGGTTACAGCTTTAGGTTCGATCCTGTACGGGACACTTACTTGGAGTAGATTGCTGATGACTACCACAGGCCCTAACTTCTTTGAGCCGACCATCATTACAGGCATGACGAAAGACATGAAGATCGCACGCGAGGAAACTTTCGGCCCGGTGGCAGCTATCTTCAAATTTCAGACTGAGGAAGAAGTCGTCAAGTCCGCAAACGAGGTCGAAGTCGGGCTGGCTGCTTACGTCTTCACTCGGGATCTCCAAACCTCACAGCGCATGAGCGAGTTGCTGCATGTTGGCATGGTGGGATTAAATACTGGTTCAGTTTCTGATCCTCCCTCACCGTACGTTCGTACTCATGAACTCGCACTGCATCTGCTGACGACTAGACAGATTTGGCGGCGTCAAGCACTCGGGCTTTGGCCGAGAGGGCAGCAAGTACGGTCTTGATGAATACACAACGCTCAAGACTGTTGTCACTGGAGGTATCAACACTGTTTACCACTCCAAGCTTTGAAATACGTCCGGCATAGGTTGAGGAAGGTATCGCGGAATTTATCATTCTCGATGTGTGGTGCGTAGGAGTCAGTCTCATATGCAGGAGTGTGATAACGATCAATCAATGAGAAATCTCGACTGATATATGTTGCGTAAAACTTGAGCGACTTGAAGAGTTTTTCTAATGGATAGTAACTGTTGCCTCTTTTAGCACACCAATCCAGCTTTTGTCAGAGCCGTGGGAGATCATGAAGCCGGTAGCCACTGCCCTTGTAAAAGAAAAGGGTATGAGAAAGAAAAGAAGCCGCATTATAGACTCTCATGTCTATGATAAAAATCTCCGTGCTCTGTATCTTAGTTCCCGCAACAACTCGCGCACCGTTGCCTTTGTCCTCGCCAGCGAATCGCGATTCTCTTCTGCACGCCGCAACAAATAGAGTACGCACTCATTCAACGAACCCCATACAGCATACTTGTAGCACTTAATGCCAGTATCTGTAGTCTCTTTCCGTGAACACAGGTGCAGGGATAGCTCGTCTGCCATGCCAAGCAGCTGGGCATACGCGACGTCGTTTACCCTCCCCGGCCACACACCCTGCTTTCCTTCAGTCTCCGCGAGTCGCTGCTGGATACTTAGCGCCGTTTGTACAGAGGTCTTATTGTGAGTTGCGAACACGACATCTGCATTCCATGGCCGCTGCTGGGTTCTATCTATCTTCTGCCATACATCCGGGCGCTTTTGAAGCGCTGATGCGAAAAGCCGGTCTCCGTCGCGTACGATGTCTCTGCAGCGTGCTACGTCAGGCAATATCTCCGCGGTTGGCTTTCCACCGTAGAGTAGCAGTGCGATCGCTGTGTCGTAGGCGAGGTCCGTTTCTTCTTTGGTGGTGTGGATGAGTGATCGGTTCCACTCGGATTGAAGGTAGGCGCCTCGCACCATCTTAACGCCCAGCGTAAATTGGTAGTCTCGTGACGAAGCTAGATGACGCGAGAGTTTCTCTGGTGTGGACTTGAGATACCTAGTCTGAGTGTCAGCAGGACACTCGCACTGCATGAATGGACTGGACACGCTCACATTTGATATGTGTTGTAGACAACTGCGTTGCTGTTCCTGTTGAAGTGCGCCATGAGGGACTAAATAACGTATGCTTGTCAGCTATGATTTTGTCAAAATACTCATTGATCGGCTCACCATGGTCAGTGTATCGATTGCTCTCTGTGTTCCTTGAGTTTCAGCATCCATCAAAAGTCGTACTCCACGGGTCTTTGCCGCATTGGAGATTCTTGCGATTGCCTCAGCAACACTACCGAAAATTCTCAGACTTTCGTTCATGGTGAGCGGAGTAGTTTCACACGGTAGTGACTGCGAAAGCTCCCTCAATTTTTGCGCTGCCAAACGGCCAGCTCCAGTGTATTTTATTGCAACAAAGTTGCCTGGATCAGTGAGTTCAACTGTCTTCAGATTGTTCTCCAACCAGAAATCAACTTCTGACCTGAAATTATCAGTTTGTTTCTCTGCATCCGATGTAGCCGGCAACTCTTTAGCATAGGCCATGATGGTACCGGAAAATCCCAGCCGTTTCAAGTCAGCCATCTTCTTCCTTATGTCATCGTCTGATGAGCCGCAGCAAAACTGTGGATAGAAAGTCTTCCTCATCATCCATGATATGGGCGGGAACTTCAAGAGTGCATGAGAATGCTGGCTGAAGCCTCTCATCAATGGCCTGAGGATAGCAGGCGGGATTGAAGCGGTGGAGAGAACGACCAGCGATCGTAGAATATCTGAAGTAGGCAGCACCTCGAGTGGTCGGGTTCCAGCTGGGTGTTTTGATGCATCATGTGAGGGAGAGGGCCTGGAACCTGCATTGAGACCCACTGCTTCATGCTGGTACCGGCGGCCGAGGGAGTAAAGCCGTAGGAGCCGAACAGGAGCTTGGCGTTGGTGCATAACAAGGAGCGTGGTATCAATTTGAACAAAATTATTGTCAAGTCCCTGAGTCGTGTTTGCTACAGAGCCACTACATTTTAAATACCAATGGCGAATGTTCTCCGTCATTGATATAACCAGCCGCCCTTGTTTCCATCTGTTTGATAATAGCAAATCAGGCGGGGTAGGCGCCACGGCTCCACAGTTCGGCCCCGGTTTCCCGCTAAATTTTAGGCCACTGCAACCCCACCCTTCTGCGCAAGCACTAACCTTACTTCACTCTCTACGTCCTCATCGGACATGAACCCAGCCATGGCCACTGCATCACTCCAGCGAGGGGGACGGAGTCGGAAGGGATGCGAATCATGCAAGAGTAGGACTGAACTCCCGCCTCTAGCCGCCAGCGCTAACATTTCCCGCAAAAGGAAGCAAAAAGCGATGCGGGGGTGAGCAGCGTCCCGTCATCTCTGCCTTTTGATTGGTGTCACCCGCTCAACCTAATCAGAAGAGCAGCCCAAGTGTTTCCGATGCCGGCGAAAACGCGTCGAGTGCATCTACCCGCATCAGAAGCCTTTCGGCGGACGCTTCAAGTTCCAGGTCATGTGCAGTGCGTGAAGCCAGTGCCTCCGTATCTAACCGATGCAATACTGACAGGAGCGGGAGCACGACAGATGCAGACCATATTCCACCTCGCAAGTCTAGAACGACAGTGTATTATTACGTCAATTTCACCGTGGGCGACGTCTCTGCGCTTTGCCCGGATTACGTCTCTTCGGAAACAAGCCGCCGTTCTCACAGCCCGCTCGGCGTACTGCAGTCCACTTCCAATGCTCGCCAGTCCTGGGAGAACCAACTCGTACCCGAACCTTTTCTCCGCCTACTCAAACTATTCCCTTTCTTAAGGCCCGAAGAAAACCAGCTTCTTGATTATTGTACGTGGGCGTCGGATGATAGGAACCATGACTTCCGACTGATATCTCCCAGACAGCCACGTAATATGCAAGGCTAGGGTGTTTCAAGATGGTGCACAAAACAACTACAGATCTCTAATTCTGCCTCTTTGTCAGACCGAAGGACCGTTACTGTCGGCTGTCTTGGCGATAGCCGCCAACGACCGGCATAATTCCTGGGCTCTCCAGTACAAGAGCGATGCTATCAAACAGCTTCGTTCTCGGCTTGGCCGGGCCGAAAGCCTCGAGAGCTGCATTCTCGCATGCATCATGCTCTGCTCCTTAGAGATCGCCGATGGCAGCCGCTCGTCGTGGATCACACACGCACGCGGCGCCGCGGCCATCCTCGAGTCCTACACGCACATGATAGACACGCACGTCGCCGACTTTGCTACCAGATACCTCCGGCCACGGAGTATTTTCCTAAACACTACCACGGCCGATCAGCAAGGGGAAGAGTCATCAGCGGTGGGCCGTCTGGCCAATCCCCTCCCCACGACCCATCCGCTCCACATCGACGCCGTGGCCACCGTCGCTGCCATCGACCCGCACATCGGCTGCTCACTCGAGGTGCTCGACATTATCGCCCAGACGGCCGATCTGGCCAGCTTGAAGTGGAGCTGCACTGATCAACCAAAGCCTTCCCACGTCGCCGACCCCACAATCACCCACCGCGCCGCCGGCCTCCTCGCCCGCCTCAACTCCTTGCAACAACCATCATCATCAACCTACAATGACAACGACGCCGACGCCGATTACGTCCACAGCTGCGCCGAATCCTTCCGCCTCGCCGCCCTCATCTACCTCCGCCACGTCGCCGGCTTCGACTACCCCGACCCCTTCCGCTCTTCCTCTTCGTCTTCGTCCCCCTCCTCCTCTTCATCGTCCTCCCTGTCCTCTTCTTCCTCCGCCTCCGCACGCACCACCCAGCTCCGCGCCGACCTGCGCCGCTTCTTCACCCTCTACACCACCCGCATCGTGCGGCGCGGCATGCCGCGCGTGCTGTTCCCCGTGTGGCCGCTGTTCGTGGCCGGGTGTTTCGCCGAGGAAGACGCTTTCGCTTCTGCTGCTGCTGCCGCTACCGTCGGTGGTGGTGGTGGTGGTGGTAGCGTTGGTGAAGGAGGAGGTGTTGGCAGTGGTAAAGGAGAAGGCGGCTACTATTACTCGGAGCGCGCGGTCGTGATGGACGTCTTCGCGACGTTGGAGGAGACGTGGCCAGTCAGCAACGTGCCGGTGGTGCGGGCGGCGGTGGAGACGGTGTGGAAGGAGAGGGATTTGAGTGTGGGGTGTAGGAGGAGGGGGAGTGGTGGTGAGGGTGGGGGTGGGAGGGGGGTGAGGGCGGCGGCGTGGAAGCGGGCGATTGAGGCTTTGGGGTGGAAGTTGGCGTTGTCGTGATGGGAGGGGGTGTGGTGTCTCATCTGGATCACGTTCTGAGAAAAGAGGGAATTATCGTTTGATTCAAGGCGGAAATACTATTACTACGTTCTTCGACAATACATTAGACTTTTTACGAACACGAATCCCCCTTCTTCAAGGGTACGACTGTGTCACGAAATCCAAAAGTTGCATGCGGAGTCTGGCCTTCAGAAGACCGCAGTACGCCGTACCGTAACATGGTGCTCTTCACATCCTTTGGCATCGGCTGCTTGCCCAGACACTGACCGACAGACAACTTATCCAGATCGGCATTGCGGGTCGTGAACATGATGCTGGAAAACGACGAACTGGCGCTATATCCGTTCACCACATAGGCATGGGCGCCGACAGCAACACAGGCCAGCGCCACGATGGCCGCCGCCAGGTACGCGTACAGCAGATTGCGCCAGTTGTACGAGTAATAGTTCTGCGGCGACGTGACGGTGACCTCAACCTCAGTCTTATTCGAGAAGAGCGCCGAGCTCATGAGACTGAGGCTAACATTGTGCGAGAGGTCCTCGATGGCGCGCGGCACCGAGCCGTTGCGGCACATCCACGGCGACAGGATGTCCCCGAAGCCGTTGCTGCCGCTGCCCTTGTTGTTGCGGATCTCCGGGCACGCCGGGATGCCCGACTTGAAGATGTCCGTGTCGGCGCCGATCAGCGAGTTGGTCGAGCCGAAATAGACCTTGGTGACGATGACGTCCGAGAGAGCCGAGATCAGCGCCCAGTACGCGATCTGGCCCGGCGCGTAGTCCGAGGCGACTTCGCTGCCGTTGATGTTCAGCGGCGTGACGTGCTCGAGGTTCGTGATGGTCGACGAGAGGGTGCCGTCGACGCTGAGGAAGTCGACCGTGTATGATGCGTTCCACGCGTGGCACGAGTAGTTGCTCCCGCTCGGGCCGCCCGTTTGGATGAAGAAATGGTTGGCTATATAGTATTCGTCGAGAACCGTCATTGTGTTGCCAATATACAGCTGTTCGAACAGGGGATTCAGTGCGCCATTGCTCATAGACTCGTTCCAAGCCTTCCGGAGTTTGCTCGGGTCGTCCAGCTTGATGGTGTTGTTTGCGGCCGCGGCGGAAAGCGTCTCGCATTTGATCGCGGGTGCGTAGAAGTCCAGTGAATAGGACGCGTTCGGATGCGGGGGAGTGAAGGGTAGCACCGAGATGGATGAGGATGTCGCAGCTATGAGACGATCGACGGCGGCCGACGTTGACTCGACTCTTCCCACGCCTTCGAAGTTGACCCATGTGATACCCGTTAATTCATTTCCGTACGCGGGAAGAGGAACATTAGCCAGAGAAGTGCCGTTGGAAAGACCCGAACGGACTGTCAGTGTTGCGGGCGTTATAGTGGCGACAATGGGAATGCACCTGGTACTGATTAACAATTTTTCAAAATGATGCCATTTGGCAGACTCACCACATGCACGCAGCGAGTAGGCACAGGAGCTTAGCGCTGATAAGCACCCCGCTGAAGAAGGAGAAGGGATCCGTTGTGAGAGAGAAGGCATCGTCCAGATTCTGAAGGCTCAGATATCTCTTCTTCACCGTCACCCACAGCCGCTGCGTATATGCTACTCCAACCGAACCCACAAGAGATGCCTTGCAGAGAAAAGCAAACCCAGTTCCTATCCTGATAGCCCATTGCTGTTTCGTTTCCGACGATACTTCGGTGCCGTCTAGGGATTGGTAATGGAAGTGGTGCCCTAAAGCGAAAGCAATACCAGCGACGAGGAAGAAGGTCATAAGCGCCGGTGATCTCCAGTAAATCCCCCATGATGTTGTCCTCGGCGCACGGGTATCCGTCGGCTGCAGTTGTGTTGTATCTTCAATAAAGTGAGATTTTGTTGCCGGGTTGAGAGTGTTTGTGCTTCCTTGGAAGGGCGAGGGTTCATGGCTTCTGGGGAACCATGCAGACGCTGGACTACTTGATCTACTAATCTCCGGAGCCGGGCTATCAAGGTTCAGTCTTTGAAGTTCATGGTTGCGACTTGGATGCAACGATGCCATGTTGCTGTCGGATAATTTGGAACGACCGGGGGAAATGGGATTACTTTGTCGCAACGGCTAAGCGGGGCGGCACGAAGCAATATACCGCCCGCTTACGCTCAGAACATGGGATCCACCGGGCCAAGCCATCTGTTGCCTATTCTTACGGGTACCAGGCATGCCATCGATATCAAGTGGAGCAAAATCGACTGGCCAGCGATCCTCCAGTCAACGAGCGGTATAGCGCAGTCGTGTTGTTGTTGGCTCTCCCCGCAAGCGGAGCCGATACAAGGCTGAGAGGCTTGAAATAGAACATGGTGCTCCCGGACGGGAAGGAGCTCCAATTATAATCAAGCATTGTCCGACTAGCCGATGCACAGCCTTGAAGGGGCGTAAGCTTAATGGTAGTCGACCAATGGCACTTCAGCCCCCAATCCTTGGCGTTAACGCCATCTTCCACTGACGAGACTCAACGATGTCGCACAGAACAATTTTCTTGAAGCATATATATGCAGGCTTTGTGACAGCTTCCTGAATAAGAACTGTGCTGCCCTGTAAGGAGATTCTCGGCTAAGGCCATATGCTGCCGGGTGAAAATTCGCTCGAAAATGCCATAACAAACCACCGCCTGGTCTCATTCAGGGTCCGTGCTAACCGTCATGCTCTAAAAGAGCTAACATAGAGCCTCCAGCAACCCGAAATGCGGTGTAACGACCTACTCGTGATCAACGGGCGATTCTCGGGTTCTTCTTCTATTTTTCCGTCTTGAGGCAAGGCAATCACCTGGACGCGTACCAAAATTCAGTAATAACATTTTGCTCTCATGACGTGAAAATCAACATGATGAACAGAGAAAGCTGTTAGCATACGCTCGAATATACTCCAGACTCCAACGCGATGCATCATCAGAGACCCCAGCGCCTGATCTCAATACAGGACAAAAATTAACCACAAACCAACCCCATAATTCCCCTACCTCCGATGCCGCAACCCCTTCACCACCAGCTTCCTCAACTCCACCCAAAACGCATCAATCCACTCATTGTGATCATCCCTCGTCGAGACCTCGTTACAACCGCCAATGAACTGCACCACGCCGACCGCCTCATCGACGCCCCTCGCCCTCGCAGCCGCCTCCAGCCAGCGAAACGCGCGGCGATAAAACCGACGCGCCGGCATCTTCGCGCAATCATTCTCGCGCCACATCTCATCATGGAACCGCAGAACCTTCAAATTCTCGACCGCGCCCTCCGCCAGCAGCGTCAGGGCGGCGACGTCGAAGGCGGCACGCATGCTGCGGCGCCAACTGCCCCTGCACCCCAAAATCGTGATCTCGCGCAGCTCGCCGCGCGTCGCCGGCGACAGCGGCGCCAGAAAGGCGTGCAGGGCGGCCGCGTCCTCGAACAGCAGCGGCTGCGCGTAGAGGACGGGCGTGGCCTCGTCGCGGATCTGGCGGCAGACGGCGAGCAAGGCCGGTGTCAGGTTTGCCGTGTGCGGCTGGGCGTCCGGGTCGGGCAGGCCGTAGCCCTCGACCTGCGGCCACGGCGGCATCGCTTGTTCGGCGCTGTTGGCGGTCCAGTGGCTGTAGTTGGCCAGGTAGTTTTGCGGGCCGGCGGGGATGCGGGCGGGGCCGCGCCGGTAGCGGTGGGTGCGCTCTTCGACGTAGACGCCGCCGATGGGGTCCGTCAGGGCGTACGTGTAGATGATGTCGCGCAGCTCGCGCGGCAGGCGCAGGAAGGGGAAGATGAGGTGTTTGGGGAGGGGCTTGGTCTTCTTTGCTTTCTTGGGCTTCTAGAATGGGGATGAGTACGAGGAGGGTGGACGGGGGAAATTGACGTCAGAGCTCATACCTTCCGGGGAGCAGTGTCATATTCGGAGTCGGAACCGGAGTCAGACTCGTTGATGAGCTCATCGTCTGAGTCGATTTCGGCGTAAGATTTGGCGGCCCTCTTCCGCATGCCATACTGTCTTGATTCAACAGAACTGGCTTTGGTAGGCTGGGAAGGCGTTCCCTGTTGTGCAGAGGGTGCATCTCTCTTCCGTTTTCTGGAAATTGGCGTTTGAGAAATGCTGGATGGGGCTTGAGGGTGACGAGGGGCCATAGCGCTGTTGTCCTGAGGGATCCATCCATGGAGCATGCCGGCCAGGCCTCTCAAGGGAGCAGGACTAAACAAAGAGGTAGCGGTAGTAGTGAAGGACATGTTGGTGGTGTCTGAACGCGATACTGACGCGGCATCAGCTGGTCCATTATGTATCAAAATGCGGTAGGCCTGTGCAGATCGTGGCGCTGCCATTATCGGCTAGCGCAGGCCGCAATCAGGCAACACCGCCCAACTCGGCCTGGTTTAAGGCATCACCCTCCATGGCCAACCTTAAGCGACGGAGGTGGCCGCGTGGCGAGAACATGAGATGGTGAGGCATCATCTCACACGTTGATGGACGAACGAATGACAAGAAGTGTGCGACGGAACTGGCGGGGACGACGAGACGCACGGACCATGTTTCCGGCTCGCTGTTAATCCGTCGTCCGTTGGCGCCGGGCCCGATGGCCCGCTCGGTCGCAAGTGCCTGAGAGTTCAACTCTCCGGTGTACCTATGTATCGTCATCCTCGCCAACGCTCGTTCTACCGCGCCGTCGCCCATCTCTGATCACACCAGCTCTCCTATATTTCCGTGCGACTATCACTAGCACCAACGACGGAGTGTGCACCTGGTCCGCAACGACGCGTTCGACGGAACCCCCAAGACCCAGATACTCGCAAGCAGTCCATCAATCACCGGACGTCTTTTATAAGCTCCCTCCGGTGAAATATCTGGGGACTGCCAGGGCTCCGGCCACGATCTGCGTCTCTGGTGTCTTGGCTGGGCCACCGATCGCTGTCACCGCACCTTACCTTGTCGCGCGCTCGTTTATCGGGGAGTTACGCCTGGAGATACTATATGCTGGAGAGGAGCAAAGACCGTTGAAGAGTTCGGAATGACGTAGGTCAGGACGCTCGTCAGTAGTGGGGTATCTTAGTTCAATTTGTAGCGCACTTGTGTTTAGCCAAACACAGCACCACAAGTACATACATGCTCACTTCTCTAGATGATAATTCAAAAACCAATAAACTCGACCAGAAGCCCGACTCAGCACCAATTACAGTGCCACTAATCCTCTGGTGAAATGCGAGGGTCCCCTGATTCCCCCGAGTCAGAGAACGTCATAACTGCACTCCAGTCTCTCCCGCATTTTCCCGAGCAGCTTCCGTACACCCAAGACAGCCAGTGGGCCAGCCTCGCAATGGCACCTCACGCTCTATCTTCCCCCGTATCAGTCTCCCGTGTGCTTGTATCCGCCTTGTCTTTGGGTTTGTCGGATATGGGGCGAAAAGGAAAGAGAATAAGAAGAGCCCTGTATCAGGCGCAGTCGTGGAACCGGAGGATGAAGACGATGGTGACCACCAGCCGATCCTTTATGTGGTAGCGATACGGACACAGCTGCGTACATCCCACATCTTTGCGAGCTTCCCGCTTCTTAAAACTTTGGATCCGAAAGTAGCTCCGCATAATTGGCTCGTCCAGCAAGCCTGCCATGTGGAAAGAAGGTATAAATATGGCCATCGGTGAATACATGTGTCGAATGTAAAGCAAAATTCATAAAGACGTCTCGAGCCGGTTCGATACGATTGCCGCAGCATAGCACTTTGGCTGATCTTCGGCCCATCCGGTAAGCGATTGTTGGAAGTAAGAGGAAGGAAGCGTTCTGGTTGTACATTTTCCTATTCGCATCAAGTGTCAATATCCCCAGGTTTAAACGGATTTTGGAGAGATGATCTTACGCCTTCGGAATCTGTCTTGGAACAACCTTGAGTATCTTACACGTTGCTTTGGCCGACCTTTTCTCGGCGTGCCATTACGCAACCCTTCCAAATCCACAGACCGGCACCCATGACGAGGATCAGAATGAGAAAAGCCAGGAGCACTTCCCACAATGTAGCCATGGTTGATGTTCGGCTTATATGAGGTGATGATGTGTATCAGTCCGGAAAGAATGGTCGATCAATTTGGTCAGGATGTCAGGGCCTCAGGCATCAAGTTTGGTGATGAGTTTTCATCTTCAGGCTGGGAATTGCTCTTCTTCTATATCATGTGGTTCAGGGGCCACAGCTTCTTGAATCTGGACCGACTTGAGGTGCCGCAGGCATCTTGGAAAAGCTTACTTCTGATACCATGTGAAGGTGAATACGCGGGACCAGACGGTTTCCGAGTCCGAAACGTGTGAACCTTCGTATTCTGGGGTGCTATGGCGGAGGCGCAGGCCCAATCGCGACGCGACGGCGGCACTCGGCACGCTCGGCTGAGCATAGGCAACGCATCCCTATTGGTCACTTCACCATCTCCCGTCTCTTTGTACTGCGCCACTGCTACGCGTCCTTCCTAACTGTTTCGGGGAGGAAGTTCTTGTTTCGCACCTCGGGTGCCGCGGCCTTCCGGATGGCCCGCGGGTTCCTGTCGATCATCACCTTAAACTCAGCAGGTAGCCATCATGTGCCACATCTCGAACGTTGTTTCGACGGAGATGTGTGAAATTATCTCTGAACAAAATGGTCCATTGAATTGTGATTGACATCTTAAGCAGTCTCATATTGCTCATGCTTCACATCTGATGGTGCTCTGGGCATGTGTTTGGAGGCCAAGACCCAAGACGATCATGCCGGCCGTGCATGATACTTTTTGCCCGATACACCCGGACCAATACCTTATACCCCATCACGTCATAGAATGGTGAGTGGATGATATCTACTTCCACATTTTCCGTCCCTCAGGTCTGGTGCAGTCTCGCGGGTTTTCATGTTACTTCAATTTGATCAGACAATAACCTCCTTATAAATTAGTCCAGGAGCCCTCATAGGGCCCTCATATGATGCGTTACAAACTAAACGAAACACAAAACGACTACGTTTGGCAATCAAGGGCTGCAGTGGCTCCAAAGCATCGGATTGTCAAATACCGAAAACGGTGGCATGGAAAAAAATGAGCAGGATGGAGATGTTTCGCGTTGTTCCCTATGTCTCCATCCGAAATGCGATCAGCAAACTGCGTCTGAGCCCTACAACGAAATGGGCAAATGAATTTCCATGACGTAGATTTTAGAGTACCGCGTTCAGATCATGCCGCACACTAACGATATGGCTAGCATTCTTTTGTCTGTACTACTCTATTAAGTAACCAAAAAACTCACTAATCTTAAGCATACACCTAAAAGGTGGGCATACCAATGTGAAACCGATCGCTGTAGGCGCGTCTAGACCCGGTAGCAAAGAGGTAATCGGGCCATCCGATCTTGAAGAAAGGCGCGCTCTGCCAAAAACGGTCGGAAGCGGCCCGGTGGCATTCTTCGAATGTTGATTTTGCTCTTTTCGCAACGCCACGATTCCTAAAAGGGATGGAATTCTTGCTGCCGAGAAAACAGACTCCAAGTACCCAATAGCTTCAAACTCATCTGATCACACAAGTTGCTGTTCATTTCCTGATGCATGAGCAAGAACGCAGTAGGTGCATCGGTGCAAGAGATATAAGAACTACCTGCATCGATACCACAATAACTTCACTAGCATCGCCCGGAATTGCTCCACGGCCATATCTCTCACCATGATGCTCCCAGCAGTTGCCACCTTGCTTGCCGTCGCGAGTCTCGCGGCTGGCCAAATCACGATGACAACCTACACAATCGAAAATTGCTTCACAGCCTATGAACGGGGCCCAGTCAACATCACAAGTGTGCCAACCTCGGTAACCGTTAGAACAGCTACCGGCAATGGATTCGCACGGGGAATCATCACGCCTGTAGTGACTGTGACTCCAGCCATTAGCACCGAGACAACAACGTCAGTGTCAACTAATACCGTGCGCTTCACCGCACCCACTGAGGCCTTGACATCGGGAATTACAACTGTCACTACGACATTCACCATCTCGTCAATCATCTCTTCCATCTCCACATTTACCAGCGTTGTATCAGTCAACTCAACCATCACCAACACCCCCACGACGACGATCCCGACGCAAGCAGGCTTCACTCCGGTATCAGTCGACCTCGCATCGTGGGGACATGTCCCCAGCCGGAAGAAGCAGAAGCAGAAGAAGAGATGGGGAGCGCTAAACGCGCGCAACGTCTTTGACAGGATGATGCTCGAAGCCCCTGAAGCTAGTCGCGGCAGCAACAACAGATGTTTGTTCAAGCACCTGGAAGCGCAGTCACCCCTTGAGACCGGCATTAGCCTTTACCCGCCTCTCTTTCCCGTGTCTGTCAACTGCACGCAGACGGTGCGCATCGACACTGTCCGCGTGTACCCCAAGCAAGGCACCATCACGTCAACCATCACAGCGCAGGCATCAACAACTACGTCAACCGCGACATCTGCTGTAACAACGACGACGACTATTGGCTCACAGCGAGTCAATGCCCTCTTGACGTTTACATCGGCTGTCACGACTGTGGTATCATCCACGACCATCTCAGTGGTATGTTTTTTGCTAAAAGCTAAATTCTCTCTCCCTGCATCGTTTTGTGCCATGAATTACTAACAAAAGTTAGTCTACCACTTTCTCCACCCTCACCAATACCTTCACTGCCAATGCGCCTGTCGCCACCGTGTTCGCTGCCTGCGCCGCCAACAACACCATCAGCCGCGTGAACGGCAACCCGATCGCGGCCGGTGCGCAGGATTTGCTCGTGCTTACGGTCGCGGATAATCCGACGGACTGCTGCGAGTTGGTAAGTAATCTTGCTGTAATTTCTTCGCTTCGCCTATATTTCTTGTATTCTTCTGTCTTGGAGAAATCTTTTTCCATCTAAGAGAAATACTACGACGCTAACGCCCTGATTTTCAAGTGTCAAATCACGTCCAACTGCACCACGTCTGCTTTCTACGACGGCACGGGTGACTGCATGCTCGGAAACGGGACGGGACCCGGGACCAACGAGTTCTTCACCACTGACGCTGAGGATGATATTATCTTCTACATCTCCAACGGAAAGGGAAACCCAAGTGGAAACTGGTATTTTGGAGGACTGCTGTCTTGAGATATGGAATTATTTCCATCAGGTTAGATGTTCGATCGCTACATTAATTATGGGTTAGGAGGAGGGGTTCTCGGAAAGCAAGGTGTTTCAGGGAAATTTCTATTTTTGCGTCCTTTAATGCCATAGTTTATTGAGCACGGATTTCTTCGACCCCAGGTCTATTGTAGATGCACTATTGTTAATGGGTGATGATCTCCTACTGTTCTAACCTATTAAACGTGCTTGGCTGAAGTGTGTTGTAGAGGTGATTGAGGGGTCCAGTCCACGGCATGACAACTGGAAATTTGAGTACTTGAAAAAGGAGGGAAATCGACTGTGTAGCCGAAGAGCACTTTTGCACCCCATGTTGATACTTTCTGAATTGGGCGATCTGACGCGGGGCGATGCAGTGAAGCGGAGCTCAGGAGTATGCCAAGAAGTCGCCGAGGTGGCGCATGTTGGCTCGGTGACTTTGATCGGTTCGACCTGTCTTCTAACAAAAGCAACTCACAAGGGGAAAAATGCACGTGCGAAATGCATCTGTTTATGCTCTTATCCTCTATCTTGTTTTATAGATGGTAGAGGAGCTGTTTGCTTTGCAGAGCGGTGAATGTGTTGAAGAGTAGATAACTCTCAGTCTCCACTGGACCCACACGATTTCAAGTCTTGGGGATGCGGTCTAGGCGCGCCCGATCCGATCGCCCGCATATCTCACTTCACCAGTGCGCATGAATTGTGGAAGAAAGTTTGGGGTGGAGGCAAGCCTCTATTGTATTCCAACCTCACGAGGTTGTGTTTATTTACATGATTTTTGTGTTTCTAAAAATGTACATACAAGAAGCAAGCAAGATTATGTACCGCGAAAGGGCGTCAGCCAGAGGCGACTCCGAACTAAGCTCCCGAGGGGCGAGACGCTTAGCAAGAGGGGAGGTCGGAGTAGACGCAGGCGTCCGAGGGGCCGGAAGAGATCTTCTCGGGCTCCTTGTCGTTGTCGTTGGTACCCTCGTACTCGACGCAGATGTCCTTGACCGAGGTGGCGCAGGTGTCGGTGATGGTGGCAACATCGCCGTAGTTGGAGTTGATGCCGACAAGGGACTTGCCGCTGTAGGCCTTGACGTTGGTGAGGGTGATCTTGCGGGCATCGCCGTTCTGCTTGCAGTCTGCGGAGATGAGATGTGAGCCACTTGCGGGAGAAATAAGCGAGAGGGGAGATGAGGGGTAACTTACTGCCGCAAGAACGGTAGAGCTTGCCGAAGTCGACGACGGTGAAGCCGTCAACGGTGATGGAGCCCTTGCCGTTGTGCTGGAGGACCTTGTCGTCGGCACCGGTGGCACCGCCGCCAGTGACGGTGGCGTCACCGTCACCCTTGAAGGTGAGGGCGTCCTCGCAGACGGCCTCCCACCAGACGTTCTCGAGGTTGCAGCTGCCCAGGCAGTGGATACCCTCGATCTGGTTCTTGCCGATGATGACGTTCTTCAGGGTGGCGCCATCCTCGAGGAGGAAGACGGCGTCCTTGTTGCCACCCTCCTTCTGGCCAGTGCAGGAAACACCACGGTCGTAGGTCTTGAGACCACCGTCGAAGGTGCCGGAGATGGACTTGGCCTCATCGTAGGAGACGGAACCCTTGGAGGAGGGGATGGGGAAGTCGGCACGCTTGTGGATGGAGTTGGAGGGGGCCGCCATGCCGGTGGCGGCGAGGAGGGAAAGGCCGAGGACGATCTTGGACTGCATTTTGTATGTTGTTGGAACGAAGGTAGTGGGGATGATCACAGATCTATCCGAAGATTGTTTTTGAAAGAATGGATGTGAGGAAGGAAGTGAGAGACTTGATGCTGGAGAAAAAACATTCTGCAGCGGTTGAGCTGAGATTTATATATCTATGTTGAAGCCTCACTTCGGCCGGCGGGAGTCTGGGCTCTGCCGTCCGAGAACAATCTGGAAGGGGGGATGTGGGGTCTCGTGGTTTGAAACTCGTGTACAACTTCGGATGCAATATGGAGCCATGGGGCTCACTGGTGATGTTGCAAACGGTCACTTCGAAAAACGAGTCATTTAGCAGCCCTACAATTCTACAGCCTGCATGCTTCAAATCGACATCAAAGAAACCTTCAGACTTTCAGCGATGGTGTTGACGCGGCCAAGTGTGCCAATCCTCTCAGGCGTCCTGGATCTGTTGAAGCGTACAAACAACCTTAACCAGATCCCAGCGTCAGGCCACGAGAGCGGCAATTGACAGGCGCCGCAACTGTCTCACCCCGTTCAGGACCGGGGTTGGTGGGACACCGAGCCCCGTCAAATTGGCAGGGAGCAGCGCTCCATGTCTGATTGTTCTTGGCAGTCCGCTAAGAATGCAGCAAACAGGACTTGGCTTTCTTGGCGGTTGGCGGCGGGCCTGGCTGTTTGAAACGTGCACTGTTAGCCAAGCCTCTGTTCTTCGGTCCGACATTCCACTTACCGTCCGCTCGGCGGACGATCGCATCCTACTTGCGTGCTACAACGATGTTCATCCGTCCATCAGTCTCAGCCAGTGTTTCCGAAGGGCCTCGCCTAGCGCGTCGGCGGCTCGAGCGTGTTCATCGGTGGTGAGCCGCAATCCCAACATCGATCACCGGCCGGGAGACAAACATGGTGGTGCTGCGGCGGGCGGAACTTCCCCTGACATTCCACTTTTTCGGCCTTCACTCGCTTAAGCCGTGTATACACACTCGTGAATAGAAGGCGCATGAAACCATGGGCAGCATATGGGATGCCTGACCATCTGTGCGTCACTTGGGCATATACAGCGTGGCGAAGAGATTCCGGCGGCCTCCCGTGTCTCGCGGTACGCCACTGCGTGCTTGTTACATTCAAGCCTTGGGAAAAATCTATTCGCAACCGGAAGAACAACTCTTATCTGTCGACTAAGTGTTTCGGGCAGGAGGCGTTTCTTGGTAGAGTGACTGGGCAAGCGCCGAGTCTGGTGTTTCCGCCGGGTATAAGAAACGGAATCCGTCCCGTGGGGGCGCATCGGCAATTGTGCGGGCGGTTCGGAAGGAGGCTGAGGTCCAGATGCGGATCGTGGATGGCCAGATTAGGCATGGTAGGGATTAACCGAAGCGCCTCTGGCGTCAGGGAGGACTCCACTGTGGCTGACCAAGCGGGATCGAACACAACTGTTTCTCTCGTGAGATCCACTAGCGGTATCCCTGGACATGCACATGAGCCTATCTCGCCCCTTTAACAGTTGTCACCGCATATTCTCGGATAGAGCAGGGAGTGTGTGCATCACGGAGAATCTCAGACGTGAACTTGTAGGAATAATCAAATCCGACGGCACAGCCTGCATCAACAAGGCCACTGGAAACTGCGGCCCGCCGGTGGCCTGCACGTTTGGCACCTCCTGCATCATGCAAGAGAGGTGAGTCTCGAGGCCACCAATCGAAACAGTTACTAAATATGACAACACAGTGTTTGTTTGTCCTTCACCGAATCCTCCGTCGAAGCCGTACGAAAAAATCACTCTGTTTGACGAACCACGCATTATGAATTGTCCACTCCTTTTCCGGCTGCACAAGCTCAAGCTGCCCAACCTCATTAGCCTAATCCTGCACACACTAACAGAATTATGAGTAACATACCTCGAAGTTCAGCAGCACAGCGGGGACCAGCTTGTACATCTCGAGCAAGCTGATATTTTTGCCGACGCACGTCCTGGCGCCGGCCCCAAAAGCAAATAGACAGTTCTTCATCTCCGCCCGCCGTGCTTCGGACCCCTCGAGCCACCGCTCCGGCCGGAACGCACCGACGTCGTCTCCGAACACGGCCTCGTCACGGTGTAGAGCCCACGCATTGCAGCCCACGATGGTGCCTGCAGGGAGGAATGCACCACAGACGGTGACACCCCCCTGCGGCACGATTCGCTCCAATGGAAGGCCGGCGGCTGGGTGCACGCGCAGCGCCTCGTTGATGACGGCACCCAGGTACGGCAGGTCACGCACGTCGCTCCATCGTGGCAGCACCAGAGACTCCTCGTCCCCGCCGCTGCCGCTGGAGGTGTCTTCCTCATTCTTCTTTTTCCCTTCCATCTCTTCAAGTTCGGCAACTAGCTTCTCCAGCGCCGCCGGTTTGCGTAGCAGGTGGTAGAAGACAGCACGTAGTGAGATGGCTGTCGAGTCTGACCCCGCAAACATGTTGGCCACGGTCAACGCGAGTACACGCTCCTCGCTTATGAAGTCCGGGTTCTTGCGGTGTGCTTCGCGGAACCGCGACAGGAAGTCCCGCTGTCGTGGTGCTTCACCATCAGCCTTGGTGCCGTCCTTTTCGTTGTTGCTTTCGGCTATGCGCCTCTTGGCGAACTCGACGACGGGCGTGTTGGAGTTGGAGTAGCCGTGCTTGCTCTTCCATAAACGGTAGGGGTTCTTCAGGAAGAGGCGGTCGAGGATGGGCATCTGGCCGACCTGGGGAGAGTTCATCGTTCAGCTCTTATTGACATGCGTAAAGGTAAGGATGTTCGACTTACCACGGAAACGTAGTTCAACAGCCACTCGAGATCGTGGATGATGCCGTCGACATCTTCGCCGCGGTCGACGAAACCCAGCCGCTTCGAATAAGTCAGCTCGCCAATAACATCGAACGCATAGTACTGCAGCCATGTGCCAAAGTCGCACGCCTCATCGCGGTTGGCGTAGCGTCTGGTCAGCTCGGACAAGAACGCTTTCGCCGTCGAGTCTACTAGCGGCTCGTACTGTACGATTGAGCTCATGGCGTAGGCATTGGACACGGCGCGGCGGAGCTTTGCGTGGAAGGCCTCGTCCGTCGAGCTAAACATGGTCAACAGGGGCCGCCCTTTGGCGATGGTTTGCTGGACGGGATAAAAGTCCGACTGGCGTAGGGTAAGTGCATGTAGCTGATCATTTGGTGAGTAGGTGCATACCTTGACGAAACCGGCGTTCAGCGCATAGATTTGCTTCGCTGCCTGGCTGTCCGAGACGATTACAGTATTCGGCCCAATTCGCACGAGGCTGCCATATTGTGCATGAAGTCGGATGTGCACCACCTCCGCCCTCCTCTTCCATACTATCCACAGCCTCCACAGATCGGTAAAGCTTGCCAAGAAGGGTCCTGGGATATGATTGATGCCGTTGGCATACTTGTTGTATAACAGGCGGAAGATTATCCCAGCGATGCAAAGCTGAACAACAAACGAAATGGTGAATGCGTCGTACAAGTGGTCGAGCAGCATGATTGCCGGAAAATGTCTTTACGGAATCATGCCTTGCTCCACTTTATGTTTTGATCCAACCTTCGTTTAAACAAAGTTTAAGCGGCCTCGGCACCCCCGCATCTGATGGTGTTGTATCCCCGCACTAATTCCGCCTTCATTCCGCACGCGTTGAGGGTGCTGTTCTCCATGTGGGGTTCCCGGCACTCTCGGAACATACCCCTCATTTTGAGGTGAGGGAGAGTGCGGTTTCTTTCCATGCTTCCAAAGATGAGTTTGTAAGTAGTCTGATTTCCTTGCCCTCTTACTCTCCCTTTTCTGCGCAGTTGCGTAGAAACGGTGTTCCTTATCTGTCAATCTTCTTCCGCTGTCACCGGCAATCTTGCACATCAGAGTTCCTACCCGACGATGATCCCGATCGATACCACCTTTTCTTTATCAGCCAACATTTGGCTCTACGGCTTTCGCCACATCCTATTCGAGGGCTTCTAACACTGAGAGCTGCTCATTTCGGAGCGATAAGGATGTTGAACAACGAATGTCCATTGACATGGATGCATACCCCAATTTCTGCCAGCATCAAGCCCATGCCGTGTCCTTTTGAAGAGTCAGCCAGTTCATAAGCTACTTACAGAGGATAATTTCAGATCATGAAGCGATATGGCATAGAGTATCTGTGGTTGGCGCTATGGCATCAGGAAAGAGCTTGGAACACCATGAGTTGACGTCTCCGGAACGCTCGGATGCATAGCGGAGCGATCAGGCGGAGCGGAAAGCCCAGCGGAGAAGAATGCAGCGGAGAGGAGTAATTGCAAAGCGGAGATGCAATCATGCAGAAGCGGAGCCTATTTGCAGCGCCACGGGTAGGGCGGAAAGTTAAATCGGCTCCAACGGCACACGAGGCACGTGCCCTCCCCACTCCAACCAATAAACTGGTGGCGTTTTTCGGCAACACCACTATACAACGTGGATCTAAGGTGTGGAGCTTCTGGAATTGCGGCAAAGAGAGGGCCCCGGTGTGGCTGTCTCCAGGGTCAGCTCACGGCATGAAGTGGGCTGTTTGATGACCACCCTCCCGTCCTCCCGTCTGCACATCGAGCTACCTCTTCAGGCTTTGCCGTGGTGATCTCCCGCAGTGCAACTTCCTCCGCATTCTTCACGATGCCGACTTTCCCGTTGAGACTCCACAGGCCTCTCTGGCTGGTGTCTGTGCTGACCTAGTCCCTTGCCGAATCTCCGCCACGCTTATATTAACGCACTCACAGGCTCTGGAACATGGGATTGAACGTCTACGTTGAACTGACAAGACCGCAGGCAATAAGTTTAGCAAGCGTTAGCTTGTATATCAAGTAGCGGATCTAAATCTGGGAGAAACAAGGCGACTGCAAGCAAGCCGACTGCAAGCAAGGCGACTGCAAGCAAACGTCTGACAGGACTTGTTATTTTCCTCGTGCCCAACGACCATGACATGACTGATGGCTTTCATCTCCCACGTTAGTCTACAAGACTAACTAGCAGATATACGAGAAGCCGTATCGACTACTGATAGTAGGCCTGATTCCTCTTCTAGAACGCTAACGTCCTGTCGTGATGTTTCAGGGGTAGACCGTCACGACCCGGGAACGATTGTGGGCTCGAAGAAGCAGCTGGGACAGGCAAACGGCTTCTGTCTGTTCATGATACTATCGCGGTGTAGTTTTGCACAATCCACTCGCCTGTAGGTATACGAGAAGGTGAGGACGCTAGAAGGGTGCATTGACGGCGCTTTACCGGATCTGGTAGGCATAACGGCCGAAGAGCTCGTATTCACCACACCACCCGCTGTTTTTAGAAACCCCTTTAAAGCTATAGCACCGTCAATCTCAGCCTTAAATACCACGCCCAGAGCCGTTGTTTATCACGACGCAGATCTCTCGTCTCTCCACAGTCACTCGTTCACAATGATTGGAAAACAAAGCGCCGGCCTCCTGGCCACTGCTGCCGCAGTCTCAGCATCGGTCATCGAGCTGCCTGTCCACATCCAAAACACATATGTCAGTATTCCGCGCAATTGGCACAAGAAAACACACAATTGACGTCATCCACAGTCCTCGGTCCAATTCAATGTCGGCACGCCCGCCAAGCCGTACCGCCTCCTCTTCGACACCGGCTCATCGACAGCATGGATGGTCAACTCCGACTGCACCGAATCCTCGTGCCCCAACCTCAGCGGCTACGACCGCGTCGGCTACAACATCTCGGCCTCCACCAGCGCCGTCGACCTCGGCGCATCGGCCTCGATCCCGTACATCGACGGCGACGGCGTGACGGGCGACGCCGTGCAAGACGTCTTCTCCGACGAGCGCGGCACGGTCGAGTGGAACCAGACCTTCCTGTCCGTCAACGCCAGCAGCTGGCGCTTCATCACGGCCGACGGCTTCCTCGGATTGGGCTTCTCGTCCATCGCGGAAAACGGGACCTCGTCGCTCGTCGAGACGCTGCTGTGGGACGGCCAGCTCGACGCGCCGCGCTTCGGCCTCTACTACGGGACCAACCTGGCCGACAACGGCACGCAGGACGGCGTGCTGACGGTCGGCGGCAGCCACGAGGAGACGTATGTGGACGAGGAGGGTGTCGTCTTCGCGCCGCTGCGCAAGGAGGACCCGTATCAGCTGTGGCGCGCGCCGCTGCGCTCCGTTACCGTCATGGCGACCGGCACGAATGCGACGATTAACGTGCGCAACGACGGCAAGCTGCCGACGACCAGCGCTGGCGGCCTGATTTCGAATGCTGTGGGTGCGAACACGACGTGGTCCATGTACGGCTCGGGCACCGCCGTCTTCGATACCGGCGCGGGCAGGATCTCGGTCCCGACCAACATTGTCGATGCCGTGTACTTCAACCTCGGCTGGAACAACACCAAGCTGATGACTGGCGAGGAGCGCATGGAGTGCCAGCACCTGAACGCGTCGTGGGCGCTGTCGTTCACGCTTGGCGAGGAGGCCGAGGAGGATGATGTGACGTTTACCATTCGTGGTGACGAGTTCGTCAGGCCTGGCGACCAGTGCATGCCGCCGGTTGACGACAGCGATGGCAATGGCTTCGCGTTGATTGGTGCCGCCTTCTTGCGCAGGTTCTATTCCATCCACGACTTCGGTGCGGATAAGGTTGCGGACTATCAGCCGAAGATCGGATTTGGAAGGTTGAAGAAGGAGTACGACTACCTGTACCAGTAAATGAGACGGGTTTACGAGTGATATTGTAAATAGGAATGATGACGACTGTATATATGTAGAATAGTGGCCCATGGACGAAATACTCCAAGGGATGCCATCTCGTTGCAATCAATGATTGAGAACATACCAAAACGCCTTCGCTTCAAGAGTTTCCTTGTGTTTCAAAATCTCATTGTCTCCGGCTTCATCATCACCCACGCCGACGTCGGCGGCACCGTCCCCACCGTCAACGGCAACTCCACCGGTTCTCTCTCCTGCGGCATCTCCACCGGCGGTGGCTCGCCCGAGATCTCCGCCGCAACACAGCCGTCCATCTCTTGCACCTCCCTACCTTCCAGCTCAAGTGTTACCCGGCCATTGCCCTGCTGGCTAGACTGCTCCGTCTTCCGCCGCTGGAACTTGAACTCGCGTCCACTTTTCTCACGCCGACCAATTATGTAGCCCCAGATCATGATGGAGCCCATTGCGATAAGCAGGAACGGCGCGCCAATGCCGACGGCGAGTGCGATAGTGGACTTCGGGATGCCCCTCGTGTTTTCCCACGTCTTTTGCGTCGTTTCAGCTGACTTGGCGGCATTGGGTGACGCGGTGGGACTCGAAGGTACTATCGTCGTTGTGATCGCTGCTACTCGTGGATGCACGAGGGCCATGGCGGACATGACAGTCGTGGCGGCGCCGCTGCCTGCTCTCCCAAGAAAAAAAGACTGCGGAACCCAGTAAGCTGACAGCTAGCTGTGCAGCTGCGGCCAGCATGAGCGGGGAACCACTCGGGTCGGTCCGAGGCGCAGGCGTATCGACCAGTTATATTTTGCCGAATCCGTGGCGGTTGGCGGGTCGTGGAGAGAGAGTCATGACAAGATGTCTGGGCGTGATCGAGATTGCGACGACTTGCGCAAAGCTGCGATAAGTATCGTTTAATCTGACGAATTGGGGGCCGTATGCACGTTTGCTTGATGCTGCGGCGTAGACTGCGGATTGGGATCGCTGACCTTCCCGATTCGGTAGAGTAGGCTGATAATGCATGTTCGGAGATACTAGCATCCTCCTCCGAGGTCTAGTAGCTGATATAACCTCACAGAAAACTTTGAATGTTGCACAATGATACTTGAATATTTCTGCTTCTGACTTGTGGCGCCTGAGCGCCTCGATCGCTGGGCGTGCTGTAAGTTGGATTTAAGTATGCTAATTCAGGTCCCGGTAACTGCTACCGCACTCGTATACATCTGTGTGACTTTTCCTGTATATCAATCTACAAGTGATTCTTTTTTTAGTCACTCACATTTTTATTAAAATCCGATAACCGCATCATGTTCTAGAATTCATTTGGACAAGGCACTGCTCATGTTCAATCTAGAATAATTTTCAAGCCACTGAGAGAATGTAAAGACCTGTGGGTACTTTTGTTTAGGACCTTTCAATAGGTTTAAATGAATCTCGAATGGTTATGAAGAGCCCCCAATGACTCACCGCATGCACAGAATCCGAAACGTGTTGGAAATGCAAAGAATTTGGTAGGCCGAAAGCAAGTGCGGAATGATCACATGGATCACGTTTGCAGCCAACACATTCATGCGAAGGGCTAGCCTGCGAATCGCCTATTGCGATTATAAACGGGCCAGGATTCTCTGGGCCAACCGGCGTTGGAAACGTGCACTCCCTAAATCGAAACGTGTGAGTTGGCACTCTTGGAGATGCGACTGATATTTAAGCATGTGCTCGTGATCACTGGCAATGAGCATTGGACCATATGTCCCAAGGCTGGCGATTGCAGTAAGCCGTGCAGCAGTAGTCTTGCCCAAAACTGGTTTGCGTCGAACAGGGGTGGTGCGGGGTTGACACCACCTCACGCAGAGGCAGAAATGATGAAGCCTTAAACACGACGCATATTCTGTATCGTAGGACATTCTGACCCGTGGAACTTTCCGTTACTTTTCGGAACCTGGCTCAGTTTCATCCTTTCAATCTCTGGCAGACTTTTGTCTGCAACACCAGCCCAGGCTGACGATCCCTCTGATGAGCCGTCTTTCTGCTTGAAAGAGAATCGCAGTGGTGCCACAATGGGCTGGTGCAAATTTGGTGGTGACATCGTCACATTTCAGGGGGAAGACGGAGACGTCAGTAGAGCTTCTCCCAATACACATCACCATGACGCCTTCTGCAATTTCTGTAGTGAGGTACGTTTCTCTGCACATGGCAGCTTTACCTGCTTTCTGAACTCTGTTAGACCATATATCGTATTCGCTACAGATGTACCCAATGCGTCGATCTCGATTCCTGTGATCGCTGCCTGAGTAAGGCAGAAGACCACATCTACGGCCATTCAATGATACCGATCACCGATCCCGATACGGATGCACCTCCCAATCATGTGCCGTTGTTCTCCACTTACTATGATCTTCAACTGGCCTCCAGCCGCCTCACTGAACAAAACAATCCCGAAGAGGTACTTCGTGCAAAGGCTACTGGAGACAATTCTGTAAAGGAGATAGACATCACATGGTGGCCCAAGGATGGTTCGAGATTCGTCGATGAACACGGGGAAATCCTCCAACACGTTGCACCCTCAGAACAGCCTGAGGAGGATGGAGAAGAAGACAGACACTATTTTGACCCCAACGCACCTCGGAGGCAAATTGTCTTCTGTCAGCCTGGAAGCGCGCCGCCGGAGCTTCCCGACCATCAGGTTGCTTGCTTTGTGTCGCCAACCTCGTTCTATGAAACCATGGTATCCATGTTCGCAGCCATGAGGCAAACTCGGACAGTTCCAAGCCACATGTGTCCACGCATGTACGAGTATACGCCGCTCACTTCTGGCCAGAACATCCGGATTCTCACACTGTGGCCTGGTTCAGGGGATACCCAAATCCGTTGCGAGACACGTGAGATAGCACTCGGAGCGGGAGAGTACTACGAAGCACTGTCATACACCTGGGGTGATCAATCCACTGGGACGTTGATCAGCTTCAACGGGCTTCTGCTTCCGATAGCGCCAAATCTATGCAGTGCGTTGCTACACTTGCGCCTTCCGGACAGACCGAGGACTCTATGGATCGATGCCGTGTGCATCAATCAGTTGGACAACGAAGAGAAGAGCATGCAGGTGCAGATGATGCGTGAAATCTATCAAGAAGCTTCAAAGGTCATTGTTTGGCTGGGCTCAGCCCAAGACGACAGCAATGCTGCAATGGACATGATCACGGGGGATGTGACGGCTGGGTGTGAGGAGGCAACAGTACCAGGTGACTTTGATTTCTTCCACGACGACGACCTCCCCCAGAGCAAAGGCAAACAGCCTGTTAGGGATACGTTCAGGCAGGACCAACATTCAAAGTCTTTCGATCCCGAGCAGCTTTCAGATGACGGAGACACTATTCGAGGTGATACTGAAGGTGCAGAAAGTGATAGTGAAAGAGCATGGGGTGCACTTCTTGCGTTAGTGCAACGACCCTGGTGGACACGGGCGTGGGTCTTACAGGAATACACCGTCCCAAAGAAGGAACCAATCTTTCAATGTGGGAAGCAGGTCGTGACGGGCAAGGAACTACAAGAGATGTGTTCCCTCCCTCCCAAAGCTATCGAATCGATTTCCCGTTTCCTCACTCCGGAGACGGTGGCGTTGAAGGCAGCATTTCGGCTCAACCCGCTATTCATGACGCGCGAAAAATTTCAAGAAGACGGCCAGCTGGACTTACGGCGCCTCCTACGATACAACCTGAACTCGCAAGCGACAAATCTCAGGGATAAAGTGATCGCACTTCTCGGTCTCACATCCCAGGAATGCCGCGATGCGCTGATTCCCGACTATTCCAAATCCATCACTGAGATCTTCGCAGAGGCAGCAAAATACATCATCCAGTCCACAGGAGACCTGAACATCCTCTCCATCAACACCAACTCCAGCCGCGAAACCGACCCGCCCCTTCCCTCCTGGGTCCCGGACTGGGGCCTCTTCGCCACCCGCGCCCTGACCCTCCTGCAAAGCTTCGTCTACGAGGCCTCAGGCCCATACTCCGCCTGCATCGGCCCATCCTCCGAACCCGACATCCTCGAAGCCGGCGGCATCCCCATCGACCGCGTCACGCACGTCACCGACATCATCACCCCCGAGAGCGTCACCAGCGGCGGCCTCGACACCCTCCGCCGCACCATCCGCGCCCTCCACGACGAACTCCTCTCCGCCATCACCACCTCGCGCAGCACCACCACCACCACCCACACCAAGCGCCCCGACATCGACCCCGACCGCCTGCACCCCCCCGACTCGTCGACCCCGCGCCGCCGCAACCCGCGCAAACGCCGCCTCAACCCCGACCAATTCTGGCGCACCCTCGTCGCCGACCGCTACATGCTGCCCGACCAGTCCTTCGAGAGCCCCGCGCCCGCCGCCTTCGGCCAGCTGTTCGACCTAATCTTCGACGAGCACCCAGACACTAGCTGCATCCCAGTTGACTTCCTCCCCGCGGCCCCGCCTGCTACGCGCCTCGAACGCTTCGTCGCGCCGCTGGCGGCGCAGATGGGCCAGGTGCTGGCGACGCGCCGCGTCTTCGTGACCGAGGGCGGGAGGACGGGCGTCGGGCCGGCCGAGGCTGCGGTGGGGGATGTTGCGGCGGTGTTGATGGGTGGGGAGATGCCGTTTTTGTTGAGGGAGGTGCCGGTGGAGGAGGAGGGGGAGGAAGGGGAGGAGGGAGAGGAGGAAGGGGAAGGCGGGGAGGAGGGGCAGGGGCGCGGGCCGGGGATGGTCAAGTTGGTGGGGGAGGCGTATGTGCATGGGGTTATGCATGGGGAGGTGGTGGAGGGGTTGCCGGGGCCCGGGGAGGGGTTGGAGAGGTTTATGGTTATTTTTCGGATTTGTTGAGGGGTGGGTGGTGTGAGGGGGTGATGGGGTGGAGAATTTGATATGGGTTTTTGTGTTGTGTGGTGTATCTCATTGAATGAAATAATCTCTTCACGCCGCAACTCTCAGCCTCGCACCAAAGTGTCTTCGTAACATTTTATTTGAGCATAGCCGTGCCGTTGTTAATAAAAACTCTCAACATCCACTAACCCATAATCCCGTACGATACAACTGCCAACCAACTCATAAGTACGTGCTGGCCCTCGGACAAAGCTGTATTCTCGACTTATACCCTCATAGTTTCTTACAACAAAATAATCGGATGTACCATATTGTAGAATTTGATCTTCAATTTGAAGACGAGAAGGGCCAATTCCAAGCCTCATACCATATATGTCAGCACAGACGAAAACACACCTCCCTTTCATTATGCAAGCTACCTGCTCGAAGTATGTCATATCATTCTGATCTTCACACGAGGTAGACTCAATCAGCTTCAAAAAAGCTTTCGTATAGATATTGCAAATCAGTATTTATATCTTGGGAGAAATTAGTTCCTGTGGACACTTACAAGATGGTTTTGGGAACGTTTTTCCAACCTGAGAGGCAAAAAAAATCTCCAAAAGGTGTTCCAACAGAGTTTTCGAAGATGGGACATGGTTGGGGAACTCGACGCTGCGACAGGTGTCCGACATAAATTGTGATACGTGCTCGATCCACCTACAGACATACTCCTTCTTCGGATCAGAAGGAAATGGGTCTCCTTTCGAACAGATGGACGGTTGAGAGATATGAACGCTCATGCTTCTGTGGATATCTTTGCCACCCCGATCTGGAATAAATAAATTGTTTATTGTGGTGAATTGAGCATATGGATTAGAATAAGGCAAGCGGTCTTCAAAGGTAATTGCATACTCCCCACTCTCCAAGCGTTCTAAATTGACAAACCCCGTAGATTTGAACAGGGTGTTCGCTACCACAGATCTTCGCAAAGGTCTTAATCTCCAGTCAGGTACCCATGATGGGAGCCCAGGAGCGGTGCTTCCGTTGTGACGGTCTGATGCCATCTTCAAAATCCACTGCAGCTGTCCGTGGAAACACATGGCTGTGGCGAAATCGATGTAAACTTCTTCAGTAGTCTTGCTATAGTCTGGGGTAATGTTCACACATCTTTGGACGCCTGATAGAGCATAAATACGATCATGTGGATCGGCGCAGTCGGAGTGATCAAATTGTTCCATAATCGCGACCATGGGACACTCGTGATCGTGTGTTGGTAAGCCGTCCCAAGCCTCATCCTCAGCGGAAGGTATCGGTCCGCAGGCCAGCTTGCTCCAAAGCTCTTCCATTGCTCGTACAGACTTGAACAAGAGAGATGATTCAACTCCAAGCTGGTTAACAAGGTTGAACAAGCGAATTATCGACATCGTCTCAGCTCCGCAGAATACGGTGACATCAGGATTCACGACGGCCTCCTGAATAACCCAACGTCGGGCGAACCATGGAAGACGAAGGATACCACAGAGAGATTCGTGTGCGGCTTCTATCTCGGCGTTGGGTGACCCGTTCGCAGGCGTGTGCCTCCGGGAAAACTCATTCAAGAGACGCATCATTGCTTCCTCTTCTTGCTGGTGACCGAGCCAGATGTTGACGTGAAAGGCGCGTCGATATATGGACATCATCATGGGTATCTGACTACTTTTCTCCTCGTTGTCGAGTTGGTTGATACAGATTGCATCGATCCAAAAAGTCCGCGTGTGCAGCAGATACCTCATCCGCTGCAACAGCTCTGCCAAATTTGAGGTAATGCGAAGGACTCTTGTTTCATCGAGGACATTTGCCGCTGCCACATGTAGTAAGTGCGGGAAGACCGGTTCGCCCCAGGTGTATGATATCGCTTCGTAGGGATAATCATCGTGATCAAGCTGGACAGTTCGCAGCTTGCCGCATAGGGCGGCGTTGCGGTCCATGGAAGGTTCTAAGTCAAGAACTCTGATGTGGTCTCCTTTAGGCAATTGTTCATATTCGTACGTCGGACGGTCTTGGGTTCCCGCCATTTTTCATCGAGGGGTGGAATAGGTTGTGAAGCGCAAGGCTGGCGAAGATAATATGGCTGCTTCACATGCTTATGTCACGTGGAAGTGGGTACAGCAAATCTACGTCTTTGTTTGGTTGTGAGCTTTATGCCTGGTATTGAATTGCGGGGCGGTCGTCTTGTTCCCTATTTCCGTTGTTGGCAAGTGCGACCGGCGACGTCAGCCGGGGTTGTTAGTGCACTCATCACCCGTTACTTCTCCTCAGCTCAGTTCTTTGTCGTAGCCACTCAACGTCAGCATTCTACCCTTGTTTCACTTCGTATATCCGCTACCTGTTCCGCTGCACCCCGACACCCAATCCTCTACCCAGAAACCGCAGGCCGATCTCCGCGTGGTCGAAGCCACAGCATCCGCGCACCCCCACGACCCCGCCTACCACCATGTCATCCGATCACGTGCCAAGCCCGAACGACGTCTACGCCGTGCGCAACATCCTGCGCAGCCTCAAGCTGCCGCCCGAGCTGGTCCTGTCGATCCTGGCCTTCGCACGCTACAACCCGCGCGTGCACGCGGCCCGGCACGAGAACCGCAGCTACCGCGCCTCGAGCATGCCGAACCATTGCGTCGCCGGCCTCTACCTCTGCACGCCGGTCATTCCCGTCCCGCATCCCTCCGAAGGCTACGACGACTTCAAGATCGCCGCCGTTACCTTCGTGCTGCGCAGCGCCGACCAGGGCTGGGGCGGTGATCGCGGCCATGGGCTGTATCGCGGCAGCTGGACCTGGTTTGAGGCCAGCATTTTGCGCCGCGCTGAAGGTGTGCCTGAGGATGGACCAGTCGGCGACGGCATTGAGCATGGCATGTCGCATAGGCTGAGCGAGCCGGCTGCCGCGCGCGAGCTGCTCAATGCGCTCGGGTGGGACTTTGCGAAGAGTGAAGACGGCAAGGTTGCGTGGACGGTGCAGTGCAATCGCGTGGCCCACAGGGCGCCTGTAGATCACGAGGTGTGCTGGAGACGTCATGAATGCCGTGCGAAGCCGGAAGGTGACGATGATGGAAAGGGTGATGGAGCTGGATTTTTGGAGCTGATGAGGCCTGGAGACAGGGTTGCATTATGGGGGAGGGCTCAGGTAAGATATGAAGAATGACGATGCTGCGTGGTCTTTGCTGACCAGACCAACAGTTTCCTAGCTGGGTGAACAACGTGGAATCGGCTGAGATCACCGTTGATTATGAAGTTTAAAGTCCCCTTTTAACCTGGCAAAAGCACCTGAGCAATCGCCTATGAGAATGGTTTGTAAAAAGGACGTCGGGTCATTGATATGACGGTTCATATTCAATCGGGGTTGCAGAGCCTATACGTACAATGCAACCCCAACCACTCTCCTTCATGTCTCCTCCGCAGTATAGCTAATGTATAATACTTTCAGATTGCGGAAAGGGGCTATGGAATTTGCAATGATTAGCCCGCACCTCCATCGAGGAGACAAATAACACAATACCTGGTGTTTACCCGACGATCTTCTCCACCCAGCTTGAAGTAATGCGCCCCTTAGTAGGGGCACTCTCGTTATGTCTCGGCCTTTGTTCTCGAGATTCCCAGTGCATCAGAAATGCATTTACACGGACTCGTTGAAACAGATGAGTAGCGGTTCCAAAGTCATTACCTCTGAGGTTGCATGACTATCGCTTTTCGTTGTTAAGAATCGCTGTCAGTATGAGCCCTTTCAATTTTTTTTTTAGAAAACACAGGCGTGACTTCGGAGCAGAGGAGTGCTAATCGGCGTGTATATCACTGGACCTTTGATGAAATTTCTTTGTTTCATTATAGCTTGAAGCGGCGTTCTAGAACAAACAGCAGTGCCAAGCAGCTGACTTCGTTGAGCTTCTCACATGTGTGCCACTATTTAAAACCTCAATACGGCGTGAACGCATTAAGATAGCAGAAGGTTGTACTAAACTATTTAGACTAAGCGGCCTTGCGATTAGGTTGGTTGCCTAGTGCATTTTCGGCCCCGCACCGAGCTGTAAGGCGAACATGGGGGCTGAAACAAATGCAAGGCCCACCAGCTACGTCATTTTTATCGCCGATGTAGCACCACGTAATCTTGCACCTGGGCTTGGGCGGAGAAGAGAAAGTTGGCTCACCTTTACCCTCACCTCTCACTCTCCAGTTTTCTCGAACTCGATGCAAGCTCTTTCATGTTCTTCACATAGCATCCGCCTTGAACATGTCACCAACGGAACAGGAAGAGGTCCCGTTTGAGGCGTTGTTGTTGGAATATGTCAGCCCGGAGCCGGCAGATCCAGGCTTGGAAACCGCTACGGGTCTTGTAGCTTTATTCTCCGCAAATCGGGACTATTTTACCTCGGAATACATGCGCCATGCTTGGAAATCAGGGTCCATCAAGAACAAGTTGGAAGAGGCTAAAAACTTGAAAGCACAACAGAAAGCTGAGAAGGTACCTTTACAGTAATCAGGGCAAGCTGATGGCTGACTTTCCATCTGCAGGCGCTTCCTTCTGACGTTCACTTCAAGCACGACCGTTTGCAGAGTGATGCGGAGTGCTTCCGTCTTCTCAAAGTCATGTCGGCGGATCCAAAAGGCCTGATTGAGTGTTCCGTGGAAGAGTTCCGGTTTGATCAAAGGCCTCCTTTCGTCGCGCTCTCTTACGTATGGAGTGACAAGGGCCCCGTTGCAGAATTTTCAAGAGATTTTCGCACTCCCGATAATGACCAGCTTTGGCCGTTCAACCCCTACGAGACACGAAAAATTATATGCAATGGAAAACCATGTATGGTGAGTGCCAACCTTCATGCTGCCCTTCTCGGACTTGATGGAAGTCTCGACGGCCGCTATCTCTGGGTGGATGCCATATGTATCAACCAGGAGGCAGGCGAAGAGGACCACGAGAAGAATGTGCAAGTGCAGAACATGCATAGGATCTATGGCGGAGCAGATGAGGTTTTTATCTGGCTGGGCCGGAAGCACAAAACACGGGATATCGCATTCAGTCTCGTCGAATCATGGCCTCCTTATCCCGAAGACGTAAACAACGCAAACATACGGTTTCGGGGCAAAACATATCGCACAGCAAAGGAATTCATGAACGCATCGGCTGCGACAGCAGAGTTCGTGTCATGGCATTTTTTGATGGTAGCAATATCGGAAGGGTGGTTCCAAAGGTGAGTACATGAGTAGCCTAACAACATCTGATGCCGGATCTCACATTTACTCAGAGTATGGACACTTCAAGAGTTCATATTGGCATCCAAGTACGCATTCTTCTACGGCGGCAAGCAAATTCCTACTACGTCTATCAAGAATGCCATGTCTTGGGTCTACTTCATCTGTCAGAGCGGGCCTTCTACCATGTTTCCGGCATGGGTGAACTTCCAGCCTTCCATCTTCACCCTGAAGCGACAATGGGATGAGAGAGAACAGAAATTTGACTTCACTGAGAGCGTATTTCTTGGTGGTACCAGACTTGCGACAAACCCCCGTGACAAGGTATATGCCCTGATGGCACTCATGGAGCCAGAATCTCTACAACCATCAATAAATGAGGGCGCCAAACTCCCTGTACTGGAAGTTGCCTACAGAAGGCCAATGAAGGACCTTTACCTGGACATTGCTCTCCGTCTCCTTTACGGAAAAGCAGGTCTTTCCATCCTCTCTCTCGTAAACCACCCCCTTCCCAAGGCAACCTACAAGCCGAAATCCAAAAAGCCCATCGGCAACCGTTTGATTGACGAATACCGCGGCAAGTCCAGAGGCTGGACAAAAGAGAACCGCTCCGTCATCAAACCAGAAGAAGATGTTTTCCTCCCCGAATTGCAGCCAGACTGGGAAAGTTGCGCCCGCACCGACGCCTTCCCGTCGTGGGTGCCGAAGCTGGCCAGCTCTCTCGGCAGCCAGCCCTTCTTTCAGCGGGCAGGCCCCGCCGGTCAAAACGTCTTCCGCGCCGCGTCGAACGTACCACCTTCTTTCAGCACTGCAGAGGCTGATGGCCACCGCGTACTGTCTGTCGCGGCCAGGCCATTCGACACCATCAAGACGGTAGTCAGCCTCCCCCAATCGCTCGGAGAGCTGCACTGGAGCAAGTTCGCGGAGAAAGCTCAGCGCACGGAGTTCTGGTCGCTCGTCACATCCCTCGTCAACAAGAAGCACGGCGGCAGCAGCACCTACGCACCCACCGGAGAGCGTACCGTCTCCGCCATCTGGCGCACCCTCATCACCGACATCTGGAACAGGCGGCATCCGGCACCAGACTACGTCGAGACCTTCTTCCTCAACTGGCTGGCCAAGGCGAGCTTGCAGGACAAGCTACGCCGTAGCCTGGACCTGGAGAAGGAACCGGACCACCGCAAGGAGGAGATCTTCATGATTGTGCTGCGCGATGTGGGGATGGATCGGAAGTTTGTCGTTACGGAGAAGGGGTATTTTGGACTGGCGCCGCCGACGGCGAGGGTTGGGGATGCGGTTATGCTGGTGGCGGGGATGTATGTGCCGTTTACGTTCAGGAAGCATGTCGCTGGGGAGAATGCGTGGTTGCTGATGGGTGAAACGTACGTGCATGGCATTATGGATGGCGAGTTTGAGAGGGAGACATGTTCTTTTGGGAATATTGATATCCTGTGAGGAAACGGTGCATGCCATTTGCTGGATTCTACAGCTACGCCGCCTGAACCCCAAAACGTCTCACCATCAAACACGAAGAATGAGTCACCAAAAAGAAAATCAGTAAAGCAAACGGCAAAAGAGAAACTCCCCCGGACAGGCTTGAACTGTCAACCTCCTGATTGCAGCAGGTAACTGGATATGTTACCATTTAACAGTCAGACGCGCTAGCCAATTGCGCCACGGAGGATGCTGGGGGGCGAGTTTGTTTGATTTATAAATAGTTCAGGAGCGGGACTGCTCTGACTTGAAGCCAAGTAGGCTGTTGGAGACGGTGTGGTTTACGGATACAGTGTTCTATTGCTTTTATCATACGAGTACCATATATATCTTTTTTAGATATTCGCCTATAACATGAATGACGGGCGAAGCTAATGGTTTCCATTAAGCGTAATGTACATACAGGATCTACTCTAACCTTTCATGAAATGTGCTACATCGTTTTCGTCCCTTCTTAGGTAAACCTTCATTTCTCGGGCAATTTTGTGAATGTCATCCCGCTCTTCCGCAATCAAGTCTGCCCGATCGAAGCCAATTATGCCATGTAATAGCAAAGGAAGGAGGTCAGCTTTCCAAACTGGGGCACCCTTGCGGTTGTTTCTTATCAGCGTAATAGCAAAGAAGGCCGCACTAAGAAGAACCAATACTCCAGGCAATATGATCCATTCCCATTGAATGACCACGAAAGTCTCTGGCTGCAGTACAGTTCCAGGCACAGCGGTTGTCTTGCTTCCCTTCGCCACCTGAAGTGTAAGGCTATCAGCGATGCTCTGAAAGGTCTTAGGGATGTTTGATACAGCCAGTAGCTGGCGGCTGGGATTAAAAGCACCGGGCTGCGACGAGCTTGATGCATCAGATGCGAGAGAAAAGTAAAACGTCTGACGCACGAATTTTGCGATGCTAATGACGTCTATACTTGCAATTTGAAATGATGAGCTCGTCCACGGATGCTCCGTGATATTAGAGGTAAACAGGTAAGAGCCGTTGGTGAACTTAATACCAGATAATGGCGAATTATGTGTTGTGTAACTCAAGCTTCCGTTGGTCTGTCACGCAGTCAGGTTAGATAGAAGCCGGTCATTCGAATGATACGGGTTAAGAAACTCACCACTTTCACGTCTGACCATGACCTCATGCACCACTTTAATCGGCAAGCGTGTACTTCTGGATTCCCGGAGTATGGAAGCCACCCTCCATAGGACTGGGATACTGAAAGCGACATCCCAGCCTTCCTGAATAACAGAACCTCCGTAAGAAGATCGATACCTGGCGGGGCCGGAAGGTCTTTCGTTCTCCCCGCAATCACTGGGTTCTTGTCCGGTGCAGCGGTCATTGCTGTGTAGTTTATGACTGTGTGGTTTCTTATAGCTCCAACATAGGCCCCGGTCGTGGTTGCCCGGGAATCTGAATCCGCTTTGCAAAGTTGTGTAGCACCCACACTTAGACTACTTTCCGTTTCCCACACATCGAACCTTTGCCCCACTGGATCGCACTTGCCCCGGGATACGCTGGCTGTTATATTTTCGCAAATGCTACATACGCCCAACGATGAGAAGCTATCCCAGATGCAGTTCCCCGAGGGGCAAACTGGAGCGATTGGATCTACAGTGCTGAATATACCATTGAGAAGGGAGCCTTGCATTCCAGGATCGGAAAAGAAAGCATCGAAAAATCCAGCCCCTAGAGCCTGAGGGTCCAAATAAGTACCTACTAAAAAGTTAACAATTGTTCCTGGGTGTTTCATATGCACTGTGGAAATGGAGATAGCTGACCTGTTTGTAGAGTCCGAGTCTGACCTTGCGGCGAGCTGCAGCTATCATATGCTCGAGTAGCAAGGATGTGCGCTTTCTGTGACGGATTCGGAACATGGCGTGTTTCGAAGTGGACGACTTGTTGGGCGAAAGGACCCATTGCCAGGGAAAGTATTGTCAGAAGAAACCCTGCAGCAACCATCGGAGAGCGCACCCCAACGCTGAATAGTGAGGTGAATGCGCCCCAGGGACCTCGGCTTGCTCTGTCAAAAGTCTCCAGATGGATGAGATCCCTTTGTTGGTGCCAGAAATGTATCCACTTCAATTGAGAGATACACGCAGCGATCGGTAGCAGCATTGCTGTCTTCGCAATGGTGATGAATGCCGATATGAGCGTCGCGGGGGCTAATACAAATTTCCAGCTAAGCAAAGGTTTGTTGTGGATCTGAGGAAGTATGGCAATGATCGCAATCATTGCAAAGATGCTGATAATTGCCCCAGTAGCTTCCCAAAGCCACACATTGCCGAAAAGCTCTCCTTTGTACCATTTCAATGAAAGAAACAGATCCAGAGGCATCCGATGCTGTTTGACCACGATGTTCCGATGGAACAAAATGTTTGGTTTGCCTTTGAGTTGCTGTGGTGGAGCTACTTGCCAGGTGAGCTCAGAATCCAGGGGGTGGATAGGCAATGGAGAATGTGAGCGCTGGTCAGAGTTTGAAGAGATAATTGAGACTTCGTCAGAGTCTCTTGAAGTACGCCTTGTATGATTGCTCTGTGTGGCTTCTTGAGTAATCGTGGACCAGTCTGCATCATCACACAGCGGGTCATGTTGACCAGGGGCAGATGCTTCTCTCTCTTCCATATCGGCCAGCTGAGATTGTGAATGCCTCAAAATGGAAACAAAATGTTTTGGGATGATAGATGAAAGAGGACAGATATTCGGAGCATATTGAGTGACATAAACTATTGCTAGCTGCCTTTAAATATAGCTCTCTGGCACTCTTTCAGGCATCTTGAGCTGCGGAAAAATGTTTCTGTAAGGCTATGCAAGTTTGCCTTACATGGTGAAAGTGCTCCAATCAAGTGTGCAATATGAAGAGTTGGTCATCGCAGCACAAAGCCCGCACGACAATGACGGATCCTGCGGACGAGGGGCTTGGTGGTACATAAGTCATTTTATAGACCACAGTCGTATTAAAACATGTTCAGCTGCAACTACACGTGTACACGACTCTACACAGCCTCTTCAGGTTTGCCTTATGCAACACACCCGTTGCTTTCGTTCCCATTTTCTAATGCTACGATCGTCATTCAACCCAAAGGTAGGGGAGCATATATTTTCCTGCAGCCTCCAAAAAAATAGCGTAAGTGAACGTTTTTGTTTAGACAATAGCATTAATCTGTTTCAATGCAGAGCTTATCTACGGAGATTTGTACCAGAAGTCTTGTCTTCCCTGGCGCGGAATTTCGCAGCGATCGGCGAACGGGATTTTTGGTACCAAATTTCTGACGGAGTCATCGATAATCTGGCGATGGTAATAGTATGCGTAATTTAATTTGTGACACTAGAATTGGAACCTTGGCATCTTTCTGGGTGCTTGCCCACTCATGTAAGCTGACGCTAGCACCAATATATGTACTGCGAAAAGAGCGAGTGGTTATTATCGTTCGCTCTGCTGTTAAGCCGTTCATGTCAAACAGCTAGTCAATCCTGCAGGATGCATTACAAAGACTTAGCCGCAAGATTCTTGCTTTAGCTTGATACTTCACCAGAAGGCATATAATACTTTGATATGATGAACAATCGGCTGATATGTTGCCATGGAATGACCAGTGGGGGTTGGTTTCCTTGCCCAATTCCATCACATTGACAGTTCCTAATGTAGTTTCTGAGCGTCATGCAGACGATACTTATGAAGAGTTGCTTGTCGAAATATTCTCAATTACTCGTAATTACATTATTTACATATCTATCCCACCGAAAGAACTCAAGCAGTAGGCTTGAAGATGATTCTCCTGTACGCCGTCAAGTTCATGGGGCGTGCATCCTGGACATTAAGGATGACATGGATCGTCTACCAGCAAGTCAGTCAATGTTCATCAAAGAGAAATCACGTAAGCACTCACCAAGTTGTCGTTCGGCGTAACCTCAACGAGGCTGCCACTCTCATCCAACGGCGTGAAAGTCACGTTAGGCGAGACACGGGGGATATCACCCTCCAGCCTCATAGACGGCTCACGGTAGTGCCACCACTCAAAGCTGAGGTCATCTCCATCAGGATCCCACGACTCGCCAGCATCCAGGACGACCGACTCGCCGAGCTTGTACTCGACTTCGAGGGCATCGAGGCCGCACGAGCCGTTGACGACGGCGACGGGGTGGTGGTTGGCGTCAGCCGGGTCGGCGTTGACGGACCACTGCATGCGGGCAGCGAAGTCGTACTGGAAGGCGGAGCGCCAGCGCCAGATGGAGGCGTACTTGGAGAAGAAGGTGTCGTTGTTGAGGCCGATGGCGAAGTCGGAGGCGTCGCTGTAGGTGGCCGTCTCGCCCGACGCGTCGGCCAGGATGTAGCGGCCGCCCCAGCCACCCCACTCCGGGTGCTCGGGGGCGTTGAGGCCGTTGGGCAGCAGGCCCAGGAAGGACGGCGTGTCGCCCTCCATGATGTACGACCAGTTCAGGTAGTGCGAGCCCAGCGAGCCGATGCGGATGTTGTCCTGCAGCCAGTCGTTGGTGACGAGGCTCGAGTCCGGACCGCCCTTGTCGAAGGGGCGGAGAGCTTCGCCGGAGATGCCCTGGTGGGAAGTTAGTGTCAGGGGTCAGGGGGGAATTGGACGGGGTGCTTACGATCCAAGTGGGAATGGAGTACTCGCTGAAGCCGTGGATGGAGACGATGTAGAAGAGGGTGGGGAAGTTCCAGCGGATCCAGGGGCCGGAGTTGTCCTGGTCAGAGATGGCGTAGACGCGGAGCTTGCTCACGAAAGCGGCCACTTCATCCTCAGTACGCTCCTGCTTGACCTGGTTGAGGGCCTCGGCGAGGACGTTGGCACCGCCCCAGGCGAGAACCCAGAGAGGCTCCTCGGATGCATCAGCGGCTGCGATCAGGGCAGTCGAGGCGTTGCTGGGGGTAGACTCCTTCAGAGCTGCCAGGCCGTATACGGAGTGGCCGACGACGACCTTTGCTGCGATCTCCTCAGCAGTGGGATAAACACCAGCCTCGGGGACGTTGGCGTTAAGGTTATCGCGGACGTCGCCGAAGCCGCCAATGACGCCGAAAATGGAGGGTGTGTCGATCGAGTCGTTCTTCCAGACGGAAGTGACGGCGGCGATGTTGATGATGTCCAGCTCGTTGGAGTGGGTCAGGAGGCGAACCAGACTCATCTGGTCGTCGGGCTCGTTCGAGATGTCGGTCATGACGAAGGTGCGCGGCTTGTTCTCGAAGCGCACATTTTCGCACTTGCCGGTCTGGAGCGCGGCCTGGGCGACGCTGGCACTAAGGCACAGCAGGCCCGCTAATCTGGGGAGAGACGAGGCGCCGAACATGGTTGCAGCCTTGAAGAGCACGCTGCAGTGCTAGTCGTGGGATCTGGGTCCCTATTTGTAGTCCATGGCGATTCATGATGACGGCCATTGTCGACGCAATTCGGCACCGAGGGCGGCCGGCGTGTACCAAAGCTTGACCAAAGAGGGGATGGGGTCCGGGCCGCTATACAGCACGGCAGTGAGTGAGTCGGCGTGGCCGCAAGAAATTTCCATGATCTCGTGGTGAGCTCACCGTGCGGAGGATCGACACTGCTCCCCGCGATTCTGCCAGGCCGTCAATGCGGAGTGCATGACCGACAAGGGCGCCACCCCCGCCCGAACAGGCAGCTGCAGCCACTTCCGACCCAAAACGGCAGCTTACGCGCCAGCCACCACACGCAGACTCTTCAAAGTGCCGACAGCTAAATCACGCATTCCAGATCAAGCAACGTCTAGAAGCCCCCGCCGGTACCCGCAGACCGGTTTCTGCGCCAAGCCGGAGTGCTGGAGCCTCATGGTCTCTCCGGAATCGCGTGACGGGTGTGATTCGGTGGGCCGCCCTACGGAGAGAGCCGCTTTGGGCGCTGGCCGCGGTCTGGGCGTCGTCACTGCGCCCTCTTGACTCTGCACAGCCGTCCTGGCTAAGAGTTTTGAGTAGGTATAAGAGCAGGCGCGCGAGGCGTCGGTGTCATGGCCGCGGGGTGTTGGTGTTTACCCCAGATTCCACACGCCTGCAGAACATGGTTCTGTGCCGCACCCAAGCGACGGGAATGCACCATCCGACTGGGAGCCGAAAGTGCCGGACTTGTGCCGTCCTGCTCCGCTCTGGGGCTCCAGCTCCTCCACCGTAGCAACGCACCGACGTCACCCTACCCCCCACTCGGCCCTTTCCCCGGCAGTCACTCCTCATCCAGACTGACTGTCTCCTCAGTCTCTCGGCCTGTTGGGTGAGAATTGCCCTCCAAAACATGACCTCTGCCCACTGCACTAGCGCAGAGTCTAGCCCAGCCAGACCCGCGACCGTTGCATTGCCACTGCGACCCAAGGGAAAGATCCAGCTCAGTCCAAGCGTTCGAACTCTGTCCGCGTTTTACCCGGTCGACTGCGTTGTCTTGTGCCTGACTAGCTGCCCGACCTGCTTTCCCGCTTCTTGGCTGTGCCGAGATTGCATATCAACACTTCCCCCTTCGCACTCGGCCACGAGAAAATCGAGCACCCACCAACTCGCCCGGCCAATGCTTCGCCGAACTGCTTTTCCCGGGACCTTCGCCGACACATAATTTAATTACTCTGGAGGGATTATCCTCGGTCTTGCATCTCGTGCAGACGAAGAGAATGCAGTACGGACCGCTCGGATCATGCGAATACGACGCATTGCGCCACCCCACCAGCATTCTGCTTGCTCTTTCCAAACCCCCTACATATGACGCCACTAGGTATTGCCGCGTGACCGGCTTTGTGCTGGTGTAAACAACTCACCTCATTATTGCAGGGCATCGGACCAACATAGCTTCGCTTTCCTCCGAATAACCTACTGGAACTTCATGTTTGAGGTATAGGGTCCAAGTGACCTTGCACGCACTGTCCGCCGATGAAGCGACGCGGTAGCCCCTGGCCGTTTCTCTTCTCATGGTGATGGCGGCGTACACTCTCATCTCTTCTATCCAAAAATCACTCGCCCGCCTACAACTCGTAGTGTGTAAGAATTTTCTCAAAGTTGACAGTTTCTTAAACGTTGTGCCTTTTGTGCCTCTCCATTATTCCCGTTCTACGCAATAAGTCACAAACATCTCCTTAAAGTCTTATCCCACCTCTTACTATGCCTTATTCAACCTTTTACATCATTTCTTTTAATGCGGGTTGTAGATTCCGCAACTGAAGTGATTTTTCCCTAAATCCAGATGGTTTGCAGTGTCCTTTAGTCTTTCAATCTCTTTCTTTTCTTTTTTATACCTTCGAAAGTATTTATATCTGCAAAGTAACAAACACAGATATGCGCTACGTCTCCCTTCTAAGCGCCCTCAGGTATTACAGTACAACGGATCTGATTTTTGCTCCTTAATTCGGAATTCTAAATCACACTTACCTCTGCAACCTTATTCTTCTCGGCTTTTTCCCCTCTCTATCAACATAGCCATTTTTTGCCTCGATCCAAGCTTCTCACCAACACTTGGTACTCTATTCTGCCTTCCGACTGGCAATGAATCTCACCTTCGACTTTCGGCCGGTCTTGTCTGGATCGGCTTTGCTCGGATTTCCTGCGCTCACCTTCTTACCCGACGTTGGCTTGGCGAGTGGATCTGACTCATTCCAAGGTTACCACGACTACTTCTCAAACCTAACCATGCGTGTCTAGCGTTTATTAGATGAAAAGAAAACGCAAAGAGCTTTGAAGAGGCATTTGCAGTTTCATCTCTAGCCAAGGTCGTCGGGTGCTTTCGTACGAAGTGAAATCAGACACGACAACCCAAGGCGCCGGAACCGAAAGGCATGGACCGAGCAAAAACTTAATCGACAGGCGTCCACATTCCCCACCTTCAAGCGTTCGGATCTCGCTTCGCCGAGAATCCTGCCGTCTGTTTTCCCGCAAGTGCCAGATAAACGTCTCTGGTTCGACTGTGCCGCATCCTCCCGCTCGAGCCGCCCCACATTTACAGGGGTTCTGCCGCCAAAGACCAGCGTCAGAAACAACTGGGCTTTGGAAGAGAGATGATTCTTTCCACAATATTTGCAAAATTATTCGACTTATGTAGGCAGTTGAAGCTACTGTCCGGATGTGAATATATAATTGTTAAATTCGACATTTTCGTCCGGACGATAGCTTCAACTGCCTATGAAATGTGCGAAAAATTAATTCAAGCTAGCCTTCGGCTGCAATATTCCTCTTTGTTGTTCCCAGAAGCTCACTTTCCACAAACCTACCGAATCCCAAAATCGAACGCAAACGTCAACACCCGAGACATCCCCACCGCAGAGACCGACGCCCTCAACACCGTCGACATTCGGCCCCACTGCGGGCAACTACGCGTACGGGAGTGAGCGACATTACAACAGCTCCCGCGCGGGCGCATGCCTTTCACCCAAGCCACGGCCGAGCAGGACCGGCTCGACCTGCTTTACTACGTCTTCCAGATCGGCGCTCTCCGGCGCCTTCCGGGTGCCTCATTCGCAGCAGTTCTGCCAAACGCGTGCTAGACAGGTGTCTAGCACGGGCGTCTGGACACTTGACGTTGTGGATGAGTTTACTAGCGCCAGGCTCGTGTTCGAGATAGGCTTGAGCCCGGTCCAGCCGTTGTGGATGCCGATGGAAATGCGTTTATGGTGGACGGTTTTAAAAGCTAGTGGGAGTACGAGTTTCACTCTCGGCTGGAGTCTGATAGTGGGAGTTTGGAGCAATCACCGGTGTTAGGGAGGTGGAAGGAAGGGATAATGAACGCGTACATGTTCATTAATTAAAGCAAATTTACGGGCATCAGTAGAAAATTATTAATAGAGTAGAAGGTTCTGAGAATAGGTTGCGCTGCCTGTGTTATATGCCCTTTCTGGCGAATGGAGTTTTTTTTTTTTCCCTCCCCTTTTTCGAGTGCATAAATTGGGGTATGTCGTGTTTCATGATCGATAACTTCCATATATATATTCCACTAAGCTGCTGGAGTCTGCAACATGAAATCAAATACAAATCAAGAAAAAATTATTCCGGTGATCCGACATACTGTTGTGTAGTGCTCCACTGTACTAAGTGATTGTTGTCAAAGAAATCCAAAAAGCTTTAAAAGAGTTGTGCTTCAACCGTCGAAGCAAACTAAAATTTGTTCGTTGCCGATCTTCTGAAAAACCCACCGAACACTGAAGACCCCGACCGTGTACTTGCTCTGTCAGAGCCATCACTCATTTTCTTCGCAGTGGTAGGACCCATCAATGAGTTCAGATCTTTTGTTACCACATTCCTGTCTTCCAGAGTAGAGGAATCTGAAGTTGAATCCTCCGATGGAGTACTTACATAGTGGTCCTGATCCACGCACCATTTCTGACCATGATCTAAAGCCTCACCAAAGATCTGCCTACTAATGACATCTTCGCCATCTTCGTCTGCTCGGATACTGGGCCTAGGGTAAAACTTGTTGATGTCATCTTCGTCAACTTTCATCACCCGTTTAATCCAGATTCTGAAGACGACGGAGACATGGAATATTTGAGTCTCCTTCTTGTTGTCAAACGAACGCTGAATGACCGGTGGTCTAGTCTCAACCAACAATGCGATCTCATCAACATCTCGGGGACGTTGACGCGGGAGTATGATGGCATAACCTCGCGAAGCCGAACTGTTTCTGGCATTCAGGTCCTTCGGCCCATTCCCCATCTCTTCTTCATCGGCGGCGGACTTGATCTCGTACCACTCCGTAAGCGTGCTATCGACAGGAAAGCGGAGAAACACGTTTACACTCATCTGAGTGATTGGGTTGGTCTCCGGAGATGAATGCAACAAGAAACCGGGAAACTCAACGTAGAGCCCCTGGCCAGGAATGAATCTGGTGGTTGGCGTGTCGATAGTCAGAGGGTCGGGGTAATCCACGGTCTGACCTGATGTCCACGTTCTTGGAGCCCACCCATAACCCTTTTTCGATAACCTTTTTCCAGGAAGGAATATAATCCCAGCTGGAATGGATCCCGGATAAACTTCCTCCAACAGCCTGAGCAGAGTACACATATTTTCATCCAAAGACTGGCTATTTGTTTCCCCGACTATGAACGCTTGGTTGAGGGATTCTGCATCGTCCGATCTGCCGGTGTTGAGATCGAAAAGTGTTGCCAGAGCTAGCACTTCGTGTTGCTTGTGTGTCGTGGTCCTCCATTGTGTAGCTTTCCAAACCGAGGCAATCAAACTCAATCCCTCCTTGGGAGTCATATCGTGAATCCGAGCCCTTCTTGCCGTTCCAAGCAGACTGTGAAAGTAGCTTCGCGCTATAGCAGGTATACACGAATTCAATGTGTCGTTGGCAGAAGGGTACATTGCCTCCAGATCTTCCAAATCGAGGGCCTTTTCATCCTTGAACTTGAAGAAGATTCTTTCGCTCAGATATGCCTCTTGAAGAGTCCACAAGCGACGCATCCATCCACTGGCCAGGATTCTCATCGCTATCTCGTGGTATTTCTCGCCGCTCATTTCTTGACAGAGACCCTGGTCGATAACAATGGTGTAACGGGATCGAACAAAGATCTCGTGGATCCTTCCGATCGCAATCTTCCGTTCTTCCTTGAAGTCTTTCTCAACCGGGATAGCAAGGGTATCCATCCAGAATGCAATCTTTTTGCTTTTGTTCCGACCCCTGTCAACACTATCCAGTGCGAGTTTCAAGAACTTGAGTTGGCATTGACGAAGCTTGTTATCCTTTGGATTGCCGTAACCGTCCGACCAGACGTGAGATATGGTTGCGTACTCCTTGCACTCGAGGTTATCCGTAAGTCTCACGGTGATTCTGGACGTTGGATCACCACTTTGCTGCTGCAAGACCAGAAGGGGTATAGCGCCACGCCTGATTATGGCCCCTAAAGCTTGAGACTCAGTACCCGCCCATCCACAGTCGGGTCCGCTTGTCCATTTGCAAGTAAGATGATGCCGAACCTTGTATTCGTTGGCGCCACCCACGGTAGTGAGTTGACAATCCTCCTTTGTGCAGTCTCTATGGTCCTGGCCAAGGAAAGGCTGCAAGGAGTATGCAGCAAGCAAACCGGTTGTGTTGCCGCGAAACTGGCCTTCCAGAACATGTAGAGTCTTGGGGCACCATTCAGCCTCCATTTTCTTTTTTATGTATCTGCTCGTGCCCCAGCCTTCAGCAATTTCATCATGCCAGCCCCGAATCTTGAACCCAATCTGTTCCACGATCTTGACTTTTGCATGCGACAGTGTCTCACCCAAGACAATCAATGAGACCGATACTAAGTCAAACGACTTTTGCTCTCCATTAGGGCAGGGGTATTCGTTCCTAGTGGGATCGGGGCCGTCGAACGAGCAATAGCGCCTCAAAACTCCTCTCGCGCGGTTGAGTGCCATCTGAATTCGGACCATTCGCATGCTATACGCTTCTCTGATGCGTTGGTCACGTTGTGATTTCTCCCACTGCTCTTCCTCATGATGCCTCCACCTTTCAAGGCTGTGTTCAAGATCTTTCGTGGATATCCATCCTCCATCGCTGATGAATTTGTCGTATACGTCTATACTCGTGTCTGAGTCCACCAAAACGGTGTGTAGTAGACCAAAGAAGAGCCAAGCCTGCAGGAAATCCTCGAAGTCATCATGAACACCTTTCGCAGCTTCGCAGCCATGATTTTCATTGACTTTCCAACCAACTTCCTCAGGGAAAGCATGAAATCCAACGCGGGGGTTATATCGGCAGCCGTCTAGGTAAGGTATTTTATCGAGGTTGCTAAGTAGCTTCAAGCCCAAGTGATCCATGAGGGAGGTGCTGACCGGTCTTGAGGCGAGGAAAGAATTTTCAACCAATCGTGGGGCCCAGCTACACGGGGCGGGTTTGCTGTCGAGGCTAACGTGTTTCGTAAATGCTAGGCAACTCCGGATGCTGCGGCTGAGTTCGCAGGTGAGCATTAATGGTTTGCCTCCTTTTTAAATGACACCGACTGGCGACATATCTCGCACGAGGCTGAGAAGAGCAGCTGTTGGTTGCGAGGCTGACACGGTGGCTCATACACTATGACAGGGATTTTTGATTACTGCGCATACGACAGTGGACACAGCGCACGGATTCGAAATTCGAGCGCGTTGTCCTTGCCTTCCGTTCAGCTCCACATGCAAAGCGCCACAAAGCTGCAGCTGATGCAGGGTTACTCGGCTGACGTGTAACTCCACCAATCAAACTAAGTGAAAGCTGCACCAGATCGGTCAGCTGGAAGCAGGCCCCGATTTGCATATACCCCTCGCTTCTCGCCCACTTTTCCCTCGCCCTGCCACAGTCCACTACAGCCTCGGCTCCGATCCTATCTCTGCTGCTTCAATATGCCCCAAAAGGTGAGTTTCAAGCTCCCAGCTTCTAGAAGTGGGTCATAGATACTGAAACGGTTGATCTTAAGAGCTCAAATTCTACTTGGCCCTTTTTGGACGCTTTGCGGTCGCGGAACGGGGTTCCACCGCTCACAGCTCAGACTCTTCATCATGGGAAATACTCTCCTCTTCGCCGCACAAGAGAGCTCAAAAGGTATTCCCGCTTATTTCCATCACTTGAATTGATCGACTGACCATTACAGACTCTGGATAATCGTCCACGACTTGGATCAAAAAGGCCTCAAAAACATCAAAGCCTGTATCGAGAAGGATTTGTCGCGAACTGAGACAACACGCCAAGTAGATGTGGTGTCTTTCAAGGTAGCTCTGGCCATCGAAGGAAATACTCGTCACTGTGAACGTGAAATCATGGCCGAGCGACTCATACGTGGACTTGTCCATGTTGTGACTGAACAGGTTCGATTTAAGACCCCATATTCTATTCTATGCCTTGCGCTTCTGATCAAATAAAACTGTAGGAGTCTTGTCGACTTGTACTTCTTGGCTGTGGAGATGCAGCCTGGACCCTTGAGCTAGCATTAGCTGGAGGATCAGTGAAGAGCAATAGCATCTCAGAGAGAGTAAGAGATGTCTTGTCCAACACAGTCGGTGTCCTTTTCGCGCCATTATCCAACGCATCCGACGGACCGTTGGGTGAAATTACAGGCAAATTCGAATCCATCCTTGAGAAGGATATATTCCCAAGTGGCAAGCCGGTAAGAACAGTACAGTTTATGAAGAAAAGGGCTGAGTTAACCATTATCCAGATGGTTCGAAAGCTCAGTTCCGTGTCTTCTGGGCCTGAAGAAACTACACTGAGAAGGTTCTTGAGCATCAGGAGCGAGGTTCTGACACTTGTCAACTCAGCCTTCGAACACAATGAGCCGCTGCAAGCCCCACAAAGGGTTAAGACAGACCCTCCTCCTAATTCTTCACTGAAATTTCGAATCAGGAGAACAGCAACGGCTCCCGGAGGATTCAGCATGCAATGGCAGCCCGAAATTCGTCATACACAAGCTCAGGACCATTCTCAGGCACAACAGTCAGGTCGGGTATCCGCAATTTTCGCCATTCCTGAGGAATTCCAGAAGGATGATCAAAGACACGGCCCGCGACCTAAACCATATTCTTCATCAAGCTCTCCAATTCCATTGCCAAAGGAAGAACGAAGTCATGCCACCATGGAGGAAGAGAGGATTGCTAGAGTCTATTTTGACAAATGGGATCTCGAATCTGCTCTGCATTGGTATCAGAAGGCTCGACAGCGGCTTTCAAATGAGATCTCCCGTCACCGTCAGGATAACATTGAGATTTCCATTGCGAGCACATACATCCGTCTTGGTCAGTTTGAGCAAGCTTGGCGAACATTGAACAGCATATCGGCGGGTCCAGGCCAGCTAAACCTTCGATCTGTGCTAGCTCAATGTCGAAGTATGTGCTGCACTTCTGCCAAAGCTTACAGAGAAGTTGTCGAATGTTTGGAAACCATCAACGCGACTTACAAAGACACCCAACAGCAATCTTCAAGCGACACAACTCAAATGGTCTTGAACTATGGTTGTCTAGCTTCTCTCAAATTGCTGCTGGGTGAGAGCAGGAATGCGGAGCTGATTGCTTCCAAAGCGGTATCTGAGTGGGAAAAAGTGTTGCAAACCCAGCAGTCAGAATTTCATCGTTCTTCGAAGGGCGACCAGCACAACCTACAGTGTACTGAACAGCAAAGACTAGTTGGCAGCCGGACATGTCATTGCCAACAACAAGAGGACAATGGACGTACCTCCAAGTTAAAGGCTCCAGTGGTGTCTGAAGAGCCCGGCCTCGTTCACAAAGACACTGGCAAACGGTCAGCGCACCTGGAAGGTCAAATTGAGAATACAGCCAAGAACCTGCTAGATAGCAAATTTCGACTTGTTAGGATCTTTACAGAGCTTGGGCGAGTTGAAGAGGCACTCTCCAAGAATGTAGAGGTCCTTCAAAACATGAGGGCGATATGGGGCCCAAGTCATGTGGTTACTCTAAGAGCCTCTGGACTTCATTCGAGGCTTCTTCTACTCCGAGAGGATTTCAAAGAGGCTGAGGCAACATGCAAGAATGCTCTGAGGTGCATGGCGGACCATCTCGGTTCTGAACACTACATTACCCTGGACCTCATTGGGATATTGGTTAAGATATACCTTAGCCAGGGCAGATGGAGAGAAGCACATGAGATTGCGGAAGGGCTTGTGGTCCGTAACAGGGCTTCAATTGGCGAACTTCACCCGCAAACAATCGAAAGCGAGGTGGATCTTGCCTACTTGCTCGCATTGCTTGGGAAGACAATCACCGCGGAGAAGTTCCAGAAGAGCGTTCATGACAAGTGCGAAAAGATTTTTGGTCAACACCACCCCACTACCCTCGTCAGCAAAAGTCGGCTTGCTAGCGCGTGCTACAACGCAGGTAAATTCTCAGAAGCCGAAAAACGAGTTCAGGACGTGAACTACTACCTGGAGGGAACTATGGAGCAAGACGATCACTCATTGAGCATCGCTACGGTTGAAAGAACTATAGGATCTGTGGCGAGAAAGCTCGCAAGCCGCTATAAAGCTGAGGAAGATTCAAGAGATCGGGACTCTAGTGTGAGATCCAAGTTGTCTTCTCGTCAACTCTTCAAGATCGCAAAAGCCCACCTTGAAAAAGCCACCAAGTTCTATAATAGTGCTCTTGGAAAGGATCATGCGGATTCTCTGTCAACGCTCTTTGAAAAATATCTCATAGAACGTGATGAAGAGGAAAAGGTCGACAAAAAGCTCCTGGAGAATTTGCACGCAATTCTGATGCGACGACGTTCCGGAAACGGGAACTCACATCCAGAAATTGCCACGATGCAACATGAGCTTTCTTTGAGTTACGCCAGTGTTGGAGCATGGGAGGATGCTCGCCGACTTGAAACTAAAGCCCTAGAAGCTCGGCTTCAGGCTTTCGAAAGGTCTCATCCGGATGTCCTGAGAAGCAGGCTACAGCTGGCTCCAATCCTCTGGTGCGTAGGCAAAATGGAAGAGGCCGCTATGCACTTGACGCACGCTCATGATACCATCAGCAAGCGTCCAAACAGTTTTCCGGCTTTCGACATACTCTCCATCAAAGGCAATTTGGCAAACGTCTTACTCGAGCTTGGGGAGCACGAAAAGGCCCTGGAGCTTCAGAAGCAACTTGTCATTGAATCCACGGGTAGGAGCAACCATCTTGCTACTAGAAATGATCTTGCCTTCATCTATCAAAAGTTGAATCGGCTCGAGCTTGCAGAACAGGAATATTGTAGGATTGATGAGGAACTGGAGAACAGATGCACAGCTACCTCTTCGAACGCAGACCCTTTTCACATGATCATCAAGTCCAACAAAGCATCTCTCTACGTGGAAAGGGGAAAGTATGCCGAGGCAGAAAAGCTTCAACGCCAGGTTAAGAATATTCTGAAAAGGGATAAGTCGTATGGAGAACTGAATCGGGAGACCATAACATCCAGATTCAACCTGGCACTCATCCTTAAAAAGCGAGGAAAAGATCCGAAGGCGGAGAAGCAACTGAACAAAGCACTTGAAAATATGGAGAAACTGGTTGGAAAAGATCACATCGAGAGCAAAGCTATGGATGCAAAGCTCCAGGAATGGAAGAAGGGTTCTGATGAAAGGACAATGGGAGCACAAGTGCGGAATACCCCGAATCGCGGCCCGCGACGAGATTCTGGTTGTGCGACGTCTGATCAAACACTATAGATGTTAGTCTTCTATTTGTTTTTGTCGCCTTAGGCCCAGAAATTTCTTCAGTATCTCTAACCTGTGTACGATACTTCTTGTCTCAATTCACATGATGATGGATCATATGAGGCTAAGCCGATGTGGATTTTGCCCCGCCCATCCTGCATTTCAGCTGGAATTCCTGCACACCATCGCCACGCTGAACTTTACGCCACTTCGCTTGATACTACGTAAAAAAGGCCATGTGGCTTAATCCCCTGCACCTAGGCCCCCCAACCACGAGGCTCTCTGCTTCCACGCGCCGTTCCGGGCTTCCTGTTTCTTATTTTCTTTTCTTTTTCTTTTCCGATTGTATTATTGGCTGAACGTATTACTGCGGGTGTGGCACTATTGCGTACCGATGCGCGTCATGCATCCGGATACCCGTATCCAATAAAAGATCTCCACGCTGTCGAATCTGCATGTCAGCATTCGACCCGCTCGGAGCGTCACTAGGGTACCGATTAGTAGTGGAACCATTGAGCCAATTTTGGTCTGAAAAATTTATATGCGTGAGAATCAATGTTCGTCTCCTTTAAGCCTCTCTACGTGTGTGGCTTCGAATCGCATTTTGCCTCTATCTCATACGTAGCGAACGAAGAATGGAACTGCATGCATAACCGAGCGCTAAATGCAACGAGGCTCGAGAGTGGGGATGATACGGGGCTAGAACACACCATGTAAGACAAGGGGGCTTGCAAGCCATCAATCCAGCTCACTCGCTGACAAAAAGTGCATCGGCGATATCTTCAGAACGATAATGCGCAAGTCTGACGGAATGCATGACCCGTTGCCTTCTGTTGGCTGACGTTTGCCTGATATTTGTTGATGCCTGCCGGGGGGGTGGGGGGCTGCTTCGTGCTCGGCCCTCAGGCGGATTCCCGGCTCACCCAGGTTGTTCAGCCTCACGATCCAAACTCAACCGGTCTGAACGTATACTCCAGGGATTCACGACGAGGCGCCCCTTTCTTCAGTCTCTTCATCTACTCCTTTCAAAAGGCTGTATTTAAAAGAATGGCTCCATACCATGCGCCTCAGCCTGCGTTTCCCAGTGCACGACGGTCAACGAATGGGATGTTTACGTTTAGCCCGACGACGACGGAGCTAGGGGCACAGTTCCGTAATCCAAGTGATATTTTGTCTGTTCTGCTGATTATCGGCGGTGACATTGTGCAGAAGGCCATGGCACAGGTGTCGGGATCCGGCCCTGCCCCTGTTTGCTTCAGCTTTGGATGGGTTTCTTACTCCTTCATCTCTCTTGTCAATCTCCTTGGAGATGGGCGCCTTATGCCAACGCCGGACTATGCTTGCAAGGTTATCAATCTGAGCAACGGATACTACAGGGAAAACAAGAGCTGGTTAATCGGACGCCTGATGCGCGACAATGAGGCTTTCATGACGAAAAGGCTGAAAGGCAAGCATGAGAAAAGCAGAGCCTTGCGAATCGCCATATACGACCCATCGTCGCACATCCCCAAAAACATTATCAGGCCAGTTCACCTGACTGTGGCTCTTCTTCAACTCGCAATTGCTGTTATCCCCTTGGTCCTACACGGGGACTGGAGTTCTCTATTGGTTACGACAGCTGGCACCGTGCTAGCCACGACCATGGGATTGCTCCCTCAATGGAAAGCCGAGAAATTCCCAACAACACTGGAATCCGACAAAACGATTGCCATAACTGCCGGCAACGGGTCGAAGGACATCATTATTGTGCGAGGAACCGGTTCAGGGATGGACCTTGAGCGTCTTGCTGCGGCTGAAGGTCCTCGTGGAACGCGTCCGTGGGAGCGTTGGGGTATCTTCAAACACAGTGATAAGACCAGCACACGAGTCATAACCTTCAGTGGTCTTCCAGTGGACTTCTGGCTTACTCGCATCATTTGCGCTTTCCTCGCACTTTGCTGGCTGGGCTTATTAATCTTGGTCGCCGGCATTCAATCGAATACTTGGTATCTGCTCGTCATCGGCGCCATGGGCATGTTCCAGAATGCTTTCGTTGCCGGCGTCAGCATCAATCCTGAAGGACAACCAATATCACTCCTGTTCAAGGAGGTGATCTACGGCTACAAGGCCATGGATGCGCTAATGGATCTCGAAGTGAAGCTCGAGAATGATGAGGAGAGTAACACTGTTCGCCGATTTGATCTCATCAAGCCTTTGTTGAAAGACTTCTTTCCCGGCGAACTGACGGGAGACGAGATGAAGTGGTGGCAAGGTGACAGGCATGATTACGACGAGATGCGAATGAGAGAAGTCGAAAGACGAGGCTCCCCACGAAGTCGTTGGGACTTTGAAAAACCGCGCCCACTGACGCCAGACTCCATGAGTACAGATGAGGGGCTTCATAGCGTCTCGAAATATCCACCGACCGATATGGACAGTAGAATAGCCAGTTCAGTATCGGAGCAAGTCATGAGAAGTACTGAAAGACGTGACAGAAGCTACGAGGAAACAGACCCAGATGACATGATCTATCAAGTTTCACCCGGGTTAGCATGATGAACAATGCTGGCATTGAGTCATGCTGTATATTTGGCACTGTTCGGGTATCACACTTATGACTGGGAGCCGGTATTTTACATCTTGACGAAAATGTACTGCTGTGACTTCTTTTCCCCACTTTATTTCTTCGAAGCCTTCAGAAGCTTTACAGTGTGGATGATATAATAGGGATCTCAACTTTTACGGCCATTCAGATAACGAACTAAATACGCGTTCTCAGCTCTCACAGCCTTTTCTTCCGTAGCCCGGGTCTGCCTATTATTTTAGATTGATTTCCCAGTTGCGCTTTACGTTGATTTAAGGAAATTTGTGTAAACAGTCTGATAGCTTTGGTGGTGCTTGTTTATATGAATCCTATGCAGAATTATTGAAAGATGTACTAGACGTCTACAAGACGTTGGGATTATTCGCTTAATTCTATTTGTATTTGACAATGGTTGCTAGCGTCAGTGAAATTGAGGACATTATTTATAATGCCCTAAGTAATAAATTCGTAGAAGCTCCAGTTTCCTAAGCTGCCGACTCCCTCGGTAGCTTCTTGCTTGTCAAACTATTCATTCAAGCACGGAGAATTCTCGAGCATGCCCGCATCTAGATCATCAGCCCCGTATCCTACTTGTCGCAGTATGTGTATCGGTTGTAGGCTTATAATCCTCTTTCGCTATTGCTCATAGTAACAATGACGGGCCTGTCCATGGGTTCCACATTTTCGCATGGATTTCCTTTTGTGTGAAGTTCCTGGGCCAGTGTGCATACAATTGTCGAGTAAAAGGCATTCGATCTCCATCGCAAGTCTATAGGCCAAGTTGCTAGATAAAATGACGTGATAGATTGTCTAATATGATCTTCAAGCTAAACTTCTTACCTACAATTAGAGAGCTCTTGAAAATGGTGAAACTTATACTATGATCACCTGTTGAATGCTTTTCAAGTGCGCTGGTAGGATTTCTCGCATCGGCTCTAAAGTAAGCCTGTGGAGAAAGCATTCAAAATACAGTCATAAAGCAATTAATCATGCATTATATAACTTAGACTGCGGTTCTTTTTGTGGGTTTTGGCACATTAACCACCTTCAATCTCGAATATACAGAGCGCAGCTTACGATGCAACAAGATTACAGTTTCTACACAGAGAAAGAAAACAGTAAGCCAAGGCAGCGGGGGTGGGAAGGCTGAGCAGGTGTCCTTGCAACAGTTCTTTGACCGCATTACACTTCTCCACTCTGAAGAAATACTTATAGAGACAGCAGTAGATAGATTATACCATCTAGGCTTCTAATTGCTATAGCTTCTAGTTATCTTTGCCTGAAGAGGACCCTGCGGAGGTTTTGCTTTTCACGGCAGCTTTAGTCAACGATCAGTAGAAGCAATAGAGTACTAAGAAGGAGGAAGAAAACGGCAAAGAGCGCCGTCAGTGAGGCTTCGACTCGTAGAAGAAAAGAAGAATAGATTTTTATTGCTAAGAAAGCTACCTAAGAAAGCACCTTCATATGACTGTGTTCTTGCCGAAAGGGCCATTTCTGGAAAGCAAAGAAGTTACCAACTGCCCTGCTCCAGCCACGGAACCACCAATCCTCATCTATCTACCCATCATCAAACGCCACGTCAGCCAGTGCTGGTATCTGGTCGAATTGATTCTTCGTCTCTTCGCTCTGCCGGAAACTGGAATGTATTCCCTCGGCCAATGCCTACTACGCTTAGAACACGGCCGTGACTATCCTTCAGCTTGTGTATGGTGCTTTTTTTTCTCTCTTCCTGATATAATCTAACATATTGGGGTACTTGAAGTCATCGTCCGGACAAGAATGTATAATTATTAATGTTACATTTACATCCGGATGATAGCTTCAAATGCCTACAACACGACCGAAAAAAATAAATTCACGCTTGTTTGAGCCTGTTGAGAGGTGGACCCGACTCATTGACTTATAACTTAGTGAATTGCACGAGTCGTGAAAGTCCGAACCGCTTTTCGCGGCGTTAAGCGTCCTCACCACCACCAAAGATCGTCACCGCCACACGAGCCCGCCCTCACATCTGTGGAGCTCGCGCCCAAGACGAGACTTGATCGAAATCCATGGACCAATCTCGGATGCCAGGAACCGGATTGGTGCCGGAAGAGCCCGTTGGGAGGATCCGCGGGCCAATGGCATCATGGACGGATTGTTTACTTGTCGTGGCGGACGTTGCTGAAGGTGAACGCAGCGCATATACTTTTTACACAATGATAACCCTCTACAGGGAGCGCGGCGTCCCCGCTACTGGTTAGCGGGCATTAATGAGCATCGTCCTAGGAAATTGCCGACGATAGCAACCCGACGGCGGCAAATGCGCCTTCAAACACGGCGCCAAGTTCACAAGCCGACCGCCAAAACCCTTCCCAAGGCTTGGAATATCTTCTCTCCGGGTGAGGCGCCCGCACGTAAGATGGCGGATTTCACCTTTTGCTGCGTGCGTCGGATGCAACGTTCGGAAAAGAGAGTCGCCAGGCGCATGTCGTGATTGAGACGCGAATGTCGTGATCGCGGCGCGGCAGGGCAGCATGGCCATCAAGCCTCCGCCAACACCAATCAAACGTCTTGGTTTTTGCTTGCCCACGCGCCGCGCCCGTCATAATCCAAGCGTTTCTGCAGCTGCCCCATGCCCCCTTCCGCGGAGACCTGCACCCGCGGCTCGTACCCGTCGGTCGCGTGGGATGCGTCCGGCAAATGTAGGCGTCTGGGCGGCCACAATAGGATTGAAGTGCGGGCAGCCTCGTGGCTATCGGTGTCGGCAGGGCGTCGGAGCCATTTGCACGTAGGAGCCTCCACCAGCCAGAGCGCAGACGCGGCCGTGGCAAGCACGCCATCAAGAAGTTGACAGGATGGGCGCGACAAAACCCGCCGCCGTGCTCACCACTTCCTTCCTGTTCCTGCCGTGACTGAGTCCCTCTCTTCTCCAGTTTGTTTCTTGTGCTGCAAGTTCCGATCGAGCGGTTCCCCCCAGTGGCAGCAGAAACAATGACGACCGACGACAAGCAGCCCGTGTACGACATCGAGTCGGCCGTGGCCTCTGGTGGTTCCTCCACAAGCGACACTGCAGTGGACGACAGCTATGAGATTTACAAGAAGAACAAGGACCTGCAGTATACCGAGGCCGAGGCAAAAGCAGTGCTCCGCAAGATCGACTTTCGCATCGTGCCCGTCCTGTTTGTCACCTACATGCTGCAGTACCTCGACAAGGTCAGTAGCCACGCTAGCCTTATGTGTGTCCACAGTACTGACCGTTTATGCAGAATGGCATCAACTACGCCAGTGTCTACGGTTTCAAGGCCGGTACCCACATCAACGGCAGTCAATACTCATGGCTCGGTACAGACTTCACTTTCCATCATGCATCTGCAACCTCACGCTGACCCTGTTCAGGCTCCATTTTTTACTTTGGTTACCTTGCGACGCAGTATCCGTCCGGGTACCTCATGCAACGGTATGCGCGACCTCGACCCATTCTGCAACCCCACTGCCTACGCGTACTGACTTCAATCTAGATTCCCAATCGCCAAATTCCTGAGCTTGACCACCATCGGTGAGACTTTCTCCACTAAGATCCCCTGCCTTGCAGCTGAGCGCTGACCGAAAATCTTCTCATCAGCATGGGGCATCGTCCTGATAACCACCCCGGCATGCCACAACTTTGGCGGCATAGCGGTGAACCGCTTCCTCCTGGGCGCCCTTGAGGCCGCCGTCAATCCCGGTATGCACGCGCGTCCTTCTCCGTTCCCACTTCCCCGCTGCAGGAGAAGAGAGACTAACGGATCTGCGTCTAGGCTTCGTTCTGATGATGGGCATGTGGTACACGTCGGCGGAGCAGCCCCTGCGCCTGGAGGCCTACTACTGTACGGCAAACTTCCCATTTCCCCACCACCACCGCTCAAAGGTGGATCCTCAGGCCTCCCAGATCAAAGCATGCTAATTCGATCTCCTAATCACCAGGCACGAACGGTATCGCCACCATGTTCGGCGGGTAAGTCAAAGCTCCGCACTCCATTCCCAAAACAGGAAAGAATTGATAGCTAACCCCGCCTCTTTGCAGTCTCATCGGCTATGCCATCGGACACATCACGTCGGGCTCGCTGGCGCGGTGGATGTACGTCTTCATCATCTTCGGGGCGTGCTCGGTGGCGTGGGGCGTCGTGTCGCTGCTCGTGCTGCCGGACCTGCCGTCGACGGCCAAGTTCCTGACCGAGCGTGAGCGCGCCGTGGCCGTCGAGCGCGTGGCCGCCAACCGCCAGGGCGTCAAGAACACGGCCTTCAAGAAGGACCAGGCCATCGCTTTCCTGCGCGACCCCAAGACGTGGATCCTGTTCATCATGGCCATCGGCGCCCAGGTGCCCAATTCGGCCTTGACGAGCGTGAGTATTTCCCTCTTTTTTTTTTTTTTTTTTCAATCCCCCCTTCCGTCAAGTCGTACCACGTTCCCCACTTACTGACATACCCCACACAGTTCACCTCCCTCATCGTCAAATCCTTCGGCTTCGACACGCTCGGCACGCAATACCTGCAGATCCCCGGCGGCTTCGTGCAATTCGCGGCTCTCCTCTCCGGCGGCTTCATCTGCACCTACTGGCCGAACTCGCGGTGCATCACGATGATCGTCGCCAACAGCATCTGCATCATCGGCTCGGCGCTGCTCGTCGGGCTGCCCTCGACGAACAAGTGGGGCCGGCTGGTGGCGCTGTGGCTCTGCTACTTCCAGGGGTTGGGCTTCAGCATGTCGCTGACCATGATCAGCTCCAACATCAGCGGCTACACCAAGAAGCAGCTGACGGGCGCCATGATCTTCACGGGGTACTGCATCGGCAACATCATCGGCCCGCAGACGTTCAAGGATAACGAGGCTCCTGGGTACCACTCGGCTTATATTGCTATGCTGGTTGGTTACATCGTGAAGTTGCTTTCTGTTGTTGTGCTGTACATCTACATGTGGAGCGTCAACAAGAAGCGCGACCGCGAGCAGGCCGGTATGAGCGAGGAGGAGAGGGAGAAGGAGGCCGTCGAGGCGGGTATGCGGGATATGACCGAGTTGGAGAATAAGGGGTTCAGGTACATTTTGTAGAGTGATTTCAGCGAAGCCAAGTTTTGAGCCCTGTAATATGAGAGAAAGGGAGAAAAAGAGGAGTACGGATAAATATTCAAAAAAGGGCTGCGTTTGGTAGGCAAAAAAAGGAACGCGCGATCATTGATGTCATCAACATACATGCATTTTCTCCCGAGAACGTGACCACTCGACGCCTATTCGCCAAAATCCGAGTACTAGAACGTCTCTCAGAGCCTCAAAGAAAATCTCCGTAGCGTAGGGAGCCAGCGGGAACGATTTCCTGGTTCCGCTTGCGTGCAGCCGAGATAGCGCAAGCACTTGCACCCGCCAGGAACCACGCACTAAAACGTAGATCCAAATGCGAACTGGACGACCCTTCAACCAGGTTCCTGGGGTTCTGAGGCGATCCTTCGTACCAGATCCAAGCTAGCCAGATGCCGGGAGCGTTCGTTCTGGAGGCTAGACGAAAAACGATGAAGCACGCGATACAGCGCCGATATTGGTGATTGACCAAGCACTGCCGTGTAGCCGCGACTGTGGCACCATCGTTATCGCACAGGAAGCATTGGATCTGGTACGATGATAAGGAGCAAATCATTCAGCGAGCATAGCTCACCACTGGTGAGAAATGTTTGCTTTTGGGACCTGTCTCGATCGAAGCGTGCCTGACGGGCCGGCCATCCAGCCCCGCGCAATCAGCGCCCGCGGGTTCTCCCCGCAGCGCGAGAAACCTTAATCCAGCCCGACTAATGAACAGAAGGCGATCCCCCAGATCCTGAGAGTCGAACATCCCGCTGCGAGTGATATGGAAGAAGCAGGACGCGGCATGTTGCGCGCGAACGGCAGGTTGCTGACCAGGGGTTGGTTGGAACGGGGAGTGCGGCTCAGCGATGATGATGGGTTGATCTCGCGTCACGGGAGGCCGCTCGCACGCAATCGGCCACCAGCTCAGCAAGCGCAAAGCCGTCACGCCCGCTCATTCGCGCGCCCAGAGCAAAAAAGAGACAGAGAGCATGATAGCAAAATCAACCGTCCGTATGTCGCAATCTGACCCTAGTGCCCGAAACGAGAAGATCTGTCCCTTTCCCCAAACCAACTCCCCTCCTCCCCCCAAACAAAAGCGTATTTGACAGCCACACACACTGCCCCGTCCCACTGGTTTTCCATCCCCTCTATACTCCACACACACACCAACAGGCAAACCGTTCATCAGGATGGAAAAAGGATCAAAATCGACACTTCGTTTCCAGCCTCCTTCGTCATGAGAGAAGAAGCTACTACTACCCATCTTCCGGGCCCTTCCTAAACGGCGAAACCGTTACATATCAGCCAGTCTCAGCTATGTTTCCCGCTTCCCAGACGCGAAGAAAAATCCCGAAAGATACCAAAAGGAACTCCTAAAGAAACCCCCAAAGACCGAAAAAGACGCCAATATGACTCCCAACCCAAGAAAAAGTCGCCAACGAGCTAACCTTGGCTCCGATCTGCCCCATGTCTGACTGACCGTTCTCTCTCTCTCACTCTCACGCATACTGGTGCCTGCTCTCACATCTCTCGCTACGCCGCGTTAAAACCCACAACCCGCTATCCCGCGTCCGTCCCCGGCATGTACCCACTATCGGTAGCCGCCGCCCCGTTGCAAAGCCGGTACACCCGAGATCCCCGACGCGATAAAACAAGACCCGACGCGACATCTCCCTATTACGAGACGAAAATGTCCTCCTCAAAGCCGCGCCGTTGCCTGCTGCCCGCCTTCCTCTAGCCTTCTATCGTTCGGTTGCCGTCGATCACGACACACGACACACAATCATAATAAGGGATGGGGCGGCGGTGATGGATGCTGGCAAGGCCGTAAAGGAACGAGGAAGGGGACATTGAAGCAAAGGATGAAAAGAAAGAGTCTGAAGAAGAGACAACAACAACGATGACACACACTCAGAAGTTGTAGCGGTTACACCTGGCCACACGCCTCGTGATATCGCGGGCAGCCAACCGCATCTGCAGCTGGCCCTCGTTGTACTCCTTCTTCAGCTCAATCATCTCGCGCTTCTTGGCCTCGATGATGCGCTTGATGCGGTCCAGCTCCTCGTTCTGCCGCGGCGCGTCGGCGCGGCAATTGGCCACGTACGGCGAGTGGTCGACGGCCCACTTCTCGTAACGAGCCCAATTCTTGTCGTCGACGGCCATGGCCGAGCCGTGCAGCAGGTCCGTCGCCCAGTACGCGCAGCCGCCGCCCGTGGCGGCCAGTGCCTGCGACAGCTGGCCCAGCACCAGGTCGGCCATGACGGCCTGCTGCGCCTCGAAGACGAGGTAGACGGGGAACTGGCGCGCGCGGTAGCGGTTGGGGAAGAGCACGGCGCACATGGCCTCGACCAGGTTCATCAGGAAGCCGCGCGCCGACGCGTGCTGCTCGTTGGCGGCGAGTCGCGCCTCGTAGTTGACCGTGTAGGCCACGTCGACGAGCGGGAAGCGCAGCGGCTCCTGCCACTCGGCCGTGGGGATGCGGTCGAGGCGGGCGTGCAGGCGCTGGCAGAACATCTCCAGCTCGGCCAGGCGCGCCGGACTGGGCGCCTCGTACGGGCTCCCCGCGGCGGCCAGGTACTTGCGGCGACCGGCCTTGGACAGGTTCTCGTTCCAGTTGTCGGGCTGGCGCACGCTGTCGACCTGCACGGCCAGGCTCCACTCGCCGGTGCGGGCGTAGCGGCGCAGGCCCTCGATGACGTCGAACAGCTCGGCGGGCGTGGGCGACTGGCACAGCTCGTCGACCAGCACGCGCTGGTAGACGCACGGCTGGTGCTGGGCCTGCTCGCGCAGGCGGTCCAGGGCCTGGCCCGTCGTCACGTCGTGCTCGGCGTCCCAGGCCAGGTTGCCGTCCAGCAGGGCGTGCAGCACGCAGTTCTCGGTGCTGGCCAGGATGTCGTAGCAGATCTTGCGCACCGACGCGTGCTTGCTGCCGACCAGGGCGTCCGTGGCCTTTTGCACGTCGCGCAGCAGCACGTCGATGAGCTGGTTGTAGCCCAGCTGCAGGGCATGCACGTACTCCTCGCGCGACTTGTCACGTGGCTGGATGCGGTCGACCTGCAGCGGCTCTTGGGGGCGCGCTTCTTGCGGGCGGCTGCTGGTGTCGATGACATAGCGCACCGACGACGCTTGCAATTCTTCGTCTTCTTCTTGCTCAATCTCCTGCAGACGCGCTTCGTCGTGCTCTGGCGCTAACCGCATGCTGTGCTCCAGCGAGTGGCATGTCAGGACTGATCATGGTCAGCAGGCGAAAAAAGAAAAACCGAAAAATTGGACGATCCAAGAAGTTGATGCCAAGACGAGGAGACGGAAAGGGCAGTGGTGGATGGTGTTGATGGTGAGGTGACACGGGCGTGGGTGCACAGGGCCTGGGGCGAGCGGGGGGTTCGTGTCGAGCGGGTCGCTCTGGTCTTGTACGCACCGTGAGCATCTTCGTCGTCGAAATGGGCGGGCTCCAGGCGGATGCGCTTGGCGGACGAGTCGGACGACATGGAGGCGGAGCTGGCCAGCGAGTCGTAGGAGCGCTGACGGGAGGATGAGGACGAGGCCATGGGGGTGCGGTGGGCAGGCGAGTGGATTAATGGGTGGGAGGGGGCCTGAGTACTGGAGGGGTATGGCGTCGCGAATCTCAGCGGGAGCGTGGTTGATCCCAACGGCCGGCGCGGGCAGGAGACGGAGGTTGGTGGTTGTGTAGTGAAAAGTGTCAAACCTGAGGCCTTGGAATACTTGAAGGCTGTTGGCGGAGCGCCCCGATTGGGAGTTGGCACCGCTGGGCCCCCCGGGCGGAGAGGGAAGTGGAGGCTTGTCGAGTGCGTAAGCCGACGGCGCGAGTGTGCGCGCGCTGCCACCCGCCCAAATGCGAGTCAGGCAGGAAGCCCCCGTGAAACGCGCCATGCCCTCGAGATCGCTGCCCGTTGTGTGTGACCGGTGCGCTGCTTGCTGACCTCACTGCGACTGCTGGCCTCCTCCACACCAGCCCGAACCGCCTGCTGCGCTGCGAGCGCGTTGGAGGCCGCATTCCCCACTGCGCGCGATAAGGCGCCGGATGCGGTGAGCCCATTGGCCTGCCGATGCCCTGCTGATCCCACCGAGAACACCCTCCCGCATCCACGCCCAGCCGATGCACGCGCAGGCGGCCAAGTCGCCGTCCCAAGCCTGCAGGCTCCCCAAGCTCTCCCAAGACATTTTATTTCTAGGAGCCGCACTACGCTGGCCGCCCGCGTGGCTGCCGCGTAACCGGGGTCGGCTTCGAGGGTGCAGAAAGATGGCGCCGGCACTTGGGCAAGCCACCCTAGCTGCCGTCAGCACTACACCCGCCCTGCCTAAATCGATCCTGTTCCTGTTGGATTGCCTGTTCCGACCGTGTTGGACGTGCTTTGCTATTTATGACCTGTAGCCTTTTTTGTGACATGCCGCAGCCACTATATTTGACCACCGCTCTACTAAGACGTTGATTTCGAGTCCTCCTTTTCCTAATGCCCTCCTGTGCGGTGCCCTCCATCTCTACCCTCCAAGAGGCAACGCCACAAGGGTTGACATGCCCGCTCTATGCCCCATCCAGTACGCCGAGCGCGCGAAGGAAGTCAGGTTTTTTTCCCGGCATCTCCTGCATGACAACCCTGCTGCCCTGTCAGAAATTTATTCTCTCGCCTCTTTACCGCGGAGCGTGATCCAGCCTGTCGGGATAGGGGAAGTGCCGCCGCTCGTACATCCTTCACGATGCTACTCTGCCCATGAAAATATCAGACGGCGAAGAGGCGTAGTATCGCGGAGCCCGGACCGGGCTGGCCACCCGGCGATTGCACTCAGTATAGGCCTACGAGCGAATTGTCATTACTAAAACCTTTCAGCTCGCAGACGACCATTCGACCAATGACGAAGATACCGAGCAAAGAGAAAGAATAAAGGCCCCGCTGCGGCGCGAGGCGAGCCTTCCCGTCCATGGGCCGGGCAGCACATCAAAAGCAGCTGGCTTTGATGCCCGTCGTCAGCTGTGTGCATCGCAATGCACATGCCCATCAAGCTGAGACTCACAACCGCCCCGGCGCAATCTTGTTTCGTGTGCCGCTTTCCGCAACGCCCTTTTTTTTTTGGACGATGACGCTGCCAGCAATCACCGACGGCCGCAGTATAATTGCAATCTGCCGTGGAGACCAATTCACTCGCGGCGACCCGAGTTCAGAATAACAGCCGGAAGAGACTCATGTCCACAACCCCCCGCCGCATTCCTTCTTTGCTTCCTTGGCTGCTGGCCATGCCCCTGATAAACCAAAAAAGCCGCCGAGCCCCGCCGATCAGCAAAAGACTCACTATCACATCGCCGTTGTTGCGCTCTCGCTTCCAGGGGCTCGCTCACATGTGCCGCCGATCATTCATGACTGCCTTGCTAACATACGCACACCCCTCCTCTGAGCTGTCCAAACCAACCCTCCCGCGAGCAATATGAATTGTCCGCACCCCATCCACCGCCACGCGCCATGCACGCCAATGAATCGCTTTTCCGCCCTGTCTCCTGAAGGTGGCTTGACGCCTCCTTCCACGTCTGCCGGTGACGACGCCGGCCACAAAGGCATACGCAGACCATACACGCACGGAGCCCGACCGAACGAACGACCTGGACGGATGGAACCGAAAAACGAAACGAACAGTGATGAACTCGCCCGACCACGTTTTTTTTCTCTTCTAGCTCTGCGACGCCTTTGCCGGAAATAGTTTAAACAGCGAAGACGCAATCGACATTGGCCCCACCGCGACCACCTTCCCTTCCCAAAGACCGCTCTCGCCCCAAAAGGATCCCGGATTCTGCTCGCTTTTCTTTCCCGACTTCCTTCTGATCGTCCGGCTTCCTGCCTGCGATCTTCTCCTTTTGCCTATCCTTAACATTCGCGCGGAGACTGATGTACAGTCGTCCGGCGATGCGGACTGGTGGCTAGCCACTTCGTCCCCGAGAGAGAGGAGAATAGTGCCAGGAAATCAGGAGAGAACGACGGGAGAATCCGGACTTGGGACCCGTACTCCCGGGCCTCACCGTACGCCCTCTAACCTACTTGCCCTGCGCGAATCGCTGGTGGAAGCGAAACCGGACCTGCCCGACTGTAGCCAAGTCTTTTATTTTTTTTTTCACGATGGGATCCACGCAGAAACACGAACGGCTGATTTGCGCGCTAACTTGACAGCTGGAATACGGAACAGCTTGCTAGCTGAACCTTTGGTTGGACTAGGGAGTACGTGATCGACGTGTCAGTGTTTGGGGAGGCCTTGATGCAAAAAGGCATCCCAGCTCGGGGTTAAGGCCGGCGATATAGGTGCTTGGCAACCTCGCCATTTAGTCATGCTTCCAGCAACGGACCAGATGATTTGAGTCATGCCCTCTTGGCTGTATTCATCTCAAGTGTGCTGAGCTTCGATAAGTTCCGGATGCCTACCACTTCAGCCCCTGGAGTCCGGCACTGTATCATTCTGAGAACTAATTCCTTTGCAGCCCTCGCCTACTGCGGCAAAACGAAAGCAAAAGGAACGCATTGCGCGTGTGGCGCTGCTATGACGTCCGTCGTAAGGCCGAAACCAACTTGAACAACAAAAAAAAATCATCTACAACCTCAACACCACCAGTTGACTGGATAGCGACCAGCACGGGACTCGAACCCGCAACCTTGCGCTTTCAACTCCTATTTAGGAGGCGCACGCGCTACCATTGCGCCAACCGGCCGGTCTCTGGTTTGTTGTTGAGGTGTGATGGAGTCCGGACTGGCAGGGCAGCATTATACTACCAACCGTAGAACGCCAACCCCACAAACACTCCTACCATGATCAATGCAAGCGTATGCGTATATCCCGCAGCTTAGATTACATCCGTAAGCCCTGGTTATGCGGATTCGTGGATGTCGAGGTCGAAAATTTCTCACTCAACTCGGACCATCTCCAGATCCGGAAAAGAGCCGAAGACGCTCTCCGCAGCCAACACCAAAGGCAATCGGCTCATGAAGGACTCGAGTGTGGATAAGCTTGCCTACTTCAGTGGAATTTCCGGGAACAACGGGCAGTAGGCATAAGGGCATGTGCCGAGCTCCGGATTGCTGATGGAATTGACACTTCCGGACTGCCGGATAGCCGCGACGAAACCATGAACTCCGAACAAAGTGGTGGGGCTCAACCCTCGTCAGGGCCGGGCCGATGGACTAGTTTTGCGGGACAACGGTCGCGAACGTGTGGAGAGGTTGGCCGTTTCGTGACGATATGGAGCCAGGCGCTATTCTTTCCAGGAAACAAGGTGAAGACCTACCAAAACACTCCAATTACAGGAATTTGGCCATGATCTGAGCGTTCGTGGGCTTGGTGTTCCGTGGTCATTTCTATAATGTCAGCCTGCCAGTGGGGACTTCACCACACCTCAACAACAAACCAGAGACCGGCCGGTTGGCGCAATTATAGTCTTATCAGATTTTATTCCTCCTCTTCACTTTTTGCATGTCTATCTGGTATTGGACCATTGCGAGGCTTCGTGCCTCCAGCAAACAACGCTGCGGCCATTCCCACAGCCCAGAGTGCGGAAGCCATGGATATCGTCAACGATTTGTTTGGAGTTGAGGTCCTTGCCTTGGGGCTCATCTCTCCAGATCTCAATCGTGTGCCAGGAGTGTGTTGATTCGGCCATACGAGCAACGCGGAGTGCTTGGTCCATGTCAGCGACCTCGAACAAGACGACCTTGGCCTGGACCTGATCCGCAATTTCCAGGAGCCGCGGGTAGAACAGGTCCCCGCTGTCCAAGCTTTCGTTCGGCGAGACGGGAGGCACCAAGGCCAGCTTTGGTTCGTAGTTCCGCACCGAGCGGGTGGTGGTGCGGACGAAGGCTTGGGGGGAGATGTAGGGGGGATTGGATATGAGGACGTCCCAGTTGAGCATGTTTCTCTCCCGTAGCAGAGTCATGAGAGGAGGAGGCACGGAGCTCTGGCCAGCCATGCCCCCCGATAAGACATCGGCCAGTGCGAAGCTCGTTCGCCTCGACCCGCAACGGCGCGCATTGTGCCTAGACAGGCTCACGCATCGCGGCGAGACGTCGATGCCAAGCAAGCGGATATCCGGGACGCCGGCAAGCAGGTCTTCGAAGAGAAGTGGGATGCAGCCGGTGCCGGTGCAAAGGTCGAGGGTGCGCAGTCGTTCAGGGAGGCCGGCCGAGGAGAGGCGCTCGGTGAGATAGGTAACGGAAGCCGCAGTTTCTTGCCTGACAAGCAAGATCAGCGGTGCATGCAGACGATTGGCGAGCGGACTGACCTTGGAATGAGCACGCCCGGCCGGCAGGCAATCTCCAAGTCGCCGAAATACTCTGTGCCGAGAATGTACTGCAGCGGCCGGCCGGCGGAGCGGTCAAGGACCATGGCGCGCAGGCGCGCGCGCCAGGAGGCGGGGGCCACGGTTACGGCATGCTCGCTCAGCCAGCGCAGCTCGTTGCGAGCAGAGGCGATGTCGCGACAGGCGAGCAGGAGGCTGGGGAGGAGCTCGTGGGCGCGTCGTGCGTGCCGTAGCAGGCGATGCGGGATGCGTGGCATGGCAGGGCCGGGAGAGTCGGGGAAATGACAGGCATGGCGGGCGCGGGATGAGTGGAGCAGGCTGGAGCCGCGCGCGGATCTCGGGTCGAGCCTCACTGCCCCTGAACATCATCGCTGCACCCCTCCTCGCAACAATTTCCTACGCCAACTCTAACTCGGGATAAGCTCAGACGCATTTTCTAATCTGATCTCATTTTGCTATCACGAGAGTTCCGATGAGTTTAATCCGCTGCGAACCATTGTCTGCTCCGTCTCACCCCATTGCGCAGGCTGTTAATTTCGACGCTTTCGGTGATTCTACCTTTGTGGCTGCGTAGTCAAAACGCAACAAGTGACAATCCCCCCTCTCTCGGGACGACGTGACGTTGGCACACAGCCTCACTAGCCGGTTCTCCGCATGCTTCGTGTTCGGCCCAACCTCCCGCAAGCCACACACTAGAGCCCCCCGCGCACCCAACCACTCGCTTCCATCCGTGGAAGCCGCGGCATTGCAAACGGTACTTGCGATCGAGTCTCGGAGTGTCTGATCGCCTGCGAAATGATCGCCCAAATATCCCGACTTCTCATCACGCTCAATGCTTCTGGAAACCTCCCTCCGGCTTATTTGCTGATTTACTTTCACTGGCCACCCATTGGGCGCGGCAATTTCTCATGAAGCGGAAGTAGGGCCGAGCCTGTGCAACGCTGACACTGCCAATCGCATAGGGCTGCCCGATAACGCTTATTTTATATCCATCTCAGCTCGACCACAAGCTAGCGCTGGCCCAAGCGTCGGTTTCAACGGCATACCACCCCTTTAATACACTATCTCCCCCTCTCCGATCTCCGTTGCCGTTAGCTATATCCTTGTCGTCCCTCTCTCGCTTCGAGCCTTACGGAAAGTCTCTCTTTCATTCTCTTCCTTCGTTTGAGCTCTTTCAACACCATGCCGGCCACGATACAATCAACCGCGGTTTCCCACCCGCTCTTTGGATCCACGCTCCCTGGAAAAGACCATGAAGATCCTGTCCTGAAGGCCGCACAGAGGATCATCTCCTTGAACAACCTGAAGAACAGAATCCTCTGCCATGTTTCCCTTCCTTTGTCTCTGGAGGCCCTTCCTTATACCTCTCTCGACCACAACCATGGCCGCTACTACCGCATTTCCCGTGCTTCCCTTCTCGGCAACTACCCAGAGTACTCCAACTACGACGGCATGTGGGACACGGTGGTCCGCATCCGGCTGACGGGCCGCACCGTCGAAGTGCGCGATGGCGATTACTGGCTCCCCCTCGGCGACTACCTCTCGCACCTGCCGCCGGTCAAGGAGTACTGGGAAGGGCCGGGCTCGGCATCTTGGCTGCAATCGCTCGAGTGGAAGACCAACGGCCAGCACTTCCCGCTGATGTCGCTGCCGGGCGAGATCCGCAACATGATCTACGACTACTGCGCGTCCTTCTGCTACCCCTACGAGTTCGAGCACGGCTTCAACTACATGGCCGCCGCCGGCACCGACGGCCTCCTCTACCGCGAGTACGGCCGCACGGGCACACACCTGCGCGCCGAGCTCTTCGGCCGCGGCCGCGTCCTCAACGGCGCCGGGCCCGTCCTCGCCCTCCTCCAAACCTCGCGCCAGGTCAACTCGGAGTTCTCGGCGCGGCTGTACCGCAACATGGAGTTCCGGTTCCAGGGCGCGTGGCCGCTGCAGCGCTTCCTCGAGTGCAAGCCCGACTTCCGCACGCTGGCCAAGGTGACGCTGCAGATGACGACGTGGAATTTCGTCAAGTTCTTCGGCGTGTGGCTGCACCGCGCCGCCCGCCCCTGGGGCGAGCCCGACGCCCGCTGCCTGCGCGGCCTGCGCCTCAACGAGCTCGAGCTGCGTCTGGGTCATCGCGAGAACTTTTCCGCCGAGGACGGCAGCGGCGCTTACCGCCTCGACGCCCTGCTGGCGCCCTGCTGCCACCGCGTGCTGGCCGGGTTGATCTTGTGGGCCGCCAAGGACTACGTCAAGGATGTTTCGACTGTGAGCGTCGAGGGGTGCGTGCCGGTGAAGGTCAAGGAGGCGTTCCTGCAGCTGTTGGCGGATGAGAAGGAGAAGGTGCCGTCGGCCATTACGCAGTGGGACGTCATCGGCAAGTCGGCGAAGCTGGTCGACAGGGGTGAGAGCTGGCTGGTCAGGACGGACTCGTAAGTGCACCCTGATCTCCCCGGGGAGTGCGGAGAAACGCTGACAGAGAATAATAGTGGACTCGGCTGCGAGCTCCTCGATCACGAGCATAGCTGTGCGGACATGGGTCCTTGCACCGATGACTTCTGCCTGTCCGAAAACGATTTCACGCGCAAAAAGCAGATTATGGCCGTTTGTTGTCCCGCTTCCACGCCGGCTGCGCCGTTTGTTTGAAGCGATGCGTCCGGGTTTTGTTTCACGGCCGTTGAATTGTTTTGTTTTTTGCGCTCCAAACGAGATTTAACGAAGAGATGTAGCGTTGTTGCTCTTCGCTCACCTGTTATTTGTGGGTTTTATTGTTTGGCGTCACGGCCAAAGAAGGGATTTCTCTTGCGGTTTGATACCCATGTAGTGTTGTGGGAGGAATCAGTCTGAACTTTGCGCTTGGTAGTTGGAATTTATTCTGCCTGAAGTCAAGCCCCACCTGTGTGATCGTCCGTTCTTCTACTTCTTATACTTGTCCGAGTCATGCTCTCCACTGTTCGACTGCTATAATAAGAATCCCCAGCGCTTAGACTCTCCGATCACTCGTTCTGCAGCTTTACCATGCTGCTGGGTGTTTAGCGCCGGCGCTAAGCTTTGTAGGGACATATTGCGGCACAGCAGCTGTATCTTCTTCCTTTGTCCCTCTTGATTTTTCCCCGCCCTATTCCACTGTTTTACTCGAGCTTGTTCTGTTCTTCTCCTCGGCGCAGCTACATCATTATGGCATCCCTCCGCACAGTTGGGGCCCTCGGCCTCTTCGCCGCCTGTTGCCAAGCTGTGACCATCAACTCGGACTTTTTTTCATGGCCGTTAAAAGCAGCTGCGGTGCCAACAGTGCACAACGGCGATACATTAAACGTCACGTGGAAATCTACTCAGACCCAGGCGATACTATACCACTGGTGTGGTGGCTCATTAAGTACATCGTCCCCGTCTTCTCAAACACATATCCAATCAGCTCATTCTCCACACAGTGGAAACCCTCCCCGGCTTCGGCGGCGACGGCAATCATGTATTCGTCGTGAATTCATCATGGACATCGCCTTGCCATTGGCAGTTTGTCAACCAGGCAAATACCGAAAACTACGTTGACAGCGGCTGGATCGACGTGACAAACGTCAAGGCCACTCCCGCCGTGACATGGGTGCCGTCAGCCACCGGCGAGGCTTGCGGTATCCAAGCCACAACAATCACGGCCGCCGCCACTTCCATGGCCGCCGCCACCAGCGCCGTCGCCAGTTCCCCGACTGCTTGCGCCACTGGCACGGACGCAGCTGCGCACGGGCCTAATCTCAGCTCAGGTGCGAGCATGGGCGTTGGAATTGCTGTTGGGTTGGCCATCGCGGCGGTTACTGCTGCTGTCTGGATACCCCTGCGACGGCGCTGCTTGAGACCAACCCACCCGAACTCCTCGCAAGGGTCGTCCGAGGCAGCAGTTCAGAGGCACATGAGTCAAAGGCTGCCTGAAGCAGATGGTCAAGCCAGGTGTGAGATGGATAGTACTGGAAAAGTAGGGCTTTCGAGCTTGTCCGAATTGCCTTCGTCTCCTGGCAGACGATCCCCTTGAATGATTGTATAGAAGACTTGGGCTTGGGTCTGATATGAAATTTGATTATTTTTTGAAAAGAGACGTTTTGTTAGGGGAGTTTGTGGATAGAGCTGCTATGAGAGCAGGCTCTCCTTGCGCGTGATGCGAAGAGCTTCTAAGAATCGGTGGCTGTTAGTGGGAGTATCATTGCCGGTTCATCATTTGGCAAACCATCGCAGGCTCGTAGCTGTTGTCCGTCGCACATTGACCCAGCCGTTCCATCTCGGGCATTAACACGCTGTTTGGCTTTTGCTATGTCGGCAATTGCGTCAGGGCTTGAGAGAGTTTGTCGAAATACGATCGTGATCAGCTGGAGAAGGCAGATTGTTGGAAATCTTGCGGCGCGCTGTTTGTAGATGGCGCCTTGGCCAGCGGCGGGTATATAAACATGGACCGTCGGCTGGACAGAAAGGAATCAAGCAGGAGTTGTCTCTCTGGGATAGAATTATTTCGTACTCCTTGCGGCATAGTAAATCGAGAATGGTTTCGTATTGTTGGACTGCTTTAAGCTGCAAGATGAGGGTTCTCAACGTTAGGGTGTTACTGCCTGCGCGGATCGCAAGCATCAACCAGTGATGGCAAGTTGCGGTGTGGGCTATCCCGTACGTCTGCGAACACACGCGCCTGAAGTGTTACTGGCACTACATTCACTTTTCCCCCGCTTATTAGCGTCGGGCTGCAGGTCACAGGGCCTCTCGGTCTATATATTTCCAGCCCTTCCGTTTTGAAGCACCGACTCCTCGATCCGAGCATCTCAACTGACTGCATTCCTCACTCATTTCGCCACTCGTCGCTCTCTCGCTTATTGCTACCAAACCTTCATCACTCTTTCAGACTAAACTCCAGCTCTGAGCAGCGCTTGTGCTCGTCATTCATTGAACTCCCACCCAGGCACACCCACACCCATAAACAATGCAGCAGCCTACAAAGCAGGGCCGGTATGTACCTGTCCTAAGGTTGACGGTCTGAAATCATTGACAAGGACTTCTAGGGACTCCCTGAGCTTAAGTGGACAGCGACCATCATACGCGATGGTTGCGCAGGGAAGGATGGTGCAACGACCAAGGCCACTCCCACGACCCATCACAACTGAAGCACCTGGCTCTGCGATCGTACCCAAACCGGACCCCGTATTCGATGCCATCACCGAGCTTCTCGGCCTGACCTCGCAGTTCCCACGGAGGTACAGCTCTTCAACCGAATACACTGTCGCTGCCGCCGCTCCAACCCCATGGGGAGCTGCGGCAGAGTTCGGGCGTTTCTACGAGATAACACGCTGGACTTCGCGCAGGGGAGAGGAAAGTCAAACGGTAACTGGACGCATGAGGTTCAATGATGAAGGACATGTTGTCGCGTGGAAGGGTCGGAAATGGGTCGAATTCGGAGATTGGATGATCTCCGTCTTCCCGCGTCTTCAACAGGATCCCATCGGTCTGGGCTCCCCTCTCTGGACGCACCAATACCTATGGTATATAAGTGGGAAGTGTTTCCGCCTTCTGGACTTGCCCGCGGAGATGCGACTCGAGATTTACGAAGCATGTGCGACATTCCACTATCTGAATCGCGATTTCAGGGGAGGGTGGGGCCTGGGATGGAATAACTTCCCTTACCTTGATTCCTCTGGACCAAGTCCCATGGATGAGCTTCTCAAGAGCGAGTTTGGGCCACGCGGTACCCTGGTGCGGACGGAAGGTCAAGATGGAGGCCGCATTCTCAACGGCGCGGTTTCTCCCCTCAGCCTGCTCCTTGTGAATAGACAGGTATACGACGAGTTCAAGGACGTCATGTGGGCGAAGTTGGATTTCCGCTTCTCAGCCACCCAAGCCTCTTCTAACGTCATATGGGGTGGCCAACGCCTGGTACGGGCTGTTTCCGAGTACACCGAACTGTCGCGCATCACTCTAGAGCTTCCTATTCTGGACTGGATCAAGTTGCTGGGCATCCCTCTTCGATGGCAACCTACTGACCACTGGCGCCAATTCGGACAGCTTAGTCCGATCGCTCAGTTGCTACAGACAATGAACCTATCGCACCTGACGATCTACATCCGTCATCAGGTCGGAAACGTGGCAGAGTGGAGGTATACGAGCGAGGACAGCCCTCTCCACAACTCGTGCCCACATGTCCTTGTCGGATACATTGTTCTTCACGCAAGTACTGTTTTTTCAATGATCCCACATGTCCAAGTCATGGGCTGCATCAGCTCAAAAATGGCCGCACAGTTCCAGCAGCTACACCGAGAAAACCATACTGGGGCAACACCGACGCTGACAGAATGGGATGTCATTGGCCCTTCTTCGTACTTGTCTAGCATTGGAAGGTCATGGATGCAACATGGCCTGTACACTCTGGATCCCATGGAAATGTAAGTAAACACAACGACTGCCACCTCGCACCAATGTGAAAAGCTAATCTTTTGAAGCGATAACGACACCATGTGCGTCTATATAGGTGACGGTGAGAAACACAACTGCTATAGCCAGATCGGATGTACAGACGGCAATTGTATGGCAGAACGACAGCTGGAGGTTTAATACTCGGCTTTCTTACTGGGGCGGGCCGCCGCATACGTCCTCTCTTCGATACTCATTCCAGCGTTGTCATTCAACATACCTTACTTGCGACACTCTTGTTCATGGGAGGAAGGTCATCAAGGGTCATTTCATGCATGGACGGTCAAAATCCTGTTAGAGTCTTAACTATGGTTGAATAGGTTAGCAGGCAAGGGATTTTGTAGTAGCACAAAACCCCAGTTGGATGAACATGTGTTTCATACAGTTGCTTAGTGAATTTCCGTACCTTTTTGTGGTTTGCTTGTTCGTGGGGTACAGCGAATCCATCTGCACCGAGGTACAGCCGCCATTGTTCATGCACAAAACATATTGACCAACAACTTTGAGGCTGTAAATTTCCTCTTGAGGCGATGGACTCCATGATTCCATGTACTTGTTTCGTAGCAACCAAATTAAAGTCATGTGATCAGTCCACAGGCAGTCAACAAGCTGTCAACAGGCCCCTTTAGCTCAGTGGTAGAGCGCGACACTAGTAATGTCGAGGCCATCGGTTCGACTCCGATAGGGGGCATATCTTTTTGCGCTCCCCTCAGGGAGATTGTACGCTGTGCATGCGCTGCAGGCAACATCTCTTTTGCATTTCTCCATGCGTGCGTGGGCATCTCCGAATGTGCCATGCCCCAAAAAGTTTAAATCAACTCCACTCAGCCCGTGAATAAGCATCAGCAATTTTTGTGAATATCAATCGGCCAAATTGCTCGAGTTGAAGCTCACTAAACAAGGGACTGACCTTAGCGGTGCTGGTCTATTTACCAGCGGTCTCTTGATCAATAAAAGGGTCTTCCAGTCAGTACCAGAAAAGAAGAGCATGAGGACTTCATCACTAAGTAGCATTTAATAGTTGGAAACTCCCGTAGATTGGCTTACACTAATATCTCAGCATGAACACTACTACAGACCAGTATGTTAACTACGCACGCCACATTTAACCTCAATAACTAGGTTATTCGAGCACTTCTTTACCCTCGGGGAGGCATAGCGTAATAAGGGAAACCCCTTACAAACGCAGTTGGGTGGGTACACATTCCCTTTATTTGATGACATGAGAATAGACTTCTGTGCTTTTTGCTTAGTGGCTGTGATGTTTACTGCTATCTCAGGCGGTATAAAAGCTGCGAGCCTGTGATCTACACGTAAGCCGTTCCCTTTCGAACACCCTCTCGTGATCGTAACCTGGCTTCGATACGCAGTCTAAGCCGTCGCAAAACCACATAGCTCCACTCAACTCCAGAAATACGTTTGTGTAATGCTGCTCTAACATCAAAAGCAAATCGAAGAAAGAAAGCCCGCACAACCTTGGCGACAGGTCCGCCCACGGTATCAAACTCGGGGTGACCAGATGAGCCGGCAAGGTCGTCTGTGAAAGATCAAGCTGAAGCAAATAGTCCAAAGAAGGGAAGTCCTTGGCATCCGGCGGCTTCACTAACTGCATCCACGCCGCTGTGGAGTGATGCTCTGGATCATCGGCTGTGTCTCTGGCCCTGCTGTTTCCAGTCCTCTCATTAAACTCCCTTCGTACAAGTTCAAAGGTCTTCTTCTGCTCCTCCGTCACACATCCCTCCAAACGCACCTCCGGGATGTCCTTGAGATAAGGCAGCAACGTTATGAGAGCAAGCCCTGTCACCGTCGAGTGTGGTGCTATATTGTGTAGCGTGTAGAATAATGATATGTGCGACGAGTCTATGCGGTGCCTGTTTGACTGTGTTCGGCACGGTATTCTGATCATCAGCGTCTCCAGCCCGCCAACCAGACACAGGTTGAACAGCTTGGAGGCATGAGCGTAAGGAGAAGGTTTGAGAGAAAGCTGAAAAGGATGGCGGGTGAACGTGAGAAGGTTGAGCGTGGAAAAGTTTAGTGCAAGGTGGGCCGGGTACGGGAGTTTGGAGTGCTTCTGCGAGCGGTAGACCGTAAGGCTGGTGAAGCGGCGAAGATCCTCGTATTCCCTGAAAACGAAGATAGCATTGCGCCAGACGAACGAGGAATATTCATGACAGAGCTGACGGCAGCTGAGCATGAGTGGCATGTGGTGGGGTTTAGGCTGACACTTGGGATGAGACCGATACTGGTGATGATAAGGATTGCAAGGATCGAGGAGGTGTTCGTAGATGCGGTTCCGGATCTCACCGGGGAGGCTAAGGAATGGAGAACGCTTATTGCAAGATGCCATTTTGAGGCTATTAAGCGTTTCGTAGTGCGATAGAAGTCTGAGGTATTATCGGCTGGCGGCTGTGCTTTATTAGCAGTGCATGAAGCAGTTGTAGGCTCAAATATGAAGGAACAAGGGGTTTATGTAGAAATCGGATGGTCAAAAGTCTTATTTCCCAGAAAATTTGTCCGAGTTTAAATTTGGATAGTTCTACATACAGGGTCCAGCAAACCATGGATCACGGCTGCGCAACTCCTGCTGTTCGAATGTGTAAAGATTTTGTCTTTACCCACAGCTCTTCTTGGGTTTCGAGTGACGATGTGCGTAAGATTTTGATACCATTACCGAAAGAGGGTGGGCGTCGACGCAGAGATGTGTTAGGTAAGCAATATTGCGTACTAAGCTTGCCTTGATCATTTGCTTCGTCAGTGATTGAAGACTGTCACCTGCCTGAGGGTGTCCGTGCGCGGTTTGATGGCATTTTGTTTCTGGTTCAGGCCATCTACACTTCCACACCTTCTTACACTCGACCTCCAACCTCGACGTCCTACCAGAAACACGGAATACGCGAATACCGAACCACACCATGGGCTTTGATCTTGGCCTCCACGACCACAGGCTGGTCGACAAAGTACCTGAGCGTGCGGCACCCACCGTCATACGCTCAGCTCACGCCGACGATGATAGCCTGGATGCTAAGGCGCCTCAAAAAGTGCGCAAGAAGCGTGAAGCACCTTTGAAGAACCCCAACATACCAAGGTCACTGCTTTCCACCGTAAGGAGCCTCTACATTGATCCCGATCCCGGCTTGCCTTCTGGTGTCGATCCTGTCCTGGATATCCTGCGCAAGCTCTTCATGTCACAAATCTGGTGGTCCAGGAAGGAAAAGACCCTAGAACAGCCGACCTTCACCGTGACCAGAGACTCGGTCATCGAAGTGCCTCCCCCCAAGACCCTGGCGCCGCCCTCGCCCTCTCCTCCCGACCACAACGCCGCCGCCGCCGACAGCTCGCCGCGCTCGTACGGCATCTACGTCATCACCAAGCACTACCTGCCCATCGACTTCGGCCCCGAGAACTTCCGCCGAGCCAAGATCATGGCCAAGCTCACCAACAACGGCGCCGGGGTCCTGATCCGAACCTTGTCCACCACCACCACCTCCACCTCCGCCGCCGCCGCCGCCGCCGCGTCGTCCGACAACGGCGGCTGGATCACCCCCAACGCCTTCGTCTCCCTCTACGGCGCCGTCCCGCGCAGCGACGCGCGCGGCATCGGCTCGCCGCACTGGCACGCGTCGGCCATCTGGGCCACCAGCGGCAAGCCCTTCGCGCTGCTCGCGCTGCCGCGCGAGCAGCGCGACGCCGTCTACGCCGCGTGCTGCGCGCCGGCTGTTTACCCGCGCTTCATGCACGCAGGCGGCTGGGAGTACCTGCCGCGCAAGGTGCCGACACAATTCCTGACCAGCATCATGCGCTACACCGAGCGCGTCTACGGCTTCTGTTCGCGCGCCGACGATGATATTCCGTATGCCGCCGTCGCGCCCGTGCTGAGCCTGCTGCTCGCGAGCAGGCAGGTGTCGCGGGAGTTTGCGGAGGTGCTGAGGCGGGAGTGCGAGTTTTGTTTTGCAGATGTGCATGCCGTTGTTAATTCGCCGGCGTTGTTTGGGAAGGTGGTGGTGAAGCGGGCGCCGCTGCTGAAGTGGAGGACGGTGGAGGCGAGAGCGGGGGCGGTCGGGACGCTGACGCGGTTAAGGCTGGATCTGGATACGCCGACGTGGTTGAATGTCTTGGGGTTGAATGAGGTGCTGCTCGGAGAGCAGAGGGGCCGGTTCAGCGACGAGTGCGTCGCTGGGAAGTGGTTGTTTGACCTGCCGGGGTTGAAGACGTTCACCGTGTTCTTGGGACATAAGAATGTCAACACGACTAGGGTCACTACGTACGCGGGGTCCCGGAAGTGCCATCGACTCTGCACCGGCATGATTCTGCTGGGCTTGGCGGGACTGACGGCCGGTATGAAGGAAGTGCGGATTCTGGGGTGTGTCAGTGAGCAGCTACTTGAGATGTTCCTCAAGTTCCTGAGGGAGGGGGAAAACAACGATGAGGGCGCCTTGATGTGGGATATCCTGGGATGGGATGGACGTCGCTACGAGGACTTCCCCATTCCCCCTCCCCACGATTTCGCCCAGGTGAAGCTCACTTTTCCCCGTGTGAAGCAACTGAACATTCCGTAAGCTCTAGATCTTACCACCGATATTAAGAAGGTTTGCTAACACCGTTCTTGTACAGGAGGTATGATCTTCTTTGCGAAGAAACGAGTTGTGGTCCTGGTAGTCTGCCTCATGGCCATGAATGCTCAGGCTGTTGCTGCGGACCCTTAGGCTGCGTCTTCGATACTAGCGTCTAAGGAGATTGAATATTGGTTAGATGGTGTGGTTGGTTGAAAGGTTACATCTCAGGCTGTTGTATTCATGGCTTCCCGAAGACGAATTGACGGAGGCATATTACGGATTAATGTCGACTTAATGTCCAACAAGACGGAGTTATAGAACTGTAGTCTTTCTAGAATAACTTTGTAGCTGTATGAACAGTCGAACTACATGAGGTGAACTGCCCATGCAATGTCCCCGTTTCTTGACACACTCCATGGACCAAACCACCTGACCCGACAATGTATAGCTCTCTTCGCTATCACTTTGCAATCGATCCTGCCCTCGAATATGAAAACGCTAGTATCTTCGTCCGAAGCCTTCTGCTAGCTAGGTCTACACACTGATGCTCTGGATCCATAGCCTGATAGTGTATGCAGAGTAGCGTCTGGCGCGTTATCGTAGCAAAAGTCGGTGTATGTCAATGCTAGGCCCAAGTCCAGCACCCACAAAGCTACTCAGATCGTCTCGGAGTCGGCCCGACAGCGGATGGTCACGACAGACATCTTCTTTACGATAGAGTGTGGCCATGGCGAAGACCTTGTCGCGCTTATCCGTGGTTCTGGTAGGAGAAGCATCGCCAGTTTCTATATGCTGCATTGTTTGGGTAGTATCATTTGTGCAGCTTTGGATTTCGCCCATTTACTTGGCCGGGGATGAATTTGGTACTGTGGGTCGTCTACCAAAGGAGAGTTGGAATCATGAGAACCCTGGAAGAAACTGAGCACGAAACGCTTCTGACCGGAAAGACGGAAGGCTGAGCAAAGCTCGTGCCAGGTTGTGGTGGAGCCGCACAGTACCACGGCGTTGGGGAGGCGAAGCTTCTTGGATCACCCAGGGGCCAGATCTATCCGAACCATGGGGCGGAAAGGATTGCGGCCAGGGCGGAAATCGTGCCTATCGACTCCATTTTAGCCGCATCACGGCTGCCTGGCTGCCACTTCCTAGATGCTGCAAAGAGCAGAAGGAATCGCGGAAGCGACGCTTATCTTTAGGCTCCGCGGAGTTCCCAAGGAGATGTTGCTTTTTGCTGCACGAGCGTGAAGTGGGCCCGTCAAAGCAGCTTGAAGAGTAATCAATGTCACATTGGACTGCTGCATGTAGAACTGATTAATACCAAATGGAAGATGGTAGCATTGCCCACGATGCCATCCTTTACGGCCGTGCCATGAATGATCGGCGTCGTATTGATCAGGCTGGACAAAAGGACGCTGAGGCTTCGGGCAATAGTACATCTACTGAATTAACGAAGGGTCGGTACGTTGGAAGTACCATGTTGTAAGCACAGCAACTCTGTCAACGTGTTCAAGGTTCAGAGTGAGATGTTTTAGCCTAAAGATGCTGCACTAAGCTAAACTAAATTATCGTAAAAGATTCCAGCGTAGCTGGTGAGGTGGGCTGAGGCTATTGAACCGTTACTAGGGCCTGTCAAGTGATAGAAGGTTTACGCGATAGTCACCCAGAGCCTGACGTGGCTTGCTCTCCTATCTCTAGGAATATGTGTGTTCAACAAGATAACCCTATTTACCTGCGGAAGATCAGTATAGTATGGCGGTAACTAGCCCGGAGCCTTTTACCAATATGCTCGACAAAAAGTAAAATGCACAACCATAGAGGGAAGATCCCTTAACCTTTAATGAGGCAAGCCTTGGTATGCTCTAAACTTCGAAACAGAAAGGGGTCGAGGGACTTTATGGCGGATACTCCTGAGCAGAGGGAGTAAGGTTGTGTTGAATGCTGGATTGGACACAAGTATTCCCCCTCTTTTCCATGAGGGTTTGACACGTGATTGTTGCCAAGCTGTCAATTCACCGGTCCGAAGCCTACCTTAAGCTTCGGCCCGAGAGAGCATACTAGCTAAACAACCTTCGGAGTGCTCAAAATAGTCGTCGAAGATGTTTATCCAAGAAAAATAGTAGTTTTAACCGTGTCTTCGTGATTCAATTGTTGCGAAATGATACCAATTACTGGGAAGCGAGCGCTATAGTGCGTTCAAAATCCCTTTTGACCGAGGGGAGGGCTTTGTCGTTCTAGGGAAGGCCAGCTAGTTTGAAGGAATGTCGAGCAGCCTATTGCATCTGGCGGAAGGGCGCCTTCCGATTTTCTCAGGATCTCCGGGACCCTGCATCGCCACAGAGCGGGTAAGGGGTCAAGCGTGATCCTGCGGTGGCGTCACAGCGATCGCCAAGCAAGGCCGGCGCGTTCGTCGCAGAGTGGCTTGAGATAAAAAAGATAAAAAAGAATCCTTTGAGCGGGGAACAAGCAATGCCCAGACGATTCTAAGACGCCTCTGTTGCGTGGCACACGTCCACCGCTTAACCCCTGTCTGAGATGGAGTATGGCCAAGGGGCTCTCATGGATCCACCCGTCTAAAGCATCAGATTTCCACTGGCTTCGGACGGCTCTTCAGGAAGACAGAGTAATATAGCGACCTCTGATTCGAAAGAGAGTGCAGTTCATAATTGTTGACGTAAGAAATGTATGCGAAAGATGAAGGTTGTGGTGAGCTGGTACCACACGATTCAGCTTACCATTCCTCACCACTCCTTCAAGGGCGGCCCGAGACCAAGTTTTCCCCGAGTGCGCCATTTATGCACTGTGCATCGTACGGTCTTCTCTTGCCATGGGGGATGGGCTTTTTAGTTGTGTGCCTCGAGACGAGATCTCCGTTTGTCCATCCTGCGGAAGGGGGTTCAGCTCCGTTGTGCGTAGTAGCACAGGCTGTTCCAATACGGGCGGCACCTTAATGGAAAATATGGGCTTTCATGGAATCGTAACTCGGGAACAGTAGGCTTGGGTATGTTGACTGATACGCCCATTTTGTCACTGTCAGCTGCATTGTCAACAAACGATGCGCTTATCACCCACCAACAAGCGTAGTTTTGGGAGGCCATCCAATGGGGCTTTCTATTAGTGAGAATGGCTACAGTAGTCCTTGGATCTGCGTGAGTAGGATTCACCGGGGTACTTTTTTTCTTCTTTTTCGACCCGGAGGAATGCCAGTGCGCGTGCACTGCCAATGCGTGAGTGAAAAAAAAAATCTGGGACTGCCCTGGCTCTTAGGAGAAGTGTCTCTGGCGTGGCCATGGTTAGAGGGTGTTAGGATTTAGGAGAATTTACAAGTGAGGCTGTGTGGTGATTCATCGTGGAAAAGCTTGCGTAACAGGAAATGAAGTGGTGGGGCGAACCAATATTGTGGATTGGAACCACAGCGTGAAGTCTTGAGGGTTGGAGGAAGGTTACAGTGAGAGGAATTACGCATCTGGCGAGCATGTGACAGCATACGAGATGGTCATTCGCCAAGCAGCTTGGTGAGAGTTCGACTGGAGATTGGTGCGAGAAAAGCGTACAAAGGAGTTTGGCTGCGCCAATGAGTAGTAAATGAGACACAGTTATTGGTGATGGCTTGCAGGATGTCGTGGGCGAAGTGATAGGAAGCGGAACACGACATGGGCCCCGTATTGGAGGAGATGATTCCGGCAATTGGGCTTGGTAGCGAATGGCCGTTGGGCGGAGCGTCACTAGAGAGAGGAGATGAAGAAATGCGTTGCGATATCGTCATCTCGATCGTCTCCTTTCCACCTCCTTGGGTCCGGGGTATTCAAGCTCCCGCGGGTTGGCAAATGAGAGCGTCTGAGGCGGCGATGGGAGAACGGAAATGGGGCTAGGCGGTGGGCGCGCCGTGCGCTGCACTGGTACCCGGCGGCGGGAGGCTTCGGCGAATTACTCGCGTCCAACGTTGGGTCAGGCAGGCCAGACGAATGAAATGAGATGACGGTTGACGTAGGGCCGGAGTAGCTGGGTGGAGGATTGAGATGGCTGCGATGGTACGGGTCCAGGTCCGATCGGGAGGTCGCAGGCCGTCGGCGCGGGATCAGATCAGCCGCACCCGCGATCATGAGGCCGACCCGCCCCAATAATCTCTCTGTCTCCCCTGCCTCGGGCCACCCCTCGCCCTCGCCGCTCCCGGTCCGACAAGTCCCCGCGCCCTCATTCGCAGAGCTGGCGGCTGTTCCCCGTCCCGCGCACTGCCATCTATGCCGCCTGAGATCCTGCGCTGCTCCCTCGCGATCCTGCCGCCCGCAAGAGACGGCCGCTCTCACAGCCCCCCAGCTGCCCGCTGTGCCGCGCACCCTGGACGCCTTGCAGCCTGAGCGCACGAGCAGTGGGACGGGATACAGCTGTCGAAACACCAGCGCTGCGCGTGCAGAGCATCGCCATGGCTGCAATTGGCCGGCAAAACTGCTCAGCTGCCTCTCGCTCGGGTGGCGGCGTCTCCACAGCCTCACCGGCGTCGCTTATGACTCGGCTGCCACTCAACTGCCGTTTCTACGAGATTGCACCGCGCTCAGGGGAGCCCATTTGGCTCGCCCGCCGCACTGGATCTGTGGTCCGCGCCGATCAGCCGCCCTTGCTGGGAAGAGATCACCTCGCCAGTGGGGAACACCATTACTCGGTTTCATGACAGCTGCAAACACGTTAAGCTGAACGCCGCGCTCCGGCCGGCTGACGCGACGGCGTTGACAGCTAACGTTGTCGTTCCCCGTAAAGCCTCCTGAACCGCTCGTCGCGCCTCTCCGCATTCGGCCTCACGGTTGCTGGCCGCCTGTCGGTTGGGAAGCGATGTACCTGTGCCGTTGCTCTCATCGTCGATGCAATTGCCCAGTGGAGCTACCATCTCCGGCGCACCCGCCCGCGATCAGCAGATGCGAAAATCCAGGGCGCAGAGGACCCGTTCCTGGATTCCCTCCGCGCGCCGTTCGCCTGGAATACCGCCAGCATGGCACCGAACGGGAACGCCAGGATTCAAAGAAAAGAGGCTGAAGAATCGGTGCTTCTTTGGTACCTACGGGAGCCTCTGCTTCGCCGGCAATGCCACGGCCGCAAGCCACTGAGATGACGATCAGCAGCAATAGGCGGCTGCCTGCCCGTGACTGCACCATGACGCTTGCATTGAGCCTCACGGCCCTGTCTGCGCCACCACCCATCCGCCTGAAGAAATGCACCCGGATGCGTGAACGCCGACGCACACTGTGTGCTGCCTCTTCCAAGGACGTTGCCTGCGCCGATCTCTCGCTGTTGGCCCAAGCAGTCTGCCATCCCGGCGCCCATCACATTCTCTTTCAACGTCCAGCTGAATCGACCACCGTCTCGCTATCCTGACTCGCCGCTGCACGCCCTTTTCCGTGGGCCACCAGCACTTCCCACGCGTCGAGACCCACCTCTGCCCGCGAGAGCGTTGTACGCTTAATTTGCTACACCGAAACGCCGTAGGAAAACCTTGTCCGCTCGTTACTCGCGGACCGCCCGAGCCTATTGCCTGATCTGGCTCGCGGTGCGGCGCCAATCGACGACGGCCGCGAACCGGGTCGCTGCATCTCGGCATGTCTCCGTTGAGCCTGCACAGCCCTAGCACAGGACCAGCATGGTTAAACCTCAGGAACTGGCTCATTTTCGACCACCCGTCTCAGATTGCCATCATGCCTGTTGGGGAAGCTGGCTCCCTTGGCTAACGGCACACTACACTCGAGCCGTGCTAGTTAAGCGTGCGCTGGGGCCCTACACGCGTCAATACCCTAGCGATGTTCTGCGTCGATAGACTGCTAACCACCGCCTACTAGCCTAGATCGCCGCTGTGACCTTACCTTCTCGGAAAGTCTCTCCATTGGCCTGACTCCGCCCTACACCCCACGTCAGGACGCAGGGGAAAATGGCCTTGGCACTGTGAATTGCGAGCTGAGAACCATTATGCCCTGCCTGCGAAACGGTTTAGCTGCACGGCAGCCTCTGCACCCGGGCTTAACTACTAGCCCACGCCAGTCCGTTCGTCCTCTTCCTTCCTCCACAGTCGTTCCTTAGTCTCCCAGAGTATATCAGACCGGTCACCTTGACCGTCATCCTCTGTGGCTGACCTTTTTGTCATTCTCTATTAGTTGGACCCTCGTCCCTCGTTCTCGGGTTCAGTCTGACAAATTCCTCCACACTCATTTCACAATGTCTATCCTTTTCTACCGTCGTCCCGACTACGTTTCCAAGTCCAACGGCCCGCTTGACCGGAAGGAATGTCAGCGCTATGTCGAGCGGACTGCCAACGGCAAGAGAGGCATCCCCGATGAGCTCTCTTTTGAGAACATCATCGCCAACAAGGCCCTGCCGGTATGTCTATCGACGCCACTCGGCCTTTCTGATACTGACCGCCCTCGAAGCCATGCCAGCTTCGCGACTTCATGGACTACCTGGTCTATGTGACCCACGATGCCGAGAATCTTCAGTTCTACCTCTGGCTTCAGGACTACACCGAGCGCTTCAACGCTCTCAAGGCAGACCGCAAGACGCTATCTCCGGAATGGAATGAAGAAGAGCCACCAGTCGAGGAGAAGGTTACTCAACGCGCCTCCATGAGCACTGTCATGGGAAATAGGAAGAGACGTCCTCCGCCGCTCATGCCCAAGATCGACTTTGACAAGCCCGCTGAAGCCGCCGCTCTTGGACTGAACGAGATGGTCGTTACTCCAGTTACTCCCAGGAGCGACTGCATGCCTTCTCCAGGCCTCAGCAGGCAGGACACTTTGTCTCCTACTCAGGCCACCTTTGGCGATAGGCACAGCGTTCCCACCGTCTCCCTCACAGGCCAGGCATCTCAATATGGCGAGCCCGTCCTCTCCGAGGAGTCAGTCCGTGAAATCGCTGACGAAGCCAACGCTTCTGCCGGTCTCAAGTGGCAGGGCTGTAAGTTCACTATGCTTGAACGTCCACGTGTCACGTTACTGACAACCTCTAGTCTCTGTCCAGCCCCTTCGTCAGGAGGTCGACCGTGTCATCGCGCACTATATCGCGCCGGGCGCTCCGCGTGAGCTCAACCTTTCGGCCCGTGACCGGTCTGCTGTGCTGCACGCACTGCAGCACACGACGCACCCGTCGGCTTTCAAGATTGTGGCTGAAATGGTCGAGGCGACACTGCGCGGTCAGGCGCACCCCAACTTCGTGCGCTGGAGCATCTGCAACGGCAACAAGCCCCGTGTCTTCTTCGTCCGCACTATGGGTGTCTCGCACATTGCGGGCGGCCTGATCATTGGCCTGCTTCTCCTTCTGTCCAGTGTCCCGCGCTGGTGGCGCCTGTTCATGTTCCCCGTCCTGTTCATGGGCACGACGACCATGATCGCGGCCTACAAGGGTCTCTGTGTCATCCTCCACAAAGAACACAAGCGTTGTCTCAAGCCTTGGGAGGAAGAAGACAGCGTCAGCATGAATAGCGAAGTCAGCAACACCTCCTCGAACGCTACCGCGACCAACGAGAAGCCCCCTAGCACCCTCGCTCCCGCTCAAGACCCCTCGCGCTTGAAGAGGATTTCCACCAACAGCCTCGCCCCATCTCAGGACGCCGCGCGCCTAAAGAGGATTTCGACCAACAGTCTCGCCCCATCTCAAGACCCCTCGCTTATGAAGAAGACTTCGACCAGCACCTTTGACTACGACGAGGAAGCCACGCTGAACGGCAACGACAGGTCGCCGAACATGATGAGGCGCGCCTGGAGCATGGACACATTCGGCAGCAGCAACTCGTTCGACAGCGAGGCGTGGGTCTCCAACTACGAGAAGAAGCCCCTCAAGGAGAAGATTTGGGACAAGGAAACCTGGGTCCAGGAGGCGAGCGTGCGCATCATCCAGGATAAGATTGTCAAGGGTGCGCAGATTTGGAGCATGATCATCACTACGACGACAACGGCCGTCTTCCTCGCCCTTCCCGGAGCGTGTCTGTACTAGGTGTGGGATTGGAGAGAGAGATGCACGAGTCCGTCGTTGATACCCTGTGCTTTTCCTTGGTTGCTTGATCCGCACTCTTGTCGCTTGTCTCTTTGATGCTAGATTGACCGTTGCACGATACCACCCCTTTGTTTCCCTTTTTGACTACTACTTATTAATATCTGAGTGGCTGTCTACTTCTGATGTCTTTTCCCGATATTTTTGTTGATGAAGAGGAAAATTTTTAGTTGATGATTGGGCCCGGAACGGTCTTTTAGGATAGCAGGCCGGGGGAAAAAGGAGTTCCAGGGCGAAGACATTCGTTTAATATTGGGAAAAGCAGTAATTCATTCGTTAATCCATCACCCCAAAATACATGCAAAAATCCTTTCTTTCTATCTATGTCAGTCTTGATGATGTCGCGAAAATTCTGTGCTCCTGGTCATCTCCTTGCAGTCCGTAGCCATGCCGCTAAATGGCGCACTTTCTGAACATGCATACATAATTTCTTCAGCCACCGTTTCAGAAGAACTCGCTTGGACAAAGGTACATTTACCAGATCACTGTCTCTCTCTAATACAATCATTCACACAGTTTATGAAGGTAGCAACGCAAAAAGCAGGTGTCTTCTGATGTCTACGATGTGCCAACCGCACAGCACTTTTTTCTTCACCTGGCACTTAGGCCCGGGCCTGAATTGCCTAAAAGATCAGTAATCGCAATCAAAACAAATGAATACAGTAGTTCAATGCCCGAAACGGAAGGAGAGAACATGTGATTGATGATCTGGAGCTTGTTGCCCACTTTACTTAGTACCGGTCAACAGTGATCACACGGCTCATCATTTCTCTTTCGTCACACACCAAAAAAATGGCGCCGAGCGGAGGGCCGAATAGTATCATCGTCATATTCTCATTCCCTCGAAGGAATCAACTTTGACAGACCGCATGTTGTTCCAATCAAAAAGGAAAAAAAAAAGAAAAAAGAAAAACTGTAGTAGTGCTGTCAGAATTATCGCACTCAGCTCCGGGACACTACGCATCCTTCTACCATCCTGCTGGAAGGGGCCAGATCAGAGCAGGACCGCGCCGTCGGAAAGCGGGAAGGAAGGGCAGGGCTCTCAGGGCAGAGAGAGCAAAGTCGCGCAGGGCTTGCGATGTGCTGTCTGCTTTTGCCGAAAAAAGGGCCGCGTGCCTGCCGCCGGCGGCGGCCGCCTCCATCCCCCCCGGTCGCCCGGCCATCCCTTCCACACAAGCCACCCCCCAGATCTTAGGGCATGTACTAAAAAAGCAGAGCACGAGCGTTCGCTGCTGGCTTTTGCTCGACGTCGATCACGTGAGGATGTGTCGTCAGTATTATGAGTTGCAATGAGTGTCGCCGAGGCTAGAGGTACAACAAGCGAGAGCAATTATAAGCTTCGTCTCGAGGTCGCGAAGGGAATATCGGTCGGGATTAAAGGTATGCGAGAGGCTACAGAGATGAGCAGCTTGGTAGTACGCCCGATACCGGTGTTTGGGCATGTGACGACGCGCAAGTGTCGTGGATGGTGAAACGAGTGCTTTGATTATGAAATATAAACTTCTCTCAGGGCTGGCTGAACAAACGGTGGGGCGATGGGTTCTCTCGCGCTCCTTGCCTTTTTCGATGCCGGTTCTCCGTACGCATCAGCGTTGCTGAGGCGTTCGTGGCGCCCGCGTGGGCTTGCATCTGCGGCAGCGTTGGTGGAGACAAGACGGGCAGGCCGCGTCCGCCTGTCTGCGTTGCGGCTTTCGTCGGTAGTTGCAGTGGCCTGATTCTCGCTTATCTGCGGAGTAGTCAAGTATTGCATTTTCCCCTTTTTGCTCTTTCTCAATCCCTAAATCACGCGTTTTGCGGTCGCATTCGCAGCTATGTGGGTTTCGATTTTGCTGCTGGCTGGCTGAACGGGAGGTTTCCGTCGTCTGGCGGTCGGAGCCTGCTCCGGGTGTACTTCTCTTTAGTAACGCATGTGCCAGGAAACGCTGTGCGCGCTCTTGTGCTATTGCTCGCAGGAACGGGACCCCGACGTCGATCGCAGCATCCAACAAAGAACCTTAAAGCAAAAGGGCCCAAAAGAAAGGGTAGGCTCAGGCGCCGTCCGCTCCTTTGTCCATGGCGTGTGTCTATCATTCTGGGTTGGAGGAGTTTAGCACTACACGACTCATGGCGCCAATAGCGCCACCCCGGACCCAAACGGTCAAAAGGACTTGTGGCGTGTCGTTTTCTGGACCCCAGCGCTAGCAAGTTACAAGGGTTTATTTCGATGGCGCATAAGCACCGGCGACCGATAAGCGGCGGCCCGGTCCCGCATCGTAGCGAAGGAATTCCGTACCGCATGGGGGCCAGAGTGGACGGTAGGGCTGCGTCTGACTTCCTCGGACGTGCGCGTGGTTGCTCGAGTGTTGTCGAGTCTGGGGAGAAGAGCTGGATGAGCGCAGTGAGCATGATGGCGGGCTGCTGATGGCAACATGTCATCTTTGCAATGGTGGTTGCGCGTTCCGGTCGGTTGCCCGGAGTGTCAGGTTTGCGAGTGGTGGAGTCCTCAGGACGTCAATATCGTCGCAATCCCTGAGCAGATGCGCTCAAACATCCGCTTGGAATCCACATTCTGGTAGCAGCAGTATCGCATCACTGCTGGATCCCACCTCGGATGAATGGCTGCGTCGGTATGGAGGGTGAAGGTTTCGGGAGATTGTTCCTACACATCTGTGTCTCCCGCCGAGACTGTGCGATAGATGTCGAGGTTGGTGAACAATTCATGCGTAGCTTTCTCTGGCATCCGCAGCTATGAAAGCATCCAGCAGGGTCGAAAGACGCGGTTTGATGAGATGCAGTGAAAGCAAGGTGTGCGGGATCGACGCACATCAATCAGAGATAAGATAACAATCTCTCGGCAATCTCTCGCTCCGACTGCCGAACAAGCATCCATGCATCATCATCATTGTGCAGCTCGCCAACTCGCGCCGCAGACACCCGCGCCGCAGACATCCCACGCGACACACCCTCGCTTTCTCTCCCCCTTCTCTCCCCTCCCCTTCTCAGCCGCTCGCCATGGAAGAACCCGTCCTCGCTTCGCTCTCCCTCACCCACGTCCATTATGTGAGCCACAACCCTCACCCGCCGCTGCCCGCTCACCGCCCGCGCTGACCGAGAGACCCACAGGATCCCAATGACCGCTTCTCGTACCTGTGTGCCTGGCTGGCCCTCGTTCCCCAAGGCCTCTGCGTCGTCTACACCACTCTGATCTGGTCCAGCCGCGAAGCCGAGGTCGCCCTCATGTTCGCCGGCCAGCTGGCTTGCGAGGCCGTGAACTGGTGTCTGAAGCGGTTGATCAAAGAAGAGCGTCCGCGCCGTACGTTCCAGCCTTGCCCTGCTCTCTGCTATGCCCTCCACTCACCCCGCTCTCTCCAACCCATTCCCTCCGTCTCCCTCCCCCACCTCGCTCCTCCTGATTCCCTACGGCTAACGTTCAAGGACCAAAAATACAGAAATGTACGGCAAAGGCTACGGCATGCCCTCGTCGCACGCGCAGTTCGTCTCCTTCTTCTCGCTCTACCTCGCCCTCTTCCTGCTCTTCCGCCACCAGCCGCACCCCACCCACACGCACACCCCGACCACCTTCGCCCAGCGCCTCGCCCTCTCCACCCTCGCCCTCGCCTCCGCCGCCGCCGTCGCCTTCTCCCGCATCTACCTCTCCTACCACACCGACAAGCAAGTCCTGGTGGGCTGCGCTGCTGGCGCCGTGTTCGCCCTCTTGTGGTTCGGTTTCACCAGTTGGCTGAGGCGGAGCGGCTGGTTGGAGTGGGGGCTCGAGCTGGGGCTGGCGAAGGCGCTGCGGTTTAGGGATCTGGTGGTTGAGGAGGATCTGGTGGATGCGGGGTGGGCGCGCTGGGAGGAGCGGAGGAAGTTGAGGAGGGGTGTGGATGGTGGGAAGAAGGTGCGGTAGACGGTAGGTATTTTTCTGGAGGGTTTCTATAATGAGACGTTGTGGAATGGCATCTGGAGGGGAGGACTTTCTGGCTCCTGAACCACATTCAGTTGGAGATCGATCCTTTTGGGTCAAGAAAAGCATGTAAAGTATTGGCGCAGCTGTAACAATGCTTGTCTCTGAGCAGGTGCTTTCCCCTTACTCTTCAGTGTTCTCAGTTCTATGGATCATGGACTGGACTGTACATACCGAAAATTAGAAATGAAGAGCAGACAATAGTTGAGACATAGTGCTGTAGGTTTTCTACCACCGTTATTGCCAATTGCTATGTACCATTTCCCAAGGAACGGCAAAGCTTCATTGCAACTGCAGGAATAAAGATATTGCTTTCCCATTCGCCCCTACTTCGCTAAATATGCATAGCCAGACAGATAGGAACCTGATTGTCTCACTCTTCAAGCAGGTTTAATTCTTCCCAGCCTTTCGCGATTCTCACTCGGTTCGGCAATCAGAACACCTCCAATGATGGCATTCTATACAAGCAGGGTATAAATTAACCAACAGCGGACCACATCCGCAGCGGCACTATATGGCATAGTTAGCATTCAATCTATCTTTTATGGGAGATAATAACACGCACACAAAAGTACTTCTCCTCGCCGCCATCGGAAGGTACACCTTCAGTAGAAATAGTTGGTCTGATCTCTTTGTCGTTCTTGCATCCACCACATCGTTTATGTCCGCAATTGGAGCAGCTTTCGCTATTGTTGCTCACGTTACATTGTGAATTACACTGCTAGTAGATTAGGGGGATAGAGTTGTGAGAGCAGGAACTACTGACGCATGTCCACCAATAGCCCTCGGTTTGCACATTGCTGCCATTCACCCACTGACACTCATGTTTATATGACTTTGCTTCCGCTTGGTATGATGGGATATGAGATATGGGGTCGCTGCAGTGCCACATCGCCCCGGTGATTCTTCTCATTCGAAACTTGCTGATGGTCGTCTGGTAAGGGGCTGAGGCTTAAGGTCAGCGAGATGGTAGTTATATACCGGGAAAGCGGAGACTAGTCACAAGGCTGACTGTTAATATGGCGGGGCAACTGTTTTTGCCACATGATCATTGTGCAACCACTTCAAGTTCAATGCTACAGGTTGGAAAGCGAGCGAATAATATCACATACCCCACTTTCATGGAAATTTATGACTTCTATCAGTCTCGTTGTACAAAAACGCCGGTTGCCACTATGGCGTGATGCAAATGAGGAGGCTTACTAGTCCCACGAAGCCTAGCTATCATTCTTGTTTACGGGAATGGATGAATGGCTTTGGACGTCCTACTGTTTCGTCGACACATATTTTGGCGCTGAGAGGGAATGGGGACAGTACCTCCAAGATAGAAAGGACCCGTCAACAGGTGGTGCTCACGCCCTTGATTTCCCGGTGTGGAATCCATGTGAGTACTTTCTCGAAGCCCTTGAGCGACGAATAACTCAGGCAACATGGGAATAGTCCACGCTCGTGTCTGTGTTCGATGATCGCATGACTGCATATGTGCGCTTGAGTTCCAGCCTGATTCTGAATTTCGCATGCTTACGCGTGCCAATATAAGTGACAGTAAGAAGAATCCCGAACCAGATTTATCGACGATGCAAATTGGACTCACACTGAGAAGCTTACCTTTGCTGTATCGGTTGGCAACGAAGATGACTCAAGCGCCTGGCAGTAAGCGCGTATTTCTATCATATTGCTATTGGAACCCATCGTCCTGCGGCTGAAAAGCCTCATACAAATGCAGAAATGCATCGACTATGAAACTAGAAGACTCCTGCTGAACGTCACACGTTCCTTATGCGCTAATGAAGTTCAAATCCACATTTTATAGGAGAACACGAATCCGAGGAATGCAATATTAGCGGGAGAGGATCAATCAATAGTCTTAGCCTATGGTGTGTACATCTTGAATGAATCTTGTATTACTCGATAATCTACAGAGGGGACTGTACAGATACTTCAGCCCCAAGTGCAGTACCCGCATGGATCATGGGTACAAACAGGGCATCTAACACAGTTTGCGTATAAGCATGCAGTGCCGCATTGACACTATGCTTTCGTTAACAACATCTCAAAGTATCACAATCAGAATTACTCACGCAGGTCCACACGTCGTTGTAGGGCATCATCGTCCAGGGAATTCCTAATTTGACGAGCTCGGAAGTGCATATGCTCTTATAGCTGTTACATGTACAATAACAGCATTGATAGTGACCACATTCACAGAGTGTCGAGTTTTCGTTTTGGCGTTCACATGCTGGCTGACACTGGTAGACCCAATTAGCTACTCTTTAGCTAATTTTGGCCTTCGCTTTACCCCCTAATCCCCGCCTTTCCCTTGATTATCGGTGAGTCTTACGCAAGTCCACTTTTGCGATCTCCCCAAAATTGTGGCTTGAAACGTGAGTACCGATGAGTACAGGAAGGTTGTAAACGACAAACAACTCAGCCCCTGATCTCGAAACATGCGGGGTCGAGCGTCATACATTGGAAATTCTTTGAAGTTGGCAGCAGATACTTGTGTAGTGGACAAGAGCGTAAGCACTCGAAGCAGCTTGGCCTTATAACGGCCGTCAGCAAAGAAGCGAACGGAATGACGAAGAATGACTTGTGGTCATATGGCCACCTTTTCCTCAATCCTTGTTGCTGCATCTGTCACGTGAGCAAATCAATGTCAGCTGCCTTGTCATGTTACACAAGAAGCGTGAAAGCCCCACACTCTCCACAACCAGGCAGCCTCGAACGAATTTACAAGGTCTTTTTACTAAAGGTACCATGAACCTCGATGGCAAGCCCAGCTGAATCTTGGAATCTTCAGTTTACTGGCCGGCGTGGAAAATTGTACAAAGGTGAATCCACAAAGCCATTCGTCAAAATCCTGTCGCAAAAGGAGATAACTGCCGCATTCCTATCCCACAACAGAAGCGCCTTGGGACCACCCGGACACTATTTATATGCTGCGCTTGAAAAGTTTTTCGACTTCGGAGCACATAATGACGAACGGGCCGGTGTTGTGTTACTCGATGATCGCTGTGACACCACCGCAGGATCAGGAGTGACTGTCACCAGAATCTGGGACTCTGAGGGGGAGAAAGACGAGCAGAATGGATATTTGTTATACCCGCCCACTGGCGAGAATGTTTTCAGACGAAGAGTGACCTTGAGAGAGCTAGAAAGTCGACTTGCGCAAGATGTAATGCTCTATCTCAATCGCTTTGCCTGGAGGGTTCTTAATGCTAACAGTAAGCAGAGAATTTCCCTCAAAGCAGAGAAACGCACAATGTACGATACACCTCGTTCGTTTCTTTCAGATCCTGACAATGCTTCACAATAGATACATCGCGAATGTTACGCCGCAGTGCGTTTCTGTGCTTGTAAAGACGAGCCCTCTTCGTTCTATCTCTGTTTTTCGAAATTTCGTCAACCAGCATGTCTTATTCCGACCAATGTTCAACATTGGGTTTGGCCCAGTAAGTAGCAAAGTAGATTATTTTCCTTGATGGCTAATTCCAAAAGGGGGGCCTTGTGTTCAACCTTGAATTCCATATCACGTTATATGCTCTACGACGTGGAGAAGATCATAGAGATCCTCGAATCTACTCGGACAAATCATTCAGATCATCGCGAGAGCTCCCACTATCTGAAGAGAAAGGCTTATTCTTTCATGAATGCCAGCTATCTCTCCTGGTCACTGGCGTCGACGAATGGCTTTGGACTGGTTACTGCTTTGTTGACAGCTACTTTGGAACTGAAGAAGGGTATGATGAATACTACGCGGAGTTTGATGGAAATCCATATGGAAGGGATCCGGCCACTGGGGGCACTCGGTGGCTTCGATATCCTCTATGGAATCCAAGAGAATACTACCTGTGGGTGTTGTCACATCGCATGACACAGGCGACGCAAGAATGGACCTGCTTGATCAATAAGTTCGAAGAAGGCATGATAAAATACGTAAGTTTGGAATAAATTCCATTTTCCTATATCATTCAAGTTTCAAATTAATAGAAAGATAGCAAGAAGAGCGAGAATCGAGAAATCAATTCACCGACGGACCGGGATTTCCACACACCAAAAAACTCACTATGACCGTCTCAACTATCCGCCGCTTTAGTGACACGCTTGGGAATCTCATAGCTTCATGGGATGATTTTGAAAAGGGAAGCATTCGGCATTTAGAAACCACCGGGAGCGCAACCTTCCGGGGGAGATGGAATGAACGCATTACTGAGGTCCGCAAAGATATTTCCCAGTTGAGATTCTTGCGCAGGTTACTTGAGCAGAAGTTGGATCTTTTCCAGAGTAAACTTGACGGCGTAAGTCTCGGCACCCCTACACGCTATCGACCGATCCTACACACAGATGTCGTCTTCATAAGCCGCTCTTTTCGCTAATGCAATATAGTTGATCAACGCTTCCGCGCTAATGGAAAGCACTTTTACTACACAGCAAGGGGAGAATATCGGCATTCTCACCAAAATGACTGTGGTAATTACTTCTTCCTGGTCGATCAAGCCCAGCAACATAATTTCTGACTCCTTCATAGCTTTATCTTCCACTGTCACTGGCCACAGTACGTTCATTTCGCCCTGGAATACTTTACGGCCACTAATAAGCGTTGAAGGGTATTTTCAGCATGTCTGTCATTCCCTCGACCCATGTGCTCCTCCTATGTATAGGATATGTTGCACTGCTGTCCCTGATTCTATTCGCTACCATTGCAGAGGCTCGGCATCCAAGAGTTCTCAAACTGATATTTGGGAAGAGCAAAGACCAACGCCCGCAAGGCTTGCAGAATGGCGTCCCCACATGAAGCTTAACTTCCTGGTTTTCTTCATATATTCGTAGAGCGGTCGACTTCTTGTACAGGACCTTTCTTAAATTATTTCATTTTCATCCATACCAGAATCCTACATCAGATGCTTCAGCGTACGGCATATCTGAGCGCGCGGCCACCAGGCACACATCCATATTTCTCTTATTGGTGTGCTGTATTTCCACAAAGTGCTGTGCTGTAGAAATCGTCTAATGGGTTTAAATAAAAGTAATCCTGATGTGTCACCCCCTGTGCCTCCTATCCTTTCTTTCATGACTACGGATGCCGGTAGAACAGCAAACTCTTCTCAGCTTAACTGTCTCCTTTATGAAAACTGAAGTTAACATTGCTCCTTCGGAGCCAGCCATTTAGCGAGGGCCTCGTCTTCTACTTTGGCATGCATTAATGCCAAAGCAAAGCAGACGTAGAAGTGTGCGTAAAGCGGAAGAGAGTCTAAGAAACCGCACGACCTCAAGGGATGCCCCTTCCCTGTTCGGCTCCGCACATACATCTACTTCAGTATTCAGTCTCGCCACGCGCAAAGCTTTCACGTCTTGCAGCCTGCAATGAATGTCGAATTTATTTAGTGGTGCCGCTGACAACCTGCACTGGCAAGGCTGAGAATTGCTTGCCGGAACTGGCCATGTGCAAGCTTACCAGTGCTTATGAATCTTCTCACGTGAATACCCCGCATCCGCAGATGGCCAATAAGAATCTCATACCTAGTCTTTGGCTTCTTCAGGCTGATCAGGTGTTGTGATTGCCCCGCATCGACTCAAGAGCGAAACCTGTTTCAAAATTTAACGCTCACGGCACTATATAAATTTCCACAAAGCCGTGTATTTAGCAGTTCTCAGTAACAACAGTTTCCCAAAGCACCGTTTTGAACCTTGCTCAATCATTGACAATCGTCTGCATCCTCTACAACATGTGCTACAATATGATCACGTATTCGTGTGGACATACCCTTAAGTCTGAAGCAATAAATTGCTCGTGTAACAACGAAAAGCCCAGCTTTACCAGAGACGTCAAGTGCAAAGAAAGCTGTACGGGGAAATGATGAGTACGTTCGAGCCATAGCTTAGAGGGCGGAGTACGTTCTTGCAGTTGGGGAATTGAGCTGATCATGATTTTATCAGACCCGGGATGCATACACTCAAAGAGCCTGGGCTTCAACCCCATGGCTACTGATTCTGTACACCATTGGCTGGAAGTTCTTGAAAGGAGACCGGTGTTATGATTTTCTCCTTAATATATCATCTATTGGCTGGGCTGTTTGACTGTACGATTAGCCTAAGGGTGGGTTGGAGCTCATGTTGTAGCAATCGATATGGTTGGGGATTGTCTCACATTTGATGGGTTCCTTTTAAAGGACAGAGGCGGAGCCGAGTCTTCCAGCTTCCGAGTTAGATCATCTGATCCCAGTATATCTGGTCCTTGAGTCATATCTTTCTCATGCCTTTCATATCACTTTTTTAGGCTCGCGCCATGGGTCGGCCCGCCCGGTAGCGCCGTCTAGTGTTTCAAAAACTATCCCGAGTGACGTCAAATTATATGCACGACTTGACAAGAAAGACAAGAGCTACAAGGAGTACCGCTAGTCGGAAGTCGTCAACGGCATCTATTGAATAAAAAGGGGAAACGAAAAGGAGTAAAATGTACAGGCTTCGTGCCAAGAGTATGGCTGCATATTGCAGAATTCTGCAGCCAGCCAATCTCTGGCTGACACGCACGTTTGACATCGACCAATGACATCTGTTTACGAACATACGACACGGTACCAGCGCAGCACTCATGAACGGATACGCGATCGGTTCCATGGATTTGCAGTAGAGAGGGGTTTGAAGCAGGATGTGAAAGCGAGCAGATGCATCCGGGAAAGACGTTCAAATCCCCAGTTTTGATTAAAGTACTGAGTGAAATGACTCCATACTAGCCTCATACAGCACATCCATAAACCATCATAAAAAGATCAAACGGTATATTCTTTTATGTACACTAACCGAAAGGTCCTCGACTCTACTTTCTTTTGCAGCCTACTAAATCCGAGAGAAGCCACCAAGCGGAACACCGAGCAAGAAAGCAAAAGTCCTTCCCCCCCAAAATAGCCTCTGGCCTAAACATTTTCTTCAAGAAAACGCGAACGGGACCGAAACACCAACTAAGCAATCTTTAAGGAATTTAACCACAGAAAGCCCTCACACAGTCAAGTTTCTCAATTTTTTTTCCTCATGACCGCGCGCCCCTCTCCCTCCAGACACCGCCAAACTCGCCGGCAACGGCGGACATGACGCTCCCCCTCCTGCCAACCATCTCCTCCATATCGCCATCGACCTCTTCCTCCTCCTCACCCGCCGTGACGAGCGCCAAGACCTCATGCCCGACGGCACTGCCGACCAGCGCGGCGCTGACGGCCCACACGCCGGCGACCCTGACGACGTCCTCGACGCCGAAGCCCAGGCCGAGGCCGGCCGTGACGCCCATCAGGACGCCGGCGGCGAGCAGGGCGTCCTGGTGCATGTCGCCGCGCTGGCGGCGGTGGAGGTAGAGCATGGTGGCGGAGGCGACGAAGATGAGGCAGGCGGCGATGAAGACGGGGCGGGGGATCTCGGTGATGAAGTGCGAGGGCTGGTGCTGTGGGTGGGAGCAGGGCATGCGCGAGAGGTCGAGCAGGCGCTGCAGCCACAGCGGGTGCCGGTAGAGCGAGATGAGCAGCGCCGAGCACAGCAGCGACGTGCTGGTCGCGATGGTCGTCAGCAGCGAGGCCGTCGTGGCTTCGTTGGCGGCGTCGATGGGCTCGTCGGCGAATTCATTGGCGTCGTGCTCGGTGGTGGGGGCCAAAAGAGGGCGGAGCTCGCCTTTCTCGAGGTCGGTGCTGCTGATAAGCCCGGCATCGTCAGCATTATCAGGGGCGGGGCAATTATTTTTTTTACTCGTGCTGAGGGCTACTCACGGCTCCATGCTTGACGTGGTCATTTTTGGGTGCGGCTGGAGCGCGGTCCGGGGTGGTAGTGCAGCAGCGGCTGAAAAAGGCTTCGCGGTGGCAAATTCGTCCCAGGGTGCGATGGCTAGCACTTCTTGAGGCTTCCAGAAGCGGCGATAGTAGAGGTACGGGTTGGGGCGATCTTTTGTATGCACGGTCAGCAAGCGCCGTGGATCAGTGCGACGGAAATGTTTCACGAACACCAAGCTTTGCGCGGCGCTCGATTTGCGACTTCAGCGTCCTCGATGGCAGATTCAGCGACGCGGTGTTGGACGGTTTTTGGCTTGAGGACTCCTGAAGATAGGAGAGGTTGGTGAATAGGGGTTCTGTCGTCCAGGCATTGGTTCGGTTGCCCAGCAAATCCGAGATTGAGCGAGTCAATTGGCTTTGGAGATCGCGCCCCTGCCGCCGGCCCGCCCCGGTAAAGGTCCGAAGTGCTCCAGAGTGAGACATCCTGGAAGGGGGTGGGGCTATTTTCGGGGGCGATAGGCGACCAGTCCGATTGCGGATACGGAGGATTCGTCCTAAACGGTTTAACGACGTGTTTTGGAACACATTAAAAAAAAATCGCACTGGCGGACCTACCTCCAGCATCGAGAGGGCCGTGCTTCAAAGCTTTGTGGCGGAGCCATGTCCGTAAGATGGTTGCATTTCCGGTGGAGTGATCCGACGTCTCTGTAGGAGGCCCGACTATATTTATTGAAACATTTTTCACCGCAGCAAATTGAAGCCCTGCGGTTTCCAGTTCGAGCGAGGGCAGAATACGAAATGGGCTGCCACGTCAGGAGCGGTGTCTTCTGTATCTGCAAGAAGCTCAATGTGGATGGGCCTTCGAATTTCCAGAAGGCAGATCGGTGGGTCGCCTCGGCAATCTGCGGTGTGAATGGTGCCAGCGGTCTGGTATCGCACGTGTCTGACAGGCGGCTCGTCCTCGTAATGCGGAAGAAACGCCATCTGCGGGGGCGGCGTCGGGGTAAGGCAAGCCCACCGCCATTTGCAAGGCTGATTGGAATACGGCACAGCACAACCGAGAGGTGGTACCATCCACTCACCGAGTGACGACAAGGTTCTTGACCCGGCATTCAAAGAACCGGGACACTTGGCGATTCTAGGTCCTTTATTTGACCCACCAGAGGAAAGCTATGATGTCCGGTCAACCCAGGCGGCTATCACGCAAATCTTCCCGCTCATCCAATCCACTCGCTCAACCTAGACCAACCGATGTAGAAGACAGGCATGTGTATGATTGCCAACCATCTGAGTCTTGCGTGTCAACGTCGTCTGACTTTTTCGCCATTTGTGGAGGTGAAGAACCGGTGTGAGATGAGCCACGCACATGTTGTTCAATTGATCTGGACTGCGATGGATTGGGCCGCTGTTCTGACCGGCGGTCTCCCGTCGGACGCGAAGGGCTTGTGCGTCCAATGCAAGTAAGTTTTTAAGCGTTCCAATGGGTGTCACCGATAATGCTTGGCGAGATCTACGGCGCAGCAGTAGTGCTCGATCCAAAGCGTCGTAGGATTACGTAGTAAGGCCTGCTTGTACACCGCTGGCAATGAACGAAGAGCATTTTGCTTAGGATGAATGTGATTCTTGGGCTTGATTGGATCTGACCAAGTCTGATTCCTGTACCAGGCCATATAAGAGCATTCGCATGGGTCCGGCTTACTGCTGAACTTTTTGTCTGGATCAACTCGACACGTGTCCCTGACATTTCCATTCATTTCCAAGGGAGAAACGAGTGGAAAGAAGCAGGTAGCTGTGCAATTCGTTGACAATATCCCATCGTGGTCTGATGCATGGATTTAGGCAGCAGGCACGTGGCGAGACAAAGTATGGAGATGACTCCGTCGAGGCTGCACTAGCCCAGAAACAGTGAAACGGTCGCAAAATTTGATCTTGAAGCGGGTCAAATTGCTGCTGTGCACGCAAAAGAGGAATGCTGCGATGGTTGAAAGTAGGCGGTTGATGGAGGAGATGGAGTCGGAGAAGCTCCGGGCAGTGGGGTTGCGTCAGCCACTAATCGGCGGTCGCCACATTTGTCAGGCATCTCGACTCCGTCACCGTGACCGTCACCGGCGGAACTCCTCCAGGCGAATCTCCTCCAGGCGGAACTCCGCCACGCGCACATCATTATTTTTTCTGCCTCCGCAACAAAACTGGCACATATCTCTTGTCGCAGCCTTGTATCGTTGCACGTACATACATCGCGCCTCTTCGACTTCTCCCGCGCGACGCCGCTTCCACCCCACTATCACTACCATAACTCATGGCCGACTCCGCCGACGATGAACGCGAAGAAGAACTTTCCTCGATCGCCGCCATTTTCCCCGAGCTAGTACTCGATCCTACGAACCCGTTCAAAGCTTCCATCGACCTCACCGTTGCGCCCCAAGCTCCGCTCGCCGTTACCTTTCCGCCCGCCGTCGATGGCGCTCCACCCAAATCTCTCCCCACGCCACCCACCTCCGACAATGAAGGCCCCGCTCCAGTCAGCGCGCCGAAACCGCTCGCCCAAGACATTCATCGCCTGTCGTACCTCCCGCCGCTGCGCTTACTGGTGACGCTGCCGGACGGCTACCCCGCCGATAAGCCGCCACAGTTCGACCTCTCGACCTCTCCGAAATGGCTGCCGGACGCGACGTTGCACAAATTGGTGGACGAAGGGCCCGTTCTGTGGGAGGAATACGGTCGGGGGCAGGTGGTTTTTGCGTATATCGACTTCCTGCAGCAGGCGGCCGAGCACTGCTTCGACTTGGTCGGCGATGAGGGCGCCGTGATCGAGGTTGCAGAGGACATGAAAATCCCGCTGTTGGACTACGATATCAAGGCCAAGCGCGAGAAATTTGAGCAGGAAACCTTCGACTGCGGCGTCTGCCTCGAGCCGAAGAAGGGTTCCGTGTGCTACCGTCTCATGCGCTGCGGGCACGTTTTTTGCGTCGCCTGCCTGCAGGACTTTTACACCAATTGCATCAAGGAGGGAGACGTTTCGAGCGTCAGGTGCCTGGATCCGACTTGCGGAAAGGAGGATAAGAAAAAGAAGTCTGAGCGGACCATCAGCCCGGGCGAATTGCTGCAGATACCCATCGAGCAGGAGATGGTCAAACGCTATGTCGAGATGAAGCGCAAGAAGAAGCTCGAAGCAGACAAGGACACCGTTTACTGTCCCCGAAAATGGTGCCAAGGGCCGGCACGGTCGAAGAAATACCCTAAAATCACCGATCTTACACAGCTCGTCGAATCCGATTCGGAAGGGGAAGAGGAATCTGGCGGTCCGCCGCGTGACAGAGTCGAGGAGCAGATGCGCGGGTCAAAATCTGGCGACCGGCTCGCTGTCTGTGAGGATTGCGAGTACGCGTTTTGCCGCGTGTGCCTAGGCGGCTGGCACGGCGAGTTCGTCCGCTGCTACCCGCGCAGCTCGACGGAGCTGACCGAAGAGGAGCAGGCGTCGTACGACTACCTGCGCCTGCACACTTCGCAGTGCCCAACGTGCTCGTCGCCGTGCCAGAAGACGCATGGTTGCAACCACATGTGCTGCTTCCAGTGCCGCACTCACTTCTGCTACCTCTGCGGCGCCTGGCTCGCCCCGGACAACCCGTACCAGCACTTCAACAACAAGAACATCGGCTGCTTCATGCGCCTGTGGGAGCTGGAAGAGGGCGACGAGGGTGGCAACAACAACAACAACAACAACAACAACAACGGCGACGTCCGCTTCGAAGGCGCTCGCGGCTGGGAGGCCGCCATCGCCGCCGTCAACGAGGCCGACGCACATGCGGCCCAAGCCGCTGAAAACGCGGCTGCCGCCCCCAATCCTGCTGCCGGGGACCAGAACCGCGCAGCAGCTCTTCCGCCTGCGCCGATGCCACCGCGCGCCGAGAACGATCCGCCTCTGGTCGTCGAGATGAACCAGCTCAGGATAGCCGCGCCGCAAGGCCAACAACCACAGCAGCCGCAGCGTCGCGCTCACCCGAACCGGCAGAACCGCAACCCGAATGCGAATCAGGCAGCACGCCGGAATCCGTTGCCGGTAGGCGGCGCCGAAGCTGACGGTGCTGCTGGCCGCAATGTGCGGTTCAACCGCAACAATGCGCGGGTGGGCAGGGCGCAGGCTGGCCAGCAGGCGGACGACGCCTTGCAGCGCTTTCTCGCTGCAGCCCAGGCAGATGAGGAAGACGGTTGGGACAGTGATGAGCTTGATGGCGATGGCGATGAAGCTTGGATTATCCCGGAGCGGTGACTTCCGATCGAGATTTACGAGACTGGATTAAAAGAGGTTACGAAGTTTGCCATTGCATTGCGTGGAGTTTCAATTTTTCTTTCAAATGGAAGGGTAGGAACGGGAATGAAAGGTCGAAAAGGACCTCGTTCCGTGGCGTTTTCAAGGTACATGATTCCCACAAGCGGTTTATACATATCTTTCGAATCATAGCGCGTCCGATATGCTTCAGCTATGAGTATGTACAGCGTCATCTCTGTAGGTAACGTCAAGAACATAAACTTTTATTCTGCCGACGTCGGCTCTGTCCATCGTGTGGCTCATGATGAAGCCAACATGCTGATGATGGGTGATGTGAATCTATCAAAGTTCCCCCTTCTCCCAGAACATCTCTGAACCCACGCTGCCTCCTCCTACAGCCCTCCCCCGCCGCCCAGGACATTTCAACGCCACTCCGCCATGCAGAATGGGACAACGAAGTCGTCGTCGTCGTCCCCGTCCTCCTCCCTCTCCCCCTGGAACATCTCCAACACCGCTCCCAGCACCTCCCTCAACACCACCAACTCCTCATTCTCCCTCTCCACCATCTCCTCCACGTCCTCCTCTTCCTCCCCATCATCCCTCATCTCCTCCTCTCCCTCCGCCTCTCCGACGGCGAGAATCCTCCTCAACACCCTCTCTCCCTTCACCCACTTCTCCACCGCCATGCTGCCTCCTCCGCTGCCGCCAGCGGCAGCAGAGTCAGCAGCAGAGGGCGTCTTCTCGATGACCTTGACTCCCCGCCCAAACATCTTCTCCCACAACTTGTTCATCCCGGCTCCTCTCGCCGGCCAGCAGCGGGCAGGGACGGCCGCGCTGCTGGTCCTGCGTCTCTTGTTGTTGCTGCTGCTGCCGCTATCATAGTGCTCGTCTGAGCCCGCGCCGCGGGAGAGCAGGCCCGGGCCGGAGGCGGAGGCGGAGGCGGAGGAGGAGGCAGAGGCGGAGAAGCTGTTGCTGCTGGTGGTGCTGCTGCTGCCGGAGAAGCGGGTCCAGGTGCCACGCTTCTTGCCGGCGATGGTGGTGGTGCTGGTGAAGAGGTTGCGACGGACGACGCCAGCGCCGCCCGCGCGGAAGACGAATTGAGGAGAGGAGGGAGCCGACATGGTGGTGGTAGTGTTTGTAGAGGTTTTGGTGGCCTTGTCGACGGCTTCGAGACTGGAGGTTGGATTGGTTTGATGTCGGTGGCCGAGGGAAGAAGAAGAAGAGGATAGGAATGAGGCGGACATGGAGTCGGATTATATAGATGACTGGCTTGGAGTGCGTCTATTGTGCCTATTGTGGCTATTGTTCGTATTGTGCTGGAAGGTGAAGTGAAAGTGAGGTGGGTGCTTCAAACCTACCGGCCACACGTCAACAACCGACACGTGAAAGAGCAACGGTAGAACAACCGGGATGCTTAGCGCACACAGGGACTGGGCTCTTCCATGCTTAGTTGATACTTCAGTTGTGGCCTATATTCATGATATGCCTGAATGCTGACGGGACGTCCGTCAATACTGTACCTAATTAGGTAGCTTGATAGTAGCAAGCTGCCATCGACGCACCAGACATACCAGCATGGTGACAGGATGAGGGGCATAGAGCTGTCTGTCCGTATCGAAGGACTGCAATTTTAACTTTGATACTCATTTGTCAATCAACACCCACAATGTATTCTCTCTCAACCAGCCTGTCTTCTTGTCACAGGAATATGTACCCATCCTGTACTAGTTCCTCCCTTCGCACCGTCCAAGTTCTCCGTCCTCTGTTCGAACGGACTACCCTCGAATCCACCAGCTGGTGCCCCAAATGGTGGCTGCTTTGGAACTGGCGTGACCCCAGCGCTCGATGATGGCTGTTCAGCTGGATCTGCTAGTGGATCGGTGCAAAAGATAGCGAGCAGCTTGTCCACCGTTTCTCGTAGCTGCTCCATGTGCAGGGTAAGTGGTTCAGTGGCGATGTGATTACGCTGATACCGTCAGTGGACTCCTCCAACCAAAGCAAGACCGACACCCTGTCAATGCCAAAGGAAGAGTGATAAGAGACTCACCATTGCAAACACCGTCCCACGATACGCCTGATGATACACAAGCTTATACTCCTCATCCCTCGCCGCATCGCCATCCGCAGCCGCCCCTTCTCCCTGCGCCGCCGCCGCCACCGCCGCATTATCCGACGCCACCGACGCCTTCCGCACCGCCGTCTTCCTCCGCTGCTGCAACCCATACATCCGCATGCCCGCCATGACAAGCCTGGAAATGACGTCCTTATTCCTCGCCTCGATGCCCTGCTTCCCCTCGCCCTCCTCGCCCGCGGCCGCCGCCACGCTCGTCACCCGCAACAAGCTCGACGTCCGCCTCACCATGGTCGTCGCCGCCGCCGCCGCTCTAACATCCTCGCTAAGACTCACGCTCGACGACCGCGACAGCGGCGGGCGGCTGCCAACACCACCACCGCCCTTCCCCCCATCCGCCGACGAAGGTCGGCTGTCGAGTAGATCCTGCGGCAGGCTGAACGAAGATGAGGCTGAGCGCCTGTTGGGCAAGACGGGCGGACCGGCTCCACCTCCGCCTCCAGCGGCAGCCGCGGCGACGCTCTCGCCGCCGTGGCGGCGGGCGCGCTTGCGGCGCTCGGCGGCTTCGTCGAAGAGGGAGGAGACGGACTGGCGCTTGCGGTCGTTGGTGATTGAGTTTTGGGGGACGGAGATCAAGTTGCTGGAAGAGGTAGGGTGGAGAGGGGGGTGGAATTCCGCGTCGGTGGTGTCGGCGTCGGCGTGGTCTTCTGGTGTCGGTTTGGCGGGGCGGCTGGGAGAAAGCGGTGGGGTGGTGGTGGAGGAAACGTGGTTTTGGAGGAGGTCGGATGAGATTGGGAGTGCGCGGATGGCGAGGGTGTTGGACGGAGGCGACGATGATGATGTGGGGGATGGCGGCCCCAGTGCTTCGTCTTGTACGGGCTCTGTGGACGTAGCGTAGAAAAGCAGCTCTGTGATAGGGGGGCTGTTGGTGTTGCTAGCCGCTCCCCGGACTTCAACCAGGATGCCGATGGGCGATTGTGCGGCGGAGGCATGCCACCAGGGCAGCTCCGTGTCTTTGCCTGCTACATGGCCGCTGAGGAGTAGTGCGCTGAACCAGTCTTGAGTTGCAACGGAGTGTGAATAAACTTCCAATGGTGGAGCGACGGCCAGGTAAAGTGGAATGCGCGCGACATCAACGCAAGCCAAGAAATGAAGAGAGGCGTGATCTAAGATCGGCTCCGAGGCGTGAGTTGCGACGAGCTCAATCCCTACGAAGTGAGTCAGTAGAATCTCTTGGAAAGAATCGGCGTGTCTACCTTGAATGGTACGCTTGTTCGGAAGCTCAATGTCGCCTGCCCAGACATCCATTGTGGGGAAGATGTGGGGTGGTTCTGTCTGGCATTGAAGGTTTCTGGTTGACGCGTCGCGACGCGCTTCGAGACTCGCGGTCACATGATCATTTCTCTCTCTATCGGCTGAAGATCTTCACTCAAAGGGCTCATGCGTCTTGAAGTCAAAACTGATTCATTTGAAAATAATTGCGGAATTACGATGAACTCCATCGTTTCCAGAACTTCCACCCGCCCTTTTCTCCCCGTTCCCTACCCTTCTTACTTCCTATCCTCCACCAGTACAAAGGCACGCCGGCCAGAATGAAAGCCAGTACAATCAGTGTCTGAACAGGCTCGGCAATGACCGCCCTGCTGACAAGAAACAAGCTCACACAACAGAAAATCGTAGGCGTCGTGATCCACGTCTTGTACGGCCTCTCCAACTCCGGTTCTCTGACTCTCAACACAATGAGTCCCAAGACAGTGAAGAAATAGAAAGTGTAGCCCGCAACACCGTAAAACGTCACCAGCGTGTTGAACTCGCCGATGATAATATAAACAGCCGTAAGCCCAGCATTGAGCAGCATGGCATTGATCGGCGTGAAAAACATTCCAACGTCGTCAGAAATCATGCGTGCAAAACGCCCAGCCTGGCGACCTCCCCGGTTTCCCAAGCGCACAGCGGTCCGCTTTCCAATGCCGATCCTGCCAAATACTTCCGGCAGATATCCTTCTTTGCCCGCCGCGTACACCAGTCGTCCGCTCGTGAATGTCGTTGCGTTCAGCGCTCCGAAACAGCTACCGCCGACGATTAGAGCGAGAATGAGAGATCCAATCGGTCCGAACACCTGGGAGCCGAATGCCACGGCGACTGTGTTGCTGGATTCTATGGTCGACGACGGCAGGACGAGGAAATATGCAACATTGGCGAGGAGGTAGCTGAGAATGACAAGCGGCAGCGAGCTGTGAATAACCCGCGGAAGATCGCGAGCAGGATTCACGAATTCTCCAGTCACATAATTAACCTGTTTTCCATTAGCAAAGAGGCGGTGTTGTGGTGCGAGAAACGTACGTTGTCCCAGCCGTCAAAGGCCCACAGCCCTGCGTACAGGGCGACAGCCAAATTGGAGATGTTGTCATTAGTGCCCTCAAACCATCCCTTGGTTTTCCAATCATTACTTGCGTCTCCTTTCCAGGACCAGCCAGTGGCGGCGACCACAATACCGGTAATCGCGACTCCAATTAAGGCGACAAACTTGAGAAACATGAAAAAGTCGGCGCTCCGGGTGCCGAGCTTGGTGGAAACGCAATTGAGGAAGGTTACGAGGATCAGACCGCCTAGCGCAACGCCTTTATTGAGCCAGAAGCTTATTTCCATGGCGTCTGGGCCAATGACAGCGCGCACGCAATATTCGCCAAAGATAATGGCGATGATGGCGGCCGACCCAGGCTTCAAGACCGTGACGGCACACCACGTGAACAGAAAGCCGGCCCATTCTCCGAAAATCTTGGATAGGTAGACCTGAGCACCTCCGTTCAGCGGGATCGCACCGCCCAGCTCTGCATAACTCGCGGCGCCAGTCCATGCCAGCACACCCGCAACCACCCAGATTATAAGCGCAGCCCCTGGCGACCCGGCATTGGCATTGACCTGGCTCGGAGAGGAGAAGATGCCTGAGCCGATGATCAGGCCAATGACCAGCGACAGGCCATTCAGGTAGGTGAGCGATTTGTGCTTCTCTAGCGATCCGCCGTTGAGGGCGTTTGCGGATTCGAAGTCGGTGGTGGAGGGCGCTCCTAGGGCTGTGTATCCGCCGGCGGTGGTGGACAAAGGGAAGAGGTTGGTAGCGAAGTCAAAGGCGGACGAGACCGAGTAGGAGCGGTTATGGCGACTCAGGCTTGCGGGATTCTGGTCGTTAAGAGGGTCCTCTTCGTCAAGCGACAGGCGGCGCGAGGAGGCAGCGCCCGAGTCGGAGGAAATCGAACTTCTGCGTGAAGGCTGGGACGAAGACGCAAGGGAGGCTAGCTCGAGCGAGTCGCGGAGCGGTTCGCGGGTCGAAAGGTTGGCATAGCCGCCTGTCGAGCGAGACATGGCGGGCTTGAAGGGTGAGGTGGAGAAGGGAGGGCTAGCTGAGTGGCAGACGACAGGACGCCATGCCCGTCGAAGGAGAGGAAAAGTCGCGGGGATGGCAGGTCGCAGGTTGCGGACTTGGCGCAGGGGAGACTGGAGATTGACTGACGCGCCGAAGCTCAGACTAGCGCGCGTGCCAAGCCGCGCCCATTGCTTGACTACACTTTTTGCCCGCCGCGACGCTGCCGCCCACGTCCTGCCCGTCTGCACGCGCATCATGCTCCGCTGACGTCGCGCCGCCGCTGCTAGCAGATGAAGGGCCTCACTACGTTTGCCGCCGGCCTGCGGCGTCCCGCGGCGCTGCTGCCACGGCTGAATGCCCGTCAGCTCTTCCTCCGCACCGCCTTCACACAGCCCGACCGCGTCGACTTCCAAGCAATTGACACGAAATGGCGCCAGCGATGGGCGGATGCTGCGCGCAATGCCTCCGCGAATGCTCTGGCCAACCGCCCAAAGGCCTATGTTCTTTCCATGTTCCCGTACCCGTCCGGCATCCTCCACCTCGGTCATCTCCGCGTCTACACCATCTCCGACGTCCTCGCGCGCTTCAAGCACATGCAGGGTTACGATGTGATACATCCAATGGGTTGGGATGCGTTCGGTCTGCCTGCTGAAAATGCGGCTATCGAAAGAGGAATTGACCCGGCCGAATGGACAGTGTCCAACGTCGCCAAGATGAAGGAGCAGTTTGGGGGAATGAACGGCCGCTGGGACTGGGATAGGGTACGTCGGAGCCTGGCTCAGCTCCGTTCATACGTAGCTAATGCAATCTGCTTTCCTTCAGGAACTCATGACCTGTGATCCATCCTTCTACAAGCACACTCAGCGCCTCTTCCTCCTCCTGCATGAACGCGGTCTAGCATACCAGGAAAAGTCTCTCGTTAATTGGGATCCTGTGGAGAAAACTGTCCTCGCAAACGAGCAGGTTGATGCCAATGGCAAGTCCTGGAGGTCCGGTGCCAAGGTTGAGCAGATCTATCTCAAGCAATGGTTTCTCCGCATCACCGACTTTAAGGAAGACCTTCTTAATGACCTCGATCTCTTGGCGAAAGATGACCGCTGGCCGGAACGCGTACTGTCTATGCAAAGGAACTGGCTCGGAAAATCCAAAGGCTCCAAACTCAACTTCCAGATCAAGGCTTCTCCGGACGCCAAATCTCTTGCTGACGTCGAAGTCTTCACAACTCGTGCAGACACTCTGTTTGGTGTTCAATATGTTGCCTTGTCCCTCAGACACCCTTTGGTTCAGGAATTGGCAAACACGAACGCTTCTCTGAAGACTTTCCTGGAAGAGGCCAATGGTTTGCCCCCGGATTCTAAGGACGGCTTTCTTCTCCCCGACGTATATGCTATCAACCCCGCATCTGAATTCGCCACGCCCGATACCAAGGTCCAGGACCCGCTGCCTGTCTACGTAGCTCCTTATGTTCTGGATGATTACGGATCTGGAGCCGTTATGGGTGTGCCTGGCCATGATACTCGTGATTTCGCCTTTTGGAAGAAGAACCAGGGCAGCAAGCCTGTCATCACCGTAGTGGCCCCGGAGAGTACCAAATCGCCATCTGTTAGAGAGGGAGAGGCCTTCGTTCACAAAGGCAAGCTCACGAAGGCGTGCGGTCCTTTCAAAGATCTCGACTCGGACACCGCCATTAACCGGATCGTCGCGGAACTGTGCAGTAAAGGACATGATGCTGAACATGTTGATAACTGGCGGCTCCGCGACTGGCTGATCAGCCGTCAGCGGTACTGGGGTACACCGATTCCGATTATCCATTGTAACTCTTGCGGACCCGTCCCCGTCCCGGAATCCGACCTTCCGGTAGAGCTTCCTAAGCTGAAATCCGGCCAAATGCTTGGTAGAGGCGGTAATCCCTTGGCTGACATTCCTGAATTCGTGAATACAACTTGCCCCAAGTGCAAGAGCCCGGCCACCCGCGAAACAGACACGATGGACACGTTTATGGATTCCTCTTGGTACTTTTTCCGCTTCGCCGATCCTCACAACAAAAAGCAGCTCATCGACCCCAAGGTTGCGGATGCGCGTCTTCCTGTGGACGTCTATATCGGCGGTGTCGAGCATGCCATTCTCCATCTTCTTTACGCGCGCTTTATCTCCAAGTTTCTCTCCACCACCCCTCTCTGGCCCAGTGGTGGGGGCAAGGATAACAAAGGCGAGCCATTCAGAAAACTCATTACGCAAGGAATGGTCCATGGCAAGACTTACACCGACCCGGAAACTGGCCGCTTCCTCAAGCCTGAAGAAGTTGATATATCGAACAAATCCTCCCCTGTCATCAAAGCAACGAAGAAGACTGCCAATGTCAGCTTCGAGAAAATGTCCAAGAGCAAATACAACGGAGTGGATCCAGGCGAATGCATTGCCAAGTACGGCGCCGATGTAACTCGCGCACACATGCTCTTCCAAGCTCCTGTCACCGAAGTTCTCGAATGGGATGAGGCCAAAATTACAGGAATCCAGCGGTGGCTGCAGCGCGTCTGGCGCGTCACATCCTACGCAATAGAGATGACGACTCCGGATAGCTTCCAAAACAATAAGCTCAAGGACGTTCCGACCGCTGACGACATCACCCTGGCCCTGCACCAAACCATCAAATCAGTCAACACCTCATTGTCCTCAACCTACTCGCTCAACACCGTCGTCTCGGATCTCACCAAGCTAACCAACTTCCTCGACGAGATGCACGCCAAAGCCCTCATGGACCAGCGCATAGAAATCCAAGCCGCAAGAATCTACTTCAACCAAGCCTACCGCCGCGGCGTCAAGGTCCTGCTCACCATGCTGGCCCCCGTCTGCCCGGCCTTCGCCGAAGAGTGCTGGGAGATGCTTCACCGCGCCATCATCGCCGAGCAGCACTCGTCCACGCTCCCGCCGGACGCCGCCGCCGCCGTCGCCGCCGAGGCGACCATCCCGTCCGTCTTCGACCAGCCGTTCCCGGAGCACAGCGACGAGCTGATCCACATGCTGTCCAACCGCGACATGGTGACGGCCGTGCAGGTCAACGGCAAGCTGGCCTTCACCCTCAACCTGCCCGGCCCGCCCGACCACCTGCTCGACGCCGACGCCTCGTTCGGCGCCTTCAAGCCGTCGCCGTCCGAGCCCGACGTCCTCGCCGCCACCGACGCCCCCGCCTACAACATCCCTTCCAAGCACTTCGCCAAGAGGCCGCTCGAGCGCTGGCTGACGGCCCACATCTTCGCGTCCACCCAGGGCAGGCGCGGCTTCGGGCCCCATGGGCGCTGGGACCAGCTCGATCCGCAGAAGAGGATTAGGCAGATGGTCGTGGTGAAGGGGGGGAGGACGGTGAATTTTGTGTTGGCAAAGATGACGAAGAAGAAGGTTAAGGATCAGGTGGAGGCGGAGGTGAGGAGGCTCGAGAAGGAGGAGAGGGAGGAGGCCAAGGCGTTGTTGGAGAAGGAGCAGAAGAAGAAATAAGGAGCATGGAGAGGTAAAAAACTGTGTAAAGGTTAGATTATGTATGTAACCTGCTTTTGTATTATAGACGCAATCGTGGAAGAGATGATTCTCTGCTCAGCTCGAAGACTTTTGAACCACGTTCTGATGCGAGTGATAGTAACGGCTGATGCGTCGGGTGAGCATGACGAGACCACAATTGTTCTCCTTGCAATCAAAGAAACCGGGGGAAAATCCTGTATCCATGACGCCGCCAGATCGAATATCTCTATACTTTTCATGCTTCCCACATGTACTCAACAAACAATCGATTATCTCTACTCCCATTCCCAAGCCTATGCCAACACATCCCCAATAACCCACCCCTTCCCACCCCCCTCCTTCCTCTGCATAACCCTCTTCGCCGGCAACGGCCAGCCCAGCCCACCCTTCTCGCCTACCAAACTCGGCACGACATAGCACTCACGCTGCTCCTTCCCCTTCTCGTCACGGCCCTTATCGACGATCTTGCCGATCGGCTTGCCCCACTGCAGCAGCGGGGTGCCCTTGGCGAGGGCCGTGAGCTGCGCGCCGGTGACGGCGCAGAGCGGGTGCATGCGGATCTTGGGCGCGGTGGCGGCGCCGACCGACGACGGCGCGGCGCGCTGCAGGTGCGAGTAGACGATGTACTGCGGGAGGGCCTTGACGGACTGGTGGGCGAGGACGGAGGAGGCGTGGATGTAGACGAACGGGTTCTCCTCGCCCGAGTAGCGGTCGTGGCTGGGGAAGAGGGTGACGTAGGGCACGTCGGTGGCGCGCTTGGGCTTGCGGGCGGGGAGGTCCGTCGCGTTCGGGCAGAGGTCGGCGCGCTGGGCGACCTGGTCGACGAAGCCTGCGGCGACGATGTAGTTGAGCTTGGCCACTTGGTCCTTGTTAGGCGGCGCCAGGACAGGCTCGTAGCTGGTGATGCCGCAGCGAGGGTTCTCCTTGCGGACGATGTTCGTGAGCTGCTGGCGGAGCTGGGTGGCTTCTTGGAGAGCCTTGAGCCGCAAGAACATGTCCGAGGCAAAGTCCTCCGGTGCCCTTTTACGCTCAGCGGCGAAGGCACAGAGAGCGGCAAGAAGTTTTGCGGCATCGCTGGTGCGGTCGAGCGAGGATAGGCTTGCATGGGCCGCGTTGTATGATCTCCGCCGCTTGTCCTTCGCATCCTGCTCCACATTGTCTGCATGACTTCTGATGTGATCCTCATCGTCTGGTTCCGACCCAAGATTGAGCATGTTCTCCGGAATAAAAACGTCCGGAACCGCAAGAGCAGAAACCAATGCAATGATGTATGCAGCTAGACCATGGTTCTGGCCAATCACCAACATGCGTGAAAAGCGAGGAGTGAGAGGGTAAACAGAGAGCTGCCGACCTTGAGGGGTGATCTTCCCGTCCCCGTCGATAGCGCCGAGGTACTGTAGGAGCTTCTCTGCTTTTGCGAGCTGCTGCCGGTCCGGAGCTGTGGGGAATGGGTAATTGACCACCTTGTGGATTCCCATACTCTTAAGCTGAAGGACCAAACCCTCAATAGGCGTCCGCAGGATTTCCGGCTCCGCATACTGCTGGAAGTCTCTCTCGTACACGGCAGAAGAGTAGAATCTGTAGCAGTGACCCGGTCCAGTACGACCAGCACGACCAGCGCGCTGCTCTGCGCTAGCTTTGCTGATCCATCCAATCTCAAAGCTCTGGACGCCGGTAGTCTGGTCGTATTTTTTCTCCTTGGACCTACCACAGTCAAAAACATATCTGATCCCGGGGATTGTCAAACTGGTTTCCGCAACGTTGGTGGCAAGGACGATCAACCGTGAACCGTCTGGTGGTGTTTCAAAGACTCTCATCTGCTGTTTTGTGGGTAATTGCGAGTACAGCGGAAGTACGTGCACTTTCAGTGTTGGCGTCTCCTCACCCTCTTCTGCGATATCGAACTCCTTGTCGTCATCGTCATCGAGACCATGGATCTCTGACTCCGCATCAGATCCATCATCATAGTCGTCAGGGTTCTTGTCATCGCCAATCTCAAGGTCTTCCGCCTCAAGCGGAGCGTCAGCGGCCGAGATACGGACCGGTGGCTGCTTGACATCTGCTCCTTGTGTCGACGGGAATGCTTGCTTCAACCGCTTCGCAAGGGTAGTGATCTCATTCTGACCGGTCATGAATACAAGCATTCCACCAGGAGGAAGTTTCCTATGACCACGCTTGATCTTCTGGAACGCCTCCTCCACATAGTCCATCCTGGTCCGTCTAGCAAAATGGACTGTGACCGGGTACTGCCTTCCTTCTGCTTTGAGCAATGGAGGCGAGCCATATCTGAAGAGACGGGTGTTTTCGGTAAAATCGGAAATGCGGAGAGTGGCCGACATGATGATGAGCTTGAGGGGCTTTACTTTGGGATCTTCCTTCATGAGGTTGCGTCTCAAATCGACAATGCGGCTCATCATTCCAATAAGGATGTCAGTGTTGACGCTGCGCTCGTGTGCTTCATCGATGACAATGGCGGAGTAACCTGGCAAGGAGATGTCTTGAGCAATCTCGCGGAGTAAGATACCATCCGTCATGAACTTGATGGCCGTATCGTCCCCAGTCGATGCATCGAAACGAATCTGGTAGCCAACTCTTTTTCCTGAATTCCCGAGTTCAACTCCCACACGGTTGGCCATGCTGACCGCTGCAACTCGTCGAGGTTGTGTAACACCGATTAGGCCAGGAGTAGGGCCCTTCGGATCTCCATATCCGGCTTCGAACAAGAACTGGGGCACTTGAGTGGTTTTACCGCTACCTGTCGCCCCCCAGACCACAACAACGTCATTATTGTGAATTGCCTCCATGATCTTTTGTTCCTCGGCCACAACAGGAAGCTTCAGCCGCGCGTCCTGGACATCTTCTGGGCGCTCTACAGTCACGCTGTACGCTTTCCTCCAAGCATCAGTGGCGGTCTTTGTCGCAAGTTCCGGTGGTAGAGGATCCTCTTCAGGGGCTCGGGGTTGGAAGTTTGCCGGTTTTGCTGCTAATTGAGGAAGCGCTTCGATATTAGTCGAGGGGGTGTATCCGACCGTCTTGTTCCTTTCTGCTGTTGCCCAGGCTTTGAAAGCGGATGACCTTTCTTTTTTCTCCTGCTTCTTCGCGCCATCAGATTCTTCCATAGACTCATCTGGGTCCTCCTCATCCGAACTCTCATCCTCATCTTCCTCCTCGTCTGATCCCTCCTCCGAACCATCTTCCTCCGAACCCTCCTCTTCATCCGATACCGCACTCCAACCGCTAGCACTGCTGCCATCATCATCGTCGGCAGAGCCTTCCCCCTCTGAGCTGAATCCCTCCCATTCCGGTTCCGGTTGTGGCGCCGTGAATTTTAGAGCTGGCTTCGCTGCCCTCTTCCTCTTTTTGATCACCGGTCTTCCATCCTCATCCAGCTCAAGCGGTCTTTTCAGTCCGCTTCCGAAAGCTACTGCAGGCGCCGCAGGTTTCTCGTCTTTGACCTCCTCTTCTTTAGACTCAGGAGCTGCGCCAGTTCCATTTCTTGCCTTCTTCCCAGTGGTCTCGACCTGCTCATCTTCCTCTTCGTCCGAATCGGTATGGTATCCCAGGTCCTTCTTCTCCGGTCTCGATACGTCCTTGAGGATGGTCTCGTTCTTTTCGACGTCAATGCCAGCTTCCTTCTCCTGTACGGCCCGGGCAAGAATTTCTTGTCTCGATTTTCTGGTGTGGCTAAGTTGTTTCGCACTCTGCAAAAGGCTGGTGTCCGTCTTCAGTGTAGCGAGTTTCTTCATGAGTTCGAGGTTCTCCTCCCTCTTGAGCTTGGTATCCTATTGCGCAAAAAATGGTGTCAGCAAAATCCCTTAAACCCAGAATGCAGCTCCAGAAGCAACAGCTCAGTATGTGCGCAATTGCGTCCCAGGCCACCAGCCCTCCACAAACTTACAATGTACTTGTCCATCCTCTTCTGCTTCTTTTTGCTGATCTTGCTCTGCGGCTGCTGTGCGCGCAATTCATCCCTCATCATTTTCCTCTTCTCTTCCCTTTCCGCCTTGCCGGCTGGCAAGATAACATCTGCGTTCACATCGCCGGCAGATGCGACACCGACCTTGGCGGCGGCTTTCTGGCGCTCTTCCTCCTCGCGCACACGATGCTTGTGCTTCCGCTGGCGGGGTACGAATTTGCCCATGGTGAACGAGCGGCAACGAGGGTCTGGACAGGGCCGAAAGGAATGTTCGGTGCGGCCGACAATAATTCTTGTCGCGAGAGGAAGCTCTGGGGAAAAAAAGTCGGGTCGCACGCGAACGGCGCAAGTAGTAATGGCCGCTTCTTCGCGGACTGAGCAGCAGAATCTCGGCTGCGTCTTTCTCTCGCTCACTTCCCTGCCCGCGATGCATGGTCCGAGCTCGACTCACCGCCTTCGGTGGCTGGCCGCGGCCAAACGCCGACGATGTGCCCGCCGCCAGCCAGCGCGAAGCTCAAAGGTTAGAGCTTGGGCGCGTCAAGAATTCTAGCTGAGGACGTCGACAACTTTTTGCCCTGACAACAAGCAGCTGAGACGTTCCGCCCACGAGCAAACCTTTTCCAGCATGCCCGACTTTCCTATCACCCCGGAGGCGTTTCCGGCCAGCACGCGCACCGCCGCGGGCGAGGTAGATGGCGTACACACGGACGTCATGGTGGTGCGGTTCGCGGACAAGATTATGGTGACCATCACTCAGGGTGGACGGCTGGCGCATTGGGTACGAACAACAGCTTTACGGTTTCATTCTATGCTTCCGACCTAACTTCTTTACGAAATATCGCTTTCTATTACATTTTTGCTGACGGTACCTTCTCACGCAAAGGTTCATGTTCCCCTCGACAACCCAACAGCCGACGCCTTCTCTAACGCCGCCCCGCCTACCTCCTTTGAAGATGACGAGCCGGGACCCAACAACGACCTTCTACCCATGGCGCATCTGACAGCGACGACAGTGCTGGGCGGAACGATCCCGGAGCGCGACACTGCAGGGCAGCTTGTCGCAGCACAGGTTGCTAGCACAATCGCGACGAAAGATTCGGAAGAGAAACGGCTGGTGGTTGTGGGGATGGGATTAGAGAAGAAAGACATGAGCAGGGAAGCATTTGTGGATTTGGTGGGGTTGGTGATGGGGTGCTTGTAGAGAGAGATATTTTGTGGGCACTAGTTCTCAAACGAGAAAGTGGCGGCGGGAGATAGGCAATGGCTTTTGCAATAATAGGAGGAGATATGGTCCCGTATGGTCCCTCAGACGTTTGTCTGTTCAATGTGGGGGCATGGCTGATGGTCACAGGCATCTTTACGGTAAGGCCAAGCACAGAAGGATACATGGAGAAGTAAAAAAAAAATCAGGCAGCAGAGACTCTGCAGAGTCGCGTTAATTCCTTCGTAGAAGCATGATACCCGATACTATCCGATAACATGGCTCATCCATCTATGAGCTCTTTTGCCCGTCTTGACCGTGAACGCCGTATCCCTCTCCGTGGAGCTGATCCCTCGAATCTGGACCCGAGTGTTTTCCCATCCAACGCCGAAACATGCAAGTGTAATTTTTGATCGCTCTATGCCTTTGCAGCGTTCTCATCGCGAAGCTTACTAATTATGGAGTCGACATCGTCCATGGACGTGGCGTCCAACTTCTTTCCGCCATGGTATGAATCGGGCAGGTGCTGTATAGCGACATCAAGGCCAGGCTGAAAATTCCTCGTGGCGGAAGAGAGGGCGTTGATTGCCTTCTTACGGGCGGCCTGGTTGGGCTCTCCAACGGCCAGCTTAGCGATCGTCGGAATGGCATCGTATTCGAGGAGCTGTCGTCATCCGTCAGCCACTGCCCCTAAACGGTGTACATACGATAGGGAAATAGACCCACCTTCTCCTGCGCCTTGACGTTGTTCTGCACGGCCGTGCCAACGCACCACGCGGCCATCCTCCTGAGCTCGGCCTCTTCGCTTTCGAGCTGAGACAGCAGCGGCTTCCACAAGCCCAGTGCTTCGATGTTGTTGGCGTTGTCGATCTGCTCGACCAGCTGCTCGAAGTTGTCGAACGCGGTGAGCTTGTTCTCCAGGTCCGTCTCTTCCGACGTGACCGCCCGCATCGCCTCGCGCATGAGCTCGGCGTCGGACGGCCCGCCCATCAACGCAGCCAGCATCTCAGGCGTCAGGTTGGTCTTGTGTTCACCGGCGGCCGCGGGGTCGCTGCGCGTGGCCTCGGAGTTCTCGACGCCCCATCGCAGGAGATTGTTCAGACGCGGATCGTTCATCGTGGCGGTAATCTATCGAGATTGCGGCAGAGTATGGGTAATTGCGGCGGCGTGGGGAAAAATGTTGTAGGAATGCACGGCGGACAGGCGAGCAGCTATATCAAAGGCGCCTCGCGAAAATTGTTGCCGATGACGAAGGCGCGGGAAGAAGCGATCGGCTTCGGCGGGCTTCGACAGCACTGCCGACGCTGGGCGGCCGTTTTTGGCGCGCGCACCAGAGGCGGCAGGCCGGCGGCCCTATCATGACAGCGGCACCGCGCGCATGGCTGACAGCACCAGCGGATAAGCATATCGCGGAGCTTGTTGCTGCGATCTGGCGGACAGCAGCGCAGCGCCGTGGAAAGCAGCGGAGCCCGCCCCTGGAGGTGGTCCCGCCGGTGGTGGTCCGCTCCCTGCTACCGCCCGTCTCGCCAGCGCTGCCCCTCACTTGCACGTGACCGGTGATAATTACGATGGGCCGGCGCGCGTCAATCAGGAGCTTGGGGGAGTCGTGCTCGCGGCGGAAAGGGGCTGCGAGCTATTCTTGGCGGCTTCTGGAATTGCGGGCTGGGGCAAGCAGTGGGTATCGCGCAGTGAGCCGTAGGCGGTGGGCGGGAGCTGCGGGCGGTAAGCAAAGGGCTGCCTGGGCGTGCTGCCAGCTGCCAAGAGCGCGTTGTCAGCGGTGGCGGGCACGACGCGTGGACGCAGCGTCGCAGGAATTGTGCTGCCTTGCGGACGGCAAGTATAAAGACAGCAGCGTGGTGTATGCAGTGCAGGCAGCCCATCAGTCAATCAGAGCGCGTCGTGGTGATTACAGCTGCAGCGTGCAGGCCAGTTCGCCGTCCCCTGAAGTGGAATGCACGTTGGGTATCCGCTTATTTAGCACGGCCTCGCCTCCCGCACAGAACCTGTGCCCAGCTGTCCTGCCCGTGAGACCGCTCTTCCCTTCAACTCCACGTCAACGACATCCATCCCCCGACCTCCATCCAGCAGTCCGCCATCTGCTGCCCTCCGCCTACGCCGCGCCTCTTCGCATTTAATTCTCAACCAACTCCCTCACCTTTGCTCTCTACATCCTCTTAATCAGTCACAATGGAAGGTACGAAGATGACACCCCGCTCAGCGCCTCCTGACGCCAACCGCCCGCGACCTCCGCGTCGTCGAGCCCGCGCCTTGCGCCCTGCATTCATCGCATGCTAACCCCTCTGCCTGTCTACAGAAGAAGTTGCGGCCCTCGTCATCGACAATGGGTAAGAATTGCACTGCTGCCCGCCCCTCGCGCGTGTGGGGTTGCCAGCCTCCTGGCTGCCTCCACCATCCGCGCCGCGCCGCATCGCCATCCGCTGCGGCCGCCCGGGCGCAAATGGCATCCGATAGAGCTTCGCTGACGGTCACCCAGTTCGGGTATGTGCAAGGCCGGTTTCGCCGGTGATGATGCGCCCCGCGCCGTCTTCCGTAAGTCTCCCCCGCCTCCTGCTGGGCTGGGCGCGACGGCGCCCTTGCAGCCGTTGTAGCCAGCTCGCCGCAGCCGTGATCGTGACGAGAGCAATTTGCTGAGTGCGCTGCAGCCTCCATTGTCGGTCGTCCTCGCCACCATGGGTATGTCCACCTGTCCCGGAGCCCCGCATCGCACACCGCCCGCTGACGTACAACACAGTATCATGATTGGTATGGGTCAGAAGGATTCGTACGTCGGAGATGAGGCACAGTCGAAGCGTGGTATCCTCACCCTGAGGTACCCCATCGAGCACGGTGTCGTCACCAACTGGGACGACATGGAGAAGATTTGGCACCACACCTTCTACAACGAGCTGCGTGTGGCGCCCGAGGAGCACCCCGTCCTGCTGACGGAGGCTCCCATCAACCCCAAGTCCAACCGTGAGAAGATGACCCAGATCGTCTTCGAGACCTTCAACGCCCCGGCCTTCTACGTCTCCATCCAGGCCGTTCTGTCGCTGTACGCTTCCGGTCGTACTACCGGTATCGTCCTCGACTCGGGTGACGGTGTTACTCACGTCGTCCCCATCTACGAGGGTTTCGCCCTTCCCCAGGCCATCTCCCGTGTTGACATGGCTGGTCGTGATCTTACCGACTACCTGATGAAGATTCTCGCCGAGCGTGGTTACTCTTTCTCCACCACCGCCGAGCGTGAAATCGTCCGTGACATCAAGGAGAAGCTCTGCTACGTCGCCCTCGACTTCGAGCAGGAGATCCAGACTGCCAGCCAGAGCTCTTCGCTCGAGAAGTCGTACGAGCTTCCCGACGGTCAGGTCATCACCATCGGCAACGAGCGTTTCCGCGCTCCCGAGGCTCTCTTCCAGCCCTCCGTCCTCGGTCTCGAGTCCGGCGGTATCCACGTCACCACCTTCAACTCCATCATGAAGTGCGATGTCGATGTCAGGAAGGACCTGTACGGCAACATCGTCATGGTAAGTTTTTGCGCGCAGGCATCATCCTAGCGTCTTCTAGCGCAGCGCTAACAGCCCTCTAGTCTGGTGGTACCACCATGTACCCCGGTATCTCCGACCGTATGCAGAAGGAAATCACCGCCCTGGCCCCCTCCTCGATGAAGGTCAAGATCATCGCTCCCCCGGAGCGCAAGTACTCCGTCTGGATCGGTGGTTCCATTCTCGCCTCCCTCTCCACCTTCCAGCAGATGTGGATCTCCAAGCAGGAGTACGACGAGAGCGGACCTTCCATTGTCCACCGCAAGTGCTTCTAAGGTGTGTTGTGCAGCCCTGCCGAGTGAAACGACTTGTACTAATTGGCTGCTACAGCGAACACTCGGGTGCAACGGAATTCATGACGACGGCATGCCTCCGGACGATAATCTCGCTCGGCCTTGGCTACGCCTTCTCCCTCGTGCGTGCTCTACATCTCTTACCAAAATGGCGGTCAAGAACTTTGGGTGGTTTGTTTTACACTGGTGGAGGTGGCAGAGGACAAGCGTGCGTTAATCATTTCGCGTGCGTGTGGTAGGCGAGCAAGGACACGGCTGCAAAAAGGCGGTGTTTATGGCGGATGACGACCCTTTTTAGCAGAGTTTATAGCCTAGAAATGCTTGCTGTTTACCACCGCAATATGACCATCCCGACGATCCAGTCTCCATGCAACCGTGATGTATCTCCATTCCCGACAGCCACCCACAACCCCGCGGTGGCTGAGCATGACTAACAGCCAAGTCCTACGTCACTACCCGAGAGGAAAGGGATATGGCAGGTCAGGTACCTGAGTGAGCAGCAGATGGGGGAAAAAGATAAGCCGAAGATTACGTACGTCCGCCCTTCCACCCTTCTCCACACGCGTATTTCGGGACAATCATCTTGGCTCTTGGCGGAAGACGAGCTAGTAGCTGCCCATATTGCTGCGATGAAGGAAGAATTTACGTTGTACGCTTGGAGGATGAGACTTTTTTTTGTTGTCTTTAATTTTTTTCCACCCTCGGCAGGTATTTCTATAGACTGCTTAGTGAAGTACTTACCCTTGTCTCAGATCATGCGGGGTTTTAATGGGACTTCATCGCTTCTCGGATCTTTCGTACCGTAAGCCCTGCATACCTTTCTTTGATTGGACGGAGCATGCGGACTATTGTCGCTTTGGTGGCTGGATATGATGGGGGGTTGGGGCTTGACGATGTAGGCGGAGGTGCCAGCACAGATCATAGAGTGCGTCGAGGTGCCGGTTCGCATTGGCGACGCTTCTTGTATAGGGAGGTATCGCAGCCGATGGCTAGTGTGAAGAATAGTAAGGTCCCAGGCGCAGCTATGCCTCAGCTCTTTCTCCGAGAAATAACGTGTGTCGGTAGCTGAGGCTATCGTCCGACGTGTATGTAGAGTTTTTTTTTTTTTTTAAATTCTACATTCTTGTCCAGACGGTAGCTTCAACTGCGCTTGATATGAGCAACACGCAAATCCACGCTAGCCATCGGCGGCAAGATAGGGCTGTATGCATCATGTGTGGATGAGGGGATGCGGGCGGAGCCGGATTTATCGTGGGGATGGAAATGGAACTTCATGAAGTAAACAAATGCAGGAAGGAGTACAAGACATGCGTGCGCGGAATTTCAGGCTAAGACATAAGCATCAAATGGTAGGCAGAGTTGTAAATTTTCTACCTACTTCTTTCTGTCAGATGGCCTTGCATCTTTGTCCCTTCTGGAATTAAAGTGACCAGATTTACGGGACATCAGAGGCTATAGAAGGAAATTGCAGATCCATGACAACATAGACTGCATAAGAGAAATCTAAGTCGTCTATGATCTTCCTTGCAATCATCCCTACACGTTTATCCTTTTTTTATGCCAAATCTCTCCTCTTGTCCTTTGTGAATATGCTACGTATCCCAAGGTGAGCAGTGTGAATGTGGAGGGAATCTGACCAGCAGCAGTAAGAGTCGACGAACAATCAGCGCATGGAAACGGGGCTGTGCTCGATCTGAGTATAGTTGATGACGGCACGGCCTGCCTTCTTGTTGTTCACGAAGGATTGGAACGACAGAGTACCCTGCTCGGTGTCCAACTTCATCTCGACCGTAAAGCTGAGACTGAAGACATACTTCTGAAGTTGCTTGTTGTAGCGCTTTTCAGCTTTCTGGACGTCCGCCTTCTTGAAATGGACGCTGATCGTGCCGACACTCTCGACACAGGGGTTGTCCAAATAGTCAGGCGCCTTATCGCTGGAGCAGCCGAGCAGAGTCATTTTGCAGCAAGGTGTACCAATGCCGTCATCGACATGGGTGTAGCACAGCTCGAAGGTAGCCGTAGTGCTGGAGTTCATCATCTGACCCTGTGTCGTTTTATTAGCATCATGCGTCAAAAGAAATAGTATATATCGTACCTTCTGAAGAGCCCAGTCCGCCCTATCACGACAACGCTTCGTACCGTCGAATTCGCAGAAGTAAGCCTTTCTCTCAGGATCAATGCCCTGCCTGAAAGTCTTGCCCACGTGGTAGCCGTAGTGACGGCGAGCCTGTCGATACAGCGGAGTGAGGCCTTCAAGACCACGTAAGGCTGCGCCTCGAACCACAGTGGCTTGGCACTGAGGCGGACAGGTGAGCTTGATGGGGCCGTTCTGCATGCACCAGATCCTCATGCACTCGTTCAGGTAGTCAGAGTCTCCAAACCCGCCGACAAGGATGACGCGGTCAATTTGGTGCAGGTTCTTCTTCGCGAGCTCAGCTTGGGTGCTCACGAGCCGAGTGATGTCTTTGATGACAGGGTCAAAGAAGCTCTTCATATCGTGCCTTGAGACAGTCAGTAATGAAGTCAAGACAATGGTGATGCGTAGAGATTCCAAGGTAGAATACATACCAGGTCAGGTTGACTACCGCTTCGTCACTATCGTAGCGGGAAGAGGAGGGGACATCCATGGCAATGTGGTCGATCTCGATGTACTTCTGGTCGCCTCGTCCAAGTAGCTTGCTGCCGAAAGTCTTCTTCTGAGCCTCGAAAGACCTCATGAAGGCGCTACCAGCACCACGCTTCTTCTGGGAGAGGGAGGTGTAGGCCTCGCCGAACTTGTTGACCATCCACGTGTTGAAGTTGCGATCGATGTAAGTAGAGCCACACTTAGCGCCGACGCCAACGCAGACTTCCTGGAACTGGAGGCGAGGGATGGTCTCGAGAATGGTGTAGGTCGTAATGTCCACAGTGCCTCCTCCACAGTCGCAGACGAGAACATTCTCACCAGGGCTGATGGGATCAATGGAATCCGAGTCAAGGTGAGGCTTGAGTGCAGCCAGAGCGGCAGCCTCAGGCTCTGGTATGATGTTTACCTTGTCAAAATGCCTCGAGCCAAAGCCAGCCTTAAGCGCAGCCGACCTGGTCGCGTCCTTTGCTGCATCGCTCCAAATGGCAGGCACGGTGATCCAACACTCGATGGGCGTAACAGCGTACACTTCCGGGGAGTATTTTTTGCAAAGAACGCTGACCATGTAGTCATAAAGGCCCATGAGGTAGTCGGTACAAACGTCCTTGGCAGTCTTGTCGCGAGGTAGTTTTAGCATGCCCTTGCCGAACAAGTCCTTCAGCGCAGGGTCGTCAAGCTCGGCAACCGTGGTCCCACGGTCAAGAAGCAGCTTGGTCCAGAGGTAGGACTCCATTCCGGAAGTGACAGCAAAGCCCCACTTGTTGATGTAGAAGTTCTTGTTTTCCGAAGCGTACGCCATCCTGGTCGGGACCTTGGAAACGGTTTCGGAAGTGCCGGGCCATTGATTAATGACCTCAATCTTGTCTATGTTGACCTCGTTGGAAGTGACATAGCTAATACCTAGGTTGTTGTGAGTCGGATGGATGAGAGTCGAGGTGAGGTGCATACCGGAGAAGGTCGTGCCATAGTCAAGGCCGACAATGATCTTCAGGCGATTGTCGGTCATGGCGGATGCAAGTTGGCCGCGTCAATACAGACGGCGTCCAGTGGGTTGCTTCGCAAAAGTGGGCGCGCTCGTGGAGGGTGGGTGTTTGGAAGGTGTCAGAGGAAAGGAAGATGCGCCCGGTGGTCGTCTAAATGCGCGCGAAAGGACCCTGAGCGGCATAAGCGAATGGTGACTTCCGGAACTGGCAGGCACGGACAAGCGTTTTCCCTGTCCGGGGATGGTTCTTTGGGCATCTTCATAATTCTGCGCCTTCCAGCGTCCACTTCTACGACCTCTACCTCTCCAAACACCATCGACCCACACCTTGCACAGCACCCGACCCTCAACTTCTGCAAAATGTCTGGCCTGATAAAGGCCTTTATGAGGCCCAAACAACCTGCACGCCCAAGCTCTGCACAGACTTTGGTTACGACACCGTCTACCTCACCTGACCAGCACGATCTTGAAGCCGGTGAAACCCATACTGGTGAGGTAGGTGAAGTAGAAGTTCGCAAACTAGAGCAGGAGAACCACCTTCTACAGCAGCAGCTACGCAAGGCGGAGCAAAAGTATGCTGCTCTCAAAAAGCAGGTCGCGGAGCTTGAAAAGGACCTTCGGAAAGAATGCTCTGACAAGAATGCCAGCAGAGAAGAAGCAAAGACATTCTATAGCAAGGTTCTTTCACTGAAGAAGGAGAATGCTTCTCTTAATCGCGAACTCAAGGAATGCCAAGGAAGGCTGGACTCGTCGATCGTAGACCTGAGGAAGGCGCAGCTCAGTTCATTCAAGCAGTCTCAGACTGGATGGTTTGTCGAGGAAGACTCCAGGATCCACGAGTCCCTTGCCCAGTTCTACAAGGATGTCCGGCTTTGGGCTAAGACGTACTGTCTCAAATCCCTGGAGACATTCTGCGACGTTGACGATCATACCCGTAGCTATCTAAGCAACGCCGTCCTAGGCGTCGCATCCTTCCAGGAGTGGGACGACTTTTGCAAGTTCAAACACCCATTCCTCATTCTCGCAGCTTTGGTTTCGGAAACTCTCCGCTCCTGGATGTTTGGGGACTATTTCTACATATTCGTCAGGCCTGGAGACCCTAGTGATAATGGAGCGACCAGAATGGCACTGTTGGAGACTTTCAACAAGCTTCTCACGGGTATTTTGATACATCTGAGAGCAATAACAAGGATCAGCGCTGACATGAAATAGGCAACGTTGTTGGAGCGCACACATGGCGAGCTCTGCTTTTCAGAGGAATCTTCCCGAGTCCGGAGAGCCCTGAGCTAAGAACGGGGCCGGGTTTCTCCACTAGAAATTGTGGAGATCTCCTCGAGAGTATCATGGGCGCACTCAAGTATGGACCGGCATGCGCATTTGTTCGGAGCATGGAAGAGAACGAAGACAAGAAATGTACCTCGGAGCTCCAGAACCTGATCCAAAGAGCCATGAAGCTCTTCTCTCGTCTACAGACGCAGCGCGCATACTACACCTGGCACACACCTTCCCAGCTCCTCCGTACAGGCTTCGATGTACACTCGCCAGAGCTCGCAGCTGACCGCCTGGTAAGACTCGAAGATGACGAAGACGAGTCGCACAATGGCAAGAAGATTAAGCTTGTCGTGAGCCCCATGGTCCAGAAGCATGGAGACAGCAACGGAGAAAACTTCCATACGACCACCCGTGTCATCACCAAAGCTGTTGTCTTCCTGGAGGGCTGACTTGGCACGTCCGAATTTCATAAGGTTCGGGGAAACGGAGGTCGAGAGACTCTATTCATCGATGATTTCTCCACCTAGAAATTCCGGTATGGACCTGGGGCTCTCGTCCTGATATCATCACATTGCAAAAAAAAAAAAAAAACAGTACATGCTCGTCCCGGAAAGACCCTCAAATCCGGATGCGCTATCCCGGAAAACTTCCCCCACCAAAACTTCCTGCATCTGGCGACACCTTGACTCGGCGGATTTGGCAACACTTCTCTTCAAAATCCTTTATTATCACTCCGGCCTCTCAGTTTTGCATATTCCTTGGTTTTCCAGGGATTTGACGAAGCAAAACTACACCATTGACACTTTTCTGCGGTTCACAGACACTTGGACTATACCTCAAGCTGCAGAGAATTGCAGAGAAGCAGGAGAACTGCCTGCACCCCTGTGATCCCATTCAAAATTCCATTCCCGATTTCCTTGTTTTCTGATTTTATCCGGCGTAATTACAAATCACAAACAGAGAACCTGTTTGCCCGAGCTCCACTTAGGCTATGGCAAAGCTGCAGTCATGTGGAACGCATGGTTTTCAACGGTCATGGGAACTTCTGGTACCGGAATCTTTACTTTCCGAGTTTGCTTGAATCAAAACTTTCTGGCGTGCAAAAAAGGGTCGAGAGGTAGTTCTAATGAAAATTCTCTTTTGAACACAGTCCTGTGAATTCTGGTGGTGAGAATATTCGTCAAGTCATCACTTGCTCGATGTTTTAATGAAGTAGCGTGAGTTGGCAAGAGCGTCTACGTGAACAATGGACTTGGAATCTGAGGCTCCACTCTCCGAATCCACGGACTGAATTGGTCATACCCATACTACATCAAATCGCTTGCGAACCTGGTCAATGGAAGATCACTGCCAAATTCTAAGCTCACTACTTGAATGATGCATTCCGTAGACATGGTGCGGCGCTCACCTGAATCCGCTAATACATATGAGTCACGTCCAGCCCTTTTGCAAAAACCTTTCGGACAACAACACCGCAGCGACGTTCTCACCATCGTCCTTGCGCTTCTCCTTGATTAAGATTCGCCTCATGTGCTAGCTGACCCTGGCTCAGCGTACGGGAGGTATTGCAACCGAAGGCCAGCTTGAATATATTCTTCGCTCATACCATGGGTAGTTGAAGCTATCATCCGAATGCAAATAGGGAATGATAATTTAACGACTACTTCCACGGCCTTGGTATGTGTTACGATCTAGTAAGCATAGAAAACTGAATTGATCCCACAAAACCATGGGAAAACTATGAAATATTAAGCTGATGCATGCATGATTTTTGCTTCGTAGCGAGAACTATTTAAGCCATTTATCGCCACGATAACTTCCCCAAGTCGGATACCTACTATTGATAGTACGGACTGGGCCTTAATGATGCTCCACCAACGCCAACCATTGGCGGTCCTCCGCAGGCGCATCCCTTCTGAAGAATTTGTACGAATACAAATACACCTCTAACATTCCATTGCCAGAATCAAATTGGCACAGCATGCACCCTGCGCGTCTGTCACACTTAGAGCAGACTACATGTGTTCCTCGAGGTCTCCGCGTCTCAGGCCCGAACAGGTCGAAGAATACATTCTCGGACCCTGCATCCGAACGCGCAACTCTGAGCTGCGAAGTATGTAGGTGGCGACATACAGGCTCGTCTACCTGCGCCAACGCCTCACGCAGGGCGTGGGAATCTCCCGGAACGACGCGAACACCCATGAGCGTTGTATGCACATGTACCATGCCATTCTCATAGGGTTTGTACGCGCGAAGCTCCACTGCCGCGTCTGTTGCTAGGACGCCCTGGCTGGGATCATCTTCGTGCACTGGATCCGGACAGTATATTTTCCCACCATCTATCGACTGCGGCCTTCCGGCGAGCAGCGCCTTCAGCTCAGCGTGCGTGACACTCCAGTGCGCGCAGATGCGGAGGCGCGTGTCCGCCGCGTTGCCGACGATGCAACGGCGGCGGTGCGCCGGCGTGCGACGCGCAGTAGCCGAGAAGCATGAACGCGGATAGATGTCCATGCAAACGCTGCATACGAGACGGCAAAACCAAAAATTTCCTGCGCCATCTTCAGCACAGGCGCGCGCGTAGTCGTCGCGGTTCAGGCGGTTGGCGTAGTGGTTGCGGTCGATCCGTTGGACTGTGGCGGTGTCGATGAGGGTCGGTATTTGCAGGGAAGCGTCTTACAAGGACATAAGGTCCGCTGGTTAGAGGTAGGATGCGATTTCGAGAATAAGTTCGTCAGGTAGTTGGAGTAGTAGGCTCGGCGGCGTTAGTGCTGTCGTCTGACTCGGAGCGAGGAAAGGCAGGCACCGAGCAGCGCGCATGCGGCGTCCATAAATCCAGAGTTGCAGCTGGCGTAAGGGGGTGAGATAGTTCTTGTAGTGGCGAATTGCCTTCTTCGAATCCGCCTGGAGGGTAGCTGCGGCGGTGAGATCCATGACTGCAAGGTGTTTGAGGGCGTAAGCGTCTGGTGAATACAAACGGAGTATTGTACGAGTGGGTATATAGTCCTCTTAACAGACCCTCAAAGGAAGCTGAGCGAACTTCCTCTCGGAAACGGTGGCGAAATGGCCGTGAAAAGTTGAAGTGGGACTATAAGTATTTGTATGCGGTTGTGGCTGTGAACCGTCAACACCACGGATTATTTGGACCCTGGCCCGACACATGTTGGGACGATGACGCCGGCCCAGAATATTAGACTTCTTCCTTTTGCTTTTCCTTGTCACCGTCGCCTCTCCCTTCATCCTCGTCCCGCACCACACTTTCCGCACTCGCATTTCCCCTTCCATCATCAGTGCTACCCCCACCCAACCCACTTTCACTCGACGCTCCGCTCGTTTCCTCTCCACCAGCATGCCCCTGCGTACCGATCTTTAAGAACGCGCACAGAGGAATCCCCACTGCCGCGATTCCCGCGCAGTACAAGAACGTTGCCGCATACGGTTCAATGGGATCATTCGCAAAGTATCCGCTCGTGGCTGTTCCCCGCGCCACCACCGCATCGAAGATGGCCGTGCTGATGCCCATGCCGATGGTGACGCACAGCTTCGTGACGGTCTGGAAAATGCCGCCGGCGATGCTCTGCTGCTGCGGCGGCAAGCTAGACATGACGTACATGTTGGCGACGCAGAACTCAAAGTCGGCGCCGACGACGGCGAGCAGGAGGCCGGGGAAGATGAAGGCCCAGTAGGAGCTGTCGGCGTGCTGAAGACCCATGAGGAGGAAGGAGGCGACGTACGCGGTGGCGCCGACGGCCATGAGCAAAGTATTGGAGACGCGGTGCATGATGAGGCCCGCGATGACGTTGACGATGATGCCGCCGATGGCCATGGGCAGCATGTGCACTGCCACGAGCAGCGCCGAGTAGTGCTTGATCTTTTGCATGAAAAGCGCGATCCAGAAAGCCATGATCGGGAAGGCGAGGAAGCCGAGTAGTAGTACTGTGATGACGAGCGAGAAGTCGCGGTCGCGCCAGATGGACATGGGTACGAGCGGGTAGGCACACCACTGCTCCCAGAAGACGAAGGCGACGATGAGGAACGCGCCGATGATAAGGAGTGCTAGGACGTAGGGCGTTTTCCAGCCTTGGGGCGCATCGGAGCCGAGACTATGGCTATTAGTGCTGGAGATCATGGAGATGTTGGATGATGGGAATAGCGGACATACCTTAGGGCCCCGGAAAACATGCCGATGCCCGCCACGGTCAGGATGGTGCCAACAATGTCGAATTTCTTGACCGCCTGCAAAGACATCGTTTCCTTCTGCGTGTGGTCGACAGGAACGGAGAATAGTGCAATGGCTACGATGACGACGTAGATGATGGCCAACAGGAAGAAGCTGGCTCTCCAGTTGAACAGTTGCACGGCGATTCCTGAGAATATACTTCCGAAGACGAAGCCCATGGGGTTGCCAGCACTGAAGCAGGCGAAGACCTTGTTCTTCCGCTTGGAAGGCCGCTGATAAATATTGCCAAGCATGCCTTGGGCCGGAGGAACAGCAGCAGCGGACATGAGACCCATCACACCATTGAGGATGTCGAGTTGAAGAGGCGTCTTGGAGAAACCAGCTGCTATAGCGAACACAGCGAAAAGAGCCATGCTACCGATGAAGAGCGTTTTCCGACCAAAGAGGTCGGCCAATCGGCCAAAGAACAACAGGAACGCGCCAGAAGCCAGCCTACAAGCAATCAGCGTTAGAAGAGCAATGGATAGGTCATGGTGCAACGTACGATGACGAGCCAGCCAGCCAGGTCAGCTCGGCAGTTGTCATGTTCAACTCATCCTGAACCTGCGACGTGAGAACTGTTATGGCGCCGTTGAGGAGGGACGACATGGAAATAGCCATTGTCGCCACCGAGACAAACAAAATCTCCTGGACGGTGGAGGAGAATACATCAGGCCTGGCTTCATAGTCAACTGGCGCTTGCGCGGCCGCGGATGCGGTCACGCCATTGGCCTTTTCGTTTTGCCCGCTATTGTCCAGTCGCTCGACATCCTCATTCTGGGCCATGATTGAGGATTACACCGTAGGGGAGAAGGTGATGACCGGTACAGAGCATAGCTAGAGTAGGGAAAGTGCCGATATGTACCTTCTGCGAGGTCGGGACGATGATTACCAGCACAGCGGGAGAAATTCCGCTGTTGGCCTAGAGCACGCAAGAGCTCGTGTGGCCCTGTTGTGTTCCTGCAGGTGGATTAGTCGCCCATTGCTACATCCGGAAAGGCTACGCGGCATCATGACTCGGCATGTCCGATAACCGGCCATACCGTTTATCGTCATTACTAAAGGAGACACGGTGTCGGTGAAGAGAACTCGGTGTTAACAGATGAAGGTGCAAAGGAGCTTCAAGATGATAGTAGTTACCCTCGATTGCTCTGTTGTTTGATTAAATTGTATGCATACCTACATGTCGGAATTCCCGAACGCCCCTGCCAGACGAAGATCAGCACTTGATCTTGGTCGTGCTTATCGGAGGTACGGCGGAAAGATGTGCAAGCCGCCTTCCGTGTATGGTACAAGGGAGATTGTAGCCGAAGGCTTGCGTGGATTTATTTTTTCATGCCATGGGTAGTTGAAGCTATCATCCAGACGTGAATGTATAATTATTAATTCTACATTTGCATTCGGATGATGGCTTCAACTACCCATATGTTCCTTTTCATAAGAAACAAAAAAAGAGCTGAGGCATACTTACGCTATGTTCCAGGGCCCCGCGATAGCTATCGGCTGCAGTGCTGTGGTGGTTCGACACGAACACGTCATCGGAGGGGCACATCCGGTGACGAATGAAACTCAGAGTTTCCATACTCTCCAGTCTTCAAGGTCCATCTTGGAGAGGGCGCCTCTGAGTGGGCCTTGGACTTCTCCTTGCTCGGCCCATATTTTCCGACCAGCCCAGTAGTCCAAGAATCCTTCAGGACCAGAGATCAAGATGAGTCGTGATCCGGGTCTTTTCCCTCTGGACTTGCTCGCCTCTTGCAGATGCTGCGCAACTTGAGACGGCTGGATGAAGGTCTTTTCCTCGTCGACAAAGTAATCCACAGCAAGCCGTTGGTCAGGGCTCGCGCGTTGCTTGAGAGCGTCAATCTTGCGCACAATGACACCCTTCTCACCACCGACGGGCTCAACATCCGCCTTTTGCTCTACCCTGCCCCACCCCAACCAGCTTCTCCACCCAGCAGTTCCTTGTGTAGCCTCCGTATCGCTCCTACCACCAACGCAATCCTCTCTCCTCCTATTGGCCCATAATATCCGCATCTTCGCCTCCCGCCCTCTCATCTGCAACGCCCGCGCCACCTGCAATGCGGGCGCGATGCCCGTTCCGCCCGCCAGGAACAGCACCTCGCTGACATCGTCCGGGATCTCAAACTCGACGTGCGGGCCGCGCAGCTCGACGGTGGCGTCGGGCGGCAGGCGGTGCAAGTAGTTGGACACCTCACCGCCGCGCTCGCGGCGTATTAGGAAGCGAAACTGCGTGGAATCGGTGCCATCCGTGTCGGCGGAAGACGAGGACGAGGACGGAGGCAAAGGTGTGTACGCGCGCGCGATCTGCAGCTGCGGCTGCTTCGCCTCGACGCTCCACACGCAGCGCGCCCACACGTCCTGCAGGTCCTGCTGTGCCGTCGCCTCGGCGTCGCGCGCGCGTAATGTGAAGAGGCTGCTTGTGGAAGAAACGGGTGTCTTGTCGGCGATGCCATAGTGTGCGAAGCGTAGCGGGTGCAGGGTCGAGGATTCGGCGGTGGACGCGTCTTTCGAGCTGGCCCAGTAGCGGTACCCGAAGCCACCGGCAGCGCTGCCGCCTAGGACGAGGAGGACGCCGGCATTGGGACGGAGCGAGGCACGGAGGATGCGCGGCATTCACGGCGGTCGAAGGCGGGCGATGTAGGGTGGAGAGGGAGTGGTGGGAAAATGTGAGTGAAGAGAAGCTTCATGGCGGAACGTTCGGCGGGAAGCATATTTCAGCCCTACCGCCGCCGCGGCCTCCATGCCGAGATCTACGTCTACTGCAATTCTATGAACCTTTTCGACAGCGGTTATAATCTGAGTATCGTCCTGGCCTCATTATCCTCAATGCCGCCTCTGAACAATTCTTTGACGACCTTGCCTTGCACTATCGTCTGCTCCACGACGCCCTCGACTTGCTCTGGACCAATGCGGCCATACCAAATGCCCTTTCCGGCCAATGGATGTCCCGCCTCCTTCAATGTCTTCGGAATGTAGATGATAACATTCCCAGCATATTTGTGTCCTCCAATGTGGCTAATCAAGCCAACACTCGCCGACAGTGCGGTTCCTTGATGCTGCTCCAAATCCGGCTGAGGACGAATGTCTATTCCCTTTGCCTTGAGCTTCTCCTCGAATTCTTCACGCAGAAGCGGTCCGAGGATGCCGCACCGAGCGTCTCTTCCGCCATGTCCGCAGATCAGCACCAGTACCTCATCCACATCCCGGACTCCGGCGAAGTGTCCCTGAAGATTCTCGTCCCGTACTAGCTTGGCCTGCTCCTCCGGCGAAAGCACATCTCTGTGCATTTTGTGAAGCTGTTTCGGTTTCGCAAAGCCTCTTATGAAGTCCTTGACCGAATCTCCAGCCAGCGGTATCGAGGGTATGTACTTGAAGCTCGGAAACAGATATGCCGAAGCTGAATCGGACGATGATGATGCGCCGGGAAAAGATACGTTTGTGATCAGGATGTTGTGGTAAGGCTGCAAAGCCAAAGTCAGCAAGTACCCAACGCAGAGCTTCCGGCGCGCGGGAAGGAGGAGCGCGTACAGACACAGGCTTGGGCACGCTCCCAATATGCGAAGACCTCAAGCTGTACGCATCCTATCGCGCGCCGGGCTCATCCTCTGCGGAGACGAACATCACAAAGCTCTCCTTTCCTCCCAAGTATGTCTTTGACCTGGCGCTGAAAGTGTGCATCGTCTTCCTCTTCTATCCGGCTTTTCCAGTCGTCCTTTCCCGTAGCGATGAGGATTTGCTCGGCATAAGCACCCATGGTGCCATTGAGATTCTGTTTGTGATCTATTTCAAGGCCCTCGGGAAAGGACGGCATGGGTCGGCAACTGCATGTCGGCGACGGGCAGGATTCTACCACGGGGAACGGCGCGGTGTCGAAAGTCGGGATGGGGATGCTCCGGCGGGGAGCATTACGGCGAGGATAGGACGCGGTGAAGAGCGAGCGACGAGCACACCGCCAGGAGAACATGTTGCAGCGCAGCGAGAATGCGCTCGCTTTCCGAGGCGGCCGTAGGCATGCTTTTTGTTATCGGCAATACCGAGCGGACTGCGTCATTTGCTCCGGCGGGACCGCGCGCTCGGCCTCGGCTTCGGCTGGTGAGTGCGCGCAACTCCGCCGTCGCGTCGCCCTTTGGCTTTCTCTCAACGCTCCACGCGCCGGCGCCATGAGCCAAAACACCCCGCGAGCGCCTCATCCTTCGTGACACCGCGCACCAATGGCTTCACCGCCGCCCGCGTCGTCCGCACCTCTCCAGGACGCCGCGCCAGCCAGCGGGTCCGACGCGGCGCAACAGCAGCGTTCCGCTCGGGCTCGGTCTCCGCGATTCCCACCGCACAATGCCCCGCGCACCTGGTTTCTGACGAATGGCACGTCGCCCATTAGCATCGCCCTAGCCACTCAGCTTCTCGACCACGGCGATCACGTTGTCGCCGGAGTACTTCCCGCCGAGTTCGAGCGCGAGAGCGGCCGGAGCGAGGAGTTCCGCAACTTCCTCGATAGGGTCAGCAGCGCGGAAGGTGATAAGGAGCGCTGGAAGGAACGGCTGCGTGTCGTGAGCCTGGATGCTAGGTAAGGTGCGCCGGCTTACGAATGCCCTGCTTCCTTATTCCGCGTCATGTGATTTGAGCACCCTTGCTGACCGACTACCCCAGAGTAATTGGCCAGTGCCAGGCTGCTATCGCCGAAGCTGTTGATGCCTTCCAGAAGGTTGATGTGCTGCTTGGCTGCTCCAGCGAGACGGTCGTTGGCACGGTCGAGGAATTGGCCCAATCGACTCGGACCATGAACCTTGTCCGTGACCAGTTCGAAACAACCTTCTTCTCCAATGTGAACATCATCAAGGCCGTTTTGCCCACCATGCGGGCTGCAAAGAATGGTCACATAATCATGCTGACAGGAACAACGGGCCATTTGGGCACGCCGGGACTTGGCATGTACTGTGCCTCGCAGTGGGCCATTGAGGGATACTGTGATGTAAGCCTGCGGAAAGAAGCCGTGAGGCTCGCGACGCTGACAATTCCATCCCAGAGTCTGGCTTACGAGATAGCGCCGTTCAACATCAAGATGTCCATCGTCCAGCCAAACATGGAAGTAAATGTCTTGACAAACCGCATTACCTCAGCTCCGCCTATGGAAGAGTACGCGCCCGATGTCAATCCTGCACCTCTTTGCCGGGAAATTTTTAGCGGCTTGCTGGATAAGCTGGACACCAGGTCTGTTGGTCTCGCAAACCAGCCATCACCATCGGCGGATGATGAAGGTCCTTCTCCAGCCAGCACGGCCAACGTGCATTCAACCGGAGATCTCCTCTCATCCCCACAAATTACTTCGTTGTACCCCATGCTGGACCCTTCTGTACGTTCCTCGTTGATTGCGGAGACGGTTCATGCTCTCACTGCCATTGGAGGTCATGATAACCCACCTGCTCGCCATATTGTAGGATTTGAAGGCGTTGCAAGTGTGAAAGAGAAGTTAAAAACTGTAAGTGAAGAGCTGGAAGATTTCAATGAGGTGAGCGGCGCAGTCGACATCGGCAAGGGCGAGGATGCAATGGATATCACCCAAGGCTGAATGCCGTTGTGCAGTGAGTGCAATCTATTTCGTTTTTGCCGCTTGATGTCAGTGGCGGCTACCGTTTCAGAGTCCCTGTTTGGGCAGTGATTGTGTCTTACTCCGCATTCTATCCATCGTTCCTGGAAAGATCGCCCGAACCCCTGCACCGGAATAGCTTGTACTCTCCACCATCGCGGATCCTTTTGTTCAAGGGTCTTGAAACATCGCGACTTCGGTCCGTAGTACATTGCACCAGACAAATGATCCTGCTGATGGGAACGGAAGCTTTAGTCCGCATGTACACGTACAGAGAAATCGAACCAGACACGTTTGCAAGGATACATAAACGCTCCAAGCGCCATTTTCACCGCGCACATTCTTGTTCTTGTGGTACGACGCTCTCCCCATCTACTAAAGACTGGTGACCGGCTGTCTCGTGGAAATCATCTTTTCGTTCGATACAGCATTTGGTTGGGCCTGTGCTTGCGGCAGATCCCGCTCCAATTAGGCGGGATCCTGCCACCACCCATCCTGCGCAAACTTGCTCATCCAAAGGGGCCGACGTGGTGCCCGTCCATATAACAAGTTCGCGCCCTTGACTCCTTTACCTTTGGTTCCTACTGGACTTGACCTGCCATTTCTACAAACATACGACAACTTACCCTTGAAAACCGGCCCACCACCCTGATCTTGTGAGGCATGAAGATCATTCTCATTCTCACCTGGCCACCAACACCATGGCCATGGCGACTGGATCCAGTCCGCCTCACTGTCACCCTGCTGCTGGCCATTCGGACATTCCATTCGGTTCCCATGGCCACATCATCGGTGCCACCGATGCCCACAAACCAATTCATCCAGGTCCTGAAAATACTCATGGCCCCTCTCCTAGTCTAATTGCTCTCACCAATCAGTAAGCCCGTAACCCTACGCTTCCCCCAGTCATCTACGACCTCTACATCATAGTGGATACTTATCCTCAACGGCATCACACACCATGAAGAATTTCAAAGCCGTACTGGATGGTGAGCGTTCCCGTTAGTCCAAGCTCTTCGAAAGCGTATTAATAGCTTGCCTTAGTCTACTATTTGGACTAAGTTATGCCCCGTACCTGGCTTGCAGCGAGAGGTAGTGGGCTCATGTGGACACTCTCCATTGGCGGACATCACCTCATATGGATGCAAACATCGCATAATCGTTGAGGACTCCAATCCAGGGCTTGGGCGGCACGTGCAGAATTGTACGGCGGATGCCTCCCCTACCCGCTCTGACCTTCCCGACTCACCGTAACGATGTTCATCTGAATGGTGTTTATTCGAACATCGACTTGTTCGAGCAACTCTACAACAGGCAGACGGGCATCATTGAGGAGAAGTTGAACTTGTTTCTACCACCATCGTCGAGGACAAGCTCTCAAGGACTTTGGACCATCTGAATCATGACCCTCAATGTGCCTTTGGGTACTGACACTGCTGTGACCGGGTCTATGGCTGTCTATCGGTTCATCCCGAACGTCTTCTCGAACTACAACGACAACCACCAGAACAGTGGTCCTTCGGGCTGGCAGGTGATTCTCGGTTTGGTCTGAAATGCGTAAGTTTGTTGGCTTTCGAACAACTTCCTCCTCGGGAACCAAGGCAACCGTTCAATCGAATGTGTCTTACACTGTTTCCTCGCTTACATTCAGCAAATGGCTTTACGACTCATGTTCTGTCCTCGTTGCGAGTCCGAACGGCTTTGTATATGCCCGGAAAGCGAGCGTATTTCGGATAACTGGTGCCATTGCCACTCGACTCATACTTACGGCGCCCAGGAGCTCAACTACGGAATCATCTATGCTCTTAAGCAGCTTCCGGTACTCTCGGATGTCGTCTTCAGTGGCAATGCTGATGGAAGGCTGGGCATCGACCGGCTAACGGGTGGCATTTCCGCGATGCCGGCATCAACCGAGCCACTTCGCTTGTTTGGTTCACTCAAGCAGTTGTACCCGCCATCACCCCACCATTCTTGGAGGCCATCACCGGGACATCGATCCGGCGGGCTGTGAACCAGAAGACCATTCTCTCGTCAAGCTGCTTGGCTGTCCATACTGGTACCACCTAGGCGACTCGGCGTTCGACGATTTGATGGATACGAGTGCAGTTTCAACAATGTCCAAAAGGAGATTCTCAACTGAGCAGGCAACCGAATCACGTTTCGCACGAGGTTTGGTTTGATGTTTGGTTTTCCTCGGGCGGTGTGGCGAGATACGAGAGCGACAGGGATCTGAGGTACATAGGCGCTGGGGCCAGGGCGAATAGGAGAGGGGCCCGAAACTCCTCTGCTGCGGCGCATGGCTCCTCGTGTAGGCTGACATGCCAACAGGAATGCGTCACACACTACGGATTTGGGTCTGGCGCGTTTCGTGCGCCAATGAGGGCTGACGTGAGTAATAGATGTTTTTTCTTGGCACGCCCCGGGAGCGCTGGCCTTGAGGCCGGCGGCCCGAGAAATCGCCTGGGCGTCTCACGCCTCTGCCTTCGATTAATTGCACCTCCACCCCTCTCCCACACCAGTGTCACCACTCAGACCAGCCCAGCCCACTGATCGTCTGCCGTCCCTTCCCAACGCGTCAGCCGCTGCCATGCGCGAAACAGGACAAGGCTCGGTTAAGCGCACCTAAAACAAGGCCCAAAAGGGTGTAAACGGTGGAAGCATGATTGTAAGCATGGCCCACCAGATAGCCGAGCGCGCGCCACCTCCACAGGCAAGTATCGACCGCCGATCATTCTCCATTCGTTGACCGTTTCTGTTTGCCGGGTGTTTGGACGTTTTGTTCTCCTGCTCCTGGGGCCCCTTCTCTTTCGCTTCAGCCTGCGCTCCCGTTGGATCCGGCCAAGAATTCCATCGCATTCTGGATGTACGATCCGTCATGCGGCGTACTCGGCGAGATGGCTTGCCGGCTGCCACGGCGGCGAGAGCGTCCCGTCTGCCGCCTGCGCCAAAGACGTGAACCGATTGGATGGAAAAACTACCAAAGCAGAGTGTAGAGCGCGTGCTGGAACCAGGAAACGGCCGGCTGCTGGCCGCCTTGACGTGGCGACGGTGGATCAGCCCCGACAGCCATGCGCATGCCTCGAGACATCCACCTTCATCAAGTGTAATCTAATTCGGGATCCCGGCCCACTACCGCTTTGGGCGATTCCTCCTGGAGGCTCTCACGGGCCCTGAAGGTATATAAACCTGCCAGACTCACGATCTCTTTCTGCTCTCTACGGCTGGTCCAACCAACTTCATTCACTGCCTTCTACCGCTTCTCGCTCTCTCACCAAATTCTCTCGTTCGCCCCAAGCGCTAGACGCACTTTCAACCACAACCAGCAAAATGCACGCCGCCAACACCATTCTCGCCCTCGGCGCTATGGCCGCCACCGTTTCGGCCCACGGCCACGTCCAGACTATCAAGGTCAACGGCAAGGAGTTCCAGGGCTACGACCCCAGCTTCGCCTACCAGACCCCCGCTCCCGAGGTTCCTGGCTGGACTGCTGAGAACCTTGACAACGGCTTCGTCGAGCCCAACTCGTTCGGCGATGCTGACATCATCTGCCACAAGGCTGCCACCCCCGGCAAGGCCTACGTCGAGGCCGCTGCCGGTGACAAGCTTGAGATCCAGTGGAACACCTGGCCCGAGTCGCACAAGGGTCCCATCATCAACTACATCGCCTCTTGCGACGGCGACTGCACCACTGTTGACAAGACCTCGCTCAACTGGGTCAAGTTCGAGGCCGGCGGTCTCGTTTCCGGCAGCGCCCCCGGCACCTGGGTCACTGACGACCTGATCTCGAACAACTTCACCGCCACTGCCACCATCCCGGCTGGCCTCAAGGCTGGCAACTACGTCGTCCGCCACGAGATCATCGCCCTCCACAGCGCTGGTCAGGAGAACGGCGCCCAGGCCTACCCCCAGTGCTTCAACGTCAAGGTCACTGGCTCCGGCAGCACCGCCATCTCCGGCGGCGAGAAGGCCACCGCCTTCTACACTCCCTCTGACGCTGGCATCAAGTTCAACCTCTACACCACCTTCGACAGCTACCCCATGCCCGGCCCTGAGCTCTGGAGCGCCGCTGCCGCCAAGGTCCGCCGCCACGTCCGTGACTTCTTCTCCGCTTAAGTGGACGTTCCGATTTCTTGTCAATATTCTTGTGCATAGCATTTAACTCGGAGGACAAAAGATTATGAGGAGGAAGAGGAGGTGGAAAGGAGAATGGTTGTTTTTTTGTGGAGAACTGTTGAGAAGCAGCGATTTGCGGGAAGTGAGCAGTGAATTCTTCTCACCCCCTTTTTTACAATTCTTGTACCTACTTCGTTGCTGCGCAATGCAATTCGGTGCTTTACCAAAAACCAACTCTCCATATGCAACTATCATCGTGACTGCTTTCGAGGTTTTCTGACCACTAACAGTTCTTCACCCCCCTTCCCCACTCTGGATCGAACCCTCATCGGTTTGTGGGTACCTAATCGACATTGCGAATTGTCATATAACAGTCCCCTATAGCTCCACTCATGGATGTTGGTGCTTCGATGGACACGTCAATGCGTGATCCGTGCGCGGATGACGGGGTGTTTTAAGTTAAGGTTGTGCGCCCGCTTTTGGGCTCCCGCGTCGGAGCTCAAACACAAACAACACAACACAGCCCTACCCGCGGGTGGCCTTGATACGCTATCGCCGGCTATTTTCTTCAACCGCGCGGCGATGGCGCAATGATGCCCCTCTTTTGTGACCCGCTGCCATGCATATCTTGTTGATGAGTTGTTGGTGAGGAAAATGTGTTTGGGGAAACAGAAACGGTGCTGTTTTCATGCAGTGTACTCGAGTCCATGATCAAAAGAGCTAGGGCTCATACGAGTCTTTGCTTTCGTTTATTCATTATGAAGCCGCCTACAATGCTGATCTCAGCCAAGATGGTTGTACTCTATTTTCATTCTGAGATTGCGATGGCATCTCGAAATTTCTGTTTCCTAGGGATCAGAACTTTCTGCCATACTTTCCTCCGGCGATAAGGGATGTCATAATAACCGGCCACAAAGTTTTGTTTTTTTGCGGCACGTTGTGCTACGGCTGCAAGGAACGCGGGCAGACGTGGCAGATGAAAACTGGAGATTTCTGTAGAGTGCGTTCTGGACCAGCATTGGCGTCGATCCGGCTCAGAGCGAACTGCAGCATGTCGACGCCACGGCGCCAGCCAGCGCGCTAACACGGAGAGACGGAGTTTAGGTAGGAGTAAATATCGACAGGGGAAGTGTTTGTGGTCGGTCTTGGCCCCGCGTCAAGCAAGCCACTGACGATCGTCGAGTGGGTCGGTTTTTTAGTGGCGTTCGAGAAAAACTCCACCGTGCCAGAATAAGAAGTGGTCCACTTGGTATGCGCACGGTATACACACACATTTGACGAATGCTCGATCACTTGCTCAGCCAAATAAATGGCTGTCTACTGGATGTTTCCCTCCACTTGGTTCGGGCGGATCTATCGACATGGGGGACTCGGTCTTGTTCCACGGGTTCCTTGAGACACAGAAAACGGACAGGGATAGCTTAAGCGAGCCGCAGCTGCCGCTACGCTGCCGTCTCGGCCGTGCCTGTTTCACCACTGCAACTCCAACTGCCGGAGCCCAAAGAACCATGCAAGGGTAATCGCTTTCTCGGGATGAACCCGAACGCGACGGCTTTCCATAGGCTCGAGATGGGAGTGCAGGTACGAGTAGAACACGTCGATGCGTCGGACCGGCATTGCGGCAGGGAACAGTGGGTGTGTGTGGTAAGTGTCTGGTGACTTGTGGATCGCATTACAATATTGCCTGCCAACATCGCGGTGGTTATACGGCAAACACGGCAAAGAACTACACCATAGTGCCGAGGACGGTAAGTACACTTGGCGCTGACAGAACTAAATGGACTGTTTTGGATTATATGAGCGGCTGTGCGCCTGCTGTTGTTTTTTTCCATTTAGCCACGCGTCTTGGCCTCTCATGGGCCGCGCGGTTGATTTGGCGGCGTTCTTGCGGTCATGACTGGGAAAATGTGACCTGGTCATTTGATGGGTAATTGGAAAAGTGCGAGAGTCCGTAGCTAAGCACCATATCCTCGTTTGGTACTTATTGATACTTGTCACCTCATAAGATCATCGCGCCGCGTGACTTCTCCAGCGTTCTAATGGATGTGCGAGTATATGGCGGTCCGCTCTGATGGTTTATCATGGTTATTTCCAGCATTGCTACATGGCCTTCGTGGCACGTGGCTGACTCGCTTTGAACTGCACATTCTGGACCTTCTTGCGTCACACAGTCTGCAATCATCTCCGTCGCGGGCGGTGGCTGTTTTACAGATCCCATCTGATTCGTTTCGTCCGCGCACTTCCTTCTGCTGCCTATCCGCTCAGTATACTCTAACTGCTTCAGCGATCCCTCTCAACTTTATTGCAGTCTTCATCGTCCTCAGCAAGGATTTCATTGGCATGATTGACATACTTTCCTATAGGCAGCAAGACCATAGTCTTTAATTAAACTCGAAACAGTATGCCTCGTCTCCAATCGTAACAGAGATGCCCAAACTCTATGGTAACCTCAACCATTCCTTTTACAGAAATCAAACCAGCCGGAACCATTTCGGGGCACCAGTGTGTTTGAACTCAATGGATTGCTCCTTCTAAGGGCCTACACGATGAGCTACGTTTTATGAGGAACAGGCTACGCTAAACCACTTCTGGATTTCCCGATTAGGCTAACTACTTGGCGGTGCTGAGAGTCCTGAAACACAGTGCACCAAAGATCGGTGCGTTCATCGGGGAAAAAATAAAGTAGCTAGATGGGACCGAAGACCTTCGGAGATGTGGCGTGCATTCAAGTAACCTGATCCGAAACGCATGCAATATTCTTAGTGAAGAAGTGAATTACACTTGAAGCTCCCATCAACACTCCTGCAACGCTCTGAACTAGCCTCTTCAGTAAGATAACAACCCCAAAGAAGGCTCTGCAAACCGTGCATGGGTAAATGCCAATCCTTTCAGCAGAAAACGTTCACTCCAGGCATTCGCGAATTTTCAAAAAAAAAAAAAAAACAACACCTCGCTACCTCGGAAACTGCAAGTTGAATGCGCAAAACTGGCTAGCGAGGAAAGAAAAGTGAACTATTGATTACTGCAGACATTTCATTGCGGCGATTCAAGGGTGGAAGCTATACCTTGATATCTTGGTCAGTATCGCAGATATCGTGGAATGATGTCAAGGCAATAGCCGTTGGCAAGATGTGCATTTGCGGGGAATTCTAGTTGATCTGAATTTGCGTAGCCTCAAATAAACTTGCTCGTGTTTCGCCGCATGGAAATTGCATGGAAGCAGAGCTGCCCATCAGGATCCAGCCCTACAACGTTATATTAAGCCTTGGTCCTACGGCAATACTTGTTTAAAGTGATCTGTTCACCGTTACTTTGTAGTTTTGTTTTTTCTTCTACGGCTGTGTAGCTTTTCTCAGGATTCGTCTATTCAAGTTGCCTTTTCGCCAACCCCATAATGTAAAAAACCACTCTACAGTCCCTTCTCGCAGCTAACGGCTAGCGTGGATTTTATTTTGCTCATGTCACAGGGAGTTGAAGCTATCGTCTAGACGTATGTGTAGAATTTTTATTTCTACATTCTTTTCCGGACGATAGCTTCAACTACCCATATATGTTAACTTTCGAAGAAAAAGCTGAGGCATGTTTACACCTAGGGCATTACTACTCTTCACGCTAGTCGTTGGCTGCGAGACTCCCCTGTATACTGGCTTATTTTAATGCAAGCATCGAGGTCCTGCAAAACAGTCTGGCGAGTCTAAACCGTAAATGGTCATGTCACCGTTACACACAGCATCTTCAGAATGTACATACTACAATGTGACATGACTCGCGATTAGGCGGAAACACATGGAGAATCTTGCACGCTGCTCATTAAATACGCTTTTTTGCCATTGAATGATTAGGAGACTGGGGGGAGTTGCTGGAATTTTTGCACGAGGCGCGAATTGCCTCGCGCGGACAGACGGTCAGTTGTGCGAATCTGAGTTGCGCATGGTGGACTCTGATAGATCCACCAGGATGAGATGAGGAGAGATATAATAGAACTAAGCCGCTCCCATGTCCGTTAGCTACTGCTGCTTTGGTGTAGTGGATACCTCTAGTAGCTGATAACGACGTACTTAGAAAACTGGAAAATGGCTTCTTTAGAGTGCCTCTGGGTAGTAGAATGTCCAATTCGAGATAGTAGAGGTTGGCAGCAATCAACTGACTGTACTATAAAAGCAATGCAAGCCGAAAGACAGCACAGGGACTGCCGTCGAGTTACGCTCTACGAACAGAATTAAGGCAAAAGCCTTTACCCGTCGTTCTTATCTCCGCTGGTATCTTCCCCCAAGTTGCTTCTATCGGCGACGTCTGGAAAGCCCTCTTTCGCAAAGCATTCGGATATTTCCCCGCGGGGAAACAGAAATTTATTCTACAGGTGTTCTCTGATCGCATCATGGTATATCTGCCTGGAAAAGGAAGGTTCCACGGGGCGAAATTTTGTCAAGTTCACCTTGGAAAAATGCTAGTAAAGTGCTTGACCATGGCAGTGACAAGCGCCAGTCAGAGACATAGCAGTCATGCTCCGGAGCCCCATTGCCCGTGCGTACATGCAGCATGCGAAATAGGGCTGTCACATGCCTGCGCGCCGGAGCAGGGTGCTCAGATATCTCAACACTGCGCGCGTCCTCCAAACTTCTTCAGCCAGCGCAAGCCGTAGCCTCAACATCGCGCGTTTCGCAACCACGCCGCTAGCACCTAGCTATTCTGCGCTCTCATCTCCACAACTGCACACTCAACCATGGCCCGCGATAATAAGCGTAAGCAGTAAGTATGCGCGTTTCGCTGATACTGTGCTGTGCTAACTGTTCGAAGCGCCGAAAACAATACGCTCGCGGTCGGTGCTTTTCTCAAGCACCGCAACGACAAGGTCTGGCCTACGGGCTCCGCGAAAATCACCCCAACCAGCAAAGAAGATGATAAGGGCTACATTAAGAGCCCAGCCCCGGCCAAGCAGCTCAACATCACGAAGCTAAGGGCTGCGTATGCTGAGAGTCCGTACGTAATAGAAGCCTCAGCTCCGAATGATCCCAGGCTAATCAAGCTGCTTGTTTTAGGCTTAGGACGTTCGCCTCCAAAGAGGCTCGCGACCTCAAGAACAGGGTGGACTCCTTCAACGAGACTGCAAGTCTGCGCGAGCACATCGAGAAGCTCGAAAAGGAGAACAAGAAACTCGACAACGACAAGAAGAAACTTTTCAACAAGAACATGACGCTCAGCAACGAGAACATGACGCTCTACGACGAGAATATGATGCTCTACAACGAGAACAAGTGGCTTCGCTAGAAGCTTGAGGCCCTCGGCATCCCGGAGGAGGACCTGGAGGAGGGTCCGGAGGAAATTCCCTTCATCAAGAAGCGCAGGCTCGACTAGAGAGCACGCTAGTGGTGAACAACGCGCACGGCGTCACAGGCCACGAGGAACCTTGCTACGACTTCACAGAGCGCTACGGCCACAACTCCGCCATGGTTCCCCCGTCAATCATGTACCACCAGCATAGTGCCTACCAGAGCACCAATACGTTGATAAATACATGAGTATGACTGCTTGGAATGGCCGTGAAGCTACACGAGAGTGAATGTCTTGCCTTCGTCAGGTCTCCACATGTCAGTCGCTTTTCCGTACATCCAATCCTCGAGGTAGCACTCTCCTCGAAACCAGTACTTGCCCACTCGGTCGGTGGGAGTAAGAACAAAAGGAGTTTCAGTGCCGAAGAAAATGCAAATATCATCCCCTGGTTCCGCAACATGCGGACAAAGACCGAAAAATCCCTTCGTGCTGATGAAAAAGCTTCGACCAATAACATAATTCGCTATATCTCTTATGAAACGGTCTGCATCTCCACTGCCATGATCAGCCTTCCAGTCTGCAAATGCGTCAGGGAAAATAGTCTCTCTCTCTAAGAACGCTCTACAGTCACTCAGAACCGTGTCTATATCCTCTTCGACCTTTTCGGAGTTGATTATAAACCGCCAAAACTTAAAGTCAGTTGTAAGTGTAGAGCAGAATCTTCTTAGAGCTAAAGTCTCGTTATTCTTTTCGACCATCCTGATATTCCACCATATGCTCTTGACGACTTTGCCAATGGTATGCTCGTTTGATGACGCCCATTGAATGGGAGTGGATGTCCAGCTGATAGAATCCACGCAGATTCCAGTGACAGACAACTCCTGATCTTTTTGTTGAAAACCTGAGGCTTCTTGCGTGCCCGCAGTGAAAAATAAGCTTTTCCCCCAAGTCATCAGAGATTGGGGTTGTACTTCTTTGTGGAGTTGTGGGACCCAGGAAGGCACACCGTCTGGGTCCACACCTCTTTCCGTGTGTTGAACCAAGGCCAGGAGTTTGAGTGGATTTGGAAGACTTAGCAACTTCTGTGCTGCATTGAAATATAAATCTGCAACAGGTAAAGTATAGTCCACCGTGAGGAATGGAGCTCCCTTAGAGCGTTCTTGCCAGAGATCAAAAGCAGCATGGCCTAGAATGCCGTAATATCTGTTTCGAGGATCGACACAGGCAAAATACCTTGAAACGCTGATCATGACCCTCACATCTCTATCTCTCTTGTCCCGGGAACCGATGTGCAATAGCTGGATCGGCCTCTGAATATAATACAAGGTGTTGCCGACACTTGGATTTACTAGCCATGGTCTGTCCATTCCTTTTAATGTCTGTGACTGCAACGTATTCTGGCCGCAGTAAAATGTGACATGATACGCCAGGCCAATCTCTTGAATAATCCACACACGGAAGAAGTATCCGCAGTCAGCCAGTCCGTCTAGCGCTTTCCACTCATGCTCAGGCGTATCGTCGATGTGTCGACGTATTATGCAAGAATCTTCTGTTTCACACGCTTCGTTTAAACGCTGGATGAGGTTGAATGCTGCCTCGGCGTCGAAATAATCGCCGCGTCCGAGCCAAGAGTTGACATTGTCCGCACGGTAGAAGATCTGCCGCATCAACTGGACCTGGTGTCCGCGTTCCTTGATGTCGTCTTGATTGATGCAGATCGAGTCGGCCCACAGGATCCGGCTCTCGTCTCGAAAGCGCAGCCTTTCTAGCGCATCGTGGAGATTCTGAGGAACTCGGATGCGCCTCCGGTGGCAGAAAATGTCGGTCTTGTCATCCGGATCGCCCCAAACGTAGGATATGCACTCGTAGGGTGGATGGAAGTTGGTAGAGTATGTGCGCAGTCGGCAGTGGATCGCGGTTCCTTTTTTGCCGGGAAGTAGCTCCAGAAGACGGAAGAACTTTTCTTGGTCGGGAAGAGGCTCGTGTTGGTAGCATGGCTTGGGCTGAGTTTCTACCGGTTCAGCCTTGCGATCGACGCCTCGTTTACGTGGTTTCTTGGGCTTCTTGTGGCGTTTGGGCATTTCGAGCCGTGCAAGAAAGCGAGCGAAAGAGTAGAGATTCAAGATGCGTGCTGTTGTGGTTTGCGAACGAAAATGAGTTTGAGGTGGAGAGAAGCGTGGAGCTGCGGGGGATAGGCGAGGCATGTAAGCACTGTGGCTGAGGGGGTGGGGGCTGCAAAATACGGCCAAGCAAGCGATGCCTCGTATTGCAAGGATGTCAAAACTCGACATGGGTAAATTCCATCTTATTCAGACGTAAGCTTGTCGCCGTAACTGTCTCACGTAAATGGAGCAGCGACATTTAGTTTCACGAAGAAGCAATTTCATCCAAAGTACCGAGAATCTCTACCACGCTTGAACCTGTAGAATGAAAGCTGAAGAATAGCTATATAGCTATCAAAGGTGATTGCATCTAGTATGCAATCGGTATAGACTTGGACTGATGATTCAGCCACCCGTGTTCTGCCTTACGGCTTATGATCGCCTGCGCCTCTTCGCGCCGTTGTCGCCATCATCCTCGTCTTCCGCCTTGCGTTTGCCGAGAGTGTGCTGGCGGCCATGCTGCTGGGGGCTGATGTCGTCCATGCCGCTGGGGGGAGGAAGACCATGACGTGAGCTTGAAAGAGGAGGTTGCTGGTTGAAGCCATTGACCGGGCCAGCGGGCGTAACGTTGAGAGG